TTACTCGTCCATGTGTTATTTTTATATGAAAATGGGTGAAAAGGGTATAATAGCAATGTGCAAATGTATGTAACAGGCAAAAGGGCGCATCTGCAACCCCATAAAGTATATACGTTCTTGATCAGGATCAACTCGAATCATGACTCGCAGATCGCAGAGATTAGAAAATGTGGAGATTTCAATCATATCAGGTTTATTTCATATATTATATCAGGTTTATTTAATTTAATCGATAGCAGACTCTGTTTCGCAATTATCGATAAATATCGTTTTCCGATAGCAAATAAAAACCAAAAATTTGTAGACAGAAGATTCTCATTACTAATAAGAAATGAGAGCAATTCCAACCCGGTTAAGTTGGAGAGGACAAAGCTTTTAGAAGGGATATACAGCAATAAAACTGGAATAATGTGTGTAATTTAATAACAGGGTATCACGTATCGAGCTCACTCGAGTTCAAAATTCTCACTTGTTTTTTTTTTATCTTACTTATTTTATTGCATTTGTGTTTGACAACGGCGGTAACGTCTCCATGCCGCCTCTCTCCGCCCCCCTCCCTCTTATCGCCCTTTCCGCCAGCTTATAATGCTGCTTGCTGAAATGTTGCTCCGACAAAGTTCTGTCTTTCTTCTTCCCCACTCCGCCCGCCTGGCCTGCTTTTCTCTGCTCTTTCTACTCTGTCTGCTTCTTTCGCTCGTCGCATGTGTTTTGCATTTTCTGTGGTTCCATTTACACATGCGTCCACCATGTGTGGGTGTATGTGTGTGTGTGTGTGTGCCTGAGCATTTGCCAATTGCTATATGTGTGCTTATATATGAATGTGTGTGTGTGTGTGTGTGTGTGTACATTAACACATTGTTGTTGTTTTCCCATGCAAGCTAAAAACTTAACGAAGCAAAATGTTTTTTGCGCTTGTTGCATTTCATTTTTGCATTTTCTGCCACATTTTTCTTGCGTTCTGCCTTTTTACTTAATTCTCAACGCGTTTCGCTTTTGTCTTTTGTTTGGCATTGCATATGTAATTGTACATTTTGTCTGTGTGTGTGTGTGTTGAAGACACAACAAAAAAGGATACACAAAATATGCAGCTGCGTGTGTTGCAGCTAATATTTGTTTGGTTTTGGAATTGGCAGCATGATGTGGCCAAAAACTGTTATCTAAGCACTGCATGCCACAAGCCACTAGCCACATGCCACTTGCCACATGGCACATGCAGCACGGCACATAGAACAGAAGTGCGTCCAGTTAAGGATCCGCTCCACAAATGGCAATTCGCAATTCGCTCAACCAATGCCGACAACAACTTTGTCGCTTGTCGCTTGTCTCTTGTTATTTCTTTTCATTATTTTTGTTTTCGTTGCTTGTGTTTGCCTTGTGGTCGTTGTAAGCGGCGTTGCACTGCCACCGCCCTCCCCTTACTTACTACTGCCACCTGTTCGTCGTCGTTGCGCTTGCTAGTTTGTTGCTTTAATGTGCCTGCCACTTTTAAGTCTCTGCCTCGTTGTATTTTGATTGTCTGCTCCGCCTTTGCTTTTGCTGCACACACAAAAGTGTCAAACGCAAATACACAAAACACAAAAAAGAAAACACCAACTAAGCCCTGCTTGGCCAGAAACAACTGTTTTTGTCACTGCGTGCAGCATTCTTCTCCTTTATCCCATCTCCAGCTGTGAGCCTGTCACCTGTGTGTTTGTGTGTGTTGTGTTTCAACTGCTTTTGTTGCCCACTTCCGGTTTGTGTTGTTGTTGTTGTGCAACACTAAGGCACAATCATATGTAATTTTGTTCACTTTTCTGCTAACTAAAAATACCAGAATAAAAAGCTAGTTTAATTATAAAATATTAAGGAAACTATCTTAAGTATAAACAATTTGAGTTTGATGTTGTGGAATATCTAAAATTATCAACTTTTAGTTATTTTATATTTTAATTTTTACTCATTCCAATAAGCTTATAGTTAAATAAAGATTACAAAAACTGCACAAGTAGAATATTAAAATATATAGAAATGAGTTCACGTAATTAAACTTAAATAATCAATAAATATTATGTTCAAACTATTTCAATAACGGACTAAAGTAAATTATAAGCTGGCAACTTTATATTGACCAATAATCGAATTGCAGCAATTGAAATAAAATCAAAATGCTCCATTTGCAATGTCCAATTCAAATCCTTTGGGCACCAAGCAGGATATTTACCGGACTGCAGTTTATAATCAAAGTCAAAATCAATAATAAATTTGCATAAATATTAAATGGCATTTACTTTTCATCGCACTGCGATAGACAGTTATTTACGGGAAGGGATTATCCACGCGGATCATTTACGATTTTAAATGTACTGCAAAAATAACAAGTATTTAAGTCACGAATATAAAGAGTTTAAGGCAATTGTGTCACACAATTCCAAATTAAAAACCAAAACAGAATAAAAAAAGAATGGGAAATTAACGCTAAAGCGTTTACACACTAAAATATACATTTTGAAAAGCAAGCATAATATTATTTTTAGTGCTGCTACTGCTGCTGCAAGGTGTGTCTGTGTGTGTGTGTGTGCTGATGTGTGTGTTGGTGTTGGTGTTAGTGTGGATTATATTGACAGAGCGCAGCAGGCGATCCTTGTTGTCGCTGTCGTTGTCCTTGTCGCCAGCGTTTGCTTAATGTCTTCTTTATTATACGAAATTTATCACCGAAACTGAAATTGGCCTGGTTGGCGTGTCCTTCTCGGTAGGTCCTTGCTTAGCTACAGCTACAGCCGGCTAAGGAACAAAAAGCTTGCACTTTTTTCTCTGCAGCTATGTCGCAACATAAAGTAACACCCACACACACACTTACACACACACTCAGACACATACACTCAGACAGTCAAACTCAGACTCACATATAAAAGCACTCGGAAAAAAGGCTTCTATGAAAATTTGATATTTTATAACTTCAACTATACAAACATTTTAAATTGTTTATAAATTTATACACATATTAATGTGAAATCTCTATTAACTTAAAAACGATTCGAACTCGGAACACTTCCTGAGTTAAAATTCCAAAATTTCACTACTATTTTCTCAATTTCAAAAAGACTCTTTCTAAAAATAAATGTTTGCATTTATAATTTTTAGAAATATTTTCTATTATTAGAAATATCTAAAAATAAATATAAAAAGAGACCATTTAACTTTAGCATATTTTATTCGTGTATTCAGAAATTATTTCTAAAAACCAGAGAATTTTTATAATATGTTTGCCAATTTAGTTTAGTCCGATTTTCTAAATGTTAAAGTAAATTTTTTCTGAGTGTAGGTTGGAAAAACATGGCTTATATCCCTTATGGTGACAAACGCAAACACCGAAACATACGAAGACACTGAAAAAGACTAAGAGACACACACACACACCCGCACAAACACACACACACACACACACACACTCCCTTAAGATTAGCACAATCCCACACACACTCACACTCACACACACACACATGATATTAATGTGTGGGTTTTGTGCTAATGAACGGTCTGAGTGTGTGTGTGCTGTTTTTGAATTATAGCATAATTTTTACCACAAAAACGGTTGGCAGAGTTTTTTTTTTTTTTTGTTTGGTTTTTTAATGTTTGCCTGTAAATTGTCCAAGCAAATTTATACGTTGTAGCAGACAATATGACTATATGACTATATGCCTGCATAAAGATTTACTGCAATGGAGCAACAAAAGCTATGTAAATATTTGTGCTTAGCGCTTTTTACTCGTTCGCTCTGAGCGAGTCGGTTTTTTTAGTAACTGAATGGTTTAATTAAATGTAAAGCAGTTGTCTTAAAGTCGTGCAAATAATAATGAATTTAATTTGATTTAGACTTGTATTTTTTTTCGAGGAGTTACTGTTTCGGTAAAGTTGTTTTAGATTGTTTTTCATATTTTGTAGTCAATTTTGAAGGAACTTCTTGCGATTTTGGCCTAAGCCGGGGAAAAAACACAAGTTGTCAGCTTTTGTGGAAAAAAAAACAATTGAAAGCTTAGTTATATTTATAATTTGTCCATCTTAATAAGATATATAAACTAGCAGGAAATGCTAAAAGTAAAGTTTCCCATTTACAAAGTACTCTAAAAATACCCTCGCCTGGGGTCAAATGAATGCAGAAGTGTAAAAAAGTTAAGCTGGCTTCAAGTGGGATTTGAGTTTTTGTTCAAATCTAACTTTGGTTTCATTAGTTGTCGGTCTGGCGTCGGGTGTCAGAGTTCGGGGATCACAAGTGCAACTAACCTTGCAGATTGAGCGGACAGAGACGCATTTGTTATAGCAGTGAAAAACAGCTTCACAAAATTTACAACCCACCCAACCCCCAAAAAACGTATGCATAAAAATATAATTTGTACGTCTTGTTTTTGCGAAGTTGTTTATTAAATTTGCTTCTGAGCTTTCATTTTAAGAGCTTTATGTGCTAACTGTCACAAGCTCTATGCTGCACAAGCGAAAGCTCGTCGCTCAATAAGACACTCACCTGAAAGTATGCAACCAATTAATCTTCTATGCGAGAATGGACTGCGGTGTTTGTTTGGCCCAATTGGGGCGCAACAGCTATGAAAATATAGACTGGAGAAGCAGTCTCTCTTTATAAAAATATAATGTAAGTCCTTACATTCGAAACTGCTTGCATCTTAAATGCACAGTACCAATTTACATGTATAACCTAAATTATACACGTTATTTTAAGTTATACACGTTGCATTGCAAATTAAATAAATAAAGTATGCAATGAAAAATATACAAATGTTTTTCGCATATGTTTACATTTGTTTGAAGCTTTGGAAATCTACGATCCGATTAAGTAAATACATTCTTGATGTAAATTGGCTTCGATCCAATTATCATAAATATATGAATATGTAATTATTTCTCCAACGTACAATTAACTATCGATATTCACATAAGCGCCGATTATATCGATAAGTTCTATGACTGAATCACGCACATCGCTAGCCGGGGCTGTGTCGAGTGTTCAAATAACGGTGCTTCTTATTAACCGATGTGAGCTGAGAAAACCAAAGAAAAAGAAAGAAAACATGCAGCTGCGCAGTGAAACATTTGATCAATTGAAGGAGATGCTTTGCGACGCCGGCCTGTACGAGGACGGCATGAACGTGGGGGAGATGCGTCAATTGGCGCAGGCCATGGAATTGTCCAACGAATCCGTCGATGGCAGGGAATGCTTCGACATTCAGCGCGCACTTCGGGTAACTAAACAAATAAGGGTCAAACAATAATGACAAATAATTAAATATATTTTGTGCAGGAAAGCGAAATTGAGTTCCAAAGAATGGTTAACTCGACGATGATCGGCCACCAGCCGACAACACCAACAAGGGCAACTGCAACTGCAACAACATCGAATTGGCCATCAAATCTGGAACAAGACAACGAGAGTCCGCCAACTAACCCCATACGGATGATCGTGCAGGCTGAGGTGCATCACGAGCTCAACTGGAGTGCGGAGGGGGAGCAGCGTTCGCTCCGCAAGCGGGAGGCCATCGGTGTCGACACCGACTGCGAAATTCTTGCGAAGCGTGCGCTGCAAGAGCAACCCAATCGGGATAATAATCGTCCCCCATCCCCATCGCCATCCCAATTGCTGATGAGCAGCGACTCTGGCCTGAATTGCGAGGAGGAGGAGGAGGACTACAGTTCGCTCTCCAGCCTGAGTGGTCTGTCGTCGAATAACTCAATGCCATCGATTGGAGAGATGCCCAGCCGTCTCTTGATCAGCACCAGCAGCGCTGTTGTCTCCGATCTATCTGACCAAGATCAGAGTGGCCTCCCCGACGATAATGATGTTGATGAGGAGCAGCCTTAATAATTGCATTTCTTTTTATACTTTATTTAACTGAGAATATATAGAACACAATTTGGATCTATGGATCACTATGGACTCGCTATTTGCGTTGTATTTTGGACTTTGCTAGCGCCTCGGCCACCAGACGATCGACCTGTGCGCGCAGGTGCAGAAATGGCAACAGATTCACCCGCTCGCTGACCAAAGTGGCCGAGACTTGGGTGAAGTAATCGGTCACCACGATGGGTCGGACCAGCTGCATCCCTGACTTCTTCTGCACCTGCATAATGGATCTGTTGACGACTGGTACGCGTCTGGTACGCTTCGCCGCAGATTGAGCACCAGATGCGGTTGCTGTTGTTGTCGGTGGCGGCAACGAGAAGTCCTTCGCCTTGAGGGTACGTCTGCGCAACCGCTTTTTCTTAGCTGCTGGCAGGGATTCAATTGGAGCCGCAGGACGACATGCCGAACGCAGCGATTTGCGACGCGACTCCGCCGATGACTCCTCCATGGTGGGATTTGCAGTGTCCCTTGACTGCGCTGCTTTGCCGCTTGTCTTCGGCTTGCGCACACTCTTCTCCTCGACCTTTGACTCCACCTCCCCACTCGTCTGCAGTTCCACACCATTTGGCTGCACCTCGACTGGTTGGTTTGACAACGACTCCAAGTCGTCTATTTTAATAGGTGGGGTATTCGTATTGACCTCCATCGGCTCCAGGTCCGCGTTATTCTTGAAACCATCAATTAAGGAGTGCGCATAGGCATTTTCGGGATGCACGTCTTCTTTTAAATACTCTACGCTCCCATCTTCGGTTGGATAATCCTCTATGAAATTCGTAGGAATGCCGAAGACTTCTTTCGATGAGGAAACCTCCGCAAAACCCCTTTCTCTACAATTTTCAAATTTCAATCAAATAATAATTAATAATATTTGTATTAGGGATGTGATTAAGCTCGTTCTTTCTAAAGTCGATCGATATATATATCCGATATATTCCAAAGTCAACAGTATAGTTTTAAAACCATGTTTTCTATATTGACTCGAATACAAAAATGTTGAAATTATACTCACGGAGTGCGATCTATATAAGAGATATGGTTGGACCAATCCTCTTCCTCTTCCTCCCCCTCATCTTCATCCTCATCATTCCCCTCCCCATCATTTGCATCCTGCTTTTCCTGCTCATTCTGATCTTCCACCTGTTCCTCCTCATCCTCCACCGGCTCCTCTGTCGTATCATAATGTGAATTGTTGCCCCTATGAAATATAATATATATATATATATATATTTGTGTATATCCAAGAAAAAATCGGAAGAAATAAAAACATACTCGGCTTCATTTTGGTCCTCATTTGACGATTCCGATGAATCGGATGTTTCTGAGTCGGATGTCTTTGCGATGTCGTCCCGCGAGTTGGGATCACAATTCGAGTTGCTGTTTTATGTAAGGGCAGCGAAAATCATTTGTAACTCGGACAGGAATATATATATTGTATAAAATATTCACGCATTCAGCAATTCTTGCTCGTCGTTAGTCTGGCCCAAATCGTCATCGTCCCCAACAACATGTGGCACATTTGGAAACATTTTAATTGCACCTTTTATTTCCGTAGAGATCAAGTTTATTTCACTTGCAGCTTGCAATCGAAAAAGTGGTATAGTAATTGTGATTTTGCGAAAAGCAGTGTTGCAAACACATAAGTCTCAATTAATGCTGGAAAACGAAAGAAATTCACATGTCATATTTCTAGGACGAGCAGTTTATAGCATTTCCCCACTGACAGCAGCAGTTTATAGCAAATCATCCATAAAAAGTGTTACAATTTTTGAACAGATACTACACAATAGTTTTCTCTTAACAACTTAAACTTTAAGTATTAACATTAATAATAACTTGATAGTTTACAATGATGAACAATAAATTAGAGCAATAAAAACAAAATAAATATAAAATTTATATATTTAATTTGTATAGATTTTAACTGATTTTTAAAAATAAATTCACAGTTTGTAATAAAACACAGTAAATAAATAAATAAGTGCAAGAGAAATAAAGACAAAATATATATGCTTGTATATGTGTAACTTTCTTTGGCTTATCCTGCGCAGTAATCACACGTTTCTCCGGCTCCGGCCTCCTCGCAATTGCAAAAAGAGTCGGGCGCCACATCGGAAGCCAGGTCGTCCTCGCCAATGATGACGCAGCGCACATTGCGCGGATATTTGACCATGACCAGCGGATGCCCTTCCTCGTCGATGAGACCCCCATTATCACAGCCATCGCCGGTATTCTGGCGTTGCAGGACGTATTTCGTGAAGCAGCAAATGAAAATCTAAAAAGCACCTATAAAATTAATGTTTTTTTTTTAAATTATGTGCAGATCGCTAGCTTACCAGAAACTTTAAGGCCATCAGCACCAGAAAGAGCAGTATGTAAAAGTATCGCCAAAGTGCAGCCGAAAATCCCGCCAGGCATCCATTTGTGTAAATCGAGTCGACTGATAGCGATGGCATCGCTGACCGATCCTTGCTACTGAGGTCCTGCAGATAGCTGCTCTCGGCGCTCCGCTTGGAGCAGGCGATGGGTGCCAAGACGGTTCGGCTGCGACACTGCGAGCTGGCGTCAGTCTGCTTGGGCATCCAGTCGGCATCCATCCAATCCTTGTAGCTGTAGACGCCACAGCATTCTTTGCGCAGCTGCAGTGCATCCCATAGCAGCTTCCGCTTTGGAGTCGTGTAGTACTCGTCAATGCCGCTTAGCAGTGAATTCGCTGCAGAGTCTTCGAGCACATCGATGTTGTGGTAGAGATTCCATACTGATCCAAAGCCAGATGCAATTATGACGCAGGAATAGAACAGCCAAATGGAGATCATTAGTCGAACGTTGGGCGTGCAGCGCCTCCTCCACAAACGATTCCACATTGACAAGCTGCAAAGGAACGTGACAATCAGTTGGACGCCAAAGATATAGAAGTGGAATAGGTAGCTGATTAACAAGCATCGCTCAATGTCCTCCAAATAGCTGGACAAGATCGACTGATAGAGGCCAGTCACGATTATGATCAGCAATCCGGTTATTGCCTGGAATATTAGCAGAAGCGCAATATATACGGATGCTTTACGGAAAGGCTGGCGCATTTGTTCATCTTTCCCCAAACACTGCTCGAAGTTTAGGATTTTACTTTTCCAAAACAATTTCGTAGCTACGAAATTCCAATCTCATTTGAAGTGACGCTTATGTGAAAGGTTGCATAGGCGTTGTTCAAAAATTAAATCTGTCAAATAGCTAGGAGTATGAAAATTCGCTTGTAATTTTAAAGCTGAAGCTACCAAACTTGGAACGAGCGCAGATTGAGAGCTTGATAGATTGCAATCCTTCGAAATCTGCAAGGACTTAGTCGAACTAAAATCATTTGTTTGCCCCTAAAAGAGTGCTTTTTTGCCTATTTGTGACACTTCGACTTCTTAGATGAGCCCAAAATCACGGAATGCAGTTCGATAGGAAAAGTTCTTGCGATTCTACAATACTAAGTCCTTTAAAAATGTTGAAGGATTTGTCCGACTTAGAACTGATATCTTTTTTTGACTGTACCACTGAATATTGCTCCTAAAAGTAAGCCGCAGTATTTTCCTTGAGTGGAACTTAGCTAATGCAACAACCAAATTTGTATAATTGGTGGGAGCCCATGCTAAGCTGTAGCGAAAACAATTTCGTACCGAGTCTAATGTTGTTTTATTTGTAACTTTATCTATGTATCTTTATTCAAGTTGCCAAAATCAAACGTAACATTTAAACTAAATAGAACGTGCAATCTCTAAATGAAAAAATTTTGTAAGCTGTACACAACATCTGGCAACATCTTGCCAACAGCGACTGTTAAACTCGAAATGGCACTGTTTAGCTGCCGCTATGCAACTCTAGTCGAAGCTTTCGATCATCAAGACCGGCTTGCAGGCAGATAAGAACAGAAAAAAAGCGAAGACAAACAAGGGCATTTAAATCAATCGAATTAAACGGGTCTGCTGCGTAATTATTTTGGGGAACATCAACAGCGACGATGTACGTGTACATTTGCGCTCTTCTATTCTCGTCGTTGTTGCTGGCGACAAGCGCTCAATCGAAATTCGAATATGAAATTAAGGAATTTCAAGTGCCATTGGATCACTTTAGTTTTTTGAGCAACGCGAGCTTTAGCATCCGTTATCTGTACAACGAGTCGTATGCGGACAAATCTAATCCCAAATCGATATTTTTCTACACTGGCAATGAGGGCGACATCGAATGGTTTGCGAAGAACAGCGGATTCGTTTGGGAATTGGCCGAGAAGGAGAGAGCAATTGTTGTGTTTGCTGAGCATCGATATTATGGCAAATCTTTGCCGTTTGGCAGCGACACTTTTAATGCCAGCAAACCGGAGCATTTGGCCTATTTCACCGTGGAGCAGACGCTGGAGGATTATGCCATGTTGATCACATTCCTGCGCAATGGCCGCCAGTTGCCTGTGGTGGCATTTGGTGGCTCCTACGGTGGCATGTTGGCAGCCTGGTTTCGCATAAAATATCCGCATATTGTGGTTGGTGCACTTGCCGCCTCGGCACCCATTCTACAATTCGAGGGATTGACGCCCTGCGACATCTTCAACGAGATAACCACATCGGTTTTCAACACGGCCTACAATGCCAATTGCAGCGCGAATATTGGCAAATCGTGGCATGCCTTCGAAACGATGGCGGCTACCGATGCTGGCAAGAAGCAACTGGGCGATAAGTTTCATCTGTGTGAGCCCATCAAGAACGGCGATGATTTGAATCAATTTATGGACTACTTGGAGGATGTGTATGCCAATCTGGCCATGTCCAATTACCCGTACAATACGAACTTCCTAGCCCCACTGCCTGCCAATCCGGTGCGGCAGTTCTGCTTATATCTCAAAGATCTGCATGCGGATGAGGCAGATCTGGTTAGTAGCATGGCCAGCGCTTTGGCTGTTTACACAAATTACTCGGGCAGCGATCCATGCGTCGACTATAAGAACTCGAATGCGAGCAGTGCCACCGTCGACAGCTCTGGCTGGGAAATTCAGAGTTGCAACCAGATGGTGATGCCCTTCTGCGCCAACAGCAGCAACACCATGTACCGCACCAGCACCTGGGACCTGAAAAAGGTGTCCGACAAGTGCTACAAGAAGTTCCAACTCACGCCCAAACCCTTTGACATTGTGCTGCGCTATGGCGGACGGGATCTGGTCGCTGCCAGCAACATCATCTTCAGCAACGGTCTGCTCGATCCCTGGAGTGGTGGCGGCGTCCTCATGTCACCGAACGATCGCATTCACATCATCATTTTGCCAGAGGGTGCTCATCATTTGGATCTGCGTCAGAGCAATCCAATGGATCCCGCATCCGTCGTCGACGCTCGCCAGAAGGAGGCAGCCATCATTGGGCAATGGATAAGCGAATTTTATCGTTATTTGTAGAAATTTACAATTTACATAATTGAAATACTCTTAAATGTATCGAGTATGAGAAGAGCATGTCATGAAATAAAAAACTGCTTGTTATTTTAAATATTTCTTTAATATATATGCATAAAGGTACAGTTGTTCACAAGAAAGGAAATCTTACAAATTACAGAAGCAGCGAAAAACACACAAAAGTTAACATTTAAATCAACTTAATTAAAGTATATATCGTGTAAACTTAATAAATTAATATATATTGTATTTTTTCCCCAATAACTGCTCGAGGCGTTAAATAATAAACAAAATATATATGTTTTATAAGGCAAATATATAGAATAATAATTATCAAAAAATATTAACAAAAAGTTTTTTTTTAACTGGATGGATAATTTTCCATTTTTAGTATTTGCAAAATTTTTCAACATTTTTTTTTCGTTTGCGATTTTTTTTACGGTTCTTTTTATGCATTTTCATACGCAACTGAACGACAAACAATTTTCGTAATTTGAAAAATTGTTTGTAGTTTGGTTTAGCACCGGCATAGGACACTTGCTTCGTTTTTTTTGTTCAATGCTCCTTTTGCGCCCGCTCCCGACAGCAACTTCAGATCAGGACAATATTTTGATTTGATCTATGGTTAGAATTTTGGAAATGAGTTTCAGGAATGCTTTGAGGTAACCGAGAACCAAATGCCGCCGGTCTGTCACCTGTGGCGGGTGGTTGATTAACCAGCTCCTCATAGGCCGTGGGAGAGAACTTGGCCTATGGCAACTGTGTTAATCCTCAGTGGCGGCATTTGGCTGTCAGGCGTCCAGTGACCTGACCAAAAGTTAATGCACAGCAGCAGCTGTAACGCCTTGAGTTTTGGGAGATGGACGTGCAGCTGCTAGCCGTAGGTTAACTTTTGGTTAGCACTCTGGACAATTGGTCTATGGGTCATGGTTTGTCTTGTGGGCTTGTCCGTTCGCAGCGGCAGCTTGTGGCCAGTCCGTGCAAAAATGTTCCACGAAATTTGCAAGGACTGCCCGCAGGCTGCAGTTGCTCTCTTTCGTTGCTTGGAGGAGCGGGCGTTGCTGAGTAATTATTTCGTGTGCGTATTTTTGCATTCGTTTTTTTGTTTGTTTGTTTTTAGCTTAGTTATTATATACAAAATGTTGGGCATTGGGTTATATATAAATGTTTGCTGTGCAAATATATATGTATAATGTATATATCGTTAATATAAGTTTTCTTATTTTTTCTTTTCTTTGTAAAAGTGTTTTTTTTTTTTTTTTCGTTACAAGTCGTTAGGTTTTCATGTTTCTCTTTTAAATATGCTCGTCGAGTACGTTGCTTATTATGTACATATTTTGTTCGGTATGTTTGTCTCTAGCTACCAAAATTAAAATACAAATTCTCATCAAAATGTGGCAAATTACAAAAATTTACATGACAACATTATCGAGCGTACATTTCTTACATCATTACAGCATGTACAATAATTTTGATTACAAACATTTGCTTACTAATGTTTTTTTTTTGTTTTTGTTTTCATTCATAATTTCTTCTTTTTTTTTTTGTTTGTTTTTAATTTGAAGGCATATTCGTGTTGGTTTGTGTTCTGTTACATTTGTTTTGTTTGTATATATTAGGGGTATATCTGTTATTTCTGAACTTGACTGTGAATTTATTGCACTAATCCAATGACAACTGACAACTGACAACTGTTTACGTTGGCGGTGGCCCGTGAGGATAGGTTAGCATCGGCTCCAGGCTACGGGCGAACGTATTGGAGAACATGCAGGTGTAGTCCTCACCGTGGGGCACCAGTGTTGCCACACCTAAAAGCAGCAGCATGAGCGCCTGTATGGGCAGGGAGGCACGTGCAACGCGCCCGAGGAATCGAGCACCGCGCGCCAGAACCGTGGTATTGATGACATCGCCATCGGCAGCATCGCCATCGGGACTGTGGATGCAGCAGATATACATATAAATATTAGTAAGATGACCATCACTGGCTTAAGTTAATATACAAAGCATGCTACTGTTTACTTGATCTTGAGATCAAGTGCAACTACAGTTTGTACTTGTGCAAATATTTGCTTTGAAATTAAATGAAAAACAAAAAACTAAACTACGACGTTGAATTAAAAATTAAACAACTGTTCTATGAATATTTACTTTGCATTTTCTGTGTTTGGTGCGGCGGCCTGCATAGAAGAGGTTGATAATGTAGTATTATCCAAAAGCTAGATATGGCATAATATAAAAAAAAAGAAAGAATGGAAAAAATAATAAAATTAAAAAATCAAGTATTTGAATAATGTTAAAATAAAATTTTTATATTTTGTATTTGTCAATTTTGAATTAATCACGCACTATTCAAATAGTAGATAAAAGTATATTTTGTTTACAGCCAAATTAGTTCACTTACTTTGGTGCGCTCACAAAAAATCAAAATTGAACTTTTTATTGGGAGTTTCGGGACAAATTGTCGATTTTAATTGTGATAACTTTTGAATATCCAAGTTTGTTGCACTTACCTCACTTGACAACATGTGCAGCGGTACACCCAAATTGTCGCCCTCATAGCCGAGCACGGCGCCCAGCTTGACGATGTAGATGCCAGAGAGGCGGCGCAGGGATTGGAGACGTAGCCGGAGATCGGTCAATCTGGAAAGGGTTCTAGAATATTTAAAACATATGCTGGCGGCTTTAGGCGTTGTCAGTTTTGATGAAGTGTTAGAATGGGCGGACGAAAAAATTTTGGAGTACCAAAAAACATAAATCAAACATACGCAAAAAAAAAAAAAACAGCAAACACAAAAATATTTAAGCAAAAAAAATGTTGCAAAAAATAAATTGATAAAAAAAATAAGCAAACAAGATTTCTAGGCTAATAGAATGTTGTGTTCTGACTATTGTTGTATGGATAAAGCTACGTCGATAAAGTAAGGAATGGGAAGGTGTTGTATGCCAAAAGAAATATGCTCTTAGGAACATTTTTAGTATAATTTTGTTGTCATATATTTATGATAGATAAACACTTTAAAATTTTATGGTATGTGTAGAAAGGTCTGCTAGATAATAATTTATACAAAATTTAAACTAAATAAAAGAGCAAACAACAGAGAGTGCCGATTATACAAAACTTAAAGCAGTAGTCGCTCGGAAAATGGAACGCCTATTATAAATTAAATAGATTAAATTAAATACTATCACAATTACAATTGAGAATTCAATTTAAAATTTCTATTCACGAACGACCACTCTAATTAATTTAAGGAAAATAGTAACTACTAGAGGAAAAGTTTGTACGAAGAATGTAAAATATCAAATTTCTACTATCTACAAAAAATATTTGGAGACAATAAGACAGCTTTTACTAGATGCAAATACTTGACAACCAATCAATAACATATAATTGCCGCTCCACTAGCCCCTCACTGACATGGACTTCTAGATCTACCTAGGAAGCACAAGCGGCACCCAGGCATTTGTTTCGTTCCGCCCTCGGTACTGGCGCCAGCTACACTTACCTTTCATAGGTATGTTGAGACTGTTCCTCGGAGCCCTCGACGGAGCGCAGCAACTGATCGGCTGCGTCTTGTAGGCTGACGACACGCGGTTCACAGCGCTCCAGTTCGGCGCGGAGATCCTTGAACTTGTTGAATTTTGCCTCGAGCACACTGCGCTCCTCGGTGAGATCCACCGGTTCGGAGGCCTTGATATTCTTTTCGGTGCGCTGCAGCCAGTCAACGAGCTCATCGATTGTCTGATGGAACTCACTGTTGCCCATGAGCGCCGTCTGCAGCAGACCCTGCCATTTGGTGGCATTGATGCAAACATTGTTCCAACGCTCGTTATCAGCCTCGAGACGAGAACGCAATTGTCGCGCCTTCTCCGTGTCCAGGGTGTGCGTGGCTAGATGATCGCCGACGACATTCAACGACGAGATGATCGACTTGTGACTCTCCAGATCCAGCAAAAACTCGCGATGATCCTGAGTCACATCCTCCAACAACTCAATATTCGAGGGCGGCGCCGTTTGTGACTTCTGTGTACTCTCGGCGAACTGCAGCCACTGCTCCAGACGCCACAGATCATTGTCGATCTGCTGCCAGTTGCGTTGCGTGCAGAGCGGACACGTTAGCCGGCCGACCTCACTATAGACAGACAAAGTTCGATAATTAGAAAGTATACCATATAAAAATGCCAACTAGGAATGTAAACTTGCAAGGCTGTTGCATGTTGCTGACCGGTTAAAAGTCGAATCAGCATTGCCACAGGCAAGCTCCAAGTGTTTACTGTGCTCCGCCCTGGAGACTGGCGGCCAATAAAATCAAGAGCTGCCAGCTTTTGTTTGACGGACGAGCATACAGAACAATAAACAAAAGGAAGCTTGCCTGTGTTTTGTGGTTATTGTGGTTAGTGCACAGTTGGAATAATAGATAGTATGTCAATCTGTTTGGTTAACACTTACTGTATGCATGTGTATTTGTAGGCAGCAGGTAGCAGGCACCTGTTATGCAGAGCATCATGAATGCGCAGGTTCGGAAATGCGTGTGTGTGTGTGTGTTTGTGTGTAGAGAGGGTGTTGTCGAAGTGTGTGTGTGTGTGTGTGTGTAGAGCGTAGATGTGTAAGTGAGCGAGCAAGAGCGAGACATAAAGCAATAAAACATTTTGTTAGCCAATATAACCATATAAAATACCCACGCCCATAATAAAAACAAAACAGAAAACATGAAACTGGAAAATACTTGCAAACTAATAAACTCTTAAAGGATCTTCAAAAATAGTTCAATTATAAAACGCTTGGATTTTGGGGAACTGAGTCAAAATTCTGAAATGCAACTTTCGATTACTTACTTTTTATAGTTGAAAAAATACTTTTGAGATGGCTTGTAAATTACAACACTTTGTTTCAGACGTAATTCTAAATTCACAAAAAAATATGGGTTCTATTTTTCTACACAACAAAAAAAAAAACATTAAAATTAAAGAATTGTAAAATATATTTGCAAATGTGTTTATAAACAGAGGAAAATGAAAAATGACGCAATCAATTGGGTGATTAATATAAATTGTTTTTATAATTATGAACAAAAGAATTTGTAATTGACAAATCAGAAAAGTAATATGAATTGCTAATCTTCGCGAGAACCGTGTCCAGTTGAAAGGAAATCGCACAGCTATTTTAGTGATCTTGGCATGGATTCAACTCCTGAACAGGATATCTAAATAAATCTCTAATCTGGCTTAAACCGGTTAACATGAGCCAATAATATCTTCGAATAGAAGAAATATGGATAGCAAAGATATCGAGCTGCATCGTAAATAGTTTGCAAGTATTTGATTAGTACAAAGTAAAATCTACGTATACTAAATAAAATGGATGATTATTGCATTTTCAAGAACATACCTTGCATTTTGATCGTGCTGTTGACGCGCCTTCCACTGCGACTGCAGCGTATCGAAGCGCAGCGTCAGCTCTGACACGGTGTCCACCTGGGCAGCTTGACTGTCCGCCTGGCATTCGGAGAGCAGCAGATGGCTCAGATGCTTCACCAGCTCCGTGGAGGACTGCGCATTGCCAAGCAGCTTGGCAATCTTCTGGGGACCCGGCTTGCGTGTCTTGTCCGCAATGGTGCGCTGCAGTTCATCCAGATTGGTCTGGCACTCGGCAATCGCCGTCTGCAGTTCCATGATATACGCATCTTTGGCCGTTATGGACGTCTCCCGTTGGAGTTGCGCCTGTCGCAACTTGCGCTGCGATAGCGTATTCACCTGAACACTGGCATGCGTTTCATGTACAGGCATAGCAGCGCCAGCCATGGAGGCGGCACGTGCCAACCAGTTGGTCTTCAGAGTGACAAGATTTGTTTGCACCGTTTGCCACAGAGTTGTGTACTCCGTGATTAGTTTGAGCAGATGATTCAGCTGTGCCGGCTGCTCTTTGTTGCGCTGCTCGGCTTCCTTGCCCAAGGCATCAGCCTGCTGTATCTGCTGTTGAGTCTGCTGAAGCTTGCGTTCCAATCCCTCCAAGCGCTGCAGCACCGCCTTGGGTTCGGCCTGCTGATCCTCCGCAGAGGGCATCTGGTCTAACGCCGTTTGTATGCCCGTCAGCGATTTCGTCAGCTCCAGTTGGGATGTGTTGAACTCGCGCATCAGCTTGGCATCCTTGTCAATGGCATCGAGGAGCGCATGGAAGCGTGGTGCCAACAGACGCCACTTACTCAGCATCACCTTGGTGGGCATCGTTAACTTCTGGATGTTCTCTGGCTCCACACCCGGACTCATTGTTAGCCTGGCATATGTTTGCTCCAGTCGACGCAGATTCACCGACTCGGCATCGAGTTCGTCCAGCTTGGCACGCAATGCCTGCTGCCGCTCATCCTGTTTCTGTTTGTTGGCATATTTATCATCGCGCTCGAAGTTGGATAGTTGAGCTTCTTGCTTGGCTACCCAGGTCTTTTGCTCGGTTGTCAGCTTGATCAGTTCCTGCAGCAGATTCCATGTAGAGAGTATACGTGTCTTACGCTCCGCCGACTGGCTGCAAACGTTCTTCCAGCGCTGCTCCAGATTCTGGGCGGATGAGGCCAACCCAGTTGTGTTGACCTGTGTGCGCCAGCTATCAGCATCGTTGAGCAGCATCTCGACCAGGTTAAGCACCTCGCCCACATTGCTGCTGTGATGCTCGATGGATCGCTGGATTTGCTCATGCTCCTTGAGCTTCGCCTTGATCACATTTGGCGTGTAGTTCTCAAAGCTAAGCGGCTTGTCTAGCTGCGATTCCACCTCAAACAACCAGGCACGGATGAGAGCAATGCGCTCCTCCAAACGCAGCAGCGTCTGCTTCAGTTCGCCAATCTTTGTGGCCCGCTGCTTGCAGAGGAACTGCAAACGATTCCAACGATCGATCAAGGCGTCGCTTTGCTGCTGAACCTGGACGCGAACATCCTGCGCCTGCGGCGTGGCTTCACCATACAGAGTGAGCAGTTCACGGCTGGCGGAGAGCAGCCATTCCCGTTCCTTGTCGCGCAACTGAAGTTCACCATTAATTTGCTGTTCCAGCTGCTTGGCTGCCTGCTCCGGATTCGCCATTGCAGCGACATCGGCATCACGTTCGACACGCTCCTCCAATCCGCTCAGCCAGTGCGAGATGCGAGCATAACGGGTTTGATAGTTGGAAAGCAGGGCGAGACGTTCCTCGATGGCATTGATGGCCACGGTGAGCTGATAATCGAGATCGGCATGCTGCTGCCAGAGCAGGAAACTGCGCTGCCTGATGCCCTTCATGTCATGAGGACTGATGCACTCCTTCAGCTCCTCCTGGCTAACTGTGAGGCTCTCCAGCGCTGGCGTTTGAGCACTGAGTTGAACACGCTGTGCTCGCAGTGCGACCAAGCGCTGCTCGATCTCCGCCGGCGTTGATGAATCGCTGCAATTGCTGTTATCAAGCAGATCCTGTGTCTTGCCGAATTCATCCTGCAATTGCTGGATACGCTGCTCGTACGACTCGGACAGCTGCTTGATACGCTTCAGGAAGTTCTGCCATGTCTCGAGAGCGGCACGCAAATTGCTAATCCGTTGATTAATGCTGGCCTGTTCCATGCGCATCGCAGTGGCCAATGCATCATCGCAGTAGGGCAGCAGTTGTTGCTGTTGTGCCTTCAGAGCGGCGCTCTGTTGCTCTCCACGAGCCAGTTGAAGGAGTAGTGCGTCCATGCGTGCCTTTAGATGTGGCACACGCTTCAGATGAATGTAGCGCAGCTGGAGCGCATTGCGTTCCGCCTCCCGCTGACGCAGCCAGTCGAGCAGTGCCGCCAATTGTTGGCGATACGCATTCCAGCCACTCACCCGACGCTCCAGTTCATCGTTGCGCTGCATGATGCGCGACAGGGTCTCATTGTGCAGATTTGTAAGTGCCTTGTATTGCTCCGAGAGCTCCGATTCGAGTGGCGTCTCCGAGAGAACGCTCTGCTGCGAGATGAGCAGATTCTGATGGATGGCACAGAGCTGCTGCTGTTCGCGCAGGCTGCTGTAGTCCTCGGGTATGGCACAGGCGAGGAATGATTGCACATGCTGCAAATACTGACGCCACAGACGCAGTGCCTCCGAGCTGTTCTGGGTGCGAGCGAGCCGAGTGGACAGACGATGATACTCTTGGAACGTATCCTGGAATATCTTCTGCCACAGAGCCAGCACATCCAGAATGCTATCATCGGCAGCGACTGCTGCTCCACCCGCAGGTGATAGCTCATTGTTGTTTTGCTGGCGTTCACGCAACTGACGCAGTTGCTCCTCGGTGCGAGCCAAGGTCTGCAGATGAGCACGCAATGCGGCCAATTGTTCCTCGCTCTCTTTCGGCGTTTTCGGCTCGCCGCGCGCAATGTCCTAAACGAGAATAGAAACCGTTTCAGTTATTAACTGGAATATTGTGTTTGAATTTTGATATATGATGACAGGTTTGCAATGCTGCAACGTTTTGTGCATGGCTAATTGGCCTGACCCTAATAATCACAGCGCGGTCTCCACTTAAAACCAACTTTGCCACGGCTTCACAATAGGCGAATGGCAACAAAAAACGAAACAAGTGTTGGCAACAGCTGCAGTTTAAATCGACCTACTACGCGATGCTCTGCTTTTACTATCGTAATAACTTATTCTAATTGTAATTTGAGAAAACCGCACATATCTAGAATCTATTGATTTCTGTAGACCAAAGCGTCTCTAATAATTCAAGTCTTTAAACTGGCTGTGGCTTGTGGTCAGTGTTGGTAGAAATTCATTTATTAACAACCCACTAAACCGACGGCTATGTGTAAAATGTTAAGGAGAAAGGAAAAAAAGCGACTGTGTACTTTATATTCCATTGGGAGCAGAGTATAAATAAAAACGTTGCAACTCTTTCCGCCAACTGGCAATGACCTCATGCAAAACAACACATGCGCTCGTTGTTCAACTGTCTGGCCACACTTGCTGGGTGGCAAGGGAGGGTGGCAAGTTGGCGGAAACGAGACGCGACTGGTTAGCATATGAAAATTGGTGGCAAATAATGGCACAGTGGAGCCGTGCCGATGACCACAAAGCTTGTGGCTGATTAGAAAAAAAAATAAAAAATTAAAATATCAACTCCACAGCTTTTAAGTTGTTTGCGACTAATTAAGTTTTAATCGATGATTTGAAAGTCATTATATAAGAAAGGTATATCAGGGAAAATTTTTCGTTATATGGGGCAGGCTTCTTAAAAATTTATGTGATGAAGTAGTCAATAAAAATTAAATATGCCTTCACTTAAGCCAATCACTTATTCACGCCTGTCCACAATCAATAAAGACCATTGTAAAAATAAGCAACTGTGACTCTAACTCGTAGAAAGGCAACGAAAGTTTTTCAACTTTTAACCCACTTAAAATAGCATGTCCTTCATAATGTATTAACAACAAAAACAACTACAACAATTGCCGGCGCTGCTGTCCGCTTGTTTTAATTGTTGTTGCCGTTTATGTTGTTTTTGTCTTCATCGATAGCAGAGTGGGGATTTCCGTACGCCAACGCATATAAGACTACTAATGAGTATACTCTAATCGATAGATGTTCCATTGCCCGAATTGCGTTTAGTTTGTTCGGAGCACTCACCTGCTGCACGTTGTTGAAGTAAACCTTGGCCTGTGTCACCTCCTTGTCGAGCTCCTTACGCTCCTTATCCTGTGTCTCGGCCACATTCGCGAGCGTCGTAATCGCGTCCTTGCATTCAACCAATCGCTGACCCAGTGCATCCAATTCACCTTGCATCAGCGAGGATGCATCCAGACCCACATCGGCAGCTATTTTTGACACAATGTCGCGTAGCTCCAATAGACGATCGTTTTGTGCGCTGAGATTGTCTTGACAGACCTGGTATAAAATGAGAGAAAATAAATTATTTATAATAATGTGTTTGTTCTAAATCTAGCAAATGTTGAGAGGAAAACACAGCAGCCACAAAAGTGCTCTAAGAAATAATAACATATTTGAATAACATTATTTTACTTTATTACGTTGACTAAATTACTGCGTTATTCGTATTTTGGAAATTCTAATCTGTGAGTGACCATTGTCTCCCCTGATTATCCATATCATCCAGATGATGTCAGTATGTATGCAAAAGTCACTAGCAGTGTATATTTTTGGCTCGACGAAAGTACATTAAATGTGTTTAACTTAAGCCGGCCGGGTCATGTAGCCCTAATTACGAGAACAAATGCTGCTTATCAATTATTTCGACTCGATCCCGGTGCTATACTCAGTGCATTTTCTATTCGTAATTAGTGCGCTGGCCATGTGACAAGTGACGACGAGTGCACTTTCAATTTCAATTTAGAAAAAAAAAATGGGTCACCCGCAGCGCGCGGCCAGCCCTCGACGGGTGCTATTTATGTAGATCTGGCGGGTCTACGCACATTTAGAAATTTAAAGAGCACGCGTCCGGCCCTATATAAATGCCCTATGATATCATCTGTGAAATATTCAGCAATGCTTTGCCTTATCACCACAAAAAAAAGGGGGGCAAACAAACGATTTGGCGATGTGACATTGAAAATTCTACACTCAGCTCAGCATTAAGAAATTTTTGTGTATTTATCTTCAGCGTCGAAAATGCTCAGGCAATCTTTATACATAATTATGTGCATATGTATGTGCGTATATATATATAAATGGTATTCCTATAATTTCGTGTGTTTTCGACCCATACAGATAAAGCAGCTAAATAAACACAGAGCTTACGCTAGCCAGCGGGACAGGTTGATAAACTTCACCATGAGAAGTGACATTTGGGCTGTGCTACCTATGGAAACCGAAAATAATTACACTGCGTCGCTGCTTGGCTTCTATAATGACCCTAATGATCATTAAACATACATAAGCAACAAAACTATGTGTTAATATTTAAAGCAAATAAAACGAAAATCAAAAAACGAACTCTCGAACAATTTCTATCCGCCCGAATGTTCGACCGCCGCCTGGCTCTCTTTTGGTGTCAAACAAAATAATTTATGACACAAACAAGCCGTAGTAAATATGTACAGATATATGTATGTATATTCATATGTGCATACATCAAAGTTAGCTGCTTTCCATGAACTATTACCAGCGATTACATAGACGCGCCCAAAATTGATTGGGCCGAGCGGTACGGTGTGTAAAATCAATGTAATTACAGACAGACAGACTGACTGACTGACTGAGTGATTGAGTGACTGAGTAGCCCGGCAAGTGTAGTGCAATTAAACGTTGTTGGTTTCCTGTTTCTATTTTTTTCTATTGTTTTTGCCGCCAAAATCGTAACGGTCTAACTGACTAGCATTTACCACCCACACTGGCAATTACACATTAGAAGTGGTGGAAAAATATTCCATTCTTGGTTGCACTTACCTTGGCATGTTGCATGGCATCCAATGGCTGCTCCAAGGACTTGACGCTATCCATTTGCTGTTCAATACAACTCTTGACGGCAGCAGAGGCGCTACGGTATTTATCCCACAGTTCGACGGCTCGCTGGTAGCGTGTGCACAATTGTTGTAGATTTTCGGTGGTATCATTCCAGGCAACTACTGCATCCTGCACGGACGATTCAATTTGCTCCACAATTTGCACATCACAGCTCTCGATTAACGGTTTGGCAGCGCCCTTCAGATCATCCAATAGCTGCTCCCGACTGTGCAGATCGCCCGCAAGTCCCTGTGAGTGGCGACAGAGCAAAAGTGGCCGCAACGCAAAAAAAAAAAAACAACGAAAATTAGTAAAATTCTCGCACCGTTAATTTCCGAGCGACGCGAACGTTTCGATGCCAACTTCAACTGTTGGCAGCAAACAACTAAAGCGAAGCACAACGTGCAGCACGAAGAGAGCTTTTTCCGAGAGTGAGCTTTACTAAAGCGCTGCGCAGTGGTTGCTGTGCTTTCTGCTCTTTTAAATGAAATAACGACTCAATTAACATTTAGGCTAAACAGTTGTTGAATATTTGAATGTGCGCGCTTAACTGAACGCATTCGGAAAACGCAAGTGGTTTTTATGTAGCCGATTCCCGAGCAGATACACATAATTACTGATAAGAGCAGACCCACAATAATATGCATGTTCAGGCAGGCAGCAAGCGATTTGCCTGCCTGCTACCCGACTGCCTGCTATGAGCTAACTCAAAGTCATAAATCAAAATCAAGATACAACAGATATTTTCGTGGTATCCGTTTGCTACAAACAAATAGGTAGCCTTCTTTGCAAATTGTTTTCGATTCGTACACTTTTTTATGACTTTTAAAAATGCTTAAAAACTACATTTTTAGACCAGCGCTACTTTGTACTTTTATGTACAAGCAGCTAAAAAGTTGAAGCTCAAGATTTATTTGGTCAAGATATCTTGAAAAAAGAGAGCGTTGCTCATAAGAGAATTTTGTTTTAGACGAATCTGTCTTATGGTATCCATTGTTTATAATTTCCGTTTGGACGACAATGTAGCTTGTTAATAATAGGTGGAAAAAACTTACCTCCAATCTTTCGGTGGCCTTACGGAGGCGTTCGTAATCAACCTGGCCGTGAACACGTATGAGTTCCATCATAAAGTCTGTCTCCTGCACAGATCCATGCACGAGTTCCAGCTGGCGTTCATAGCGCAGCCAGAGTGCCAGACGATTGCGTAGTATGGCCATAATGTTGGTGCACTTGCTCTCGAGGAAGGCATGGTCATCCTGCAGCTGGGAGATGTCACGTTCCAGCTTCACCGGCGACACGGACATCTTGAGACGCATGGGCAGTGTGTGGAGCATCTGGCGAATGCGCATTATCTCTTGCCAGCTGCCCACGAGCTCCTCGCCAGCGCTTTGACAATCAGCGACGGCTTTCTCAATGACATCAGCTCCTTGGCGTTCGGCGGATTCGCATTCATCCAGTATAACTGAGATTTTGGCCTGATGCTTACGCTGATTGCTAATGCCTTCGTGTATGGCCTGCAGTTGATTTTTCAGCACGGAAGCAAACTCCAGCTCCTCGGCAATTTGTGTGGTGATCTTGTGCGAGAGTGCAAAGAGTTCGCCAACCTTTTCGGGCTCAATTGCCGGCTCCTGGAGGCCAATGCGGCCCAGTTCGTTGCCAATGAAACCGACTCGGGTGCGCAGCACCTGAACCCGTTCAATGTACAGACTGAGCTCCTCCTCATTCTTAATGACACCCTTCATGCTCGTCATTGTCAAATAGATCTCCTGTAGCTCTCGCTCCACCAGCTTGAGTTTCTCATCGGGGGCAATATCCTCCGAGGACAGGCAATCTACAATGTTGCGCTGTATTTGCTCAATTGCTTGGGCAACTGCCTGCCAGCGATCCTCGAGCTGGGCGTGGAACTGACGCTGCAGCATCTCATCGGCCAGTGGTATGACCTGCAGGGATTTCTCCAGGCTGTGGCCCGCATCGTTGCGAATGTTATTATGCAGCTCGAAACGTGCCTTAATCTCCCAGAATTGTCGCATATGCGGTATGGGTTCCTCTGTGGGTTGTGTGGGTATTTGAATCTGTCGCAGTTCCTGTTCTGCCTCGCGTACGAATGACTCCATTTTCTCTGTTTGCTGTTCGTACTGCACCCAGATCTCCTTGAAGACAAGTAGGCGATGCAAATATAATGCCACCTCCTCGCGGAGCTTGAGCAGCACAATCAGCGCATCGTTGGTTTCCTCGACCAGATTTGGAGCCTGCACCAGTTGTTGCAGTTTGTTGGCAATACCCGAGAGCTGCGTCATTTTTACATAATGATGGGAGATGTCATTGCTCAGGGATTGATAGAGCGTCGCATACTGATCATAGTCGGCGGAGGTAACTGCCGACAGATCGGGCACACGTTGCTGTGCCACTTGCAGCCACTGCAACTCATCGCGCATTCCCTTCTCCAGCACTGTCCAACGGGATGCAGCCTGCACAAGCTTTGACGATCGCTCGGATGCGCGCTCCAGTAGCTGGGTGGCGCGCTGGTAGAGCTCTTTGTGCAGTTCCGAGTGCTTTTCCCGGGTCTCGCTGTCAATGTTTTCCTCAAGCGACTCCAACATGGCACGACAGTGGCTCAGATTGACAAAGAACTTACGTTGCTTCTGCACCTCGTTGTTCAGCTGCTCCAGCGAACTGGATACAATCGGGCTCTCCATCATTTTGTCGGCTAGCACTGTGATGTTGGTGAACTCCTTAAGCGTCTGCTCGTACTCCTCGGCCAAAGATTGCAGCTGGAGAAGACGATCACGCTCGGCCTCAATGCTGTTGCCAATATTTTTGCTCGTCTCGTAGGCACTGTACACATCCTGTGGCATCTTCTTGCCCGGATAGTCGCGCTGGAAGAAGCGTGCACTCTGCATGAGCTGACCCAACTGCTGTTGGCTCAAGGTATGCTCTTTTTCCAGATCGTCAAGCAACGCCAGTTTTGCTGAGAGCGGATGCTCTTCGGTGATAGCCTGTTCGTAGCGCTGTTGCAGGAACTCCAGCATTGCGGTGACTTCCCTGTATTGCACCTCGAAATTAATCCACTTTTCCAGATCTTTGCTATCCTGTGCCTGATTCTGTTGTGTCACCTGTTCCACGGCGTCAACGTGCTCCTTGAGTGTGTCTACACATTGCAAAAGTCCAGCAGTTGGTTCGTCTACTTGAGAAAGTTGTCCCTCCAATTGGTTGACATTCTGTTTGATTGTGTGCAACTCATCATTCAGCTGATTGTAATTGTCCAGCTTCTGCTCGGAGGGGCCTTCGTTTGAGTTTTGTCGAATGAGATAGACGCGATACTCGATGGTTTCTAGCCACGTGGAGACCTTTTCAATGACTGTTATGACAGTGGTGTGTATAATCTTTCGATCTCCATTTTGTATGGCCTGATCCAAGGTCTGCAGTTCCTCATTGACTTCCTGCAGACGCTGCTCGCTGGGCACTTGTTTGATTTGCTCTGAAAGTGTGGCCAGATGCAGAACATCGCTCAAAGGAGTTTGCGTCAGCTGTGGAGTCGCCTGTTTCAGCTGTTGAATTCGACTGCCAATTGCCGCCTTGGTCTCTGCCCAACTCACTTGAGGTTGCGTTTCTTGTTTGCCTGGATAGAACTGCAGGCTGCTCTCGTTCATGATAAACGCTTGGGAGGAGTCCATCGGTGTTCTGTCGACGTTGCTGCTGGTCGTCGCTGTTAGCCAGATATTCTGCTCATTCAAATTATCGGGACCCGGCGTAATGGGCACCACCAGCTCTTCGGTGGGTGAAGCGACCTCCTCAATTGTTACCGAGGAAGTGGGTCCAGTAGTGCGTGGCTTTTGCGAGGCAACGCTAACCTTGTTTTGCTCGATTATGTGCACTGGCAGTTCGGGATACTCATCGTAGACGGTTGTCTTTGTGATTTGCAATGAGACACGCTGAGGCTTCTGTGGATCGACTTCAGTGGGTTCGGAGTCGACTGCTTGCGGCAGATGTGGTACCTCTTCGATTTGCTGATTGGTTGACAGTACAATGCCTGTTTCGGTTAGCAATTCCGGGGCAATTTCAACGGTTACACTGATTTGTTGCTGATCTGGTTCGTTAGTTGGCTGATCCTCAGATTTGCCCTTTTGTTTCTTCTTGTCCTTGCGGGTTCTCTTTTCGGGCTTGGGCAACTGCATGGTTTGCGTGTACTCATACAGTGTGGGCTCAACAACTGAAGTATCTGAATCAGCTGGTATGGCCACTGTGGTTCTCACCTCCAGCTCGTATGGCTCGGAAATCGACGTTGCAGTCAGTGAAGTGTCCTCTAGGGAGATCGGTTCACGCGGCGTCGTCTGGATAACCACATCGCTCATTTCGATTGGTTGACTCACTTCCGTTGGCTCTGGTGTTGTTGTTTGCATCTGTGTCTCTGTGGTTAAGGTCACTTCAGTGGTTGTAGATTGCTCAGTTGTCGGTGTAGGCAAATCGATGGTCATGTCTTTAACCAACTCTTGAACAAGTGGTTGCACCACATGATCGCTACTTGATTCGGCCTGCCGTGGTGATTCTTTGGGAGTTGTTTGCAGCTCCTTTTCTGTGGTTGTCGTCACAACGGTTTGGCTAGATATCTCCACTGTTTCCCGTGGCTGGCCACTCACATCAGTTTGTATTTCAGTGCTGGACGTGGCAATGGGCTCAAGCTTCTCTTCGGCACGTGGCGTTGTTTGCGCTTCGGATTCCGTTATTTCTATAACTAAAGTCTGCGACTCATTCTCCTGGTTATTCGGTTGCAAATCAAGGCTCGTTTGCACTGCAATCTCATCGAGTTGTGGCTTGTGTTCCGGTGAAGTTTGAATAGATTTTATATCCTGTTCAACCTCAATAGCAGCTGTTGGTGTAGGCGCACGCGGCGTCGTCTGCTGCTCCACATCTTCAAGTGCAGCCAGCTCTACAACCTCAGTGGGTATGACTATTTCCGTGATCGGATCACGTGACAGCTCTGTGGGGGAGGGAACAACAGAATCTTCAACCACCTTAACAGTTGTGTCAATATCCATGCTGGATAGGTCACTCTCTGTGCTTATTTCCACAATTGATTCATGGCAAACCTTGCCCTCGGATTCAATGCTGGTGGTGTCATCGCGAGGCGAATTGTCAGATGAAATGGGCACATGCGACTCCTCCTCCTGAGACTTTTCCTTTTGCTTCTTCTTCTTGCGGCGCTTCTTCTTTGAATCAGCTGAGTCGTCATCATCGGCAACCGTCTTTTCCTCTGCTTCGTAGCCAGTTTCATGTACGGACTCCGGTTCGATGTCGGAAACGGCAACCGGAGTGGGCACTGGCTCGGGTTCTGGTTGTGATTCTGGTTCTGGTGCTGGTGCTGGTGCTGGTGCTAGTTCTGGTTTTACTTGCTCCTCATCTCTTCTCTTCTTTTTCTTTCGACTTCGCTTCGTGCTCGCATCATCGTCGTGCTCCAGAGGTGCCGTTACAGTCTCCACAATAGTCATGGTAACCTTGGCGGGCAGTTTAGCAATAGACTCATCGATATCTGGTGTTGAACCCATAGCAACCTTCAGAACGCCAACACCAGGGGCTTCCACTGATGGTGCCGTCATCTGGTAGGCTTTCGAGGAGCCGGACTCCTCAGTAATGAAGAGTTGTGAGGCAACGCGTAGATCCTTTTGAGGCATATCCAACTTTTTCTCTTCTGTAGCAGGTTGCTCTGGTAGTGCTTGTGCAACAGCCTGTGGTTGTGGTAGTTGTGCTGTCTCTTCTGTTGTTGGTTGTAAAGGTGCTTTGGATGGCTTAGGCTTCTCAATGGGTAAGGCATGTGCTTGTTCAGCTCTCAGGAAGCTTTCTATATCAGTCTTTGGTTTGGCAACTGCTGTCGTTGGCTGTTCTGGCGACTCTGGTTGTGCTTCAGTCTCTTGTGGTACCAGCTCTGTCTCTGATTTGATGCTACTAGCTGCTGTTGATGCCGGCTCAAATTCATAAGACTCTAGTGAGATTGAGTTGCCAGTTTCAGGACTAGTTGGCCAAATGGTTTCAACGGGCATTGACGTCTCTGTGGCGCTTGCAGCTGGTAATGCCAGCTCCTCGACGTGCTGAGAGAATTCAATTTTTGTTGGTTGCAGATGATGTTCCAATGGCCAAATTTCGTCAATGTCTTGCACCACTGGCTCAGTTACTGTTGTTATTGCTGTTGTTGTTGTTGGTGCGATTTCTTGAGAGGTTGTTGTTGTCGTTGTTGTTGTTGTTTTTGTTGTCTTCGTTACTTCCGCTGCTGTAACATGAACGGGACTGGTAGTAGCAAAAACTACGGTTTCTTCAATGTCTACTTGAGGTGCTGGCAATTCTACTGGTGCTTCTTTGATCGTTTCTGTTGTACTTGCAGTTGTTGGTGGTGTCTGTTTATCGGGTTGATCTTGTTGTTGTTGTGGTGTGGTTGTTGTTGTGTTGGAGATGTTGATAGACTCAATATCAAATACCTGTTGCTGCGGTTCTTCTGTCGGCTGTGACAGATCCGTGGCAACTTCTTCGATGACAACGCCCGGCTGCTGCATCATGCGTTGGAATTCCTCCTCGCTCACCACATTTCCATTCACCGTGCGCACAATGTTAACATTGATATGCGGCATCGTTTCCTCCTCCATCATCTCAATCTCGTCGGGCTCCTCAACAATTTCCTCAGTTACATGCTCCTTGCCGTCAATGATGACGATACGTTTGATGATCTTGCGACTCTTCCGGATAACCTTACGGGTAACCTGTTGCACCACAGTGTGTATACTGCTACCGTGAGATTGCATTGTGGATTCACCGGCCTCTGCACGGAATGGCTGCAATTTACCCTCTTCATCGGGACTCATCAGCTGCTCAAATTGCTCGATTATCGGCTCCGTCTCGAACTCGCTAACGGTCACAGTCTCTGGCTTGGAGCCATCCAATATGGTTCCACGAGTTTGCTGGGTCACCACAGTTTGGTATTTATTTTCCTGTGGATCAGCAGTTGTGTCCGTCGTGTGTACATTCTCCAGATTTATCTGACCAGTGGACTTGACTTCAATGTTCCCATCAGAATCGCTGGCGGTCTCAATGGAGCTTACCTGTTGCTGCTGCACGATTTGCTGGCGAGTGCGAGTTACCTTCTTTAGGACAATGTGCTTGGTGCCATCGGGACCAACCACCACCTCAGTTGTGGTTTCGTCGGGTTCGACAAATGTTGTTTCAAATGCCTGTGGCACATTCTTCAGTATTAGCTCGGTGGCACGTTCCACATCGCCTTTGGGTTGTTGATGATAGCGTGCCTCGACTTGCACATCCTCAGGTTGTCCATGTATATCTTTCTCGTTCAGCGTAGTATCAATCTGAATGGTTTCCTGACCATGCTGAAGCGTTTGTGTGACCATTATGTTTTCTGTCGGTGCACGCTCCTTAATTGTTTGCAGTGCCACTTCCGCAGTTTCGATGATCGCAGCAGGTTGTGGTTCCTGGAAACTGGTCTGAGCCTCAACGTTGCTTGTGGTGACTTGCGGTTGTGGCTGTTGTTGGGGTTGCTCTAAGCTGAACGAAGTCTGTGTCTCCACATAGATCCCCGTTGGTTTGATCTCCTCCTCGGGCATAGAGCTGGAGTCAATTGTGTTTTCATTGGACTCGATGGATTCAGGCGATGCACTGGCCATAACTGGTGGCTGAATTTGTGCATCTGCTAGAATGCGCTGGCGCTGAGCATCATCACTCTTCGCCTTGCGCAGCTCAACAATGCGCTTCTCAATGGTAAAGATGCGTGTGGTAGCAACGGTAATCTGTTCGCGCAATATGATTATAATGCTCTGTAACTGCTCCATAAGGGTGTCGGCCAATGGTGAAACATCTGGTTGTGATTGCAGTTGTCGTGTGTGCTCGACCAAATCATCCATAGACTGCTGTCGCTCCTTGAGAGTGCGCAGCAATTGCTGACTGCGTTCCACCTGTGACTTTAGCACCTGTTCATCGGTACTGCTGTCTGTTGTGGGCTCAAACGAGGCCAATTCGGCGGTTACCTCATTGATCCAACGTTCAAGCTCTAACAAGTGCTGCTGATACTCATCGATTTCTTGCTCACGCTTCTTCTGGCCATGCATTGCGTTCTAAAAAAAGCAAATGATTAATCTTAAAATTATTATTATGATTTATTCTACGTACAGCTATCATGGTGATGCCTTGCTGAGTACGTCTCAATAGTAAATCAATACGGTCTGTTGTCTCGTTGAGCAAACGCTCTGTGGCTGGATCTGTGGGCAGTGCCTTTGCTTGATCCTTGAGGTGCTGTGCGTCCTTCTCATGTACTTCCAGATTGCTTTGGATTAGCTACGCATGAGGCATCAAAATAACTCATTTAATAAATGTTTTCATAACAGACAAAAATAAACACAATATTTAAATATAGACCTATACATGTAAATAGTCAGACAATAGATGTCTCGACTACTATAAATAAAAAAAAAAAATATGTATAATTATACATCAAAATATTGGGACATACTAACGAAAGAGTATTCTAATAAGATTCTTCTATCTGTAATATTGAAATGTACGATTGCTTATGGAGTGATGCGATTGTGTTATTTTAATTGTGTGACACACGCCAGCATCCATTAATCGTTTCTTATTTGCAAAATACAAAAGCTACGACTATTTACAGTGTCAGTACTACAAAAACATAGTAATATTATAAGGTTGCCAAAGGTTAACGTGCTTGGTAAGGCATCCAAAACAATTGGTTGTTAGAGAGCTTAAGTTATGTAATATAATATTACCTTCAGTCCCTGAAGCATGCCCTCCAAGCTGCTGTAGTTCATATTTCCAATGCCATCCTCGACTGTTGACAGCGATTGTAGCAGTTCGTCGAGTTCTTGTGTGATTAGATCCTATGATTTTTGCATTGTGTCGCATGTGTGCAATGTGATTTTTTTTTGGTTTTTGTGGGGAACATTAATAAACATGTTAATAATAAGGAACATTGCTTAATTTTGCATAAATAAGTCAATAAGATATAACATTGTAAATATTTGTTGCCGGCTTCTATACACACACAACATATTTACATGAAACAAAGTGTATAACATTTTGGAATGGATGCAAGGCACAGCCATACGTTAGTATCGGCAATGCATAGGCCTTTAAATGCATATTCATAAAAGTAGTAAGTAGCTTAAATATAACTGCATTTATCGTAACGCATGCGTAAATAGCATATAAATCTTATATTTAATGGACGGCATATTATGAGAATGGCGGAAAGGACAGCGGATAGACAAAAGCACCAAATGCGAAAAATTCGAAAAAAAAAAATAAGCCTTTCATTTAAAATTGGTTTAAGAATTATATCGTTTGGATAAATGTATATAAAATATATATATATAAAATATATATATATATATTCTTAATTAAGTATAACTGTAACTCTAATTAGAATGCAGAAAATGAATTAACAAAAAATGTAGCCGAATAAGTCCGGCTAGAAGATTTCCAGTACATAAGTATGAGATATATACAAAGATTTAGGTATTCAAATATGTATTTACATACTTATGTATTCATATGCAGCAGCGCTGCACTTTTCTTACTACTGATAGAAGATTCTTTCGTCGCCATTAAATATCAAAGATAAAAAGAGAAAATTAGATAGATGAATTCAAAGGCATTGCCAAAATATCGATTTTCGGAGGAGAGCAAGTGAAAAATTTTGAATTAACTTGATCCTAGGTATTGGCACATCACAATCAGACAGAATAATTAGCAAATAATTAAATATATATGTGTACATACTTTATGGTACCGGGGATGTCATCTTTTTTGCCTAAAAACTTACTTATGGATAGCAGGGTAAAAAATAATATGTAAATTTTGTAAGCTGATGGATTTGTGATAGTTTTGCACTAGCACATCTTCAGGGCTCTCCAATGCAATAAGTAATCTCAAGTATTTGATTTGAAATAGAAAACAATTTAAAATGCGTACTTTTCGCGTTGAAGTCGCGATCTACACTAAAAAATTGAATGCAAGACTAGCACTTTACCACTGACTGACTGCCGCACTGAGATATTTTTGAGTAAGTAATTCGGGCTGCAATGCGTGGATCTCTAAATGTATATATGCACCAGACGCTGCGCTTTATTTATAGCAAAAACTAAGCACAGCAAAATGCCGCAAAAAAAGTATATATATATGTAAATGCTTAACATTTGGCGAGGGCTGTAGGGCGGCAGAGAAGGCAATGAACTCATAAGTATACATGTGTGGTACATTAAAATGGGCATATTTTGCTTGAAAAACTGTGTGTATGTTGGGTGCACACTTTTGGGCAGCACTGTGTGCAAATTTGCGTCTGTGTTTGTGAGTGTGCAATTCAGCGAGTGCTGCCTATACGATACGAAAATAATACTGTGCAAATATTTAAAATAGATTTCAATGTATTAAAACGTGCATGTTGGTTAATATATATTTTATTTTGTTATGTTTGACTTTTAGTACGTATTTAAGAACTACTAGATATTAGTAGTAGTACTGGGTATTACAAAGGTTAAGATCAATTAGTAAGGAACATTTGGCAATGGAATCAAACAACTAGTATCATGTTTTAATTCTAAGTAGATAGAACGTGTGTATATAAAATCATAATATTACGATTACTCTTATATGTATATATCTATATATATATATATATATGGATGCTTTTAGCAAAACAACATATACAATTCAAATGTTATAAAAATGAAAAAGCTTAATAAAATATAAATGAAAATCAAAAGGAAAATTAAAAACATAATAAGATATAAGATTTAACAATTGTGTTACGTTAGTATATAAGTAATATAATTAATTGATATTGTCTGGGCGCCAGCCACATACCACAACACAGAGCGGAAACCCGTGGGCGACCTTATTGTAGGCCATTGCCAGGGTGCGTTTCTGTTGCTGGTGGCAGCAAAGTGCAGCTTGTAGTGGCAGCGCCGCAACAACAACAAGAAGAGCATTTGCCGTATAAAAGCCATGAACAAATACCAAAACCACACAAAAAAGCTGCAAATATTAGAATTATGAACAAACGAAGGCTCAATGTGATGTTCACCTTCTGGCGTTGTTGTTGCAGTTGTAGTTGCAAATCATTGCTAGTTGTTGTTGTTGTTGTTGTCGTTGTGCTGCCGCTAGGTGTTGCTGCATCTGCCGTTTCACTGGTTGTTGTTGTCGTTACGGTTGTAGTTGTAACTACTGTGCGCTTCACAATATTTGTGTTTTCAATTTCAGGAGCAGCCCGTACGGGCAGCTGCTGCTCATCGGAAACGCTGCTTGATGTCGTCGTTGTCTTTGTAGAATCAATTATCTCTTCGGCAACTGTTGTTGGCGTCTCGACAGCAGCTGCTGTCAACGCTTGTGGCTGCGGCTGCTGCTCTGGCTGGGCTGCTATCTCCACTGGTGGTGTTGTCGGTGTTGTTGTGGTTGCCGTAAACTTATTAATTACGGCTGCTGCAACTGGCAGAATCGCACTTGTCGCTGCCAGTTTTGTCGTTAGTGCTGCCGATGCTGCCGCATTGGCAGCAGCTGACAGATTGTGAGTTGTGGCGCTCGCCAATTGGATTAGTGCATTTGCAACATTAGCTGAGGTTGTAGCAGTGGGTAGGGGACTTGTTTCAGGAGTTGGGGTCGTGTTGTTTAGCTCAACTGGCACAGAGGGTGCCAACTCAATGGTTTTAGTTTCGGTTAGAACATCCTTACTCTCTACGGTTGGTGCCAATTCAACTTTAACCTGAGGTTCGGCTTCTAAAGCCAAGTAAGTACTTTGGTCCCGCCAATGACCGACGCCGCCGGGCAGATCGGTGGACATATACTCTGATGAGCAGCTGCGATTCTGTTCGTACTGGGATGAATCGTTTTCGGGTGTGGGTGTTGCATTGCCACTGCTACCACTACCAGGATCGCGGTCGTTCGATTTGTCGTCATCGTCATGCGGCTTACGATTATCAGGCACAGTCAGTTTATCTCCGTCATCATCGTCATCGTCATCGTCGTCATCGTCAGTGTCGTCGTCATCTTTTTTGTCTGGTTTGGTGATAACATCATCGGGTTTCTTGTCTTTGTCAAGTTTTGTATCGGCGCTTGCTACATCATCCCGTTTCAGTGTGTCGACAGTGTGTTCGAATAAATCGGCATCGGTGCTTGGCTTTGGCCAGTGATCCGAGTACAGATTTAGTCGCAACTGATCGAGGGTGCTGATGGGTGCTGTTGCAGTCACTTCAACGGTAGGAATGCTTTCATTTGACGATGTCTCTGTTTCAGTCTTATCTACAACGTGATCTGTTATCAATTTGCTTGATTCAGTAATCGTCGTCGTTTTCACTACAGTTTCAGTAATGATGTCAGTCTTATGCTTATCGTCCTGGGTTTCCTGAGTTTTCTCTGTATCCGTATTAGTCGAGTCTGTGGTCGTAGTGATAAATAGACCGTAGGGATCAGCTGCAGTTTGCCCGTGGTGAATAATTAACTTCTTGAAGTTGTCTTCACTAAGATGCCAGAGTAAGTTACTTGGTTTGCTGGCCTCTGGGGCTAACAATACCGGCAAGGATATTGGCTCAATGGCTGAAATTTCGGGGGACGCAATTGGCTCCGAAACCTTCTCCACAGGTATTATTTTCTCAATTATTACATCCTCAACTATTTCAACTGTCGGTTCGATTAGCTTGTTGTCTGAAACTATTTCCTTAACTGTTGTTTGTGGCTTATCCACAGTTATGACTTTTTCGACTATGATGTCTGTTTCTACTTCGGGTTCAAGGGATTTTTCTGTTTTCAACAAATGCAACTGACTAATGGAATTATTTGGTACGGGACGCAAGAGCGAATCCTTATCAAGGTACAAATTGTAAGCAAGAATCTCTGAATTAAGTTCGGGCAATGCTTCGGGTTCAATTATCACATAATCATCTATTAATATTTCATTCTTCGCCGATTCAGGAATATCGGCAGCCATAATTGGCTGCTCAATTTCCGCACTCGGTTCTGATTTTAATAGTTGGTATTGAGCCTCCATTTTTTCGTACGTAGGATGTAATTGATTTGAGTCAAGGTGTAGATTTTTCATGAGTATTTCCAAGCTGCTTGTAGCAGCTGGCTCTCTTGGCTTAATGGTTGTTTCTTTAAGTTCAGGGGTTATTGCCATCTCGTTGGAGTGAGTTGTCACCACTGTTGATACGAATGAAGCTGGTTGTTCTTCAATTATATCCTCAGTTGTATTAACATCTTTGTGAGTGGTCACTGTTGTGGTAACATAGGTTGTTGTGGTTGTTGTTGTTTCTTGGTTTTCGAGATCTGTTTGTTGTTTGGGATCTTGGAAATCTGTTGTTTTGCTTACAACAACCGTAGACCATGCTGGCGAAGTAGGCTCCTCTTCCTTAGAATCTGGAGATGGGAATACTTTTGTTTCAGTTTGAACTATAGCCGACCAAGTTGTTGGTTGATCAGTTGGTGATTGTACTGCAACTTCGGGAAGAATATTATCTGTTGGTATATCAACAGTAATTGGGATATCCCTTTTAGTTACGATTTGAATGGGCTCTTCGATTTCTTCTGCTGTCATTTTTACATTTGGTTTCAATGTGGCAGACCAATAGGATGTCTCACATATAAATGGATCAGCATCCGATGTGGTTTGGGAATCAGTAGCTGAGATATTGGGCTCTTCAGTAATTTTGAATGGAGCCAAGGGTGTCGGTTCGATATTAGGCTCAACTCTTTCAGTTGAAACAATTGAGATTGTCTCAGTCTGAGGAGTTTCTGTACGTTCAACAATTTTCGAAACTGTTTTAATTGTTTCTTCAATCAGTGGCTTTGTCGTGGGTTCTTCAGCTGTTTTGAAAGGTTCCAATGGTGTTTGCTCGATATTGGACTCCACTATTTCAGTTGAAACGAAAGTGATTGATTCAGTCTTTGGAGTTTCTGCAGGTTCCACGGATTCAACAATCTTCGAAACGGATTCAATTGTTAGTTCTGTCTCGGGTTCTTCAGTAGTTTTGAATGGAGCCAAAGGTGTCTGCTCGACATTAGGCTTAAGTGTTTCAGTTGAAACAATTGAGATTGTCTCAGTCTGAGGAGTTTCTGTACGTTCAACAATTTTCGAAACTGTTTTAATTGTTTCTTCAATTAGGGCCTTTGTCTTGGGTTCTTCAGCTGTTTTGAAAGGTGCCGATGGTGTCTGCTCGATATTGGACTCCACTATTTCAGTTGAAACGAAAGTGATTGATTTAGTCTTTGGAGTTTCTGCAGGTTCCACGGATTCAACAATCTTCGAAACGGATTCAATTGTTAGTTCTGTCTCGGGTTCTTCAGTAGTTTTGAATGGAGCCAAGGGTGTCTGTTCGATATAAGGCTCAACTGTTTCAGTTGAAACCACAGAGATTGACTCTGTCTTAGGAGTTTTTGTAGGTTCAATGGATTCAACAACTTCCGAAACGGTTTCACTTGTTTTCTCAATTAGTGGTTTTGCCTTGTATTCTTCAATAGTTTTGAATGGAGCCAATGGTGTCTGCTCGATGTGAGGCTCATCTGTTTTGATTGAAACAATAGGGATCGCCTCAGACTTATTAGGAGTTTCTGAAGATTCAACGGATTCAACAATTTCCGAAACGATTTGAATTGCTTTCTCAATATGCGTCTTTGCCTTGGGTTGGACAGTATTTCCGAATGGAGCCAAAGGAGTTTGCTCAACCGAGAGAACTGTTTCTTTTGGTGTTGGAGAAACTATATGCTCGACTAATGGCACTGGCTTATCAGATATGCTTTCTGGAGTAGGTTCCGAAATATGAATTTGTTCATGCTTCTGCTCTAATTGGGTTGGCTTTTGAGAACTTTCCTTTTCAGCATTGATAAAATCTAGAAGATCAGAAGAGGCAGGTTTCTTTTTCGATTTCTGCTTTGATTTCTTAGTCTTTGGTTCCGTATCCAATGTAATTGGTATAATAACCTTGTTGTCTATAGTCGGCTTTCTTACTTTTTCTAAAGTAATTTCCTTAGTTTCAATTTGAAGAGGTCGTATTTGTTGAGCAGGTTCAGGAACATTGTGTGCAGCGATTGCCGCCCATGACATGCCAGAGGTAGATGGAATTGGAGCGGAAATAGTTTGGCTATTGTCTTTCTCAACCGGAGACGATGGAGTATTGTCAATCTTAGCGGGAGTATTGTCAATTTTAGCCGGAGTATTGTCAATCTTAGCCGGTTCTATTGGAAAAGAAGGTTCATCAAATGTTTTGATAGGTTTCATTTGATTGTTTTCTTTTGGTTTCTTCGACCTCTTCTTTTGTGGTTTTTCTGTCACATTGGAATTCTGGGATTGTTGTGAACGTGATCTCGAACGATTTCTCTTCTTTGAGATTATTTCCAGGAAACCATGCTCCTCCTGTGGATTCGGTTGTTCTTCTGATTTAGTAACTTCGGTGACTTGTATAAGTGGTCGGCTGATTGTACGAGATTGTCGTTCAACTATTGATTCTGTTGTATCCATTGGCTGGGAATTCGAAGCTTGTGTAACAGACGACCATGATGGTATATCCGTATCCACTTCTTCATCCATGATTTCCTTCCAAGACAGTGATGATAACTTTTCATTAGGCTCAACGGGTTCATTGTCAATTCTATGAACGGACGAAGGTAAAATAGGATCTGGGAATTCTTCGACGAACACAGTCGATGAACTTTGTGGTCGTTCTACGACTAAATTTGGTGTGTCTTGTCGATCATTTTCAATGTATTCAATGCTTTGAGGGGCAGATTCAGTGTCTTTATAGCGGATATTTGTGTTGTCTGCAAAACCTGATTTTCTAACAACTTCAGCGTAAGTCTCAGAATGGGACCATACCGACGGTATTGGTTTCGGCAATTGAATATTGAAGTCAGAGCGCACTATTTCACTTGTGTTACCATGTTCAACCGGCTCTGGTTCCATTTTGTGCTTTTCCTCATGAATAACAAAGCTATCTTCAATGGGTTGTTTTGGTGCTGGCTCCACTTTGACGGACTTCCTTTCTTTTCTAGATCTTTGCTTCTTGGTATTGTCATCGACAGTCGTTGTAAACTTCTGCTCATGATGAATGAAGTCCGGGACGATATCATCACATACTGCATCAATTACTTCCGAAACCATCTCTGACCAATCCGAAGTGTGAGATGGCATTTCATCAATAAGTACAGTAGGTTCAGCTTTCTCATACTCTGTTGACACAACGACAGTGTCAGAAATCGGCTTAGATATTGTTTCTGTCTTGGGTGATTTTTTCTCTTTTCTTGGTTTCGCGGTCTTTTCTGGTATTTCGGGCACATCTACGGATTTTTGTTGTTCCTGAATAATGAATTCCTGTGAGCTTACTGAAGGTACTTCAATAGTTTGCGAAACTATTGATGACCAAGATTGTGTTTTTGGAGCTTCGTCCAATACAACAATGGGTTCCGATTTTCTTTCAATTTTGTGTGTTTCAGTTCTATCAATAATATCGGAAACATGGTCAACCTGGGAGACCAACTTCTCTTTTTTGGGCTTTTTCTTCTTGGCTTTCTCGTTGACAGGAATGGAAATGTTCTCTTCTTTGTGTATTGGCTCTTCTACTTCAGGACTGGATGTCACTACATCAGGTACTATTTCAGTATGATGGGTTTCGGTTGTTATTGTTTGTGAAACAATTGAAGACCATGACTGTTTTGGAGATGGCGTGTCCAATGTTTTATCGATAGCTTCCGGTTCCTTGACAAAAGTCGGCTCCACAACAACAGGTTTAGATTCAGGTTCTTCCCGAGGTGACTTCTTTTCCTTCTTTTGCTTTTGTTTCCTTGGTTTGTCATTGCTAGCAGTAGAGAAGTTCTGCTCCTGTTGAATAAAGGACTGAATGGCATTTGCGGGAACTGGTTCAGTTATTATTTCAGTTTGAACAATTTCTTCAATTTCTGGCGAAACCTCAGAAGTTTGAGAAACAGTTGTCGACCACGATTGAGGGCAGGTTCCACTATCTTCTATACTTTCTGCGGATTTCGGCTCGTCAACAACTATTGCTTTTTCAACAATTGGTTCTGCCTGATGTTCATCATGTAGAATTTTCTTGTCCTTCTTCGACTTTTGTTTCTTGGGTTTTTCATTGTCAGGAATCAATGCGATCTTCTCTTTGGGAATAATTTCATGAACGACAGAGGAAACAGTTTCAGGAATGATTTCAGTACGCTGAGATGAGGTTGTTGTTGTTTGTGAAACAATTGAAGACCACGACTGAGTTTGAGACGGCGTATCTACTACAATCTCGAAAGATTCTGGTTCTTTCTTCAGTTCTTTGACTACGGTAGTTTCCACAACAATTGATTCAGTATCTGGTTCCGGCTGAGCCAATTTCTTTTCCTTTTTGATCTTTTCTTTCTTTGGCTTGTCATTCACTACGGTTGAGAAGTTCTGTTCTTTCTGAATAAAGTCTTGTATGTCATGGGAAGAGGGAATTTGATCAGGTAGTACCTCAATTCGTTCAGTTGCAGTTTCGACTATTACTGGAGTCACATCAATAGTTTGGGAGACAATTGATGACCACGATTGTGTTGAAGATTGAGTTTCTTCAAGATTTTTAGATGGTTTCGGTTCAATTGCCTCTTTCGTCTCTTCAACAACAATCGTTTCTTCTACAACTGGTTCAGTGTGAGGTTCAACTTGAGGCAGTTTCCTTTCCTTCTTCGACTTTTGCTTCTTCGGTTTATCTTTGACGGGAATGGAAATACTCTCCTCTTTGAGTATGGGCTCTTGCACATCTGGAGTAAATGTCACTATATCAGGTACCACTTCAGTATGATGGGTTTCGGTTGTTATTGTTTGTGAAACAATTGAAGACCATGACTGTGTTTGAGATGGCGTATCTACTATACTATCGATGGGTTCCGGCTCCATTTCTTTCTCCAGCTCCTTGACAAAGGCAGGTTCCACAATGACAGGTTTTGTGTCTGGTTCTGTCGGAGGTGACTTCTTGTCCTTCTTTTGCTTTTGTTTCCTTTGGTTATCATTGGTAACAGTAGAGAAGTTCTGCTCCTGCTGAATGAACGCCTGAATGTCATGTGTCAGAGGGTCTGTCACAATTTCAGGTCGAACAGTTTCCAAAATTGGTGGAGAAGCTTCAGTAGTTTGCGCAACAATTGTAGACCATGATTGAGGTACGGTTTCATTATCTTCTACACTTTCTATGGATTTTGGTTCGGTTACTTCTTTCACTTCTTGTACTACAATAGTTTTTTCTACAATCGGATTTTGCTGATCTTCAACCTGAAGCTTTTTCTTTTCCTTCTTTGACTTGTGTTTCTTGGGTTTATCATGAACAGGAACCAACGTGTCCTGTTTGGGAATAAAGTCAGGAACGTCAGGTGTATGTGGAGCAATTTCTGGAATTAATTCAGTACGTTGAGATACGGTTGTTATTGTTTGTGAAACAATTGAAGACCACGACTGAGTTTGAGACGGCGTTTCTACTACAAATTCGGATGGTTCCGGTTCTTTCTCCTTCTCCACTTCTTTAACTACGGTGGTTTCCACAACAATTGGTTCAGCATCATGTTCTTTCTGTGGTAGTTTCTTATCCTTTTTGGCCTTTTGCTTCTTAGGCTTGTCGTTCACCACAGTGGAGAAGTTCTGTTCTTTCTGAATAAAGTCTTGGATGTCATGGGAAGAGGGAATTGGGTCAGGTAGTTCCTCAATTCGTTCAGTTTGAGTTTCGACTATTACTGGAGATACATCAATAGTTTTGGAGACAATTGATGACCACGATTGTGTTGAAGATTGAGTTTCTTCAACATTCTTATCTGGTTTCGGTTCAATTATATCTCTTGTTTCTTCAACAACAATGGTTTTTTCCACAACTGGTTTTTTGTGAGGTTCAACCTGGGACAGTTTCTTTTCCTTTTTCGACTTATGTTTCTTGGGTTTATCGTTGTCTGGAATCAACGTGACTTCTTTGGGAATAGTGTCTGACGCAGGCGAAATAATTTCGGGAATTATTTCGGGATGGTGTGTTTCGGTTGCTACTGTTTGTGAAACTATGGAAGACCACGATTGAGTTTGAGATGGCAATTCTACTTCAATTTCCAATAGTTCAGGCTCTCTTTCTTTCTCCACATCTTTGACAAGGGCAGTTTCTACAGGCTCTGCCTTATGTGACTTCTTTTCCTTTTTAGGCTTTTGTTTCTTAATTTTATCATTTACAACTGTTGAGAAGTTCTGCTCCTTGTGAAGGGAGTCCTCTATGCCATGGGAAGCGGGAACAGGTTCAACTAATATTTCAACTCGTTCAGTTTCGGCGGTTGCTGGAGAAATCGTGACAGTTTGGGAAACAATTGATGACCACGATTGAGTTGGGGATTCAGTTTCAAGAATATTTTCAACGGATTTTGGCTCGTCAACTACTTCTGGCTCTACAACAACAATTGGTTCTGGTTCATGCTCAATTTGTGGCAATTTCTTTTCCTTTTTATTCTTTTGTTTCTTAGGCTTGTCATTTACAATGGTTGAGAACTTTTGCTCTTTGTGGATGAAGTCCTGTATATCATGGGAAGCAGAAACAGGGTCAGTTTTTATTTCAACTTGTTCTGTTTCGACAATTGCTGGAGAAACTTCAACAGTTTGCGAAACAATTGAGGACCATGTCAAAGTTTGGGATGGCAAATCTGCTACATTGTCAGATGGATTTTCTATGCTGTTCAGCTCTGGTGTTTTTTTAATAACTTCAATGGATGCTGGCTCTGGAACCTGCTTAGCCTTGGATGGTTTCTTTTCCTTTTTGGTCTTTTGTTTCTTAGGCTTGTCATTTACAATGGTTGAGAAGCTTTGCTCTTTGTGGATGAAGTCCTGTATATCATGGGAAGCAGAAACAGGGTCAGTTTTTATTTCAACTTGCTCTGTTTCGACAATTGCTGGAGAAACTTCAACAGTTTGTGAAACAATAGATGACCACAATTGAGTCTGTGTGGGAACATCTTCCACGGGAATTTTTTGGATTTCTGAAGTGTCTGGAAGATCCACTGGACTAACAGGCTCCTTAGGCACATTGTTGTCCACAAAGTCTGTACTTGGTTTTTTCACCTTTTTCGGTTTTTGCTTTTTAGGTTTATCTTTTTCATTCCGAACAAAATCTAAAGAACAAGTTTCAGGTACTTCTTCAGATATGATGGTTTGAGTTGTAGATGGTGAATCAATAATCTTCAAGTCATCAGAATACTGCTGGGTAATTTTCGTGAAAGGTTCTTCGGCTCCTTGGCGGACTATAGACGACCATGAGAAGAAACTTTCCGGTTGTGATTGGTCTGGAATTTTGATAGATTCGTCGTCGATCATTTCAGACCATTTTTGAGGCTGTATTGTCGGTTTTTGATCTTCTGTTTCTTGATTTGTGGGATAAACATTTTGAACCTTTGTACTAACTTCGCTATCGGTCTTGGTATCGTTTTCAATATCTGCCTTTTTCTTATTTTTGTCTTTCTTTGCTCTTGGTTTCTTAGGAACATTCTCAACAATTTCTGAGGTTGGAATCGATGCAGTGGTTTGTGTTCTAACTTCAGGAACTCTCTCAACGTTTTGCTTCTCACCCTCTATAAAACTCGTTGTATGCTTCAATACGTCTGCATACGATGAATTCTGATCCCAAACGTTGATAGGTATATCAAATGAAGCCAGATCGGTTGGCATAAGCTGAGAAGACTCCTTCATCTCGGGTTCAGCTGGTTGAACAATATCCCTCACAGTGACTGTTTCAGTAGTTGATGTAATCCTTTCTGTAGCAGGTGCATTTACAACTATTGCTTCCGGCCTTAGCGATTCGAGTACTTCCTCTGACTGTTCACGGACAGTTTCCGTCACAGTAGTTTTTGTTGTAACAGTCACGGTAGTCTTAGTATCTTCTGATATTGTAGTTTCCGGATCCTTTTCATGCTCAGCTGGTTGAACAATATCCTTCACAATGACCGTCTCAGTTGTTGATGTTTTAATCTTTTCAGGAACAGGTGCCTTTTCAACTGGAACTTCCTGGATGGGTGCTTCTTCCTCCTCATCAGAGAATGTCATTGGTTCATCCATAACATCCATCCAAGAACTACTGGAGTCGTCCACAGGTAGACCGGCATAAGCTGGTTTCTTGGGTTCCTCGGGTTTCTTTTCGGGCTCCACTGCCTTTGGTTCTTCGAGTTTCTTTTCTGGTTCCACTGGTTTGGACTCCTCCGGAATTGCAGTCTCACTGACAGTTTCCGTCACAGTAGTTTTTGTAGTGACAGTCACGGTAGTCTTAGTGTCTTCTGAAACTGAAGTTTCCGGAACCTTTTCAGGCTCAGTTGGTTGAACAATATCCTTCACAATGACCGTCTCAGTTGTTGATGTTTTAATCTTTTCAGGAACAGGTGCCTTTTCAACTGGAACTTCCTGGATGGGTGCTTCTTCCTCCTCATCAGAGAATGTCATTGGTTCATCCATAACATCCATCCAAGAACTACTGGAGTCGTCCACAGGCAGACCGGCATAAGCTGGTTTCTTGGGTTCCTCGGGTTTCTTTTCGGGCTCCACTGCCTTTGGTTCTTCGATTTTCTTTTCTGCTTCCACTGGTTTGGACTCCTCCGGAATTGCAGTCTCACTGACAGTTTCCGTCACAGTAGTTTTTGTAGTGACAGTCACGGTAGTCTTAGTGTCTTCTGAAACTGAAGTTTCCGGAACCTTTTCAGGCTCAATTGGTTGAACAATATCCTTCACAATGACCGTCTCAGTTGTTGATGTTTTAATCTTTTCAGGAATAGGTGCCTTTTCAACTGGAACTTCCTGGATGGATGCTTTTTCCTCCTCATCAGAGAATGTCATTGGTTCATCCATAACATCCATCCAAGAACTACTGGAGTCATCCACAGGCAGACCGGCATAGGCTGGTTTCTTAGGTTCCTCGGGTTTCTTTTCGGGCGCCACTGCCTTTAGTTCTTCGGGTTTCTTTTCTGGTTCCACTGGTTTGGACTCCTCCGGAATTGCAGTCTCACTGACAGTTTCCGTCACAGTAGTTTTTGTAGTGACAGTCACGGTAGTCTTAGTGTCTTCTGAAATTGAAGTTTCCGGAACCTTTTCAGGCTCAGCTGGTTGAACAATGTCCTTCACAATGACCGTCTCAGTTGTAGATGTTTTAATCTTCTCAGGAACAGGTGCCTTTTCAACTGGAACTTCCTGGATGGGTGCTTCTTCCTCCTCATCAGAGAATGTCATTGGTTCATCCATAACATCCATCCAAGAACTACTGGAGTCATCCACAGGCAGACCGGCATAAGCTGGTTTCTTGGGTTCCTCGGGTTTCTTTTCGGGCTCCACTGCCTTTGGTTCTTCGGGTTTCTTTGCTGGTTCCTCTGGTTTCGGCTCCTCCAGAAGTGAAGTCTCACTGACAGTTTCCGTCACAGTAGTTTTTGTTGTGACCGTCACGGTAGTCTTAGTGTCTTCTGAAATTGAAGTTTCCGGAACCTTTTCAGGCTCAGCTGGTTGAACAATGTCCTTCACAATAACCGTCTCAGTTGTTGATGTTTTAATCTTTTCAGGAACAGGTGCCTTTTCAACTGGAACTTCCTGGATGGGTGCTTCTTCCTCCTCATCAGAGAATGTCATTGGTTCATCCATAACATCCATCCAAGAACTACTCGAGTCATCCACAGGCAGACCGGCATAAGCTGGTTTCTTGGGTTCCTCGGGTTTCTTTTCGGGCTCCACTGCCTTTGGTTCTTCGGGTTTCTTTGCTGGTTCCTCTGGTTTCGGCTCCTCCAGAAGTGAAGTCTCACTGACAGTTTCCGTCACAATAGTTTTTGTTGTGACCGTCACGGTAGTCTTAGTGTCTTCTGAAATTGAAGTTTCCGGAACCTTTTCAGGCTCAGCTGGTTGAACAATGTCCTTCACAATAACCGTCTCAGTTGTTGATGTTTTAATCTTTTCAGGAACAGGTGCCTTTTCAACTGGAACTTCCTGGATGGGTGCTTCTTCCTCTTCATCAGAGAATGTCATTGGTTCATCCATAACATCCATCCAAGAACTACTGGAGTCGTCCACAGGCAGACCGGCATAAGCTGGTTTCTTGGGTTCCTCGGGTTTCTTTTCGGGCTCCACTGCCTTTGGTTCCTCGGGTTTCTTTTCGGGTTCCACTGCCTTTGGTTCTTCGGATTTCTCTGCTGGTTCCTCTGGTTTCGGCTCCTCCAGAAGTGAAGTCTCACTGACACTTTCATTTACAGTAGTAGTTGTTGTGATTGTTACAGTTGTCTTTGTGTCTTTCGAAACCGGAGACTCAGGCTCAACACGAATTTCTTTCTCAATAACTGGTGTTGAAACCGAAACCAAGTCATCTGATTTCTTGGGTTCTTCGGGTTTCTCCTTTAATTCACTGACTGTTTTCGTTACCGTAGTTATTTTGGTAATAACTGAAGATTTTTTGATGTGCTCTTCATTTAGTTCTTCCGCTTGGGAAATATTGCCAGATTTAATTTCTTGAATGGTTTCCATAATTTTATGAATATTGGCTTCATCACCAGTTTCAGCAAGAAGGGGAATTTCCACTTCATCTTCAATTAATTCTTTCCAAGATTTTTGCTCGACAACAATATCATCGCCACCGTCGTCAATCATTTCAGCCCAAGATTTGCGCGTTGATTCTTCAGGTTTTTCACTAATGCTCGACCATTCTAAATCCTCCGGAGCTTCGACTACTGGGGACTCAGTAACCAACTGCGGCTTAACTGATATTTTTTCTGTCTTTTTGACAGCAACTGGCTTTGGAGTCACCTTTTCGGTTTCTATAAAGTCAATGGTTTGCTGACCTACTACTGATGACCAAGAGCTTGTATGCGGATCCTGCGGACGAGGAGTGTGTTCTTTTTGTACTGCCTTTTTCTTTTCAGTGTGATGTTTTACAGTCTCCACTGGCTTTTGCTTCACTTCTTTCTTTTCTTTAGGTGGTAAATCAGACATTTTGTCTATTTGGCTGGCAATCTTGGCCCAAGTTGTCACTCCTTCATCGTAAATTGGAGATAAAGAAGTTTCAGGAACATCACTTTCGTCAGATGTGGATGAAACCACAGTCGGCTGCACCTTTTTAGTCTTAGGCTCAACTGTATTTCTTTCAATCCTGACTTCTTTCTTATGAGTTTTCCGTTCCTTTTGAGCCTTAGGTTCTGGTTTTGGTTCAGTTTTCGGAGCGGCAACTGGCTTTTTGCGAGACGCTATATCATCTACAAATTCACCCGGCTTTTTAAGCAAAGAAGCCCACGAGAACGAATCGGAGCTACTGTCAACGGGTTTTTCCACATCTGAAATCCTTTCTGGTTCCTTTTCAATTGGAATTACTTCCTCGACCGTTGGTTGAGATATTTTTTCTTTTTTCTGTGGAACCTTTTGCTTCTTAGACTCAATCCTATCAGCCTTCTTCTGTGATCGAACCTTTCGTGGCTTCTCTGGTTCATTGCGTTCACCTTCCGATTTGTCCGTTGACAATGTTATTGCACTCTTAATATGCGCTACAGTTGTGTCAACCCACTCACCAGGTCTCTTTACTAATGAAGCCCACGAAAAACCACTCGCTTCGGGTTCCTTATCTTCCGTTTGTTTCGTCACTGTCTCTGTCACTGTCTCTGTTTGTGTGACTATCTTTGTGTGAGTTGAAGGTGCTGGTTCTTCCTGCTCCTGCTTTTCATCTTCAGAAGTGGTTGAAACTGTCTCTTGAATTGGTTTTTTGGATTTCTTCGACTTTTTCGTTTTTGTAGATTTCCGTTCAGATTTTTCTTGCTTCTCCGGTTTCTTAGAGTCCGGTATACTGTCTGGCTGCACTAATTCCTTTTTGACAAATGTATTGTCAGACCATTCACCTGGTCTTCGAACCAAGGCAGACCAACTCATTTCAGACGATTTATGAACATCCTTCTCGTCAGATGATGGTTCTTTGGAGCTTTCAGTAGCCGGCTTTGAATTATCCGTGCTTGAATTCTCTTGGATGAATTCTACTGGCTTCTGTTTTGTTTGTTTTGGCTTCTTCATATGCTCCTTTGGCTTTACAACTTCGGGCAAGGGATCAACAACGGTCTGTTTTTCTTCATGCACAATTACAGGCTTTTCGGTGACCGGCATCTCGGCTGAACTGAACAAAACATCGGCATATGATTTGCCATCTCGATTGTTTTCCCAAACACTTTGCTCGATTGGTTGTTGTGCTTCCATGACATAAGTGGGTGGTGCTTCAGATACAACTGCAATTTCTTGAGGTTCGTCTGCTGGCTTCTTTGGACGCTTTGCGGGTTTAACTTTCTTTGACTTCTTTGGAAGTACCACTACTTGCTCCGTTTTACTTCTAGGAATGAATTCGTTGTAAACTCTTTCATTAGCAAGGAATGTGTTTGTTTGATCAGCATATACGTGCTTTAGATAAGAAGGCGTAAATTCTGGAGCATCTGCAGACAATGTCGATGTGAAAACAACATTTCCTGAGCTTGGTGTCGATTCCTCCAAAACGCTAGACCACGTATCGATTGGACCCTCAAGTGTCAAGGCAGAATAAGCCGGTCCCTTTTCTGACTTATACTGTTTCTCTAAATCTTTACTGACAGTTGTTGTTGTTGTTGTCACAGTTACGGTTGACTTTGTGTCTTCTGAAACAGCAAAATCTGAAATCTTCTCAGGCTCAACTGGATAAACTGAGTCCTTTACAGCGACCGTCTCAATTGTGGATTTTTTAATCTTCTCAGGAACAGTTGTCTTTTCAACTGGTACTTCCTGGATTGGTTCATCTAAAACGTCCATCCAAGAACTACTCGAGTCATCCACAGGCAGACCGGCATAGGCTGGTTTCTTGGATTCCTCGGGTTTCTTTTCGGGTTCCACTGCCTTTGGTTCTTCGGGTTTCTTTGCTGGTTCCTCCGGTTTTGGCTCCTCCGAAGGTGCAGTCTCACTGACAATTTCTGTCACAGTAGTTTTGGTTGTGACAGTCACAGTTGTCTTAGTGTCTTCTGAAACTGAAGTTTCCGGAACCTTTTCAGGCTCAGTTGGTTGAACAATATCCTTCATAATGACCGTCTCAGTTGTTGATGTTTTAATCTTTTCGGGAACAGGTGCCTTTTCAACTGGAACTTCCTGGATGGGTGCTTCTTCCTCCTCATCAGAGAATGTCATTGGTTCATCCATAACATCCATCCAAGAACTACTGGAGTCATCCACAGGCAGACCGGCATAAGCTGGTTTCTTGGGTTCCTCGGGTTTCTTTTCGGGTTCCACTGCCTTTGGTTCTTCGGGTTTCTTTGCTGGTTCCTCTGGTTTTGGCTCCTCCAAAGGTGCAGTCTCACTGACAGTTTCCGTCACAGTAGTTTTTGTTGTAACAGTCACGGTAGTCTTAGTGTCTTCTGAAACTGAAGTTTCCGGAACCTTTTCAGGCTCAGTTGGTTGAACAATATCCTTTACAATGACCGTCTCAGTTGTTGATGTCTTAATCTTTTCAGGAACAGGTGCCTTTTCAACTGGAACTTCCTGGATGGGTGCTTCTTCCTCCTCATCAGAGAATGTCATTGGTTCATCCATAACATCCATCCAAGAACTACTGGAGTCATCCACAGGCAGACCGGCATAAGCTGGTTTCTTGGGTTCCTCGGGTTTCTTTTCGGGATCCACTGCCTTTGGTTCTTCGAGTTTCTTTTCTGGTTCCACTGGTTTGGACTCCTCCGGAATTGCAGTCTCACTGACAGTTTCCGTCACAGTAGTTTTTGTAGTGACAGTCACGGTAGTCTTGGTGTCTTCTGAAATTGAAGTTTTTGGAACCTTTTCAGGCTCAGCTGGTTGAACAATGTCCTTCACAATAACCGTCTCAGTTGTTGATGTTTTAATCTTTTCAGGAACAGGTGCCTTTTCAACTGGAACTTCCTGGATGGGTGCTTCTTCCTCCTCATCAGAGAATGTCATTGGTTCATCCATAACATCCATCCAAGAACTACTGGAGTCATCCACAGGCAGACCGGCATAAGCTGGATTCTTGGGTTCCTCGGGTTTCTTTTCGGGTTCCACTGCCCTTGGTTCTTCGGGTTTCTTTGCTGGTTCCTCTGGTTGTGGCTCCTCCAAAAGTGCAGTCTCACTCACAGTTTCCGTCACAGTAGTTTTTGTTGTAACAGTCACGGTAGTCTTAGTGTCTTCTGAAACCGAAGTTTCCGGAACCTTTTCAGGCTCAGTTGGTTGAACAATATCCTTTACAATGACCGTCTCAGTTGTTGATGTCTTAATCTTTTCAGGAACAGGTGCCTTTTCAACTGGAACTTCCTGGATGGGTGCTTCTTCCTCCTCATCAGAGAATGTCATTGGTTCATCCATAACATCCATCCAAGAACTACTGGAGTCATCCACAGGCAGACCGGCATAAGCTGGTTTCTTGGGTTCCTCGGGTTTCTTTTCGGGCTCCACTGCCTTTGGTTCTTCGAGTTTCTTTTCTGGTTCCACTGGTTTGGACTCCTCCGGAATTGCAGTCTCACTGACAGTTTCCGTCACAGTAGTTTTTGTAGTGACAGTCACGGTAGTCTTGGTGTCTTCTGAAATTGAAGTTTTTGGAACCTTTTCAGGCTCAGCTGGTTGAACAATGTCCTTCACAATAACCGTCTCAGTTGTTGATGTTTTAATCTTTTCGGGAACAGGTGCCTTTTCAACTGGAACTTCCTGGATGGGTGCTTCTTCCTCCTCATCAGAGAATGTCATTGGTTCATCCATAACATCCATCCAAGAACTACTGGAGTCATCCACAGGCAGACCGGCATAAGCTGGTTTCTTGGGTTCCTCGGGCTTCTTTTCGGGTTCCACTGCCTTTGGTTCTTCGGGTTTCTTTGCTGGTTCCTCCGGTTTCGGCTCCTCCGAAGGTGCAGTCTCACTGACAATTTCTGTCACAGTAGTTTTTGTTGTGACAGTCACAGTTGTCTTAGTGTCTTCTGAAACTGAAGTTTCCGGAACCTTTTCAGGCTCAGCTGGTTGAACAATATCCTTCACAATAACCGTCTCAGTTGTTGATGTTTTAATCTTTTCGGGAACAGGTGCCTTTTCAACTGGAACTTCCTGGATGGGTGCTTCTTCCTCCTCATCAGAGAATGTCATTGGTTCATCCATAACATCCATCCAAGAACTACTGGAGTCATCCACAGGCAGACCGGCATAAGCTGGTTTCTTGGGTTCCTCGGGTTTCTTTTCGGGTTCCACTGCCTTTGGTTCTTCGGGTTTCTTTGCTGGTTCCTCTGGTTTTGGCTCCTCCAAAGGTGCAGTCTCACTGACAGTTTCCGTCACAGTAGTTTTTGTTGTAACAGTCACGGTAGTCTTAGTGTCTTCTGAAACTGAAGTCTCCGGAACCTTTTCAGGCTCAGTTGGTTGAACAATATCCTTTACAATGACCGTCTCAGTTGTTGATGTCTTAATCTTTTCAGGAACAGGTGCCTTTTCAACTGGAACTTCCTGGATGGGTGCTTCTTCCTCCTCATCAGAGAATGTCATTGGTTCATCCATAACATCCATCCAAGAACTACTGGAGTCATCCACAGGCAGACCGGCATAAGCTGGTTTCTTGGGTTCCTCGGGTTTCTTTTCGGGATCCACTGCCTTTGGTTCTTCGAGTTTCTTTTCTGGTTCCACTGGTTTGGACTCCTCCGGAATTGCAGTCTCACTGACAGTTTCCGTCACAGTAGTTTTTGTAGTGACAGTCACGGTAGTCTTGGTGTCTTCTGAAATTGAAGTTTCCGGAACCTTTTCAGGCTCAGCTGGTTGAACAATATCCTTCACAATAACCGTCTCAGTTGTTGATGTTTTAATCTTTTCGGGAACAGGTGCCTTTTCAACTGGAACTTCATGGATGGGTGCTTCTTCCTCCTCATCAGAGAATGTCATTGGTTCATCCATAACATCCATCCAAGAACTACTCGAGTCATCTACAGGCAAGCCCGCATAGGCTGGTTTCTTGGGCTCTTCGGGTTTCTTTTCGGGTTCCACTGCCCTTGGTTCTTCGGGTTTCTTTTCGGGTTCCACTGTCATTGCTTTTTCAAGTTCCTTGGCTGGTTCCTTTGCCTTTGTCTCCTCCGGAAGTACAGTTTCACTTATAGTTTCAGTCACAGTTGTTGTTGTGACGGTCACAGTTGTCTTCATGTCTTCCGAAATCGGAGATTCTGGGACTATTACATTTTCAGAGATTGTCTGTTCCTTGAGTTCTTCAGATTTGTTAAGATTTTCTCTAAACAAGTTTTCCGCATAGCTTTGGTCTATAGTATTATATTTTGGAACCTCGAAGTTATATACAGAAGGTTTATTATACTCGATTTCTTTAATGTTCTTACTAGAAGTATCCAAAGTTGTTGGTACTGTTATCTGGACTATTGTAGTATTAGAAGTTTCAATTGGTAAATTTGCAAATACCGTTTTCATTTCAGGTGATGTAAGAGAATCAACAGAACTACCAACCGTTTTGCGTTCTTCAATCATTTGTTGTGGGTGCTCAATTGGCGTAGAAAGAATTGGCTTATTATTGATTATGTGATAGTTACATTCAGCTGTTGTGAATGTAGCTATATTGTATTGTGGAATTTCATATATCTTATCTTTTTCAATGGAAACTGGTTCTATATTTTTGGGAGATGTATCCACCAAAGTTTTAGTCACAACAGATTCAACCGTACTTACAACCGGTAAGGTCTCTTCAACAGTTTGATCTTGTTGATCAAGTGTCAAAGGTGAGGGCGTTTCTACAGACGTTGGCTTAGAATTGATTATGTGATAATTGGCCTCAGCAGTATTATATTGAGATAAATCATATTTGGGAGTTTCAAAAATCTTTTCAGTGGGACAAATAATTGGAATATTAGTGATATTTAAAGTGCTTACCGTGTTAGCCACAAATGCTTCAGCAATTAATGCGCTTGGCTTGGCAGGAACAATTTGATTAGCGATATTAGTAGGATCAGGGAGTAATTGAATTTCACATGGAATATCAGCTTGCGTTTCTACTTGAGTTTTTGAAGAAGTAATTTCTGGCGTTTCTTGCGTTGTTTCATGGAAAAGTATATCAACTTTGTCATGCTCGATGGTATTTGCTTTTGAAATCAATGGCACATCTTGAGAAATATTCTGCGCTAATGGGACTGGAATATCGTTGGATATAGGAATTTCGATAACAGATTGCTTTTCATCAGCAATAGGTATAGTAATTGTTTCATTGCCTTTGCTTTCTTCAACAATGACCTGAGTAGTTTCTTGCTTTATGAACTCTTCGGGAATGGCAGGACGTTTTTTCTTATCTTTCTTTGACAGTTTCTTCTGGATTTCTTCGAACAGTTTTTGCTCTTCTGGACTTAGATCAGACGGGGGTTTAATATTCTTCTCTACTACACTTGGCTTGTCAACCTGTTCGATCGAATCTGTTTTAGCAACAGGAAGTTTCTGATCGGAAGAATCCGAAATAACTGACTCGACAACAACTGGCTCAGATTCAGCGAACTCAACTATAGAAGTCTTATCACTATCGGCAGTTCTATGCAGGGATTCAACGTTTTCAGTCACAGTCTCGGTCACGCGAAGACTAACCTCTGGAAAATCTAGATGCATTTTCACGATAGGAGTCTTCAGCTTTTCTTCGTGAGTTATTAAAGAAATTTTTTGAACTGTGCCTGGCGGATAGGCACCGTCAATGCCTTCTCCAACGAAAAGAACATTTGTGCCATCTTCGGTTTCGAAGCTACGTCGTTGTGTCGTTGTGAGGATCGTATTTCTGGTCGTTGTCGTTGTAGTAGTAGCAGTGCGATCTGTCTGGTTTATAATCTCATTTGATGAATTATATTCGGCGCTTACAGTAGGTAATTCTGTTGTTTCAATATCTAAGACCTTAATGCCTGACTTGCTGGCAGAGTCCCTAGGACCCAAATCAATATTGACACCAACATTCGCTAATTTGAATTCGCTTGTAGAGGTGACAACTGGTGGAGATGTCTCCAAAAGTGCATGCGAAGATACAATGGGGCTAATTGGTCTTTGATCTGGCATTTCAATGCTGGATGTAACAATAACATCGCTAGGTGCGTCACTTTCGGTAATAACTATACGTCCGTCATTTGTTACTCGCTTAGTTATTCGCATTGTACGAATTGTGGTTGTCTTGATAATTGCCCCATCAATTTGACTGGATGTGGTCGAAGTTTCACTCTGTGCTTCTGAAATCGTCGGAGAGGCTTCCCGTACGGTGATCGGTTCACTTATTGTGCTGCTGCTCTCTGTGGTTGTTTCGCCATCTTCATTCAGCTTCTTCACAATTTTCGTCGTACGCACGGTTGTTGTTTTTGTTACACCACCAACATCATCACTTGTTGTTTCATCAGCAACAGGAGCACACTCAACAGGAATTTGGATTTCCCCTTCCGTCACGTTCTGGTTATCAACATTTTGTGCAATCTTCTTAACAATTTTGGTCGTTCTCACAATTGTAGTTTTAACAACATCATTGCCAACGTTTGCTTCGTAAGGTTCCGATACCACAATTTCAGCAGCTTGGACAACTTGTTTTGGCTCATCTTCAACTGGAGCAGCAACTTCCTGAGACGTGATTAGCAGTGGCTCTACAGTTCGCTTAGGTTCCGATGTAACTAGAGCTTCCTTTCGCCTCTCTGCCTTCTCAGCCTTCTTTGATTTTCTCGTTTTCTTTTCAGGCACGGGCTCTGCAGTTTGCATTTCTTCAACGACTGGAGCAACAACTTCCTTAGTTATGGTTACCGTGGTCTGTTCAGTTTGCTTAGGTTCATAAGAAACTGGAATATCCTTTTGTTTGTCCTGCTTCTTGGATTTCGGGGATTTCTTTTCAGGCTCAGGCTGTGCAGTTTGCTTTTCAGAGGCTATAAAGTCCAATGTTGTTGACTTAATATTCCTGTCTTCAATCACATCCTTAGTCTTTGGCGCAATCAGCCATTGTTCTACAGTCTGTTGCGGTTCGACGGAAATCGGTTCAGAAGCTGCAGGTTTGACTAAATCTTGCGGCTCATTTACACTCTCGCTTGTAGTTGGTTTTACAGCCTTTGTGGTACGCGTCGTTGTAGTTTTCTTAATGCCCTCACTGTTCGATTCGGTGGTGACCGATTCGGCTACGATTGGTGCGTCCAGAATTATGGTTTCAACAGGTGGTAAATAAGAATCAGACGCAGAACTGTATTCACTGATATTTTCCGAATCTTGTGAAATTTTCTTTACTATTTTAGTTGTGCGCACAATTGTAGTTTTTAGCACAGAACCATCTTCGGTAAGTAATGTTTCATCAGATGTTTTTGATTCGGGTGCAACTTCAATTTCAGTTACAGGTTCAACAATTGGTTCTTTGTTTGGCTCAGTTTTGGCATTCTTTATTGTTCGTGTGGTAGTCGTTTTAGTTGTCTTAACTACACCCTCATCGCTGACCTCACGACTATTCATTTCAGATTTCTCTACTTTCGGCTGTTCTGTGGCTTCTTCCGCCATTTCGAAAGAATCCAGCGAACGTGCATCCGAATGAGTTGATGTGGACATTTCCTGACTTTCTTGTTGATTGATTTTTTTCACGATTTTTGTTGTACGTATGACGGTCGTTTTGATTAGGCTGCCATCATCGCTGATAACAGATCCATCGGTTGACTGAGTTTGTTTCTCGTCAATTGTAATTGCACTTGTTGTATTCAGGGGCTCTGTGGTTTCTAGTGGTGCTTGTGGCTCAATTATTTCAGCTACAGTTTGCACAATGGGACTATCTGGTATTTGTATGGCATCAGTTTTCGGTTTGATTTCCTCACTCTCTGATTTCTTCTGCTTCTTCTTATCCTTTCTAGTTGGCTTTTGTGGTTTCTGCTCTACCTCAACGACAACAGCTGGTTCCTTTACAGTTAAGCTTTCTGGTTCTTTTTTGTCCTTACGCGGTGGCTTTTGTGGCTCTGGCGCAATTATTTGTTCAGCTTGATCGACAATTTCTTCAACTGCATGGTGTGCAGCATCAATAATAGCTTCTTGAGGTGCAACCGATTGATCATTGGATGTAACGTTTCGGGAAGTAAGCACAGTAGTTGGTAGTAAAGTAATATCACGCTCCACCTCTGGCTCGTCCTCCAGGACTTCCTCAACAATTTCATCACCGTCCGCGGTAATCCGTTTAAGAATTCGCTTCGTTTTGGTTATTGTTGTTTTTGTAATGGAACCGCCCTGAACAACAGTTGTATCGAGCGTTGCATTCAATCCAGGTACCATTATGCTTCCGGGGACTGTACTCAAGCTTGTCGTTTCCACCGATGGTAATTCGAACTGTTCCACGGAAATTTTTTCTTCAGGCAAATCGTCGACTACATCTTCCTCAACAATTTCCTCTCTACCATCGACAATTCGCTTGACTATGCGCTTTGTGATGTGTTTTGTGATGGTCCTGGTAGTAATTGTAGTTGTACCGCTTTCGGTGGAAATCGTGTTGGTCGATGTTGTTACCGTAGGCTCGCTTTCCATTAATGTTTCATCAGTTTCGATACTTGATAGTGTTGTAGGCTCGAACTCTTGAGTAGAATGAGAAGTATAATGAACTGTCTCCACAGGTTGAGCAACAATTGTTTCAATCATGGAAACAACGTTATTTGAGTCGTCTGTTTTAAATGGCGTTGTAATCTCTGACAGATTTGTATCCTCCTTTGTTGTAGTTTTGATATCACATATTGGCTCTATTGCAGATTTTATTGTTTCATCAACTTCCATTTCTTTGACGATGTCGATAATTGGCTCAATCGGGTTGAAAGTTGTCAACGTAGCCACTATAGATTCCTTAATGGGTGGTGTCTCCGTCTGTTTGATGACTTCAACAGCTGGTTCAACTGTGCTCGTTGATATGGTCGTTGTTTCCACCACAGATATGGGCTTCTTTTTGTCTTTTTTAGATGGAGCCTGAATAGTGGTATTTGTATCAACAGTAGGTTCTATTACAAATACAACTTCTGCCGGCTTAACGATCTCTTCGACAGGCTCAACTACTTTCTCGGGAACCGTAGTTACTTCCACAATAGCTTTGGGCTTCTTTCTATCCTTCTTTGAAGGAGCAGTAACAATGTCTGCAATATCAGCAGTTGGCTTTTCAACAGGGATTGTTTCCGTCTGTCTGATGACTTCTACAATCGGTTCCACTGTTTTTGTTGTGATAGTTGTGGTTTCGACAACTGTTGAAGGCTTCTTTCTATCCTTTTTATTGGGTGCTTGAATAACAATAGGTTCTACTTTCGTGATAATTTCCTGTTCTTTAGCAATTTCAACAGGCGGTTTAGTGGTTTTCTTTGAGGTGTTTGTCGTTTCCACAATGTTGGATTGTTGCTTTTCCTCCTTAACTGTTGGAACCACCACGACCGGTTCCACAATCTGTTTGCTGGTAATTGTAGTTTCTGGTACATGTTCAGTTTGAGATTTGGTCCTTTTAGATTTTCTAGGTTTTGGTTCTGGATGCTTGTGCGACTCCTCTGGTGCAGACGCACTATCCACAATAGTAGTTTTCTCTACATGGGTATGCGTTGTTTCATTGCTGTCAGGAGATTTGTGTTTCCTGCCCGTTTTGGGGTCTTTGCGACTGCTGACCTTTATTGGCAACGGCTCTGGTTGTTGTTCATGTCGCTGTCGCTTAGGTTTGGCATTCCTTGTGTCTGGATTGTCATCTGCCCATCTGCCGTGCTGGTTTCTAGTCGTCGTTGTGCTTGTTGTTGTATGCTTTGTTGTTGTTGTTGTTGCATGCTCAGCATTGCGAATTTGCGGCATGGGAACCGCTACACGTACTGGAATCTGTTGCTGACTGGATGGCTGGAAAACTGGATGTGCTTTACTATGCTGTTGTTGACCAAAGAGCACCTCGGCATAGGTGCTGCCAGTACTTGGATCTTGTTGCTGATAGACATTCTGATTGGGCTGTTGCACTTGCGGACGAACGATGACAGTCTCTGGGCCGGCGACAATATCCTTACTCTCATTTACTATCACAGTTGGCTGTACCGACTCCGAGACAATTGTTTGCTCAACAAATCTCGTTTTAGTCACACTCGGTTGTGGTTGTGGTTGCTGTGGCTGTTGTTGTTGCAATTGTTGTTGTTGGTGTTGAGGCTGTGGTTGTTGTTGTGGTTCAGGTATTTCAACGGGTATCGTCTCAATAGCATCGACATCAAACTGTCCAAAGGTAATGTCGGGTCGCGGCTCATTCATCTCAAACTCTTGCGGTTCGACAGGTCGTAGCATATGGACATGCTCCTCGACGAATACCTGTTGGGGTTGCATTTGCTCCTCCGGTTTCGTATGTGGCGTTACAAGCGTGGGCTGTATTTGCTGAGTACTCGTGGTCAGTGGTTCGGAGCTCTGTTGCACCATGGATGCAAGTGTTGTCACTACACGATCGAGTACACTGTTACCTGTTGTGGATGTGCTTGTTGTTAGGTTTACATCCGTACGATAGGGTTCGAGCAGATAGGACTGTTCAACAATTTCCGGCTGATAAGCGGCCACATCTGATGGTATCTCAGGTTGCTGCTGTTGTGGCGTATATTCCTGTGTGTACTCAGTTGACTGTTGTGGTGCATAGTAGATTTGTGAAGAATCCGTCGTGGTATAAACCGTTGGATATGTCTCTGTTTGAGCAACCGGCTGATAATAACCCGTTAGCAACTGATACTGTGTCGTCGCGGGTGGCACCGCAACAGGCTGATATTGTATGGGGTACTGCATCTGCATAATTTGATCATAGTAATTCTGTGGCATTGTCTGCTGCTGCTGCTGTTGCTGTGCGTCGCCATTTGGTTGCGCGACATAGCCCCATTGACCGCTATCGGCCACATTCTCATACATGGTCTGATATAGCTGAGGATCTGGCTGCAAATACGTCGCGGTTATCTCCTCTGCACTCATTGGCACTGTATAGCCACTGATCTGCTGCTGCGGTTGTTGTTGTTGTTGCTGTTGTTTTTGCTCCAATTGTTGTTGTTGATGCTGAATATAGGCAAGCTCCGTGTTGGGCTCGCTAATAAATTGCTGCTCTGCAAGCTGTGGATGTTGTTCTGATGTGGTTTGTGGCACATAAATGCTGGCCGCTGCGGCACTGGCATCTACTACATCCTGTATGGTTAGATCGGCATGCGGCTGCGCCGTTTGTCTTGCTAGCTCTTCGGCTTGCAAGCGCTCCAATTCCAAACCACGAAGAACTTCCGCATAGGATGTGGAACCTGGCACCCACATGGGACTGCGTGAACGTGCGCGATCCCCTTGTGGTATATAAAGTTGTTGGTGTTGATGTTCTTGCTGATGTCGTTGTTGCTGTTGTTGATGTTGATGTTGTTGTGGTTGTTGCTGTTGCTGTTGTGGCTGCTCCACCTGTATGTTGGCTTGTGGCTCGCGTCTACGTCGCGGTGAACGGCCGCGACGTTCGGGACGCGGCGGCTGCAATTTCTCACCTGGATTTACGCGTCGCTGCTGATTACGCTCAATCTCGATAAACTGACTATTTGGATTGGCGCTAGTGCTAGGAACTGTTTGATCTATGGGTGTAAAGCTGGTCGATTCATCATACTCTGAAATAGTTGTACTGCTGCTGTTGGGTGGTGTAACACGTTGTTGCTCCTTGCGCTTATAGAGCACAGTGGGTAAATTGGAGCTTGATTCGCTTGACTCCATTTGTAATGGGTCATCCTCGTGCGTACGTACGGTAGTCGTCATTGTGGTTGTTGTCGTTGTTGTGATTGTTTGGTTCAAGTTCGTTTGTTGTTGTTGTTGTTCTTGACTCGTTGTCGTTGTTGTCGGGGTTTCTTGAATTTCTTGTCTGGATGTGGTCGACGTTTCATTACCGCTTACCGGACTCGCATGTCCTGATAACACTTCAGCATAGGTTAGACCTACTGCCGTTGGCTTCATAAGCAACGAGACAGTCGATGAAGTGGTTACCACTGAATGTGGATCCAGAGCATAGGATTGGGCGGCGGTTGCGTCGTAGGATTGCTGCATGCCATCGATTGATTGCCGCATTGCCTATGCGTTCAGTAACGGGTGTAGTGGGAGAGATAGAGAGAGAGAGATAGGGGGAAGATTTGCCAAAAAAGGTTAGCTTTCAGTTGTTTGAAAGATCATGGGCCTAACAGCTACCTAATATGACTGTCTAATGCCTATTCAAGAAATACTCTTTTCGGGTTTTCATTTTTAAAAATATAATTTAATATTTAATCTTTCCTTCTTTTTTTTTTGTATTTTTCTTAAGCATGGGTCATGTATGATATATAATATAATTGTATAATATAATTGGTACGGCTCTGGCTTAGCTGCTGCCTCTGCGTCAAATTGGGAGACTGTTGCATTGGCAGCATTAAACACGAGATGCCGCTGGTGGCTGCTTTTAGCTTGCTTTGGTTTTCAATTTCTTTGGCGAGCTAGTTCTATTATAATAGTATGTAAGTATACATCACAATATATATATATTTATATATATGTGTATGTATTTATTACTTATAAGTACTGTGTTGCCATAGCTGCGGCATCTAAATCTCTAGCTTAGCATCGTCCGGCGTGCCGCGATGTATTAACAATTTGATGCGCTCATTACGTGCGGTTATTTTCGAATGCAAATTTTTGACACGTTCACGACATGCCTATTTAGTTTGGTATATTTGATATGTATATATTTGAGGTGACGAAGAGTATATTTTTTGTATGCGTATGGTGCATAGATAGAGAGAGAGAGATATATATATTTATATAAGTTTGGCGTGAGCATTTTGAGAAGAGATTTAAAAAGGTCAGCATATAGTCAATAATGATAATATTTGTATAGGCAGCGAGCAGAAGTATGCCAATAGGATAAGCAACCATATACCAAGTATATATTGTAGAAGTACGCAAAACCCATGTAGGTGTGTATGTGTGTGTGTGTGTGTATGGTTTGATTTGTTATGTGTGTATGTGTCAAGAGTTACATTAAGGATATAGCAGCAGCATCGATAGGAGTTTTTAGTCACATGTTTAGTTTTTAGCAAATAGCACAAGAGGCAAGCGAGCAAAGCCCAAGAAACCAATTAGATATAGTTATGTATTTCAAATATTAGTAAGAACAATTGATTAATGTTTGTTTATCATTATGTAGTGTGGAAATTTTAATTGTTTCGGTTTTTGTTTATATATATTTTTCAGCGCAACGACACCAGATTTGATTTTTTAAATGTACGAAGAAAAAAGATAAAAAGAAATACAATTGTCAAAAATAATAAAATATATAAGTCAAATTAAAACCGTAACCATACTAGTAACTAAAAGTTAACTGAGAACGCTAATATAAGAAGAATAGATAAATAGATAAAGAGAGAGAGAGAGAGAGCTGTGACGTCGAACGGGCTTTATGAATAAATGTCTGCCCGGCCATTAAGCTGACTAATAAAGGAAAATATAAAAAAAATCATAAATGAAAATATATCTAAGCGAAAGCGTAATGTGTGAATTTTCTTTCTTTTTTACTTTGTGCCACAAAATGTGATGTGATGTGATTTGATTTGATTTTTGATGTAATGACTGTACTTTTGAAATTGTGCCGTCATAATGTAAATGTGGTTCAAGTGTACTCGTGAGATGGTGTAGGTGGGTAGGTGGGTAGGTGAGTAGTTGTGTGAATGTAAAATAAGTTCTCATAGCAAGAGTTGCCCCAAAAATTTCGCTACTTTCGTTCAAAATTTCTTTGCTAACAAAAGAAAAAATTGTAGAAATTTGTTGACTTGATAATTTGCCACTTACCGTCAACACTGCAATTCGCAATGTAAACTTAAAACGAAATTGGTATAAATCTATAATATAAACTATGAAGAAAGGCCAAACACATATACGTTTGTTTATTGTATATATGATGTCTATGATCGTAATTTTTGTGTGAGAGACTTGCAGGCGTTAATCTGGCATTGCTTAAAATAGCTGTCTGAATAATGGTCTGGAGAAAGAATTTCAGTATTTTCGGTATTCTTTTGATTCGATTTGTTTTTACCGCTGGGCTACCCCCGGCAACAAGAACTTATTTGAATTGTCTTGCATATATGTTGTATACATGTATATATCTTTCGGTATGGCACGTGACAATGAATAAGAATTGGTTTTTGGTTTTACAGACACAACAAATGTTCGGTTTCTTGACATGGCAGACATAACAATACGTAGAATGGATGATATGATATGAACGAGAGAGAAAGCATAGCATATATATGCAATATATATATGCTACATACAAGGCGGACTGTTGTTGTTGGTGTTGGTGTTGTCGATGAAGGATGAGTTGCACGGTTTATATGACATGTTTTGTAGCAAATTATAAAAACACAAGAGCGAGCACAAAGATGAAACGATTTGTGAAAAATATAAATATGTATGGATGTATGTGTGTGTGTGTGCGTGTCTATGAAATGAATGGCATAAATCAAATTCGAAAATAATAAAAACGTAAGAAAATTTGGTCTGAGCGAACGAAAAACAAAAATTATATGCCGCATAGAAATAAAAAAAAAATAAAAAAAAGGAAAATATAAATAATATATACCAGCATAATTGCGCACTTAACGAAATGATAATAAGTAATTGAAATAAAAAAAATATATAAATAGAATTAAATACGCAGCCACCGTGCAACTTGGTTTTTGTTTCGGACCTACCCGCACATTTTGTTTGTTTAGCGATCTAAATTGTATTATTGAATTATTTTATTATATTATATATTTATTGAAATTTGAATTTGACAATTCATGTGATTGAGTGTTAATAACTTTTGGGCCAACAAACTGGTTGTTCTGTCAACTGTTGCATAGCAATATAATAAGAATCGTTCAATATATATAGTAAGTAGCATATGATAATGATGTGGGGGATAATACTGACTCAAAGAGGGGAAATCATTTTCATCTTAGCTTATTATAGTTGCTGTTATTTACGATATCTACTATAGATATACTATAAATAGTTAGAGAATATAGTGAGGTAAAGATTTCCTAAGAACTGATTAACTTAGAATTCAACTGATCAACTGGCTTACTGCTGATTGCCTAAATTTCTGGGTGCTCTACAATAGACTCAGTTTCAGATTCTGAAACTGGGCAGTAGTACGTACCTGTTGCTCGGCTAATGCGCGCTCACGATCGTGTGGCAAGTACGTAGGTGCCATCACCAGACGCAGCTGTTGCTCCTCCTGTATAATACGCTGACGGAGCGTTTGCATTTGCTGTTGGTATACATCGATTTGGCTCAGCGTCTGCTCCAGGCTCTGCGATTTGGAGCGAACCAAATCGCCGAGACCATCGAGCAAACGCACCAAATCATCAACATTCTCGCTGAGGCGCGGATCACCGCCCATGCCATTGCGGAAGTGTACCTGAGCAAAGGGCGAATATCGAAAAAATGGAAATGCTTTCCGGATTAGATGATGGGATGCGATTGCACTTACCTCCAGTTTTTCAATAGACAATCTCATTTTGGTTTTTTGCACATTAATGTCTGCTAGAGTCTTTTCACAGTAGCCCAATTGATCGCGCAGCGGCTTCTTTAGCTGCGGCGATGAGTCCAATGTTTGTTTGGTCTTTTCATGCCAGGCGCGTATGTCCTTCACCTTGCGCTCGCATTGATCCCACTCCTCGCAGGCCTCCTGCAGCAGCGAGTTCTATGAAAGAGACGGACAAAGATGATGAATGGATTGGAATTAAATTTGAAGTTGTTTGATGATGAGCTTACTCTCTCCAGCAGCACTGCTTCCACGGCTATCTTCGCATCCTCGGCCTGCTGCAGTTTATCCTTGAGATCGCCCACGGTCGTCACCTGACCAATGTGTTCCAGTTCTTTATCCATTTCGCTCAAATGCTTCACAATCGGTTTAATACTCTTCACAGCCGCCACATAATCATTCAATTTGATCCTTGCGTCGGGCAGTGTGTGCAACTCAATCGATTGATCGATGAAGGTGCGCTTATCCGCCACCCAGGACATGACTATCTGATACAGATTCATGAAGCGTGTCCATGCATCCAGGCTATCGCCTACCGCCTGCTTTTTCTCATCTAGCCAGCCACGGACTTGGGCCAGCTGGGCGGCCAACTGATCAATGGTCGATTGCACCAGCGTCTTCTCCTCGCTGTTGCGACAGTTCTCAATGATCAGCTGGCCGTTGGTCTTGACCAAAGTGAAGCGTTCATAGATGGCGCCAATTTCATGATTGATGCGCTGCAGCACCTCCTTCATCTGTGTCGGCTCCAATGTGCGCTCCTGCACCTGAACCTCAGCCTGCATTAGCCAGCGCTGAATCTCATCCACGCCGGCAACATATTCGGTGCGCACGGTCTTGGCCCGCTTGAAATCCTTCTCTTTGGTCTCCATGGCCACCTGTACGCGTTCCGCTAATAGTTCGAGTGCGGTAAACTCTTGGGCAATATCACTGGGCAGTAGATTCTGTTTGGTCTGGTAGTGCGATTGGGTTTGCGCAACCAGCGAGCGACTCTCCTCGCCGGCCTGTTGCACCTGGCTATTAAGTGTGATTAGGGCCTGTTCCGTTTGGGCGATGTGCTCGTCGTAAACGTGAACAGCTTGAATTTGTTCGTGCAGTGCGTTCAATTTATCCTGCAGCTGTGAGATGCGGCGGAACACTTGCTCGATCTCCTCGAGATCCTTGCCAACCTGTTGATCCTTTTCGCGTAGCGTATCGTTCAATCTGTAATGGACATAAGAGCAAAGCAGAAAAGAGCAGATTGCCCGGGGCGTATTACTCAATGACGTATCTACTATAAGAAGAATATATATATTGTATAATAATATATAAACAGTCAGTTTGGTTCTGTGTGTGTGTGTTTGCTGTATACGCGAAGACAAAAACCACGCGGTCGTGTTTTGCTCTAGAATAGAATTCAGATGCGCGTGCTGCACAGTATATTGATATATATCTAAATATATATATAATACATATATATATATAAATATATAAATACGAATAAGTTATTTGAAAAAGGCACAAAGCAAGCAGCAAATGGCTTGAAGTTTTCAATAATTATTCAATTTTTTTTCGCTGGGTATTCAAAAATCTGTATATATATGGCCTCGAGGCGCTGCGAAGATTTCCGTGAAAATTAATGCTGCCGTTTCGCTACAAGAGAGTTTTCTAAATGAATTGCCGAACATTTTTGCCATATGCCATGAAGCGAAATTCGATTTCGAATTTCATCTATAAGGCGCATAATTCGGCAAGTACCTTGGGCTGTTTCTCACAGATAGAGAGAGAGAGGAAGAGAACCGTTTTCGAAAAAGAATTTCTAAATTCGCTTGTCTTTTAAATTTGTTATTATTATTATTACTATTTGTATTATTTATGTATGTTTCTTTTTTTTCTCTGCTGGCCTGCTTAGCGGCTGCTGTTTATTTTTATGCTGCGATTTATATTTAAACATGAATTATTTATGTTGATTTATTCGCAGCTGAAGCGAATCTTGCACAAGCAAGCGGACTGCATCTGACGTCATCTCTGGCACACTGCAGTCGAACAATGAGTCAGTGAGTGAGGCAGAGATAGAGGCAGCACTTCTTGAATCTGAATATGTTTATGACTTTGCTTTATTCCAGGCAATGACGCACAAAATCGCACATACGCCATGTGGGCGATAGAAGATTCACCCAAATTAATACCAACAAGTGTTTCCTTTCAGCGAGTACTTAAATGGGAAAGTAAAGTCAAGTCGTGAGTGCATCATTTTACGCCAGGGCGTTGAAGGACGCCGTCGCCTGCTGCCCTTTACAACAACAACAACAAAAATAACAACAATTGAATCGGAAAAAACAACGAGCTATTGGAGGCCAAGTCAATACATTTGGCTAGCGGCCAAATTGAGGCTGAAACACACATTTTGTTTTAGTTTTTAGCGAATTAATTGTTGGCCACGAGCAACGAAAAATTCAACAATAAAAGTTTCATATTTGAAAATCAAATTGCGAAATATTGAAGAAAACTTTTTCGAAACCGGTTTGTTTTAGTTTTAGTTTTCAAAGACTTACTAGAGACTCACTATATGGTGTGTTATTGATTTGCGAAAACCCAGTCGAAGCAAAAACTGAAATAAACTTGACCTCTAGTTGTTGTAGTACATAAGAGAACACGATAGGTTTACGAACGGACAGAAGGACAAGACAAAGTTCAAACAGCAGCTGCTGATGCTCATCCAGAACATATAGAAGAACCATTATTTCTACCAGTACACTTGTAATATACTATTTACCCATTTCTTAATCAAAATCAAAACCGAGAATTCTCAACTCTTAAATAATTTCAACAATAAATTTGTGTAAATTTATGTTCGTTTTTTTCTATTCTTTTCCTGCTGCTATTTTGAGAGTTTTTTTTTGCCATTGTGCGAATTAACGTATTAAATTTAGTGCAAATCATGAATTTAAATGGCAAACTATGCGAGAAATGTGAGCGTCAAAGTGAAAAGCGAAAGCAACAGCGATGCGTGTTTATAAATAAATAAGTATGTGGACGAAAATAAATGAAATGCCAATAACAACAAGAGGCGCGCGTAGTTTGATCAATTATTGTAATTAAATGTCTATCGATAAGAAATTTTGAGCGGTTTCTAGCTATTTTTGCGGCGATGACGACGACGTCATCGATTCGAATCACAGACACGCGTCGCAAAACAAACACTCTCAATAAATATATAAAAAAAAAAAACAAAAACACCTGACGACCTCGGCTAAAGACCGGACCCGAGGTCCGGACCCTCCCCGGCCACAAAGATTGAGGCTGGTTTTTGCATACGAAGCGCGCTTCGTGACTCTTAAGCCGGCCCCGATGACTTAATCATGCCGCACGGAGCCAACTCAAAAGTTGAAGTGTCTTATAAACATTCACCTTTTGCTTCTGACGACGTCTTTTTGGAGAGTGTGCGTGTTGGCAATTAGCATTCGACTCTTTCTCTTTCGCCTGCACTCGCTTTAGCTGCTGCTGCTGCTGTCTTTTATTTTTTTATTTTCTTCTTTTTTTTGTCTCTGGCTTTCGTCCGCCGACAGTTGTTTTTTTTAGCGACAACGGTCGCACCTCCTCTCTGGGGAGGCAGACGTGTGCTTAACAATTGTTTAATCGCGCTTCGTTTATTTATCTTTCAATTCGCTTCAAACTTGAATTTCTTGCAAAATTCAGCAGCTAAAAAGAATCGCGTATACGCCTGGTAATCCACAATGCGGCGTTTTCAAGTGCATCCCATCACATGAAAGAATAATTATAGAAAATAAAATTACGTATAGCATTTTACTTTAAGACTCAAATGTGCGTTAACGGTGCTTTTGAAAACGTTGCACAGTTATTTGAGTTAAATACTTTACGGGTTTTTGCTCTTTGGTGGCCGCTTCTTTGTTTGTATTTCTGTGTGTGTTTGTGTGTTTGCTGCTTCTATTCCTACTGCTTCTTAATTAAGTTTATTTGATTTAAAAATATGCGTCTATATATATGCTCGGGCGGTCGCTTCTTCGTATTTAGTTTCCAGCCATCCAGTTAAAAAAACACGTCCGCTTGCAACTAACTCTAAATAAAAACTAAATTGTTCTCAGCACATAAAATTGCCAAAAACGTTTCAGAGTCAGCGTCAACGTCGACGTCGCCGTCGGTGTGGTGTTCGTGCGAGCGATCGTTAACAGTGGAACGCGAGAAGGAAATAAAAGAACGCAAACTGCTACGCGAAACTCACCACAGTCAGGCGCAATGCAAACACAAACACACACACACATATACGCTCTGCCCAAGAGTGAAAAGAAAAACGCAAAAACACTAAACAAAAAATGTGTGTGTATATTAAATAAGTTTTGCTATATGCGTTTGGCATTGAAAATGAGATTTGCTTTACTCATTAGCTCGCCAAAATATGCCGCTGATTTCAGCTACCAAATATGCCGTATGGCCTTATTGCTAAAATCCCCCATTTCAAAAATATGTACATAACTGCAATAATTATTTATTTTATTATATTTATATATTTGCACGTATCAAGCTGATTCTGCATGGTTGAAATGTCTGTGATAAGCGAAAACAAATCATTTTTGCCGGTTTAGATAAGAGGGCGGCCGCAGAGCTCAAGAAATGCCGGCAAAGTAACATGCTGAGAGCGTTGCGAAACGAAATGGCAATGGAACAGCAGCACGTCACTTAACAGGGCGCTGTTAGCGGCGTCAAGCGCCGGCCAAGACAAAAATACATTTATAATTACGCGATTACCTCATTTGGGCAACGATTTCGCTTATTGTTGTTGTTTTTCATTGTTGTTGCTGTTTGATTGTTTTCTCTTCTCATTTTTTTTTGCTGTTATTTATTTTTTTTTGCAAAATGACAAATTGGCAATGCAAATGCCTAACTATATTGTTTGTATGTGCGAATTTCGAATTGCGTTCTGAATCTGTGACTGAAAAATGTGTGCAACACGTTCCAGCTTTTATAATAATTTACTTAAATTTGTATATATTTTTAATACTCACGATGAAGTTGGAAATGTAAATTTTGAATTATTGACTATTTATAGAAGGCTTGTTGATTTTTGCTTACATTTTTGGTATACAAAAAATGGTATACAAAATTTGGCTAGCAACTTGTTTTTCACCACAGAATATGTTCAGTTTTTAAATGTAATTAAATATGAATTAATAATTGATCGGAGCTTCTATAAGTATGATTTCATTCATAAAAAATAAGTGTTCTTTTCTGCAAAACAGAACCAACCAGCTTAAATTGCCAAATTGCGCTAATGCAGATAATTTTATCTACAGCCACAAATAACTTAATTCCCTGCATAATACACTTAAATACTTTTTAAATGCAAAGAGTATTACGCAATGTTTTTAAGTAGTTTTTGAGTGAGTAACAAAATGTTGATTAGATTTTTGCATGTCTACCCAGCCGAAAAAGTAAATCTCAAGTATAAATGCATTGAGAATTCTGCGTCGCAGTTAAGGAATATCAATATAATATATGGATAGTTGGCTGTATAATTGTCGATGACCAAACTTTCAAAACATTCGGGTATTAGATCATTTCGATGATGGCATTGTCAATTTTTCAGCCAGCAAAATGACGAAGTGAGATTTTATTTAAATGTATGTTAATGGGGATAACGGAATAACGCAATTTTCCGCAATAAATATTCGAGAGATTTGCAATTGTTTACGTTTTAATCTCTTTTTTTTGTATTCTTTTATTTATTTATCTTTGGGTTTTCAAGCAGTCATAAATTTGATGCATTAGCATAAGACGCATTTTTGTTTTCAACTCGAAAATAAATATAAAAACAGCTAGTTCTATAATGAAATTTCAGTGGTGAAATTCACTTGATCCAGACACCCATGTAAATATGTATAATATTTACGAAAAACAATTTACTACCAGTTGTTTTACCCTGGGCCATTAAGTTGAAGGTTAATATTAATTAAAGCGCATAACAGCTGTTAAGACATTAGACTTATAAGCAGGTGTTTTAAGCCCTACAACAAAGTAATTAACCGTTTATTCAAAAAACTGAACATTAACTAAGATTGCTCATATAGAGTTCTCAATACCTTATCGCAGTCAATTAGCTACCAAGCAATTCAGATTGTCATTAAACGAAATCTCAACAAAATTGTTTTCGCCGTCGCCAATACAAATCTTAGATCAGTGCTTCCGATCTGAAAACGTCACAAAACATTATCGCTGGACTTTCAAAAAAAAAAGAAACAAGAAACTTGACTGAAGAAATGACGACCAGTGAAAAAAGACATTAACAGCTGCTGCTCTCGTTTTTCAACGAACGGCGACTGCGGACAGCCAACTGCGGCTGTCAGGAAAATGTGTATAAAAATAAAATAAATACGAACTGATGCTGAAAATACGTATAACACATGTCTTGGGTGAAAATTGGTGTCACTGCTGCATTAAGAAAGGCCGCGGCATGTTTTCCTTTTTCTTATTTATCTTTTCTTTCTTTTCAGTTTCTATTTTTTGTCTTTTTTTGTGTTTACGTGATCGGCGACCACACACACGATGTTAATGTCAGCTGTGGTGAAATTCACTCTGTTAACGACGCTGTTAAAAGCAAATGTTGCTGAGACCATCCGCAAAATGTTGCCCAACATTTGTTGTTTAATGAATGGGAAACGAAATGCAAAACATCATTTGCCAAATTGGCAACGATTTGTTTGTGGTTTTTTTTTTTTTTTTATTTTAGTGACAAGCGCCAGTCAAAAGAATTTCCGCAAAAAACAAGCAAGTTGAGTTCTTATCAAACAAGAAATTATATATATATACCATATGTATATTATAGTATTTGTGTACACAATATGAAATTTATGCCTGCAAAGTTGTTCTATTATCGTGTATGTCTCAAAATCAGTCCACAACTGATAAAGTCGACGCTTTGGCACAGTTACCAGCAAGCAGCAGCGGCATTGGGCATGCCCCAAGTGCTGATATGGCCTATTAATATATACGTGTATACGTATATGTATAGGAAAAGACATGCTTATGGCAAGCACTGTGTGTATTGTCTTTTGACATTTAATGATCAACCATTCTAAGAATTCAAATAGAAATGTTGCGTACGCAAGTAAGTCGCTATTAAAAGCGTGGCTTATGTAAGCGACGACACACAACCAGCTCCCCAAACAAGCTGCCGCAACAAACCGAGCGTAACTGTTTCGGCATGACGTCAGTGCACAAGGCTTAGCTGCTCAACGAGCCGAGAGAGACAGAGAGAGAGAGAGAGAGAGAGAGAGACAGAGATAGAGACATAGAGAGAGGGAGATGGAGAGAACCCTTAACCCCCTCTTAACTGATGTCACAAAAACAAATCCAGCAAATGAACAAGATGTCTTTTACAGCTCCGATATCTGATATAAATTTGTATCAATCTTTAAGTAGAACCCGTTTAATTGTTGCTCAAAATATATATAAAAAAAATAATAAAGACTGGAATTGCCTAGCAATAATGTTTAGTTAATTTAGGCAGTTAATTAACATGAAATGCAAATCAATTATAGAATGTTAATTTATGCAGCGAACGTTGCGAATTCGATTTCCGGAGTAAACATTTCGTTAAATTGACCAAACGTTTCGCACAGTTAACCACATTGTCTCCATATAGTAGAGATAGTATATATTATATATATTATACATAGTACTAGCTGATGTTTACCCAGATTCGATTGTGGCAAAACATTTCAGCTTCCACAGCACTTCAGGCCTTATTTTTTTTACTAGCCATCTCAGTGCTTACTTCTTATATATCATTGGTAATTAGTCAAATCAGTCAGGTCTGTCATTTATATATATATAGATATTGGATACAGGTATTTATATTTGTTTTTACTCACTTTGATTGCTGTTCGACTAACTTATCCACTTTGGCCTGTATGGCCTCCGCCGAGGGTTTGTGTACTTCCCCAAGGAATGTGAGGATGGATTTTGAGAGCGCTTCGATTTCTTTATGTGATGATTTAAGTTCATTTGATTCTTCACGCAGTTCCTGTTTACAATACAAATACAAATATTGATAAATTAAGCCAGACTTTTAACACTTAATTAAAGCAACGTCGCTTTATGCATTCGATCGATTAAACGCAAACAAAAAACACATACACAATTTTCTCTACGTTTCAATACGATTCCAGTTTTTTGGGGCCGCTCAAAATTTAACGAAGGTCAACACCAAACAAAACAAAAAATATATTTAAAAAAACGTCGACTTGACTTAAAAGCAAAATTTACTATGCGGCTTGAAAGGAACAAAAACGAAAAAAAAAAAAAAACAAAAAAAAGTGTAGACAACATAAAAAATATTTGCGGTAAGCAAAACACAAAAAAAAAATGTAAATAAACTAAAAAGTCATTCGCATAAGAGACACAAAAAAATGAACAGAATAAAATTTGTTTCTGTCTAGCGAACTCCGTACTACAAGTAAAAGTTGAATTATTTGCCTGGGCAACATTTTTGTGCGTTTCGTGCTGGAGAGATCTATATATGGTGATTTTATGACAACATCGTCTATGTCTATGATTGAGAGCGCGATTCAATGGCCTTATGTTGCCGCTAATTCAATTGATTTGTTGCCTAATAGCTTTATATACTTGGGTCTATTGCAAATCTTTTACTATATTTAGCTTGAGAATTTATAATTTTTCTTCTCAAAACCTACAATTACGTCCAAGCTATGAAGTCATGCAAAAACAATAACAACAAATCAGAGTCACATTGTTGATAACAAAAATAGAAAAAAAATACAAATAAAAACGTGACGATGCTAGAATTGTGCTAACAATTTTTCAGTTGTATAATAACGCAATAACAATTTGCATATAAATAATGTACAGCTAAAAAGGTGTATTTAAGGAAAGTAAAACGAATTATTCGTTTGGACTACATTCAAAGAAACTGAAAGTTAAACAACATTTGTTGACTTTTGTTTTTACAATGCCACAAATCATCAGCAAAAACACATCATTAACTATTTTTGAAAGCACCTAAAGCTCGCCACAAAGAGACATACAGCGAGAGAGAGCGAGAGAGAGATAGAGAGCGAGAGAGAGAGAGAGAGAGAGAGAGTAGTGCTAAAAGCAAGCTCTGCTTAGCAAGAGAACGGAAGCTCTCTGTCAACTTGGCGTGACCATGAACTTGACGACGCAGTGTTGAGATATATATAAACATGCATGTATATATATATATGTATATATATATATGTATATATGTATAAATGTATATATGTATATATGTATATATATATATATGTACATAATACATATATATAGATGCATGTATATAATGCCGGACTCTGGCAAAACATTTGGGGCACGGAAAAGCTCGCTTGGGGTAAAACTTAATGAATGAAATTTCATAGTTCGCTTATATATTACAGTGGTCACTCGTTAATTACCACCTACAACAAACAAAAATGTACTTCACTACTACTACATTACTTGCTATCTTCTTTTGTGTTTTATGTGGTTATAAAAACTAAAATCGGGCGCGAGTACTGTATACAAATTGTTGATACAAAATTATATTCTCTGTGTGTATGTGAGGGCATTCATAGGATGTACGTAATAATAATAACAATAATAAATCAATTAAGCAAGAGCAGGCACATATGAGCTCATGTGCCCAAAATATTTCGAAAAATTATGGCGAACAGTGGAGAATTTTGAGTTTTGAGTGAGTATCGTTTCAATTCTTACCTGAATGGCATTCTTTGTATCTTCCAAGTGACGTCGGGACCTTACAGTCGGGTCGACATTGCGGAACTTATCTGCCAAGCGACCTAATGCCTTCTCCCAGCCGTGCAAGCCGTTCTCGAAGGAATCCCAATGTTCGGCCAACTGTTGCAGGCTGTCGCGTCTCTGTTCCAAACTGTGCACCAGATCCTGCCAGTCGCGATTTAATCCGGCGTTATCCTGCTCAATCAGCTGGCGATTGCGTGCGTCCGCTTGGCGTATGAGTGATTGCGCCTGCTGATTGACGAGCGACAAGTCACTGTTCTGGCTCTGCAAACAAACAAAAGTAACAGTCAACAATCAACAATTGACGACAAACAATTTTCACAATTTTGCAGCACAACTTCAGAATGCGTCTTTTGGATTATCACAATATGTTTGGTGTAAAAAGTGTTAAGAAATGTTCTCAGATTATAAAAGTACAATAAATATGTAGATATATATATATTATATATATATATATATATATATTGTGTATATATATATGTGAGGCTGTCAGTGTGCACTGTGTTTTATTTCCAATATTTTGAGTTGTAGCTGTGATGCCAGCTTTGTTTCACTCAATTTCTATATTATAGACATTTTAATGGGTTCAACTTTGACATATGTGGCATATTGCATGTGGCATGAACTTTCGCTGCCTCTGATGCCTTTTCTCAATTCTCACCTAAAACCAAATTCACAAACACAAAAAGCACTTGCTAATTGTGGCACTTGAAAAGTATTTATTTATTTTTCAGTTTTTTTTTGTTGTTTTTGTTATACTTATATACACAATATATGTATATGTTAAGTGTATCTTTTGACTACTTTTTTTTTGTGTATATTTCCTGGTTTTTTTTTATTTCTTTTTGTTGATGACGTTAGCTTTAAATTCGTTTTGCTCTGCTTCTTCAGCTGCTGCTTGTTCTCTTCTCTTTCAACTTGCGCTGCTCAAGCACATGGCATTTCTAATTAGATACTGTGAGCGAAACAAGTAATTCAAATTTGACAAAGCTGCACACCGAAAACACTAACAAAAATAACACTTTATATTCTGCTTCTTTGCTTTTGCTTTGCTTTTGCTTTTGCTTTGTCGCTGTTTCTTCACTTTGTGATGCGCATAATATAAAATACAGTCAACCGCACAGATAAACGTCTCAACTAGAAGTGAATTGCACGCAAAAATGAAACTCACTCGGCGAAAAACACGGCATTTGTCCACCCAAGCATGTGTTAGAACTGAGTAAGAGAGCAAGACAGCAAAAGAGAGCGTGAGAGCGAGAGCGCAAGGTGAAGAGAACAATTGCCGCTAAAGAAAATCGAATAAAAAGCCGACGGAACACGTTTTTCTGTTTGCGGCGAGAGGGAGAGAGAGGGTTGGTTCAAAGGGGAGAGCCGGTTATGTGCTGGGAGGCCGTAGGCGTGGGCTGAGTCAAACAATAAAATTGCTCTTGCGCTCTCACACATACACGGACAATATCGCGCATACGCCATCGATACAATCTCAATTTGACTTGACTATAAGCCGGCATGCCCTGTCACAGCAACAGCAACAACAAACTCAGCTGTCCGAAAGAGAGCCGAAAGCTCGCTCACTTTGCCAAAAAAAGAATATTTAAAAAAAGCTGTTAAACATGTGTTTATTGATGCTACACACACACAACATGCTTGGAATTAGAGCTGCACGCACAGAAAACTTGAATATCTCACTAGAAAAGTCCAAACCCTAAATTATTTATTCATAAATTGTAAACTTTGGTTGGCTAAGCTTTATAATAATAATAAATAAGTTTATTTTGTTTGCAAGTCCCTAGCAAATAAACTGGTTATTCTCAGTGGATTTTGCGACGGTAGCCGTTGCTGATGATGTCATGAACTAAACTCAATAATAACAACAACGACACGAACAGCTGGCCTCAAAAATACAATTGTAATATTTACTCTTACAATTCCAGACAGCGGCAGACAGCTCATCGTCAACAATGTTTGCCGGACTATACAAAAAAAGGTCGATGATAAGCTTAACAAGTGCGGGTTAAAAGATTAACTCATTAATAAGATTTCAAGGTAAGAGACACAGACAGACACAAGCGAATCAACTATTAAATTGGAAGAGAGAATAATAGAGCGAGATAGAGAGTGAGACAACACTCAATGCAATAGCAATCGCTAAAGAGAAAGATAGAGACAGAGAGATAGAGAGCGAGTAATGTAGCGAAAAGTTTCAAGCATTGCTTATGCCGGCCGGCAAAATGCTGTATGCGGGCAAAGATTGCACTCGGGAGCAAGAGTCAGATACATTCTCTCAAAATGTTGCAGATACATATTCTTGTTTTGCAGTGGCTTGGGTAAAGGAACTTATGAAAGATAGACTTCGTGTCACACATAAAAACAGGTCTTCTGTGAGCATATGTGCATATAGGCTCTATATGCATTTGTATATAAACATTGTAAATTGATACAGCACTATAAAGAAACTGCACAAGAAGTTTTCAATTTATCTCTTTGAGTGCGGAATCTGACTCATTGGATAAATGCCTATGGCACTGACTCACACACACGTACATACATAACATGTAATACATAAGTATGCAAGTATACATACATTATGTAAAGTACGTTCACATTCAGAAAGAGAAGCACAGAAATGAGATTAACGAAATTCTGCTTCGTACTTGGCTTCCAGATATTTATAATAATCGAGCAAAATTGCTGACATTGCTTTAAGTTTAAGTGTAGCATTATGAATATGATATAAATAAATTCACAAATAAGAAATTGATATTCTTGTATGAAGATTAGCTACGTTTTATATATATATATATATTATTTTTTTTTACTTATGCACATTTAATTCAAGAAATACAGTCAGCTAGAAATAAATGAATTAATGTGTAAATACAATATTGAAGTGCATGTCCGCGATTTACAGTATATAACAATTGGTCTAGAAACAGGATATGTTGCTAGTAACCTATGACTTTCGGACAGACAAGGGAAATGTAAAGAAGTAAAAAATACTCGCAGTAAATAATGTTCCCAACGAGTTACATGGATTTTGAATAGTATACGATTCCCCATACATTTCAATCATATGTTTGATATACACATAACAGAGCTGAGAGTCAGTCAGACAAATTCCCAACTCATGCTAATTACGAGTCAATATATTGTGATCGAATCTTACTTAATGGGTTGTTTATTAGCTCACCTGTATATTTCCAATGGCATGCGACAGCTTCTGAATATTAAAGTGGAGGCCAGCCAAATTCTGGACGGGCTCATCGCTGAATTTGGTGCGCTCAATGGTGGCCTTGACGCGATCGATGGACTGTTGATATTCGCGCCAGCGTTCCGCCTCCTTCTCCAAGTCGCTCTGCTGTGTCTTGGCATTGGACAATGTGTTGGCCAATTTGGTTTGGAACTGGGTTAGTTCGGCGGATAGCTCGGACTGTTCGTAATTGTTCAGGGATGACCAGATTTTGTCGGATGCTTCCTGAATTTGCTTGTGCACCAAATTCCGGATGGGTGCCTCATTGCCAAAGAAGATCTTGTGCTCGTCCAGATCGTGAACGAGATTTGCGTAATCAATGCCATGCTGGCTATTCTGCAAACGCAACTCTGCCTCGTGCACCCAATCATTAAACTTGGCCACCAGCTGCATGTACTCCAAACGGGAGTCACGATTGTTCTTCAAATACTTTTCGCGCTCCTCCAGCTCATGGGGCAGCGAGGCGACCAGGGAACGACCCTCGGACAGCATTTCCAACAGAGAACTGGGCAAGCCCACATCTGTCTTGACACTCGCATTGATCTTATTGAACTTTTGTAAATGTGCTTCAATGTCCTGGCTGAGCGATTGATGCTTTTGCAGCTCACGTTCGACAGATTCGGGATCACGATCGAGTAGTGGACGCGACTTGGCGATGCCCTCGTTGTTGTGCAACCAGTCCAGAATCTCGCTCAGATCATTGGCCATCTTCTTGTGGGATTCCAATTGCAACTGATGCTTCTGGCGCTGCGATTCGACCGCCTTGCGTAGATTCTGCAATTGATTCTTCAGCGACTGCAGTTGCTCAGTGATGCTATTCTTGTCGGCCGCATTGCCTTCGGAGGCAATCTTCTGACCCTTGTCATTGGCCGATGCCAGAATACCCTCGCATTCCTGTATCTTCACAATGACATCATCGTACTTGTTGATCTTGTCCTCGAGGCTGTCCGGTGAGTTCTCAATGTCGATTATGACATCGGTGTACTTCATAATGAAGGCAATAATTTCATTGATGAGTGCGATGAATTGTTCGCGCAGCAGCAACAATTGACGCAAATGTGCCAATTGATCCTCAATCAATTTAATCATGTCGTCCTGTTGTGCGAGAATGCTCTGCAATTCGGGCAGATCATCCATTTGCATGTCACCCATTTTATGCTTGCTATCCTTCAGCTCCTTCAAGATGCCCTCATACGCTCCCAACAGATCCTGCACATCCTCAATCCGGGAGCCAATGGGTCGATTTAGCTCGCGCAGACGCTGCTGTATGTTGCCCAGGAATTGACTGCAATCTGCCAGTCTATTCTTGGCATCCTTGTACTTCTTGATGTGATCACCCAAGGTGTTCACACGATCATCGATCGTCTGCTTGATGCGTCCAAAGCGATCCTTCATGTTCTTAATGTCATCATTCAGTTTCAGTTTGTCTGCATTGCTCAGCGTTGGCAGGATGCTCTTGCCCTGCTCGGACACGTCGTTGATGAGGCCACCCATATTGTCGGCATTCTGCAGGAGTTTCTTGTAGTGCGCCAGCTGCTCCTCAAGGACGGGCAGACTCGTTGTACGCAATTCACTTTCATTTGCAGTTTCCATTTCGTTCAGCCAGTCGCCCATCTTCTTCATCGAATCTTCAAAGGCCTTGCGACCCTGGAGTAGATCATCCAAGGATTTACCACGCTTGCCACTCTCATCCTTCAAGGTCTGATAGTCGGCTGCGATCTCATCGAGAATTTGCTGCAATGCTGCCTTGTCGCCATCGCCACAATCCTTCATAATGTTCGCCGCTTGACGTTGAACATCGGTCAGGACGCTGTCATTGAATTGCTTGGCATCATCATCGTATTTCTTATTCTCCTGGATTTTCTTCTCGATCTCCGTGGATGTAAGCGGATGATAAACAGGCAGCTTGCGCACCTCAGAGATTTTGGTCTTCAGCCATTGACGTGCCTTATCCAAATCATTCTCCAGCGCTTTGCGCGCCTTGCTCGCCTCCAGTGCACGATCTAGCTCCGCCTTTAGGACGCCGGACAGATTGCGATTCTCGCTGTTGAGATTACGCAACGCCGACTCGAGTTGGGCATATTCTGCCGATTCCAATTCGGGCTGCATGTTAGCGATACGCTTCTCGAGCACATCGGCAAGCGATTGCTTTGCCTCCGCATCTTTCATCAGGCTCTTGATCTTCTGCTGGCGCGCCTCGGCATCTTTGGGGGAATAGCCAAGTGCGGCTGGTGCTTGCAACTCATCGATTTGCTGCTTGACCCATTGCTGCAGTTGTTCAATTTCACCCTTGGCGCCGTCGACTCCTTTGTTGGTCACGTCCAACAGTTGAGACTTGCGATCGATACGCTTACCCAGATCGGCAAAGCGACGATCCAGCGATTTCATTTGCTCCTCAACCTGTTGGCCGTCCAAATTGCTGATGACCTCCGCCACCTGAGCGGCCTTGCCCTTGAGCTCTTGTATCTTGGGATGGCCCTGCAATTCGTACTCATTTTTAATCTCATTGATGGCAGCCATCTTCTGGGCACAATTCAGTCCCGAGCCGCGATCCAACACATCCATGCGCTTGATTAGGGTATCAAACCAGTTCTGCACATCCTGCATGCCCTGGCGATAGCCATCGATAACATTCTGGCCCGCCTGCTTCTTGGCAATTGCGTCCATTAGCTCCGATTCCAACTTATCAATGTTGTCATCCAAATCAGTGTCCTCATCGCCCACTATTTTAAAACGAAAAGAGCCATGTTATATTTAAAATACTGCGATGCTGTTTTGGAAACTCCAATAACAATAAGATGTTCTTCAACTATTTTGATATTTAAGATCTTAAGCATTGTATTAATTAATACTTACATGAACCAGTCATTTCGAGCATCAGCTGGGAGCGTTTGTCGCCAATGGAATTCAATAGATCGTTCATGGCGACCAGCTCCTGTTGGGCGGCCTCGGGACGCAGTTTGCATGGCCGCATTAGCCAATCGCCGACAGAGCTTTGTTGCTTCTTAACCCAATCCTGAAGTTCGCCGCGCTGCTTCTGCTGTTGCTCCAGTTCGCTAACGGATGCAGTCAAACCACCCAAGTGGGATTGCACCTGTGAATTAAGCGCTCAATTAGACAACAGTTGATGCTAAATGCCATTTATATGAATGGATTAAGTGACATTATTTTTAGTATGATTACAGTAGAGTGTTAAAGCCAAGCCGCCACCAGTTGAACGTCAAGTTCAAATTCACACTCCGGTGACCTTTGGCTTACCTTAGCGACAAGTGCATTCAGCTTGCTCACGTGTGCACTATTCAAGCGTACTATGCGACGATAGTTGCTAATACGCTCGTGAGCAATCGGATCCAATAGCGCCTCGTTCACATCGCTGAGCTCAACGTCGAGATCGTTGTCATCGTCGGTTGAGCTCTGAGTATTTGGCGGCGGTTGCTTTTTATATCAAATTCAAGCATAGCATTTCGACAGATTGGCAGGCAGGCAGACAGATAGACGAGCGAGAGGCGGACGGGCGTTTCAAAGTGGGCGTGGTAGTGCGGTTTATAACAACAACAACAAGTTACAGGTGCGGCAAATCAACATAAGTTAGAGGAGCGGTGTTTATTGGTGGGATTTGGTATAGTTGGAGTAGTTTGAGTAGTTGGGTTAAGGATAAAAGTAAATTAATATAAATAACAAAAGATGTTTTGGTTAGTTAAGTAAAAAATTAAAAGTTACTTTGCAACGATAGATATTGGCCAAATTGATATATTGAGTGCAAATTCCTAGAGAGAATTCTCATCACTGATAGTTAATAATTTTGTTTAAACAATTATTTAAAGAAGATAATTAATACTCTTTATAATCAGCTTTTAGCGATGATTAATTTATAACATCAGTCGCTAAGCATCTTTGATAAGAATTCTCTTCTAATTGCAGTCTATTATATTTCTTTTGTGGCCAATTTCTAGTAAGGTTAATACTTTTGCTACGGGATACAACAACTAAATTGTACAGTTCAAAGAAGTTAACTGTAAAACAGAACTCGGCTCATTAACAAATTGATAACCCACCTGATCCAGCAGATCTTCGAGCTTGGCGCGGACAATCAATTCACGTTCGGGTATGGCATGCATGGCTGTTTCGAGCGGAGAGCTTGGACGGCTTATCGATGCTGTTGCTGCCTCACAGGCCTGAACGGCTGCTGCCAATCTGGACTTCTCGTTGTTCAGTTTGTTTTGCATGTCTTGAGCGCACTTGAGTTGGTTCTGCGCCAACTCCAAGCTGGTAGCTGGTGCATCCAGTTCGGTTTGTATAATTGGCTCATAGGTTTCCAAATTGCGCATGATTTTATCCAGCGTATCCTCGTACTCCTGGAACTTGGCCAGCGACTCCAGCAGGCGATTCTTGATTTGAACCGATGTCTGCAACAACGAATTGTAGCTGTCCTGGATGTTCTTTAATTGGGACTCAACCGTTGGCCGTATTGTGGGCGTTGTGGCCTCATAGCGTTTAATTTGCGCCTGACCCTTCGCATTCAGATCATCCAAATTGGTCTGATACTTTTGAATCTCGCCCAGCAGTGCCTCATGCTGTTTAATCTGCTCCTGCGTCTGTTCGCGGTTTGAAATGAATAGCGAATTGTGTGCCATCAGTTGGAAGGAAATTTGCAGTAGCCATTTCTCCACATCCTGGAGACTCTGATGGTATGCATTGTAATCGAGCATCTCCTGTTCCAGATCCTTGATATAACCGGCACAGTCATTCTTCAGCTTATCGCAACGGGACTGCAAGCGATTGACGGCATCCACCTCGGTGCCCAGATCACGTGCCTCCGACATTAGCTGCTCGAGATCATTGCCCTTCTGTTTGAGCTCATTGCCTAGCGTCTTGTAGCGCTCCAGAAGCGTTTTCATCTCGCTCAACTCACCCTTGGTCGATGGAGCTACCTTCAGTGCCTTCTCTGTTTCGAGCAGCCACTTGTCAAGTTTATCCTTATTGGCAGCGAAATCGTTCCAACGATTTTGGGCTTGCTTCAAGTCGCTAAGCTTCTGCTTGACAGCCAGACCCAAAGCATCCCAATCCTCACGCACCTTGGTCATCAGCTCACGTAGTTTCTCCTGTTTGTCCTCGGGCGTAATATTGGAGGCCTTCGAATAGGCATCTTGGACCATAGCCAGCAAGTGTTGTCCCTCGGGCAAATGGGAGGCCAGTGACTATAGTAATTTTAATATTAAAATTAAATTTAAAATATATTAACAACTAAATATTATCAAGTTAATATGTGTAAAATTATACGTGGCATATTCCAAATAACATTCTTCCAAATTAATTGAATCTTATATTTAATACAACTCACATTGACTGTCTCCAATTTCTGGGCAATGACATTGGCATCACCATCGATGCTGCAATCATTGAGCACTTGCTGAGCCTTTTCGATCCATGCATCCATTTCCTTTTTATAGTTGAGGAACTCGGTGTGGTCGGACAGATTCTTTTCGATCTTGGCAACCAGTCCCTGGGCAGCAGTCAACAATTTGGTGTAATTGGCCTGAGTCTCAATGGTTTGATCGCGGATGCGAGTGCATGCACTCTGCTCCATAAGCAGCTCACAGTTGTCATTGAGATCCTCGACGTTCTCCTTCTCGGCCAGTACCTCGTCGAGTAGTTTCTAAGAAAGAATTTGACATTAGTTAAATGTTTCAATCAAACGAGTTGTGTTAAAAGGCACATAAAGCATATTAGACATAAAGTCTGTGTATAAATGATTAGCTGCAATTGTGATTAAGTGATTAGCTGAAAAATTAGCAATTGTGTTTAGTAAATACTGTTTAGTATGTGATTCAGTATTTCCTATAAATAGTGAATAGATTATAATTTTGGTTTTCTTTTCTTTTTTTGTGAACTACTGGGTGAACTCTTTCGAGTAATTTTAGTACATTTATATTATCATTTTGGTTAGCGTTGCGTAAGAGATTTGACGAGAGATTTGTCGCTTACCTTGGCATTGACCAAATCTTCGGTGGTTTTATTATCGGCTTCCTTTGATTTGGCAACGCGCTTGCTCATTGTCTCAATCCACAAGTTGATCTTGTTGAACTTTTGCAGGAAAGTCTGCCAAGCGGCCAAACAGGACTCCAGACCGCTGCGAGCATCTCGTGATAAGGCCTGCAGGGTTTCCCATTCACCATTCAGGTGTTTGATCTCTTGGGCCACATTATCTTGTCCTTCGCTGCCGCTGGTGGCAATCACCGCCTGGCTAAGCTCTTCGCAAGCATCCAGGAGTGATTTACCCTCCAGGGACGTAGCCTGTATATCACCCAGACGATTGAGACGATCCTCAACTTGATCTTTCTCGCCATGGCAATCGGCGCACTGCTCCACCTCGATGCGTGTGCGACGCAGCCAATCTTGCAACTCATTGTAGGCTTGCTTGTATTTCTCATGATTGTTCACCTGGTTCTCCAGCGACTCAATGATCTTGTTCACTTGAGCTTGCAGATCCTCGAACTTGCTAAGACCTGGTGCAAAATCGTTCTTGTCCAGACTGGTATCCTCACGCAGGCGTACATTAATCTTTTCCACAATATCGTTGTGTCCATTGATGTCACGTTGTGTGACACGGAATTTCTCCAGTGCAGCACGCTTCTCGCTTAGATCGTTCAGATACTCTTCACTGGCCTTAACACTGGGCTCAATGTCCTCCAGCCACTCAAGCAAAATCTTGTACAGCTTGAAGATCTCCTCCAACTGAGCGAGACGATTGGCCAACTTCTGTCGCACATCGTTGAGGTCCACGAGCAGTTTATCAAAGTCCTGCTTTAGGGCTTCGGTATCCTCTTGTATTTTGGCCGCACCATTCTGTTCGGTATTCATTATGACCTTCTCTTTGAGCTCCAGTAGATAGCGCAACTTGTTCTGGCCAGTTTCGAAGCCTTGACGCAAATTCTTAACAGTGTTTAATTTGATTTGCACCTCGTTGAGGGTGCCGGGTATTTGTTCGCAGTCTGCGAGCTTTTCACGCGTATTCTCAATCCATGACTGACATTCCTCGTAGAGAGTGTGATGTTGTTGATGCTCCTGGTAGTGCATCTCCAAGCGTCGCATAACCTCCTTGGCCAATGTAAGCAGCGCATTGTATTTCGTTGTCAGCTGCATGATAGCATTGCTGATGCGCGTATCGGAGCAAGTTTCGAGCAAAACCTGAGCCTTCATGTTCAGATGATCCAGTGTCTTCTGCCAGTCGAAGAGTGTTTGCAAATGGCCTTGGAATTGTTCCAGCACTACCTTCTTTTGGGTAAGACTGTCCTGCAGTTTATTGTAGGACTGCACCAAAGCTTCGGTTTTTGTTAACCACTCAAGCGCCTCGGTGTATTGATCTTGATAGTCTGACCACTTGACAATGCCCACCTCTAGGTAATCCTTTGCCTTGTTGAGGGCCTCCACATAAGCATCGAACTCCTCCTGCAGCAGAGCGACCTCCTCTTCGATTATCGCACAATCCTCGGGCTCTGCAGTGCGACAGGCAATCTCACCCTGTTCCAAAGCATTTTGCAGTTTTTTCGCACCCTCGGGCACCTCACCTTGCAAAATCTTTAGCTGATGTGTTTTCTCCGCCAGCGCCTGCTTGTCACCCGTTGGTTCGGAGCACTTGCTCAGTCGTTCCTTGGCATTACGCAGCCAGCTGGCAAAATCGTTGCCAGCATCGATCAGTGACTGATAGCTATCAATAGTGTTCTTCTGCTTGGCATACAGATCCTTGGCCTGCTTGGTTAGATTCTCGTACTTGTCGGATATTTCTGTAGCGGGTGCGCCCTGTTGTAGGTCGGAGGCCTTCGATGTCACCGATTGGATCATTGGCTCAAACGAGACAATGTCCTGGACAATGTTGTTGGTCTGGCGTAGATTCGCTTTGCGCTCGCTAAGACCACTACTGAGCCCTGGCTGACCACGCTGGGATTTAATAATCTTTTGCTCGCATGCCTGCTGCAGTTTGGCCTCCCTGTCTGTAATCCATTGTTGTAGCTGCGAATAGCTGGAACTGTAATCGGCCCATTGCAGTAGATTTGTTTCGAGCTGCACCTTGGCGGTGGACATTTTCTTAACAAGTCGATCCCAATCGGTTTGCAGCTCCTTCATTTCATTGTTGATGGCCTCGCGACCATCGGAGCGTGTATTCCGAATAATCTTTTCACCATTATTAATGGCTGTATGTACGAGATTTTGGCCTAGTTCACGATTGCGTATGAGGTCCTGAATGTGTTCCAGACGGCGCTGTAGAGCCTCCTTGGAACCGGCACCTTCGCCAGCCGACTGAATTGTTTGTTTGGCATTTGCTATCCATTCCTTGGCCGACTTCATATTGGCATCGTATTCGCGATGCTGATCGCGATTGGTTTCCACTTTCTTCAGCACATCCTTGGCCAAATTTACCTGTACCTGGTAGACGGAGCCCAAGTGTCTGAGCTGATTGTTGACATAGCTGTCCAAATGGGATTTGAGTAAGCCCGCCGCAGAAGCATTGAATTTATCAATATCGTCCTTGCCCTTCTCCAGGCGTGACATTACATCGCGCATATCAGCGACTTGCTTTTCCTTGTCGGGCAGATTTGGGCAGAGGTTTAGTTTGTGGTTCTTCACAAGTATATCGATCTGTTGGAGCCACTCCATAAGACGTTCATACTCCTCCTTATATGCACGCCATTGCACCATGGTAACTTCCAAGTTCTCCTTCTGCTGATTGATCTCGCGGAACAAACTTTCGAAGCTATCACGTAGTGCGCGTATATCATTGCGTATGATCTCTTGGCCCTGTGTCGAAGTACTTGCCAGAACCACCTCACCCGTGTGCACCAAATGCTCGACCAGCAGCTCACCCTGTGCTTGTTTATTCAATAGTTGCTCGGTGGCCTGCACAGCATTCTCGATGGCCAGCTTATCGCTGAGACTACTCTGTTTCAATGCGGGGAATTTCTCCCGAGCACGGCTTATCCAGCTAACAAGATCATCATAGGCTTCCTTGAACAGGCGATGATCTCGGTGCTGATCCTGGCGATCGGACAACAATTTCTGTGTCTTGGCAAACAATTCGTCGAAGGTGTCAAGCACTTTTTGTGCCTGGAAAGCAGCCTGACTCTGTTGGCCGCTGGCAATCATTTCCTTGGCTTGAATCTTCAATGAATCCACATCGATCTTCTCAACGCGCACCTTCTCCTCCGTCGACTTGACGCGATCGAGCTGCGCACGTTTCTCTGTCATTGTTGTCTGATGCTCACCCAATTCCTTCAGCAAGGCATCCAACCATTCGTTGAACTTGCGCACATTTTGCACTTGATCCAGGAAGCCTGACCATTGTGTGATGGAATCATCAAGGTTCGCCTTGACGTCCATAATGCGGAGCGCAATGCCCGACCACAGATCCTGCAATTCCGACAGCTCTTTGTTGATGGCCTCGTGGCCAGCGGGTGCAGTATTTGCCAGCACATGTTGCGCCTGCTCCAAGATCTTGAGCACACGCGCCGAACCTTCGTCCTTTTGCAGAATCACATCCTGTATGGTGGCCAGCTTTTTGTCCAACTCCTTCTGACTCATGGAAGACATATCGGAACAGTAGTCCAATTTCTCTTTAATGCCATTAATCCACGATGTGCACTCAGAGATCGAGTTATCAAAGTCCTCATGCGAAGTAACATATTGTTGCCAGCGATTGTTCAAATCCTTGACCTTGTGGAAGATTTGCTGATATTTGGTTACCAATTCGGGACCAGATGATCGAGTCGTGGAGGGTCCCTTCAGCAGAGTTTGCGCCTTTTCGGTAACATTATCCACTTCCAATTCCTTGGCACGAACATCACCCTGCAGAGCTTTCAACGCATCCAACTGGGCACGCTTCTTCGGCAGATCCTCCTTCAGATCGATGGCATGCAGATCATTGTCGGTGTCACGAATCCAAGCCAAGCATTGATCGCGCAGCTGCTCATACTCGGACCATTGCTGCAATCGGGATTCGATGGCTTCGATAGTCGAGCTAATGGATGCCAGCAGACCCTCCCATTCCTGTTGCGTTGTATCAATTTGCGATTTAATGTTCACTTGTCCAACATTAACAGTACCAGGGATAACCTTCTCGCCCAATGCACGAACTTGATCGACACGCGGAAACTCGTCGGCCAGACTGACCTTCAAATTCTTTAGACGATCCAGATTGGTGTGAAGAGATGTTTGTTCCAAATCAAGATCACCCCAATAGTGCACCGTATTCAATGTGGCATCAATAAACTCTTGGGCATCCATGACAGCCTTTGAGTATTGCTGATGGGCACTCACGATGCCCTCGTAGCGTTCGACGTAAGCTTGGGCGCGTTTTTGTAGTTTGCCAAAACGATCGTTGATATCCTTAAGGATCTGATCAACATGTGCAGTTTTCTCCGGCAAATTAGCTGCAATCTCTTGCAAATTCCCAACCTCCACTTGATGATTGTTGATATCGTTGAGTAGGTCACGATATGACTGCAACTTATTGCGTTTCTCATCCAGCGTTGTTCTCAACTCAATTTCAGTGGGCAACTCGCGCTCTACATTATCCAGCCAGCTCTTCAGACTGTCAGCAGTCTCATCAAATCCTGACCACTTGGCAATTTTATCCTGTATCTTACGAGCTGTGCTGGCAATATTGTCGAACAGCTGATCAAAGGTCAGATCATCCAATTGACTACGAATGGCTTCGCGACCATCCGTTGCTGTTGAACTGTAGCACTTCTCACCCAGTTCGACGGTGCTATTTAGGAGTTGTGTGGCGGTCGGTTGCTGTGCCAGCAACTCCTGTATGACCAGTTGCTTCTTGAGCAGATCGTCGCGAGATGCCACGTTGGTCAAGTCGCTGCATTCATCGTAGCGGATTTGTGCGTTGGCCAACCAGTCGGAGCATTGCTTGTACTTCTCGTTGAAATGACTGTGATCCTGAACGGCTTGCTCGCACTTCTTGAGAATCTCCTTTGCTGTCGCTTGAATAGATTGGAAACGCGAGGAGACCTGTTGCACATTGACTGCAATTCTTGTCTCGCCAGAGCTTTGCACCAACTCCGATGTATCGTCCTTCATTTTCTCGAAGTCCGCTTCGTTTTGGCGCAGGCTCTGCGTTAGCGACTGGAAGCGATTCAGCTGCTCTTCCTTTTCCTCAAAGGAGTTCTTTAGATTGTAGTTCTTGAGGGCATTCTCAGCCTCGCCCAGCCAGCTAATCAGACGATCCAAATCGACTTCATAGTCATTCCATTGCTGCAAACGATTCTCCAGGCCGCTCTTCACATCGGTCAGCGAGCCACCAAACTTCTCGAAATCAGCATGCAAATTGGCCAAATCACGTGTCATGGCTTCCTTTGATCTAGCTGGTATATTGCTCGCATGCCGCTCGATATGCTCCTCTAAGGCTTTCAGTTTAGCCACACCCTCAGGCAGTGCATCCTGGATCTCATTGATCTTTTGCAGACGAGCCTGCAGAGCCGCCTTGTTGCCCGAGTAGTCGGAGTAGCCGGTGAGACGGTCCCAAAGGTTCTTCTGATAGTCCTGTTGGGCTTTCTGCAGCTCACTGAACTGCTGATACACCTCGAAAGCGGCATCCAAATCGGCGACCAGCTTGCCACAATCCAGTCCAACCTGCTCATATCGCTTATTGATGTCAGCCACAGATTTGGCAATCTCATCAGCATTTGCAGGTGCTGCGCTAGACAGCAATGCTGCTGCCTTCTCATTGACAGCCTCGACAATGCGCTTATGCGAATTGATGTCTTGATTGGTAGCCTTATATTTATAGAGCTTCGAGCGAATTTCTTGTGCGCTCGTCCAGCTAGCGGGATTCTCATTGTGTATTAATTTCTCCACCTGATCCAGCCAGTTGACTGTCTGGCCCTGGATATCCTGGTAGCTGGAGAGCTGCACAGTTTGGGCCTCTTGCCGTTTCTCTAGATTGCGAATACCTTCGTCAAGTTTATCCCAACGGTCACGTATGTCACGCAGATCCTTGCGGATCTTCTCTCGACCCTGAGTGGATGTCTCCGGCAAGGCCTTCTCGCCAGCTGCATTCAATGCACCAAATAGGCTCTCGGCCTGCTCCTTCTCTGAAAGAAGTACCTGCAGAATGTTCGAGCTTTGCGTCGGTTCATCCTTGAGCGCCTTCTCCAGTTGGGTTTCAATTGGCTGCAGCCACAAGTCCACCTCGTTGTACTTGTCCTGGTAGTACTGATGATCATCGACCAGATTGGACCAGCGATTGACCACCTCTTTGCTCAACACCTGCAGCAGTTGATAACGGTTTGTGATTTGCGTTGTCAACGTCTTCAGGCGATCAGCACCGCAGTTGTTGAGCAAAGAGTGCGCCGTATCCCCGAAGGCATCGATCTCCTTTTCCTTTTGCAGGATGAGTTCACGCTGTATCTTGTATTTATCCATTTGCTCGACCTTTTCGTGTAGCGTCGACTTGAGTTGTTGATCGCGGAAGACAGCCTCAGCACTGCGACACCATTTGGTGAGCTCTTCAAGATTGTTCTCGAATTTGTGCCACTGTGCTAGCACATCCTTTTGCTTGCCTTCGATGCCCTCGATGTCATCGAAGTGACTCTTCATTGTCGTTTCCAATTCGTCAATTTCCTTCTCAAGCACTTCAATGCCCTTCTCCGAAGTGGCTGGTTTCACATTTTCAAACTGCGAACGTATCTCGCTAATAAGATTCATTGCCTGTGGTTTATTTTGTGCCAATTGACCGAGAGTTTCAATTTTACGCTTAATATCTGCCTTTTCACCGTAGGAATCATCACATTCAAGCAATTTAGCCTTCTCATTTGAAATCCATGTCTTGGCACCAGTCAGGGCATTGTTTAGCTCGCTGTGCTTCTGCACACAATTCTCCAGGTTGTGTAGGATTTCATCGGACTTTTGCACAATATTGTGAAACAACTGCTTGATTGATTGTAGGTAAATATTCAGAGAGTTGTCCTTGATTTGATCAATCAATATCTGTGCCTTGTCGCACACATTATCGACGAGCACATTGTGCGTGGTGATCTCCTGATGCAACAACTTGTGATTCTGGAGCTGGGCACGCTTCTCTTGCAGCGTTGTCTTCGGTTCGGTATGGCTCTGCATGGCCTTATCAACATCCTTCAGCCACTTGGTCAACTGATCCTGAGCAATGCTAAACTCATTAAACTGCAACAGGCACTGATCGATCTTATGCGTAGCCGAGTTCAAGTCATCCGTATAGTTGTCCCACATGGTGCGCAAGGAGCGCAGCTGTTGACGTATAATTTCACGACCTTCGGGACTTGTGTGACCGTACAGCTTCTCGCCGCGATCGATGAGACTCTCAAAGACAGTGGAGTCAACGATGCGTTTGTCTGACATCTCGCGCAGTTTGTTCTGTTGATCCTGCAGTGCGCTCTGGTCGCCAACAATTTCATTGGTTTTGGCCAGTTCAGTGGCGCAGGTTTGCAGATCCTGCTTGAAGTTTTCAAAGTCGTTGTCGAAACTTTCGTGATCCTTGACGTAGTTCACATACTTGGCAATGGACTCTTTGCAGAGATTCTTGAGTGTTTGATAGCGTGTATTCAAACGCGACAGTTTGAGATTCAAATCCGTTTCACCTTCGATTTCACGGCCCTGATCCATGAGTTCGCTTATGGCAGCACCGCGACGCTCAATATCCTTGGCATTATCCTGCAGTTTCTTCAGATGTGCGCTCTTCGCTTCGGCCGTGCTCTTGAGATTCTGGTTCTTCACCACAGCCTCAACATTTTTCATCCAATTGTCAAGCTCTTCGATGATCGAGTCAAACTCATCCCATTGCGAGCAGAGCTGCTTGAGTTTAACCAACGAGTCCTGGCATAGCGACATAAACTCCTCCCACGCTTGCTTAGGCTCCTCAAAGCCCTTCAGCAGAGCCGGATGACCGTTTGGATGAGTTTGGGTAAGCACCGTTTCCAATAGCTTGTGGCAAGTATCGAAAATGGAATCACCTTCGGGCTTGTGCTGCAGCAAATTCTCGACAACAATCAGCTTCTCCTCAGCGCCCTCCTTCTCAAAGGTTGTCTCGTTCAGTATATCAATAGCTTCCGATTTGATGGTGTTCAACCAATCTTGTGCCTTCTCCAGCACCTGATCGTAGGCCTCGTGCTTGACGACCTGATTGCCCACAGTGTTGATACGATCGGAAATCTTCTTGGAGATCGCATTGTACTCCTGAATGGACTCATCCGTTTTACGCTCAGACTCATCATCGCATAGGGTGACAGCCTTGTCGTGCAATTGCTTCAGTGCGTTCTTATGCAATGTAATCTCTTGCAATTGTGTCTTATAGTTTTGGAGAGCTGCTTTCTTGGCCGCCAAAGTCGGGTAGAGTTCGTCGGCAGCGGTGACTTTGGCCTTGGACTCGTTGAGGTAGTGCGACACTTGAGTGTAACTCTCCTCAATGGAGGTCTTCTGTATAAGTACACCCTCAACCTGTTGCATTAGCGCATTGGCCTCGTCACGCAGATAATCGTATTTCTCGCGCATTTGTCGCAAATCAGCTCGTATGTGTTCACGATTCTCAGGTGAGACAACGGGATACAATCCCTCGCCAATGTCAACAGCATTGTTCAGCAATAGCTGACCATTATCGAAGGTTTTCAGATAGTTTTTAATTGTTTGTAATTGTTGGGCGGTGGCCGATGATGAGCCAGGAGAGCCCATGCGTGCAAGTTCCTGGAACTCAATCTTGGCATCGCCAAACCATTCATTAAAGTCCTTCGATGCCTTGCCGAAGTTCGCATTCGACAATTGTGCGGTGCGCATTTTATCCATGTGGCCAGCCAAACTTTTGGCAACCGTCTGGTAGCGCTGCACCAGATGTGTCACAAATTGTCCAATACGCGCCTCGGGATTCTTTACGATTAGCTGCTGTGATGTCTGCTCCAGACTGTTGATGATGGGTTCGTGGGCCAGCACATCCTGCTGCAAGCTGGCCAACTCTTGTAGTTTCTGTGGCACCTCGGGCAGATTCACCTGGCTGCTGGTCTCCGCTTTGACGCGACCCTCAACATCACGCAGCCAGTTGGATATTTTCTCATTTGACTGCTCGTACTCCGACCACAAATCGACATTCTCATCCAGAACGCCTCTGATGCGATCAAAGCTATCCTGCAACGCCTGCATTTCCTTGCCCATCAGCTCTGCATCGCTGTTAAGCTCAACCAAATTCTGTGGCGTCTCCACAGCCTTGAGCATTTCGAGTGACTTTAATGTTTCCGCATGGCGCGCCTTGCAGTCATCAATGCTTTTACCGACCTCTTGCAGCGACGATTTCTTCACGTCCAAGTTGTATTTGTCACTGGTTGATTCGGGCTGGCACCAGGCCACCTTCTCCCGTTGCGTTGTAATAAGACGCTTCAGCATGCCCACCTTATCGGCATGGAATTTCTTGAGGAACTGCAGCAGCGAACTTTCGATCTTCTTGGCATACAGATCAACGCCCTCGTAACGTTTCTGTACATTGTTCAACTCCTTGGGTATAATGGACTCATTGAATGTGGGATAAAGATTACGCAATTCATCCACTTTCTGCTTGATATTTTCGATTTCGTTGCCGCTGTTCTCCAGTTGAGCGCGCAGTGCACGACACTGCAGCAAACGCTCCATGATCTTATTGTTATCTCCGGACATATCATCGCATTTGATAAGCTGTTCACGCAGCTTGCTCACCTGCTCGCCAGCAATCTTCGAGCGTCGGCGCAACTCCTGTTCCTGATCATTGAAGGATGTGGTTACCGCGCTCAGGCGATCCGCATTGTTGCTAACCTCAGCGAATTGATCGCCAAGTAGTTGATTGAGTGTGGACAGTGCGGGTATCTGGGCACCATTGTTGATCTTAATCAAGTCATTGGTCTTCTCCAGAATTGTATCCTTAAGCGCCTGATACGACGGCAGCTCAGTGCGGTACTTGCTCAGACGCATGGGACCGAATTCAATTTCAATTGAGTTATCGGCAGCATCGCACAGACCCTGATTGGTCTCGGATAGCCAGGGTAGCAGATCCTTTTTGGCATCCTCAATCTGTGACCAAATAACCGCTTCCGTTTCATAGACATGCGCGTTTTTGGCGGTTTTATCGTGCAGATCCTGCCACTGCTGTTTGGCCTTGGCCACTTCCTGGGGCACCTCTTGAGGCACTGGCTCACCAATGGCACTAAACAATTTGCCCACATTGTTGCCGCGACGATCGAGCTCATCGAGATTCATTTTGGACTTGCGCAACTGTTCCATTGTCTTGCGTGTCTTCTCAGACGCTTGCTGCAATGCGGTCTCATCGCCCGGCTGTTGGGGTATGGCATTGAAGAGATCCTCGGCCTTCTTAAGCTCTTTGGAGAACTTGTCCTTGGACTCGGCATACTCACGCAGCGCCTGGCTGATGAGATTGTATTTCTGTATACGATCGGCAATTTCATTCTGCAACGAATCGTAGTTCTTGTCCAACACCAGGAGACTCTCCTGTATGGCAGGCATGCTGGCAATATCCTCGCGCATCAGCAAAGAGCCTTCGTCGTGAATGCGATTCTTAAGATCTGCCTGATATTTCAGAGCATCATTCAGCGCCACCAGATCGGCAATGATCTGATCAATGTTATTCAGATTAGGATGCTGTTTCAGGATCTGATCAAGCTTTGCGCGATTCTCGTCCAATGCCTGGCCAAAGTTATGCTCCAGGGCGTGGAACTTGTCCTTCCTCACCGTCATCTGTTGCAATTGCTGTTGCTGATTCTGCGATCGCAGTTTCAGATTCTCCAGCTTGTTTTCCACATCGTTGACAATCTGTGTGGCAATCAGCGGCCGACGAGAGAGTGCATCACGCAATTGTATAGCCGGATTCTCATCGATTTCCTTAGCTTGGCCCTTCCAGTAGCCCAGACCCTGACCGAGATGATCGATCTCCTCGCTGGCTTTCTTAAGCTCCTCGACGGCGGGTCCCTCGGGCTTCTCCAACTGATGCTTCAAATAATTCAAATGCGATTCAGTATCATGCTTCCAGCCCAAAAGCTCAGTCCACTTCTCCAATGCGGCCTTCTTCTGCAGCATGTTCGATTCGAGATTCTGGTAGTTGACCACTAGCGCTGTATACGCATCATTTAGCGCATTGGACTCTTCAGGCGTGGCGCCCAGAGCCAATTGCTTGACCTCATCGTAGATGGCATTGAAACTGGGTTTCTTATCGGCATGCTCCTGCAACAGGGCGTGGATGACATGCAGACTGGTCTCCACGCGTTCGGGATTGATTTCCTCAACTTGGGTGACCTGATTGCGCAACTGCTCCATCCAATTGGAAAAGTTTACCAACTTTGCATTGAAGTCTTGACGCGAAATGATGGCGTCGGAGACCTCGTTGATATTGCCACGAGTGGCCTCGGAGAGTTTCTGCAATTTACCCTTCATGTTGTTCACGCGATCCTTGACGGCAACGGCGCCTTCGGGCGCTAAATGTAAACTAATTTGATCGGCATTTTGACCAAGTGCAACAAGTTTGGCCTGCTGCTGCGAAATCTCATTGTTGAAGGACTTTAGTTTGACCAGCTCCTTGTCCAGCTTGTCAATGTGCGGCGTATTTAAAACAGCCGGACGCTTACCCATTAGCTGTGCACCCTGATCAATCCAATCATCCAATTTGGCAGCATCACTATCGAAGGACTTCCAATTGGCGACAAGCTTCTCGAGCTTGCCGCTGGCCTGTTTAGCATTTTCATGGACCGCAGTCCAACGGGAGTGCATGGCATCTAATTCATCGGGAGCATTGGTTTTGCATAACATTTTATGACTGATGCTTGATATGCCATGGAGTTTGTCCAGTTGGTCCAGGCATTGTGTTTCAAATTGTTTGGCATTTTGTTGCATGGCAACGGCTTCGTCAAGTGTGATGGGCTTAGGAACTATATTATTTACCTTGACCTCGCTCTGCTCCACGGCGGGCTTGATCTGTTGCAGTCCAGCCTGGAAGTGCTGCCAGTTGACCAGATCCTCCTGCACGGCCTGCGACTGATGGTCCACATTGCGATTGATCGCGCTAAGCACTTCCTGCAGCTTGGAGATTTCACCCTTGAGGCGCTTCGCTTCGGCAACGTTGCCCTCTTTCGGTGCCAGCTCGGATGCATCAGCGGCCAACAAATCCAGCTGCTTCATGCGCTCGCCGAGCACTCGCTTAAAGGACTGCACCTTAACAACACGCTCCTCAGGCGTCAGATCCTCAGATTGCAAAGCTTCAATATTTTTGGGTGCCACTTTGTTGGCCCATTCCTGCAGCTCGGCGAGACGTGTCTTGTAGTTGTTCCATTTGGCGCTGTAGTCCTCTAAGTAGCCGACACGATCCTTTACATGCTCCATGGTGTTGAAGAACATTTTCTCCACCTCAGTGACTTCCTTCTCGAGTATGGGACGTTTATCGGCAGCAGCCAAAGGCGCCAACTCCGACTTCAGGGCATGTAACTTGGGCAACAATTGATGTGATGCCTGCTGCAGCTGCACATTTAGATCACGTTTCGACTTCAGATCTTGGCTTACGTTCTTCGGATCGGTTTGCAGTGGTGTCAGAGCACGTAGTTCCGTCTCAGCGGTTTGCAGCATGGAGAAGATGTCGTTTTTCTGATCGACAAAATCACTCCACACCGCTTGAGTGCCCTTCAGTGCTTGCAGTTTGTCTGAGGATTCGGTATAGGCCTGATTCCAGCCGGTCTCCAGATTCTTAACCTCGGAGTTGACAAAGGTCGGAGCATGGACATCCTTGCTGAGATCGCGTCCACGTTGCAGCATGGACATGATATGGGGCCTCTGATGATCGAGCTGATTAATAGCATACTGTTGCTCCTCAATTTGGCGATTCACGCGCTCCAAACTATCGGGTGCCGGTATATTGGCCGTCTGATCCTTGACCTTGGTCAGCAGGCAGACGACTTCGTGAACCTCGCGACGATATGTGTAACACTTGGAGAACACTTCCGTTTTGACCATGGTTATCTCGATGGTGGGTATTAGGTTCTTGTAGCGTGCAATTAGATCTTCGAGTTTCTTTTGCTCCAGATTAGCCTCGTCCTCGGTGGCATAGCTGAGCAGAGAATCGAGTGTTTTGACCAGCCACTTCATGTCCTCACGTTTATTATCTGCATCTTGGCAGATTTTCTGAAGCAAAAAAAAAGTTTATTAATTAAATTGTATTATACATACAAACTACATTAATTTAAACGAATTATGTACCTCAAACAAATATCGGGTTTTCTTATATTAAAACTTTTGACTTTATTTTAATGAGCAAAGAATTTTGCAATTTTAATTTGGTTGAGGTAAATAAATCATATTGACTAGTATTATAGTAGATAGGCAAAAGCAATTAATTTAGTTACCACTAGTTCCCTTAGCTGCATGCAGGCGTTATAAATGGGGATTATAATTTGAAGCTGACTGTTTTTTTAAGGGATTAGCATTTAACTCACCTGGAAAACAACCTTCTCCTTTTCAAACTCCTCCATGGTGTTGACCTCATTAACAATGTTCTTGAGGCTCTGATCCACGCTATTCATCCAATCGATCATCTCATTGAATTTCTGATGATAGCCCTGCCATTGAGCAGGTATTTGCTGCAATGTCTGACGCATATCGGCGAGTCTGTTGGACACCATTTGCCATTGCGACTTGGCATTATCGTATGCCTGATCCAGACTAATATCACCCGGCTGCTGTTGTCTGTGCGCCTGTGCAAGACGCTGCATATTTTGTAGGCACTTCTCCAGGCGCGGCACCGCATCCTGTTGAAACAGAAATTGTTGATTGCGTTGCAATATGGAGTCAACATCTTCGTTGCGATTCAGCGCCTGCTGCTCCAGTTGAAGTTCCTTCTCGACGTCTTTGAGTGACTGATAGAAGGCATTCTCGTCCAGACGGAACTCGAGTTTCAGCAGATGCAATGGTGCCTGGGACAACACATTCTTCCAGCGCGACTGCAGCTGCTCGACACTCTGAACCACATCCGCTTGCTCCTGGCTGGGCAGCGTTGTCAGCAGCTGCTGGGCGGACTGAACCAGATCGTTCATCCAGCGATCGTTGACCTGCTCGAAGAAGTACTTTTGCGTTTCAATCGTTGTCTTCGACTCAATGTGCTTCTCCACGAGCATGGACTCGGCCTGGGTGAGCCATTCGTTAACAACGCGCTCGTTATCCTTGAAGTTACTCCAGCCACCGACAGCATCGCTCAAGCGCTGCTCCCACTTGCCCGCATTCTGTATGACATAGTTGAAGCGTTCGTTGAGCTGCTGCATCTGCTGTGCAGCTGGGGCCGTATCAATTTTATCATCGGACGCCACATTCTTGACGAGATTCTGGAACACCTTGTTCTTGCTCTCAAGCATGGAGCGATAGTAGACGGTGCGTGAGAAGTAAGTCTTGTGCGTGTGCAGCTGCTCATTGATGAGCTCCCGGCCGCCGGTTAAATTGTGTGTGCCCAGCAGTTGTTCGGCTTCGCTCAGCCATTGATGAATTTCCTTTTGGCCCGCCTCCAGCGATTCTTGCTGTATCTGCAGCTGATGGAAAAGGTGCAGCTTGGCGGGCATTTGGGCGCGTATGCGCACCAGAGACTCCTTCTCCTGCTTCAGTAGCTTCATCATTTTGTCCACCTCATCGCGCGACAGATCCTGGATGAGGGACTGGAAGTTGCGACTGATGGTCTTGAAAAGCTCCTCATTGTCATCGATCTCACTGGCGAGCTGCTGCAGCTGTTCGCCATAACGACGTATCTGCTCGCTGTTGCCGAGTACCTGACGTTGATCCAGGACACTCTCGGCGCCACGCAGCCACTTGGAGAGCTTCTCAATGCCTGACTTGTATTCCTGTCGTGAGCGTATAATATCACCAGCATGCATATATTGCTTAGTATTGGCAAACAAACGGTCGAAGCGCTCAGCTAAGGCGCCATGACGCTGACGCAGCTGCTGCGCAATTGGCTCCTCACAGGATGCAATCAGATAGTTTGCTGAATTGCTCAGGGCATCAAATTTATCCTTCCACACGCTGATGTCCTGGAAGAACTCCAATCGATCGTCTTCGCTTTGATTCAGTTTCTGCTCGGCGAGCAGTAGCCACTCCTCGCAGCTGGGTGCCAATTGGTTCCAATTGCGCCAACAATTGACGACCTCCTCAAGCGAATTCTGACAGCATTTCAACTCCATGGAGACACGCTTCCAGCGCTCCTCAGTTTCATACATGAAGCGATCGATTTCATTGATGTCTTTGCGGGCAACGTTGCCCTCCCGCTTGTATTCATCGACGACCTGTTGCATGTCGACAAAGGCTTTTTGGAACTCCTGGAAGATCTTGTTGCGTGAGACAAAGTTCTTATACTGTTCCAATTGCTGGGCGACCTTCTCCTCTTGCCCGTACTTGCCGGTCCAGCCACGCATTTTATTCTCCACCAGATTGAGGAAGGCAATTAGGCAACATTTGTGCTCGAGGAATTTCAAGCGAATTCTACGCTCAGCGGACTTGGGTCCGATCTCTTGCAGGCGTCGCTCCATGTTGCGCAGCTGCTCCAGTGGCACCTGTTGAGCCAGTGGCGAGCGCTTGGCATTGTCGAACATGGCCACAATGCGCGGCAGATTGGCAAAGAACAGCTTGTGCTCCTCCAGCTTTCTACTGATCACAGCAGCTGTCTCCTCATTCATCGCATTGGGTATATCGTTGTCCATCAAAAGTTTTTCGGCCTCGGCCAACCATTTGCCGACCGTACCGAATTCGCCGGGCAGCTCAGCATCCAATAGCCAGAGCCAGTACATCATCTGGTATTGGAGACGCTGCCACAGCTCATTAATCTCATCCCACGATTGACGTGAGACCTGCAGAAAACCACTCTGGCTTTCAACCAGTTGCTTCAAGCGGTTGTAAGCCGCCAAATGTGCATCGACTTCAGAACGTGCCAGTAGATATTCACCAAAATCACGTGGAAATGAGTTCATCATAACCATCGGCTCGTATTCGGTGGTCTTTTCCACCAGGAAACGACGCAATTCATCCACTTCTTGTTGCACATGTGACGCTTCACGCGAGGCACCCTGAAAAACATTTAAATTGATTAGCAACTGACGTGCACACAAATCACTTGGATGTTTGAAGCACAAAACTCAGAATAAGAATGATTTTGAGTTAATTAATCATTCCTACACACATGTTTATACACACCTTTGGTTCAGGATACTTGTGCAAGAATTGCGCCACATATGTCATTATACTCTTCTCATCCGGTTTGGGTACGTCCACATCCTCAGCGTCTAAAAGTTTGGCAATGCCCAATTTGTTTTCGGCCACATCGAAAGCAGTCTCTAAACGCTGACGATTGCTGGCCTTCTTTAGCTCAGCTAAATTGACCAGATTCGCTTTGATTGCATCAATAAGTGCGAGGAAAGCGACGCCATCTCTCCAGCTAGCGCCGAAATCCTTTACCTCTACACCAATGTCTCTGCAAATGAATAAGTTAACATTAATTTCAATCCATTTATATTAGCCATCGATTTGTACTCACTTTGGCAAGGCGTTTGTTACCCAGTTGAGTAACGTTTTCTTGGCACCTTGCTTCCATTTCTCAGCCCTAAGATCACTTCCAGCCTTATGATTGCCAACACTGTCGAGGGAGCTAACCGAACCGCCAATACCATGACCCAAATATTCTAGGTTGCGGCTATTCTCCTCGATCTGTGAAAATTGATACGTTTAGTAAAACAAAATTAATAGTTTTAAAATGTACAATGAACGATATGTAATGGGTAAATAATAATTTTGGGTGCTTCATAAATAAGAGCTACCAACTTAAAAACTATCAAAATGAAGTACGTAGGACAACAACACCAACAACTGATTACATCGATTTTAACCTACCTTTGGCGCATAATTTATAACTACAACTAAGTTTTTCCGCCTCTTTTTACGAAGCTTGTGTTTTTTTGTTAGATTTTGATATTTTTTTTTTTCAAAAGATTTTATAAATAAAATACAGAAAAGAAGATATAGAGGGTTAATTACATTTAGAATTGGCATTGTGAATAGCTATTTGGTGCTTCATAAGTAGCTCGTTTAAGGTTTGGTGACAAAGTGTACAGCTAGCAACCAATTGGTTTTTTCTTTTTATTTTTGTGCTCCAATTTGTAATAAAAAAAAAACTGTGCACTGCATGGATGTTGGCTATTATAGCTGTGACAAAAGTTTCGATAGTGTTTAACTCACCTGGAAGTACAATATGATCGTCCATATCAGACCCAACACAACTGGTGGTCTCCCATCCACCAGATCTGCGGGATTAATATTGACCAACTTGATGCGTTTGCTGGCTAAAAATTGTAGGGCCGTATTCGCATTGCTTAGGAAATGTGGACGCCGGAGAACGCGGCCCTTCTCCACGGGCAAACGTTCGCCGGACAAAACTTCGAGCAAAGCAATTAGTTTCGTACCATCACGTAAATCGTTGATTAAATCATCAATACGAAGCGGTGGAACACGCTGTGAAATTAGATGAAAACAAATTGGGAAAATTTAGGAACAGTTTGCAGTAGCTTAGCATTTAATTTGAAATATTTAATGGATAGTCTATTTAAAATATATTTTATTCTTATGGAACTAAAATAAAGTTGGCTATCAAATGTAACTAATGTTAATTGAAATATTTTGCTGGGATCCCAACATCAAGCAAAGTTGACAAATCTGCTTGCGAACTCACTGCCCTAAAGGAATCATAGATAAAAATTCTACATTTTCATTTAAATATGGAGGAATTAAGTAGGATGGGAGTCAGATATAAAAATTGTGGACGATGCTGCAGAGGGGCAATAAGCAGACTGAGACTCTCTCTAAGCTAGGGGTTTACCCCTTAATTCAAAAACAAGGTAGAGTGTACAGGCTCTACAGCAATAATAGAAAAGAGTATATAATAAATAATATCCATGCATATCGGTATATATATATTGGTAAATATATAGCCACTTATTTATAAATTATACCTACATAATGAAAACTATTGAAAACTGTATACTGCTTAGGCATGTAATATTTTTATGGATTCCCTGTATAAATGCACTATTTAATGAGTACTTAACTCAAATGAGCGTATGTCGGCAAACAGCTTTTAAGTGTGATTTGTTGCCGCTTTTAATGGTATTTTTATGAGCACCGTGATGATTATGGATATAAGCATATAATATATAAGTATATAAGTATATTCAGGAATTGCACATGGTACACATGGTTTAAGAATGCAGTGCACATATCAATCAAATACTTAAATGGATTTGCCAATCCATTCAATTAGTCAAATCGAGTGCGCGACTGCTTTCGAAAATGTCGAAAAAAGATTAGATATTTGTCGCAAAGCCATTTAACGTAAAATTCATTAAATTAATTAAGATTGTTGAAATCGCTGGGTATTGGGATAATTTGTTTAGATTCCTTGCAGCCATTTGTCAGACAAATTGGCGAGTGGCACGCGCAAACATTTAAGCTTGGATTCACCGCAAAGATTGCAATTTAAGTTAATGGCATTACAACGGAAGTGGCACCGACAATAACCAAGGAAAATAGACACAGTCAGACATTATAATTTCAGTGTAGCATTTAATTGAGCCTTGCCAGTGTGTGTGTCTGTGTGTGTAGGTGTAGCATACATATGTAGTATGTATCACTCCAGTCAGTCAGGCCATATCAAAGCAAATAGTTTGTGAAAACTTTGCTCAACTGTTGCGGACACGCCAGTGACGGTAAAGTTTTGTCTGTCGGTTTTTTTTCGAGTCACAAAAGTTGAGTTAATGCAACTTGAAGAAACTATGCTACTTACAATGCGAAATCAATTTCTGTATTTCCGGCTGCTTCCTCGACTCACGCCTCTTTTTTCTATGAGCAGCACAACTTATGGTGTCCTATAGCAATTTTGTCAAACTTTTATAACAATTTTTTTTTGTCTTGTCATGTTTGTTTTTTATCAATTTGGGACTTGACACATACCATTTTAATATCTGCATCGACTTCATCATGTAGCGACTTAGTGCTTAAGGATGTACGAGACATTTTGTATCAAAAGTCCCATTTCAGCTTTGAAGTAATTAAAATCTAAAGTTTCCAGCTATTTATAGTAAGTTTATTTTTGAAAAAATGAGTGGGCAACTTTCAAAGAAACTTTATGTGTTTGATTCTATAAATTTCCAATTCATTCCCAAAGTTACTGTTCTGCAACCGACTATTATTATTATTACCAGCTTACTTCTAAACTGCATAAGCTACTGTGGAATATTAATAGTTAGTATCCAAGCCAGACTCAAGAACTTTGCATTCATTTGTCATAATGTCTGGTAGAAAAAGTTTTTTCTATACCCGGAAAAGGGTATAATGGCTTTGTGCAAATGTATGTAACACAAAGAAGGAAGTTGATCGGGATCCACAGTCGAGTCGATTATGATCATTATTTTTCAGTATGCATAAATATGTGAATGCATGTGTGTGTTTGTCCCAAGTCGGTTCGGTTTCAGTTCGTGCTTGTGAACAAAAACATGCGTTGACTTAGTTTTTGTTGACTTTCAGAAACTGTGGCTAGAATATATTTAACAGCCTTCGTTCAGGGTACATTGTAGTCGAGCTCACTTAACTACAACGTTCTTACTTGCTTCTTTTTTTTTGTTGCAATTGTCTGTTGTGCGTTATTTCTAAGAATAACTTCAAGTGAATTGCGAGGCACGCACCTAAGACGTCCATGGAATTTGCAAATGTGAGAAATTCCACAAGCATGGACCGAGTGTAACTTGAAAGCACGCAAAGTTGCAGTGAAATAGGAACTTGCAAGCCAAGTTCATAGCCAGATATGCGTTGGCCTATAAAAGATTGCTTGCGGTAATGCCAGGCAAGGCAACAATGCTGCATTAGTGACAGCAACAGTTCCGTTTCATGTGGGGCCCGGACAGTCTTTCAATGGCTTAGACCCGCAAGTCAGAGCCCACGCAACAATATGAAACGCCCACTGACTTACTTTTTATCCCCCCCAACGAACGAACGTTGATTTAATGCACTTTTCTTTTGGTGCAGAGCACTCGACATTCGTTTCATTTTTCTTTCTTTTTTTTTCTTTTTTCTTTTTTGTCTAATGTGTTATCTTTTAATACAACTTCAATCTGCAGACGTTGTGAAGCCGGCATTTCTTGTAGCACATGTACGAATTTAGCCGGCCGGCTGGGTAACCAGAAAACCAGTTCTACTGGCTTCGGTGAATGCCATTGCAGCAGGCATTACAATGCAACTCGATAAAGCTGGCAGGCAAACAGGCAGGCTAGAGTCGTAAAGTGCTCAGTCGACTAACAAAGTGACTGGCAATAAAAGGAATCGCAGATACATACGGAACGGCCAGACCAAGTGCCAAAGAAATAAGGGAACTTTGAAAAGGCGTGGGCAGGTCATGAGATCGTTGATTGAAGTCATAATTTAGCCTCAAAGCCGTTATGCAACACGCCAATGAGTCATTTAGTATTTGTATGATGAAAAACATTGTATTTGTTTTATATATATATATATATATATATATATTTTTGCATTTTCACAACACTTTATTAGCATATAGGTAGGTATAGAATGTCACCTGGAGAAGTGTTAATTAAATGTAATTTATTTCATTTATATTTGTTTATTGAGTATCTGTCAATTTGCGACTTGAGTGTGAGCGCGTGTATCTTGAAGATGTTAGAAACTCTTCTTTCATAGACAACCCGTCCAATTAGGCGTATGCCAAATACAAGTTTTTGGCACTACATTACTTTTTACATTTCAAGGTGAACCAGTTACGTCACTCAGTCAGTCAGTCAATCAATTCATTCATTCGTTTGGAGACCCGTATACGCGCTTTGAACATTGTTCACAGACTTTGATTAAAATTTATTAACTAATTTAGGCGAGCAAACCAACAAGTACAACAATAATAACAATAGATCCATCACACGGTTATCACATTCTCGAATGCCAAAATTTTGCTGCGTGAATCTTTTGCTTTGTGTATCTGCCCCGCGGCTGACAACTCAATAGAAGGCACGAGTTTGACTCGCTGTATCTGACTTGTTTTGTGGGTGTGTATCAAATGATTTAGTTTGCAAAGTGTACCCCTTTCACTCTTAATTTATAGCGGTTGTCTAAAATTTAAATAAATTAAAGTTGTTCTTTCGGAGTCTCATAGTATATACAAATGATGTTTTAAATTATTTAATGATCTCTAAGCCACTTAATTAAAATTTTGCTGTTATCAAATTGTGCAAAAGCTTTCTTATATTTTTAGACAAGTTTTTAGACATTATTGCAGCACTGAATGTACTTCTAGCATCGAGCCGGAGACGCTTCAATTGCAACTCGACACGGAATGTATTGCAATTATTAAAGTGAATGGATAAACGCAAAATTGGTGCTGTTAGATGTTTAAATTAGAAAGGATACAGCAAGGTGAAAGTGGGCTAGAAGACAGATGCTTGTCAGTTTGAAATCAAACTGAAAATGGCACTGTCATTTGAGTCCAAGACACATGAAACCGATTGATTTATCTATTAATATTAAATATATATGGAGCTATAAAAGCTGTTAATTAAATAATGCATGCATTTTGGCTTCAGATGTGACGTCAACCCCAGTTTCCCCAAAATAAATTTCATGGTCGCAACTCCAAATCGCCAGCAAAATATACAAAAACAAATGTTGCACGTTTTGTTTTTAGCCAATGCCAATATATATGCAAATTTCAATGTCACAGAATCTAGATAACAAATTTGTTGCGAATCGATTGAATTGATAGTGTAAAATTCAAAGACAAATAACTCACCTTCAATAGGTATGAATTAATCCAATTAGTGAATGTCTTCTTCTGCACACGTTCTTGTTCCTCTGCAAAAAAACAACAATAAAAAAAAGAGAATGTGAAAACGAAAACATAAGAAATTGTGTATACAGTTTCGTGTAATTGTAATTAGATGTAGGACAAGCGAAAATTGTCGAGTGTCGCAGACGCAGACGGCGGCATAAAAGGCAAACTCAGACAAGACGCTGCTATAAACAAGATACCAGCTAAAGACAACCGATAAGATATATTTCCCAGTAATTGCATACCTGATCAGGTACATATGTATATGTATATTGTCTGTTTGTATTTTGTACCGACGCGTTTTGCTAATGTTTGCATTAATTGAATTATCAGTAAAGTCGGCAAGTATTAACTGAATTTACCACAATGACATCATGTCGCCCAAAATGCACTTGGATAGTGTTTCGTTTTATCACTGTGCTGATGTATATATATAGATATATATGTATTTTTGCGCATTTTCTTCAGTTCATCATTATTAAGATTAATAAAAGTGTTGTAAACCATTTCCTTTTTTTGTGCGTCAAAGCGCCAACAATTTTTGTACTTTAATATTTACGTTGTTTAAACAGATTTTTTTTTGATTGCTTCCATTCAGTTTTAGTACACAAAAAAATCATTGAAATAATAAACAATGCGTTAAAAAAACGGCTGCAATTTGTAAAAAATTAACAAATTAAAATCCATCAAGAACAAAGAAAAAATATGTATATGGAGATGGACGTGATTCATTTTGGGAAAGTGCAGCAGTGATGATGGTTGCTGGAATAGCTTCTGGGCTGTCAAAATGTGGCAGCTGCCAGAAAATGCTTCCCAATTTCGGATGCCACACGCAAAAAGATAAAGCGAAGTGCGTGGTCTTTTCGAACTGGCGTCTGGCCAAAGCAACATAATCTCAAAATAGATTTCCCGTAATAAATACCAAAATTTTGTTAAATGGAAATTTTTCTGCAATTGAACAAGGCGAAATAATAAATAACATCGCGTAATTTGACAGACATGCAGCACTAAAATGTCAAATTCTAAGTTAATTGTTGGCGCAATTTACATGTACGTCAATTTTATGTAGACTAATAAATGATAATTAAAAGATATATAAAATTATATATCTTGAAATTTTGAAATAAATGAATTTTTGTTTGTGACGCAATTTTCAGTTGATTTTGCCACAAGATTGACAAAAGAATACTTAAATAGAAATTAGTTCAAGGTTGCGCAATTTGCAAGTGTCTCAAAGCCGCATAAATATTTGTCTTCGTATTTAAAATCGCAAAATGTATATATACATATTCAGATTCAGATATATCATATACATCTGATCATAAAGGAAAATATAAGCAAATAAAAGAGCTTGTTGCAAGGCAAAATATCCGAAAAATGTATCTTTAAATTTATGTACCTTTTTATGCGTTATTTAATAGATTTCAAATGGCCGGGAACCATTTGACGTTTAAGCCCTGTAGCAAATCTAACGCAAATATATTAAATGATTGTGGCAAAAGTTTATTAAAAGAAAACTGAATTAGCACCTACAATATATATTAGAAATACTCGATCTTACGAGTGTATAATTTTGATGATTGTCAGAAACGTTTTGGTCAAAATCAAGCTGTTTTGGCCAACTTTTTTGGTCGCTACCTACTCGTCTTGCAAATTAATTAAACCTGAATTTGATGTTCGTAACGGACGTCAAGGGAATAAATTCAAGGCAGCCAAAGCTGGTATTGCTTATTTTGACATTAACTTGTTTTCAAATATGAAAACTAGTTAACAATTAACTATCCTAAGTGCAGATACCAATACGTATAAATTGATTTAATTTCAAAAAATGAATGTTTATTTTTTTTGTATTGTTGATGACTCGTTTATTTGTTAAGTCATCATTTATGTTTGCTTTAAAAGTGTTTCTAATCTGCAAATACTTTCGCTAATTGTTGGAAAGATAAGCGACATAATGCACTTGAAAAATACGTGATAACACTAATTATACCCAAATATAGCAGGAAACAAGAAATATATGTATTTAATACCCTTGAAGTCATATTTAGAAAATTTGTGTCATTATACTTTAGTAAGGTGATTTATAGACATTTTATGTAAGCCAAGACAACTATAAATTTTAAGTTCTTAACTTTTAAGTCTATTTTATTTTTAGAGCATTTTTTCCATAACAGCTCTCGATATATGATAATGTAAATGCTTTACATTTTAAACATTAGTACGTGCCTATGGGTCCCGTAAATAATCAGCTACGTCTAAAATGATTATTATTGTCAAATTGAACGACAAGTTGTGCACTTATGTAAGAATTTTACTTGAACATCGCTTGTTCGTCAATAGATATGTACTCAAATTATTTTGTTCACTTCAACCGACCCTATAATTAGAGATAAATACAATTCTAACTGTCTAACTTTTAAATGGTACAAAATTATCTTAGCAATTATCACAAAAAGAAATGAAAAGTAAAAGCAGGTAACAATTTTCGTTTTTTATACACAAACCATGGCGAAATGGCTCAGAACACTTAAGAGAGAAAACCAGGTTAGGCCCTATCTACGATAATACCGTTCCGGATGAATCACTTTGGAATATCTTGTACATTTCAATTTCTACAATGTAAAACACATTGGTAGGCAATTTAAACAGCAAAAGATAGGAATGCTCAATGGAGTTGAAAACAAAAAGCCCTCGAGCAGAGCCAGAAGACCAAACAAGCATAAATTATTCACAGGCCACAAAGAACAACCGAAAAGAAAACAAGCAATAACAAAAAAAATCAACAGTGGTTTATATTTATATATATATATAATTTTTTTTCAATGGTTCACTCAGTCAGTAAGTTAATGATGATATATATAATGACGTGGCTGCTGATTATTATTTACGCTGATTATTATTTTTTTTCTTTTTATTATTATTATTTTTTTTTTTGGCGCTCTAATGAGTAAGCCTGTATGTAGTTAAATTACGCTGGACTCAAAGGAAATATAGTATTTAAGTAAATTGCAAAGCAATATTTCAACAGAATTTTGTTGAGCGTGAAAAAACTCTTCAACAATTTTTTGGAAAGCATTTATTAAAACTGAACTTTTACGAGTTTTTATGAATACGGATGAGACAGTTAGTAAAAGTTTGCCTCCACTGTATCTGTGCCTGGCCTAGTTGCGCACACAAAAATAGAAAAGAAATTACAAAGTGCAAATAATGTATAAAAATAGTCTATTTACGTTTATGTAAAGGCAATTGTTTGGATTTCTCCAAAAAAAAAAAATGTTTCACATTTGCATTAGCAAAATATCGTCGAACATGTTGTTAATGTTGCAGTCTTAAGAGAAAAAATATAAACGCTTGTCGAATAAGTGGGATATTAACCATATGCTGCTATACACAACGGATATGTTGTGAGTGCGAGACTATGTAAAATCGTTTCCGTGGCTATAAATAATTGTTTATTTGCTTTAAACCGCTGCTGCGAGTGTTTGTTAATTCTGTAGCGAAGTTGTGGGAAAATAAGAACAAAATGTGTAATGATCATTAATGAATTTATCTGCATAAAACTTTATTCTGTTTCTGCGAATTCTCATATATCGCATTAAAATATATTATATTAATATTATTTATGTATTTCTCAAATTTATGCATTTTTTAAAGTGACATATTAGCACTGCCATTTAATCATTAATAATGGAATTGAAAAGCAGCTCGCAAGCTTATTTAATAATTATTATATCAACTGTTTTAAATTGTTTTCTTTTTTATGTGTTTATTTACAGCCAGTGAGGTGTGTTCTGGGTGTTGGCACCTGTGGGCGACAAGTGAACAGCAAATTAAGTACTTCTAAGATTAAAGATACGTTCGCTGCAATTTGCCGATCAACTTGACTCGAATATTTCATGCTTCAATGCGTTTCGCAGGCAGCTCCATTCAAACATCCGCAACACGGCCAGTGGCATCTCATATATTGTATCTCACAGCTATAAGCTATATACGATATAGCGATATATATTCGAATGAATTGCGTCATAGCCTTATTGTATAAACATCTATATACATTTATATATATATATGTGAATATTTATAATTATTTATGTACTTACGCACATAGATGCCAAATAAAAAGTGTTTAAGTTTATTTATTTTTACTATTAATATCATTCACTAAACCAGCAGATAGCGATAGCAAACGCAAATAAATGACTAAGCACTCTTTTCTACTTTGTTGGCTTCCATTCTGTAAGCCAAAATCACCAAAAATTAAAAAACAAAAACCTCAAAGAAAAAACCACACCATAAAAACTTTTCAAAAGACTGCCCACGGGCAAGCTGTAAAAGTATGGATAGGAAGATACAGTTTTGCATATTACTACTCAAGATTTGCGGTTCTGAAAACAAGCTACCATATTTTTCCCATACCACATGCGCAACAGCTGCCAGATTTTTTTTTTTTTTTGTGCCACTTTCATGTGGGTGTCTCTCAAAGAGCCAAACTAATATAGAACTTGGTACGCTTTATGGGTTGATTGGGGTTAGAGCTGGAGAAATGGTCGTGTGAAGTGCGCAAAAAACTATTGTGTGCACTTGAGAGAATATCTCGATAAACTTGTTTCACTTCTAAGCTTACAAATTGCAGTTCAAATTTCAATAGCAAACGGCGGGGCGCCGTCAACTTCGCTCAAGTTGCCGCAACCACATTTTAGGCATCAATTAAAAGCCGCTAAAACTATATATCAGTACACAATAAATTATTGATACAGACAGCAACTAACGAAGCGACCAAAACAACAACAGCATCAATGTTATAAATAATTCAACGATGATCTCACAGAGACAAACAGGCGGGAGTGACGAACGTACGGATGGACAGTCGGACAGTTGTATGGCTGCTGATCGTTCTGGGTCTTTTGACAGACAGACATATGTACATACATATGATTTGAGAGATAGATAACGCTTTTGAGTGTATGCCATTTATTGTTGTTATTTCAAATTGTTGATTTGTTTTTGTATATTTTCATTTTCGTTTTCATGTAGAATAGCATTGAGCTTGGAATTGAATGTCTATCAAATCACATTCATATTCAAATTACGAAAGTTTTCGGCACTGAATTGTGGCTTTAAATTGTCGACATAGTAACTGACATTCAAACAGCATATATTCGCCAACAACAATTAAAACTGCATCAAATCAACTCTCTGGGTTGACCTGGAAAATGGACATGTGCCCATCTTGCCCACAAAAATTTATGTGTGCAAAGAAAATCGAATAAAAAGCAACGAAAAGGCAACCAGGCAACCAAAATCAATCAATAATAGTTTTATGCATACTATATAGCTAAGGCATGTCAATTAGCATACATTTGACATGTCATAACGTACAGCTTATAAATTTGTTAAGAGCTCACAACGAATTTCGTGCAGTGTACGCTCTAAGTTTGATTCACAGAGCTTGCGGCACATTTGCTACTCATAGTTTGTGAAGCAGTGAAACGAAAACATTTCTAAGCAAATTTATTGCAGTAGCAAAAAGTGGCCAAAACACGCAACACAAACATTTTGGCAGCAGGATACCGTTGACGTTAACAACCAAAAAAAAAAAAAAACTGTTAATAGAAAAGATAAAAAACATGCACGAAAACGTTATTTATGCCAACTAATTGTCACATTGACTAACGAACTAACCAAATAAGATATTATACGACTTAAGCTCAAAGACACAATTATTCAATACAAGACAACGCAATAGTTATTTATCCATATGTACATTCACAGACAATATCATATTAATTACAATAAAATAAATAAGACACATATAAACTTAATGGCATTAATAAAAAAACACCCAACGAAGCAAAATCAATTGCATAAATATCAAAATGACCCCGTTAAAGTAGAATATTGAAAGTGGCATAATCAGAAGCACACCTATTCTGCTCATACACAAATCTATTATTAATAGATCACCATGAATGTCAGCGCCAGTCGAACATAATCGCAAATGTGAGATACGTTTGTATCTCAAACGACAAGTGTAACCGCAAAAATTGCGCTACACATTGAGAGGAAGACAGAACACCGACTGACAGAGACAGACAGATAGAAAGAGTGAGAGAGAGGAAGAGAGAGCGACAGATTGTGAGACTATTAAACACTTAATTGCTTGTTGTGCTTAACATAATAACAAAGACCAGGAGGATGTCACATAACAGTCCAAAGCAGAGGCAGACGTTAGTCAACAGTTCACCCCACTCCCCCTGACCCCTGCCAACAACCCGTCACGCTCTTTTGGGTGGTTGCTCTGAGTGCTTTTGGCTGCCAATAAATTATCAGGGCGCTGCAGTACTAGCAAAAGAGGTAACAGCTAGTTAGCTGTCATTGCCAACAGTTTTAGGGTAAATATATATATATATATATATATATATATATATATAATTTATATATGTATATATCAAACGAAAATAAATATATATTTATATAACAAACGCACATATAAATAATATATATCGTCAAGTAAGAAAACAACAAATACAGCCAAATACAGCCAAATAGGCTGCTAACCAAGTTGAAGTTGAAACGCAGCAGCAGCTGGTGATGTCATTTTGGGCACAAATCGATTGTGTTTGCCATAATTTATTTATTAAATAAACACACAGAGAAACCAACCAACTGACCCCAAACCGCAGAGTATGGAACAAATTAACCTTGACATTCAATGACCGCAACTTGAGTTATATCCCAATCTACTCGCAGTAGTTCCCACTGTGAAGGCACTTAAAATAACAATTACAACTCATCGTGTACTCAGCAGAAAATATATCTGCCATAAGTTTCCGCAGATAGTCTGCATTATTGAACGCAAAGATAAAATTATGCTAACCACAAGAATAAAAAAAAAGTTTGCTTAATGATATGCTAATGCTTCAAATAATTTCCCAGAGAAATGTATGTCAAACGTTTAAGCAAAATGCTTATTAGCCATTAATACAAAAAATGTCAGAGGAAAAAAATATATACGTATATATATATATATATATATATATTTTTATTATTGTTGCCAACAAATTATAAGCTAAACCGGCATTCCATTTAATATTCTATTGTCATTGTCAATTAACAAGTTTTGCCAGATTTAACATTTATTTTGTATGGTTCCTCGTCTAAATGTGGAAATGTTTGTTTTCTATATATATAGTAATATATATATAATATTACATATATAATAATAATAATAATTTAACGCAATATTTACACTTTCATTTTGAAGTTTAGATTTTAAGCCTTCGGTCAAAGATCAAAAAGTTATTTAGAAGGTAGATAAGGAGAATACCTTTGTACAAATTGCGCATTCTAACGTAGCTTGTAGCTTATCAGTTTTGCCAAAAAATAAATTGCAAAAATAAATTGTCTTTCATTTAATTATATAACAGCGATAAGAGAAACGAGTGATACGACAGAAGATTAAACGCTGCAAAAACTAGAGGGCCTAGACAACTGATTTGACACAAGATGATCGATGACACCAATTGAATTCCGAGTGAATTAAAAACCAACACGAATCAAGTAACAATCAGCACCTATGTATGTGCTCTTGAGATAGATTAATTTTGTTTACCTCGTTTCTCCTTGATGTGGCTATCGTACTGGGAATTGCTGCGTGCGAAATTGATCGACGCCATTGTGGATTGGAACTCCTGGTATTCGTCTTCGTTGTCGCGGTTACTTTGTGTCGCTTGAGTCTGATAATCCTGACGCAGACTCTTGCTAAAAGTACCAACGCCGCTCAATGCGTGCGGCGTACACGGCGATGTAATTGCTGTTGTTGTGTTGGAGGGTGTTGTGGAGCGCGTGGGCGTCGAAACAATCACCAGACTGCTAGCCGGCACGCCCTCTGTATCGGAATCGTTATCGATAACGTCAGCGCTATCGACTTCAACGTTATCGCCGATATGAATCTGCGAAGCAGTAAACGAGATATTGCCAGCGGACGGAGAGGCAGCAGCAGCAGTAGCTGCAGCCGACAAACCGATTGATTTGCGTGATGTCGATGGTTTTTCCGATTTTTCCGAGAATATTTCGGATTTGCTGGTCGATGATGTTGATGTTGTTGTTTTCGTTGTGCTGCTGGTTATCGTTTTGTGGCTTACAATTTTTCGAGACTCTTCCGTCGAAGAACCGCGCAATTGGCACGTTGCAGCTGGACTGGCAATGGTTTCGTCCGGCGTTGCTGTTTGCGGTTGCTCCTTCGTGCCAATCGGCGTGGATGTGGATGTTGTTAGCATTGTCTTCGTTGTTGATTTACCCGTTTGCCATGACAGTTCGCTTGGACGCACTGGTCGCTCTTGCTGTTGTTGCTGGCGTTGCTGTTGTTGTGGCGTCTCGTTGCCACCCACTTGGAATGTTGTTTGCTGGTGTAAACGCCGCCGGCGGGGGTTGCTACCAACGGTAATGTCAATGTTACCCGTTGCCATAGCATCCTCGTCCTGCCCACCAAATTGCCGTATGCGTGCGCGCACCGAACCATCAGTATCGTCGCGTTCCTGCTCGTGCTCACACGACTCGATCTCATCCTCTAGCTTGATTAGGATGCGTCTACCGCCGGCGGTCATATCAACGCTATGCGGTGACGTCACACTCGAACGTTCACTGGACATGCTCGAGCGCGACCAGGAGGGTGAATCTCGCGGCGAGACATAGCCCTCGCCATGCCGATAGATCTTCTCCTCGGCATAGCCACCATCGCTAGTCATCGACGAAGTGATTATGGTGCGAACACCATCAGCCGCTTGCACCTCGCGGACCATACGCTCCCCATCGAGAAATCGCTCCAGTTCCATCTGACGACTGAGGTCCTTTTTCACAGTGCGTCGCGTGGTGCGCAACGTTACATTGAACGGCGACAATTGATCCTCAACGTTGCCCAATTCAGCTCCAGGACTCATGCGACTGGTGGTTTTTAGGGTTACATTGAATGGACTGGGTATATGCTCGCTGGTGATCTCGACGCGACGCGTTGACGTCTGCGGCGTGTGACGCAGATGGACCTGTTGGAAGGCCAGCTTAGCTGCCTCCGCTTCGGCCAAACCACGTTGTCGCTCCTCGCGCAGACGTCGCTCAATTTCATGCACATCAATATCAAATGGATTCTCGGCATCGTAATCATCCGACTGCTGCTGACGCAGCTCATCCGTACATTGTTCGGGTGGTCGTTTGCCGGCTCCGTCGGACCACACCTTCTCGTATTGGGCAACCTTTTCACGCAAACGATGCGGTGGCGATTGCGCCTCCGAGTGCTCCACTTGCTCCACTTGCTCTAGATTGCTGCTACTGCTTGTGGAGGTGGTCAGTGATGTGGTTATGGTCTTCATAAACGTGCGCGTCACTGTCGATGTCTTCAGCTGTTCGGTTTCCAACCCCTCCTCGAGATTCTCAACGGTTTGATGCTCATGCGCATGTCGACGCCGAACAGCTGGTATTGGGGGCACGTCCTTACCCACGTCATCGTGGATGCCTTGGCCTGCTGTGCCGGCATCTAGTGTTGGATCCTTGTGCCTGCCTGGATCTGTGCTATCAGCCATGATAGCATCGGTTTTCTATTTATCTTATTATTGGGCCAAAATGTCATTTGTCTTTTGTGCTTTTATTACGACACAGCCTTTTGTCCTTGTTTGTCCTATAGTGGCCGTTCCCTCTCTCTGTCTCTCTTGCTCTCTCTCTCTCCTCTTTTGGCAGCCCAAAATGCAAAATTGATTTTTCTCACGCAACGACAACTACAGCAACAGCAAAAACAACAATGAGTTTTCCATCAGACAGAGTTTTTCCTGACTGTTAACAACCCCCGAGTGGCCTTCACTTTAGTCACTTTTGGCCCCTCGTTCGTAATTCAACTTTAATTTTCTTAATAGCAAACACACACACTAACGATTTTTAATCGCCGGCATACGGAAAGCTTTTTTTGAATTTTGTAGATTTTTTTTGGGGTTTTTTATGACACAATATAAAACATCACAATAAAACGACGGCGACAACGTCTTTCATTTCACACGCGTCGTTGTTGGGTAGAAATAACTTGTATTTAACACGTTTTTGCCTTGAACAAATTCTAATTAGTTTTTGGCAAACTCTAAGCTCCACTTCTCAACACAAAAAGAACTCTGACTAAATTAATGGCACGCCTTCGGCGAGCAGACAACACACATTATGTAGCCGAGCTTCAAGTTTCATTTGTTCCGTTTCCAATCCGTTGTTGTAGAAAGCCGGTTCGATACTGATTCGTCAATGTGCTACGCCTTGTCCAGAGACTAACAACAGAAACAGCCGCAGCAGCAGCCCAGAGTGTTGAGCTACTATAGTAATCGTAGTAAAGCTCAAGTTCCCATATGAGTATGCGAGAGCGTGAGAGAAACGCGAGAGTCGGAGAGCAACGCTATTTGGGCAGTTTTGTCGAAAAAGAGCACGAATTTGAGAGCGTGCAGTTATGTTATTTACGCATTTCGATGGATGTTTACCCACTTTATGATTACTGCTCTGGCAGCACGTACTACCTTTGAACCAACAGCTTGTGTTATCACATCAGTGGCGCAGCTGGCGTTTTTTACAGTGGGATATAAAGGGCAAAGTTGACAAAACCTGCTTTTTAATAGATATTATTACTGACGACATCAATTTATTGTTACACAAAGTTTTAAAATCTTAAATCTTAACATATAAATTGGCCAGATAAAATGCTTGTCTTTGCGTTTGAAACTGTTTCACTAAAACTGCCCTACGACTATGCATAATGCCGATACGCAAAAAAGCTCTCTTTTTAATTGGGTGGTAAATTTTCAAGTGATGAAGGCAAAGTAACTTGCGCTCTCACCTCGCTCTCTCCACACAATAAATCATTCATGCTCGTAAACACACTCTACTCTCCCTCCCTCTTCCACTCTTATTCTCTCTCTGTCTCTCTCTCTCTCGCGGTTTCTGTGCTCTGGGTTAGCTATTCTGCTGCATGTATGGGTGACATTTAAGTACTTTTTACTTCTTACTTCTTATTGCGCTTTGCTCTGTTATTGTTGCTCCTTTTTGCCCTAGCATGTGACATCATAGGCGTGAGAAAATAGCAATTACATGCATTTGAATGGTTGCTTATTACACTCATCCGTACGTAAATACAGACTTACATTCATACACGTTTGTAATGTGTGTATTATTATCCCCAAAGCGCACGCTCATAAAGCGATTACAAAAGTTTTTAGCAAACCGTTTTTAAGAGGCGCCTGGCTGTATGGAAAATGTGGGTCAGCGCATGATTGAGCTCAACTTACAATAATTAATGAAAGTCATTCATGAAAGTGATCGAGCGAGCGCAAACGCAGTCACAGACCACAAAACCAAAACAAATGTTTGTTTCAAGCTTACATAATCATCGCTAGTGTTTATCATTCAAAACAAACAAGTTTCGGAAGCTTTTATTTTTGCTGTTTTTTCATTGATATGCGTTGAGTGCGACTAATGACGTCACGCTTTAGTGAATGCATTAGATTTTGTTGTTGTCAAACTAGAAGTTGACCTTACAACATGAAGCTTGCCACACGGCAAATTAGTTATGCATAGACATTAACTTATTATAATTCTAATCTAAATATGTACATTCATTTGCATCAAAGGTCGTCGCCTAATGTTTTGTTTATTTATTTTTTCTCTGTAGATCTTGAAAACAATCACAGTTTCTGTTAGTTGCAGTCGCAAACGCATAACAGCTGTTAACAAGCGACGTTAATAACATGTCTTGACACCAAATCTCTTTCAAAAGCAGCAGACTTCATGTATAAACCTATAAAAACAAGCACTTAAGCCCATTAAAAAACACAGAAAACAACGATAAATTGGAAAATAAACAATAGGGACTACAACATATGGGCGAGCATCAACAGCAAGAACAATAACCCAAATATCACAAAGTGTTGCACAAGTAAATTTTATTAGACACTTTCGTTTACAAACTGCTACACTACTGGGAGCCACTGGTCGGCTGTAAAATGTTGAGTGGCAACACTTTACAGAGCAATTTGAGGTGATGGCTATAAATAGCCACTGTAATTTTAATGATAACAGAGACAACAAACTAACAATCAGGGGCGTTTGCAGCCGCTCTTAACCCTAAACGATTATCTAACAAAAAGTATTATAGTCTAGGGTTCTTGATAAGAAAATGTTCTGGGAAAATAATAATGGGTAGATAATGCAAAATTTTTGTCAAAAAAAAAACTAAATTAAAAAACAATTTTGAAAAATAAACAAATTTATAATTATTGAAATGAAAAGAAAGTGATTCACTCAAGATTCTGCTTTAAAATAGATTGGATTGAAAGTCTCCTTTGTTTTCAAAAAGTAAACAAGCAAAATGTTTAACACAGTTTTTTGCTGATCGATTCATTGATTTATTTTTTTCTATATCTTAATAATAGTATTTGGTATATAGACATATATCAAAGTCATCCGTGGAAATGAATTTGGCTTTTCAAACATCAGGTTTCATAAACACATTAACTTATTGAATCTTGCCTTCCGATTTCGCTCAAGACTTTTGGCTATATATAAATATGTATATCAATCAGCAATATTATGTTTGGTCTTGAGCAAAAAAAGTTTTTCGCATAAGCAATTGTTTCCTCTTTCAATTTTAATTTTTCAGCACTATTCCAATATTTTGCTTGGCTAAAAATAAATTCGTTGCTACTTTATTTATTTCGCACCTAGCCATAAAATTGCTCACTTTAATGGAATAGCAAACGCAAATGTTTTATTTTTGTTTAATTCCTTTAAATATTGATTCAAAAGCTAAAAACGTTTCGTATTCAGACACTCAAATAGTATCTAAGCAAACTATATATATACCTATATACCTATGTACATATGCATACATCAATCAATAAGAGGCAAAGTCAATTAAAAAGAAACCATCAGCAAATGTTATAGAGTCTTTTAAAGAGTGGCCAAAATATTTGTACAGAAATTAAGCAATGTAAACTACAAAAACTATTAGCTATTTAAATATTTTTGTATATGCAGAACACACAGAGCCACAGTTAGCAGACTCATAAGAAGGTAATTAAAAATCGCACCGAGCACTGTCCACAATTTGATTTGTTTGAATTTCGGCATTCACATATGTCTAAAAAACATCATTCGTGACCGGTTTATACGTGCAGAAAATATTAAAATTAGTTTCGAAATACCTATTTATAGAAATGTATTTCATATGCCTGCCATTTGCTCTGTGGGCGTTTGCTCGTGCGTTATTCATTTCGATTATAGACACATTCCACATCCAGAATAAACCTATTCATTATCATTATAAACTCATCGATTCAATATAACAAATATACCGTTTCCACGTGGATTTGGTTCGGATAGAATCTTGTTACTTAACAATACACAATCTGAACCCATACATTAAGCTTGCAACATTCAATTTAACAAAGTCTGCCACATAAAATAGTATGTACACATAAATGCACTTACAACAATTAGCCCAAAAATAGTTCAAAAATAAATACATAATGTACAACATAAAACGCTTGCAATGAGAATAACCAAAGAAACAAACAGAACGAATACCGACACAAACTTAAAACTCTATTTTTAATCACTTTCGCCCTGTGACAAGACAAGTTCGAGCAATGTGAAAAACGGCTAAAATTGTAAGCAGCAAGAAAAAGCAGGGCGAACGAAAGGTTCTAAAAATAGCATGGTCATAGCCACGTCCCTAGTCGACATTTTATACCAAACATGAAATCTATATGTACATACATATATGTATACAACGACGAGCCCAAAAACTAAACGAAGGAGCATGGCACAAAACAATTTTCTCACTTGCCTTTTTGGCCAGCACAGATGCCTAACAAGACAATTGCAACAAAGGCAACAAGCGAGCGAGGTAAATGCAGTTTATAAATAACAAAATGAAGGCATTTCCCCAGTGACATCAGCGCCAGTGTATTATCATCATGAAAAGTCATTTTCACTGCGCCTTTGTCTCTAAACAGCTTTTCAAAATGACCATGTATGTGCACACACATATGTACATCAATAGACGTGCCATAGACAAGCTGACTTTCAATATAAAAAAATGATCTCATTGCTGTTGTACTTAGTTATTTATATGTGTGTGTATGTATAGACAAGTTGTATAATCAACAAAAGGTTTTAATACCCGTAAACCTTGTAGGCAAAAAGTGTGATCACCACTGCGTTCGACTTTGTTTTTCAGATCAAATTTCTGGCTAGCATTTGAGGTAAATGCGTTAACAATAACACAATCTTTTTTATATAGATCGAAAACAAAAAGATCAGTTATGTAATTGATTTTTCAATTTGTAATCACCCTTAGGGGTCAAAGTTGCAAAGACTAATTAAAAATAAGGAGACAGCAATTGATCATCTTAGAAAGTCGAATTTACTAACTTTCAGCCTTACTCTGAAGTAAAGTTAAATAATATAAGTGTACAACGCTCGAAAATTCTATAAATATGTATTTAGACATCAAATTTATTATTTACTTAGTTACTTTAAAGTTCTGTGTAAATAATGTTTTGTAATGTAAATTATTTAAATATACAAAACTCGAAAATTCTATTAATATAATTCATTATATGTAAAAGATATGATACATAAAACTTTTATGACTTAGCAAATAAAATTTCTGTTTCTGTCTGCTAAAAACATAAATAAGATATTTCAGGGAATTGTGAAATGCATTCGTAGCAGTTTTTAGAATGCATTAATATGCTGTATCTTAGCTAACGAAATCACATAACGCACTTAGCAAGATACTCGATATGCATCAATATTTGCTCATCCAATAATAATACATTAATCAGTGCTCGATTGATAAATGGAAAATTTGGAGCAACAGTTGACACTTGGGCAAACAACTAAACGGGGGCTGGTCATCGTCAAGTGTGAATGTTATACACTTGTACAGATAACTGAAACATACAACCTATATCCCGCTCCCACATCTACGCCATTGGCTGTACAAACAGATGAAGTTGGGGCCGACACGATAAGAGCAGCGAGTCGCAGTATCAGCAGCATCAGCAGCATCAGTAGCGACAGCAGCAGCAGCGCAGCATTTGCCCTGATTATATCAGTGCCATCTAAATTATATTCAGTCAGATCCACATCTAGATCAGTAAAGATCACAGTTACCTAACTAATCGTAACACAGAAAAACAAAAAAAAAATACAATGTCCACGCTCGAAGACGAAGTGATATTTCGCAAGAGAACGGAACTCAATCAAAATCTAGAAGCGAAATTTAACAGCAGCTCCACCGAGTTCATTTTGATCACCGATCATCGCACCTCCAAATACAAGAGTCTCGAGCAGCTGGAAGCAGCCAAGCAGGTCCAGGATTCAAGCGAATCCTGTTGCAGTCGCTATGGCAGCAATATTTGTCGCATGAAAACATTGAAGAAACGTTTACCCATACTCAGCTGGTTGCCCAAATATAGTCGCAGCGATGCCTTTGGCGATCTTATTGCAGGCCTCACCGTGGGCCTAACGGTCATTCCCCAGGGTCTGGCCTACTCGGGTGTTGTGGGTTTGCCACCGCAGGTAAGAAAATTAAGTGTTAGGACAAATATATTCATGAAATCGTTATCTTTACGGCCTTAATACTTTAAATAGCCAATTAATCTTGCGCTCTATTTTTATTGTGCAATTCTTACAAATACTTAGATAAGAAAATCCGGATATGTTACGTACTTAGATTCCATAAAACTTGCTTACGTATCCAGCTGTTATTTTGATTAAAATGAGCTACTTTTTTCTGGCTTCGTCTAACCCTTTCAAACTATTTTCTTCGCATGACTTTTATAACTGGGTCCCTTCTGATAAGAATATCCAGATAAATACATACGTTGATTTGCAAAAGTAACTCCATAAAATACGCTTATTTATTCTTGAATACAATCTTAATCCTACGTTTTTTTTCAATGCACCCTCCACTTAACCCTGTCAAACTGTCTCTTTATAGTACGGTTTGTATGGCTCCTTTATGGGTTGTTTTATGTATGTGTTGCTGGGCACCTGCAAGGATTGCACGATTGGCAGCACAGCGGTTGCCTCACTGATGACCTACCAGTTTGCCCGGGGCTCCTGGCAACGATCGGTGCTGCTCACATTTCTCACTGGCTTCATTGAGATACTGATGGCCGCCTTCAAACTGGGCTCCCTGGTCGAGTTTGTGTCGGGACCGGTGAGTGCAGGATTCACCAGTGCCGTGGCCCTAATCGTGTGCACCTCACAGATGAAATACATTTTGGGCGTGAACAGTGATGGCGCGTCCTTTTTGCAACGCTGGATAAGTATGATTAAGGATATAGACAATATACGCATATCGGATAGCTATTTGGGCATTGCCTGTGTGATCCTGCTGCTAATTATGCGTTGGCTGGGCAGACAGCGCATTGGTCCCAAGGATCAGAAGGAATGCAATGGCTTTCAGCGTGCCATTAATGGTCTCATTCGATTTGTGGGCATATCGAGGAATGCAACTGTTGTGATTGGAGCAACGATAATGGCCATGCAACTGGAAGCAAATGGCACAAATCCATTCCGACTCACTGGCTATATACCGCCTGGCATGCCATCGCTAGCATTACCACCCTTCTCCGTGGAGCCGCAGCCTGGCAACGCAACCGCAGGAATTCCGGCCGTGCCCGGCGAGACTTTCTTGGAGATGGTGCAGAGCCTGGGCTATGGTTTAATTATAGTACCAATTATTGCACTGCTGGAGAGCGCATCCGTTTGCAAGGCCTTTGCCAAGGGCAAACAAATTGACATGACCCAAGAGCTGTTTGCGACGGGCGTTGCCAACATTGCCAACTCGCTTTTCAGTGGCTATCGCTGCAATAGTGGACTCGCTCGCTCGGCCATCAATAATGCGAGTGGTTGCCGCACCAGCATGTCCAATTTCTACATTGGTCTCGTCGTCGTCTTGGCTCTCAGCTTCGTCACCGAATACTTCAGTTTCATACCCAGAGCGGTGCTCGCTGCGATTCTCATATCAGCGGTCATATTTCAAGTGCAGTATCAGATTATTGTACCCATGTGGCGCAGCAAACGTGAGTAGAAATGAACACTTTTGTCATCGCTTGACATTATCGCAATACTTTTACATTTTGACTGATGAAAATACTTGCTTCAAAGACATCTTAATCGAACTCAATCTAAAAAAGAGCTACACCAAATCCTTCTTCCTTCTCGGCTTGTCTTTTTAGGTTCGGATCTGGTGCCTGGCATACTGGCTTTTATTACGTGTCTGGTGCTGCCTCTAGAGATTGGCATTATGGTGGCGATTGCAGCTAATCAGTTATTTATCCTGTACCACTCGGCAAGGCCGAAGGTTACGCTGGAACAGCTGGAGACTGAGCAGGGCATTCAGTTTGTGAAGATTACACCCGATCGTTGCCTGATCTTTCCATCCGTGGAATTTGTGCGCAACCTGGTGCTCAAGTCGGGCAGCAAGACCACACTACCAGTTGTTATTGACTGCACCTATATTTATGCAGCTGACTTTACCGCCGCCAAAGTTATCTCCTCGATGGTTGATGATTTTCGCCGTCGGCAGCAAAAAATTATATTCTTCAACCTTAAGCCCAGTGTGGTCAGCATTTTCGAGGGACTGCACACCCGACTGGTGTTGTGCTATAATATGCACGCCCTCAACCAGGAACTCAGTGCTGATGGCGACTTGTCGAGATCCGTTAACTCCTTAGACGAGGTCGAGAAGAGCGTTGGCACCGATTGCACAAGCACCGCCAGCACATTATCCTTGGCCAGGAGCTAAGTGCTCAACCTATGCATTTATATACACTCATCTATATTATATGTATTTAAATATAAAAATAAATTTGATGCTTTAATGTTAATTGCTTAATAATAAAAATCGAATGAAAGTTTTATGCAATTGTCATTTTCTTTGATTTTCATTTGTAGTGAAAAGTGAAAAACATTTGTTTACGCAAATAGGTTATAAATAAATGAAAAAGAAAATTAAGTACATACCCACATATATATGTATGTATATATATATATATATATATATATATATATATTTAAATACTTTGCGATTTTGGCGATTGCAAATTGTGACAAAAATAAAACACGAGCAAATCTAGTGTAGAAAATGTGCAACTCGAACTATATACATTTGCCCATAAGGCATAACTTTCTGTATTATCAACATTCCCAAAGAATTTTGCGAATTTTTATAGTATAGTATTTCCTGTTTCTCTTTTTTCTACGATGATTTCATCATATGTTATTCATTATTTAATTTACATTATGAGTACAGGGTACAACGGCAGCCTATCACAATTCATAATCTAAGGGGCGAAATAAGTCGCCAAAAATGTGAGCATGGTCCGCTTTCAGAACTGAGCGCTAGAAAGCAGAGACGTTGATCGACGTGGGCGACTGGGTCAAGTTCAGTTGACACATTCGAGGGGCCGAAGCTGACTCACCCAACGCTGTGCTGCATCTCGAAGAATGAATCCACGAATGTAAACATGACAATGTAAAAATCTATATGTATGTACCTAAAATTCCTCAAGCTGATTGATGATTTCTCTATAAAAACATTTTGTGTATCGACGCGCACATGTGTGCAACTTTTGGCTCAACAACATCGCTAATGATGCTTAAAAAGAAAAATCAAGAAAAGTCTTACATACGCCACTTTACCTGTATGCTGCTCCAATTAACACATACTCTTCAATTACTCCTTTACACAAAGTCAAATTATTATTTTTTAATGTAATCGATACCGAAATATCGATATAAAAAACACAACAACAAAACCAAAACATTTGCCTCGTTAGCCAATGTTGCCAGTAAGGTCTTCTTCTTATTATTTATTTATTTAATATCAATTATGAATTACTATAATTAAGCAAATAGCTTCTATAAAATATTTATTTTTGTTGCGTATTCAACTGCCATTTCTTAAAAATAATTTCAAAGTCTGGCCGCACAGTTCTAAACTAAGGTATCGATACTTTTAAGGCAGTTAAAGTTTCCTAGAGCAACTGAAAATGGAGAGCCGCAAGGAAAAGCGCAAACGCATCCAAGAGGAAACCTCGATGGAACGACGAGTAACTCGTGCAACAACCGCTGCTGCAGCTGCGCAGAATCCTTTGGAAATGCCACAGAGGAAGCCACTAACGAGAAGTTGCAGAAACTCAAACATTCATGGCATCCACGTGCAGTCAAAGAAATCAAATACAAATAAAATCAAGAATCTTTCAAATAAGAAGAATAAAGAAAAGCATGAGTTTGGCCAAGGCAAGAAGAAGTTGGTAATGAAACGACAGCAAAAAAGAGGCCGGAAAGCTGCAAAATTGGTTAAGAATGTAAAGGAGGCAGTCAAAAACAAAGAGATTTGCCCGCTGACCGAAGAAAAAGTAACCAAAAATAATAAAACAAGTAAGGAAGACGACAAGATTTTCAAAAAGCCCAAAATTCCATTGCTACCACGCTCCAAAGCCAAAAGCAAATCAGCAGAGCAGTCAAACAATTTAAGCGAAAAATGGTATGTGATTAAGCTGAGAACATGGCCAACTGAGCCACGTGCACAGGGCCAATATCTTGAAGTCCCATTGATCACACTGGCAAATGCCGCGACGACAATGACACTGCCATCCGCCAAGTGGCATAGAAAATTCAAACTGAAGAAGGTGCAGCAACATCACACAATGACCACATTCACGGGAGATTTGAAACAATACAAAATTGACGAGAAGGATCGCCACAAATATCAGCCGGATTGCGTGATCTTTCGACGCGATGCATTATTGATGCCGCCACACATCCTGTGTACACCCTACGATCGGGTTCTTATCTTCAAGGACACGTGCTTCACCATCGCCATCGATGGGAAGATTGTCCATTTGAATGGAGCACCCGATGCAATCACATCCCTTAAAGAGGTACACATATTACTCGATATTCTCGATAGTATTTCATTTTCGAATCCAATGGTTGAAATAGTAATGTCCATCTCACCGAAAGACTATGATTTTTGAAATACATTCTTTGGGTTAAAATCATTTATTTGGAGAAATTTTAATTTCTAGAACGTGTGTATTACTCGACGGGAGGAAGTAGTATATTATTCTGGTATTGGAAAAAGTTAAGTCAATATTTAGAAAAGTTGACTAACCTTGTAGCTGCAATATCGTCATTTGATATTCGGCGAGTTTCTCATCGATGTAGTCCTGCGATTGATTCGCAATTATTTCCGCAGTTGATGGTCCAAATTCCTCTTCATCGTCATAGACCACATAGGATTTGGGCTGCGGCGGCTCCAGCGGCACACCAACAAAATCGATTTGATCATGTCCGTGTTGTCTCGGTTGTGGTGGCAGTGGTGGTGCGCCTGGCTGGCGCAGATATTGTGGCGGCGGAGCCGACTGCTGATATTGGTTATGGTGCGACAGCGGCGTCTGTCGACTGCTGTATGTAAAATCGGAGCTGGGCGTTTGGCACACAATTGGCGATGGTGTTGGCGACAATTGGAACGAGCTCGTCGGCGGTGCACCGTATGAGTTCTGATGATGCAACTGCGGCAGTGGTGCCGGCCGATAGGGACGTGCCGGTGATGCTCCACCCATGCCGCCGCTGCTGCCATAGGGATAGCCTTGTGGCTCAAATATGCTCGGTGGCTGGTATGGTGCTGGCGATTGATTGCCACCGGGCCATTGTGGACGCGGATGGGGCATATTGTTGTTAATGCTACTGGCACGCTGACCACGTAGTTGTGGTGCCGGTGACATGGCATGGCCAAACGCACGCGGCCCGGATATTATGGGCGGTGGGCTGGGCGCCGTTGTCCACGGCGATGGCGGACGATACAGAAAGGATGAGGGCGATGGCGAGGCGGGATTGGGTGCTCGCGGATTCCAGCCACGTGGCCCATTGCCAAACGGCGGCAACGGTTGCTGCCCGGACATTTTTCACAGCTTGCACAGCCTTTCAGAAGATGTTTTTTTTTATTTTATTATTTCTGATATTCGATGGTTTTTATTTTTGGGGGTTTTTATTTTTACAGTGATTTATTTTATATTTTTTTGTGGGCACTTCAATTGAACATATTACACTGCGAGTACAGAAAACATATGAATTACAAATCAAACTCTTCAAAGTTGAACTTTCCAACTGGCACACAATAAGTTCAACAGAGCAGAGAATTGTTTTCAATAAATATTTACATAGCTTCCACAATATGTGGAATCTTTCGCGAATTCTTCGAATTGTACGCTTTTCCGCACAGCACCAAGGAAACTTTGTCTGGTCTGGTCTAGTCGGTCATATTTATTATCTAACGTATAGGCGAAAAACTATCCGTCACAATTTGTACATTATTAGCCAGACGATCACCTGAACATCATCAACGAAACCCAAATATGTCAAAATAAAAATACATGAATAAATCATGACCTATTCAAAAGGCATGAGTCCGAGCCTCGGGTGAAATTGGTTGTTCGAAGTGCCTTTACGCATCAATTCTCAGTGTGTGCTATTTTCTAACGGAAGTGGGCTAAATGTTTATTCGACTTTTCGCACTTGATTCTTGCTCGATTTTCTTTCTGATTTTCTTCTTTTTTTTTTGTTGTGTCGTTTGTCTACTTTTAAAATTGGCGCTGACGCCATCGCAAGCAAGTTTTGGTTGGCGGAGTGATGCTTTCAAGTTGCCAATTTCCGAATATCTTTTTGTTAGTTGTCACTGAGATAATTTTTTGGAAAAATATTATATTTGTAGTATGTATATACTTTAGTGGCACATAATTTACAATACTTAAATATTAATATCGAGCATTCAAAGCACACGGATTAGCTGCCAGTCAACAACAGTTTTGAAGGTCTCTTCGCATGATAAATGCGTTTGAGTGCCGTTTGCCACTCACAAGGACATAAATACTACACATGCTTGGCCAGTCGACTGATATCATTCATAAACATAGCGAGAGTATATATTCGAAAACATTTATGTGTGTGTTAAAAAGACTTTCACGAAAAATTTCCGACTTAATTGCACTTCAAGTGAATATACTAGATATATTTAAGCATTTTTTGAAAGTGAATTTTGGCGATAATTCAAGCAATTTCATAATATAAAACTACAAGTTTTTTAATTCTGAATACAGTAAACATTTCATATTATGAAATTAAGTCCAGCTACATAAACTAAAAAATATATGAAATTTATTTTGAAGTACATTGTAGTTATTAAATCAATTAATTTGAATTTTTTAAACTAAAAACGTGTCCATTTAGGCAATGGCTACTGTAGCAATATTGACGATCGTCATCTGTTCTCAATATGCACTAAATATTTCGTTGAAAATGAAAATTTGCACAGTGTAGGCGTGCCATAGATCAGTCGACATGTGCTGTGTCCCGCAGCGGAAAAGCCATGCAGACTTTTCACTTTTTTTTTGGTGTGTGTGGCGGCGTGGTGCTTTTGAATAATACGAAAATAGAAATGAACTCAGTTCGTTAAACTTTTGCTCGGGAAAATCATGCTGAGATGCTACCGTAGCCGAGTGCAACATGCTTCGATTTTTCATCTTGACTGGCCCCCCACACGTCCTTGGCTCGATCATAAACTGTTGCGGCCCCCTCTCTGAATTGCCATCAATTTTATTGTTTTTTAATATAATTGCTTTAAGTGCACTCGCATTTACTAGCACATGATTACATTTATTTTGGTTCTTTTTTTTTCAAGTGGAAAACGTGTTTTTCCACGCTTTTCATTGGTTGCTCTCAAAAACAATGCTGCGATTATGTAATCTGTTTTTCGATTTCATACGAGGTAAATTGAGTAATTAAGAACAACTAATCACGTCAATTAATTTAAATTTTAAGAAACACTATACACAAGAATCGCTTTTGATGTATATACTTTAAGATATATATATATATTTTCTATATATTTGTATATATAGGGTGTATATATGTATTATGGCAGCAGGCAGAAGAGACTGTGCTGTGAAAAACTTTCGATATTGTTGAGGAAAAACCGAGAACAACACTCGACGAGCACGAAACACTAACTGAATCAGCCGCACTCAAATGACACAAGCCAAATTGTTGCGGCCAGCTGCTGTTGCTGCTGCTGCTGATGCTGCTTCTTTTGATCTTGAGGGAAATTACGAATTACGGAGAAAATGGGGAAAATTCTCGCCACGAAGAATCTTCGGAAATGCCAACGCCACTCACCGAAAATTTCACTTGCTGCTCGGTCTCCCATGCCGGCAAAATGGTACAGCGCATGCTTCAAGGGATCATTTTGTGATTTTTTGATTTTGTTTACACACCACATTCTAAACAAAACGAACGCTCAAAGCAAACGAGCCAATCAAAATGGCGCCACTTAAAAAAGCGTGCAGCAAATGCCGACGCTGAGCATTTGAGAGACAGCAAATCGGAATATTGTAAATTTTCTGCAAGTTTCGAGCACACAATTGTGGCATGTAGCAAAACATACAAATTACATTCTAATGTCCACATAAATAAAATATATTACTTATAGAGAGTTTCTGCCACAAAGAAGCACCTCAGCGATAAAAACATAACATAAAATCGATCCTGTGATTTGTAACAGAATTGCATCAAATCACTTATCGATTTCTCCCATTATTTTTTGTGAATTTTATTGCGTACTTTGACTTTGATTATCGATATAGTCTAAACGTTTCGTCAGCGTGCCAACTAATTGAATAAATTTGTTCACGCTACGGCAATCTATAAATGATTTCATTAAAACTCTCAGCTCACTTATTGGAATCTTGGCCAATAAAAAACCGTTAGATGGCATTTGCATTCTGTTAAGTTCGAACTACTGGGAGTAGATTCTGTTAAATGTGTATGCCAAACAGCTCTTGTCAGCTAACACAGCACTTGCTATGTAAAACGGTCCGCGCCATCTACAGTTGAATTTTTAGAGTTGCTTTAACATTCCGTTGAATTTGAATTCAAAGCGTAAAAGTGCCCAACAGAATTTTAAAAACATACCAACGGTATATATATATATATATATACAATATATATCACAGATAAATAAAAAGACACGTCATTTGTTTTTATTTGCATTGAACACACAACATGCTTAAAGACTTTATTTATTTATCGATATCGATTTATTGCATTGCATTTCTTGTCAACATTTTTCTGTATTTTACCATTATTTTGCCGAGTTTAGTTTTGCATTTGTTGTATTGCTTACTAACTAATTAATAATTAAAAATTAAGTTCGCAAATCTATGATATTTGTTGTCATCTGGCTGTTTGTTTGTTTAATGTTGTTTTTGTTGTTTTTTTTTCGTGTCATTTGTTCATTGAGGTTATTGTTTGGTTAAAATACTATTAGATCTTTTTAGACAATATTGCATTTTGCGATTTGATTGGCTTAAGTGGTTTTCAATTTGATCTACTCTTGATTGGCAACATCTTTGGATTAAATGCACTTTATAATTACTAAGGGGAACTACAAATGTATTTCCGAGTTTTTCTTTGTATTTTTTTTTTTTTGTTTGGATTGTGAGTTTTTTGTTTTGTGGTATTTGAGTGTTTGGCTAAGCGCATTTTGCTGGCATCGAGTTTTTTAAACTGTAAATATATTTTCCTCTATATGTATACATATACATTGCATTTATTATTATTGTTAGTATTGCGTTCTAGCATTTAGTTAAAGTTTTATTTATGTATTTGCTTTGCATTAACGTTTCTCTTGTTTTCCTTCTTTCTCTCTGTTGCATTTTATATTTGTGACACGCAAAAACAGTGTTGTAAATTACAAAAATATATCTCGTTTTGTTGTTGTTGTTGTTGGTGTTGTTTTTGTTGTTTTTGTTGTTTTTGTTATGGTTTGGTTTGGTTTGCTTTTGTTTTTGTTTTTGTTCTCAACTCAAGCACTAATCCCGAAGAAACAACGCAATAAATGGTTTGCTGTATATATCAACATACACATATTGTATATATATGTATGTATGTACGTATTTATGTTTATTTCTTATTACAATACAAAAGGTACGAAAGGCGCGACAAATTCCGCATGGCCTCCCATAAATGGAGTCCAGCGAAATTTACACTAAAAATTGACTTAATTGTGAAAGTTAAGGGAAAATAAAGGCTGATTAAATCGTTTAAGAAATTCCAATTCTTACTGTCTACATTGCAGAATCTAAAAAGTGTTTTGCTTTTTTTTATTTAATTTTTTTTTAATTTTTAATTTTGTTTTTTTTTTTTGGTTTTTTGTTTTTAGCGTAATAGGAAAACTTGAATCGAAAGCTGCAACTAGCACGAGTATCTGTTACTTTATCTGTTTCATTTTGTTTTTTGTTTTTTGTTTTTAATAATGCATTCCCATTATCTTATTAGGTTGAGGCCTCTTAATATGTATATTTATGTATATGTATTTGTATTTGTGTTTGTGGTCGCCATTCTCTACTCGGCGCGACAGAGGAGCGAGGCGAAGCGGAAGAGTCGCATCCAGCTGAAGAGCTTCGACTCGATGAGATTCTCCTCCGCCGTCGAGGTGGTCATCGAGACCCGCGACGTATTGGAGGATTTACTACTCCGCTTCTGCTGCATTATCCTGGGCGAGCTCATCTTCATAATCGAGTACGTCGTCTTGACTACTTTTTGGGCGCACGCCGCAAACGGGGCGTGGCAACTGGGGGGCACAAACGAAAAAGACAAACGCACGAGCTGCAAAAGACAAACAAAGCAAGAGAGATACAGATTAGGATTAGTATTAAGTCAAGAGCGATGTGGCATCTACTGTCAAGAGTGCTTGGATGCCCCACTCTCTTTCTCTCTCGGAGAGTGCTTCATGGAGCGTTACATTTGAACGGCAAAGAGATAACTGTTGACAGTGTGCATAAAATGCTACATTTTATTCAACGCTCTATTGGCGAACCTAACACTCTACCACCCAACCACTCCCTTTCCACCGCTCCAACAACTGTCGAGTGACCTTGGCGCGTTTTGCCTGCTGCCCAAATTTGTGCGGCATGCTCCAGTTTGCAGCAAATACCCAAACCAAACAACCAATGCTAACCAGACAAAAACGCTTCAATGACAAACTCAGCCATTCGTTAAATATATTAAGTCTATGTTGGTGTGTGTGGGTGTGTGTGTGTCAATATCCACATAGATACAGTGGGTGCTAAATAAAATTCAAACTTCCAGCAATTGAAATCTAATCTCTGCCGGAACTATGCTACTTTAGCAACAATTACTATTTACTATTATTATAATAATAATCTTTTCTTGATTTTTGTAAAGAAATATTTTTCTAATTTTGCTTTCTTGTTTTCGTTTTTTGCATTCTTCATATTCACAATTGAAAGCAAAAGCGTACAAAATCAAATTTAAAATTATGTTTATTTTACAAAAATTTCATTTACGTGCTGGCAATGCAGATATATCTGTTACCCACAATTGAAAGCAGCTTTGCTGCAACAGTTGTCGACGTCATTTGCAATTATGCAATGCAATCGACACAATCTAAAGCAAACCAAACAAACAAAACCCCTTTCCACAACGCCCCCCCAACCCATCGCATCCCACACCACTGCTCTTTTTTTTAGTTCCATAGAACCACTTCAGGCACCACTTCTGCCCACGCCGAATGTTGCCGAGTCGCGCACAGCAGCAAATTAATTTCAATTCTCATTTAAGTTTTACAATCTCAGCGCTTTTTTTCTTTTTGTGTGTTGGAAAGAGTCGACGTCGGCAACGATGACAACTGACAACAACAGCAGCAACAACGGGAACAGCCAAAAAATGTGTCATGCTGCAACAGCAACAACTACAACAAATGCAACAGCTGTGTTTTTTTTTGAGACCACGCGACAACGTTTTATTTATGCATATTTTTTTACTGCAAGCTCTGCGAGATTATTTTATATTTTGCTTATGTGTTTTTTATTTGGGTTTTTTTTTTTTGTTGTTGTTTTGTTGGCGCAACATATTCAAAAAGTCAGAAAAGTCAAAACGCCTGCGCACTTTTTTTACTCTACACACAATAGCTAAAGAAAAAAAGTGGGTTATTTGAGAACGCTAACAAAAAATTAAAAAAAAAAAATAATAAAAAAATTTAAATACAAGGAGTCTTTTAAACTTTACATTGCCATCTAAAAAAACAGGGAACTGTAATAAAAATGTACATGTATCGAACGTGTTTCAATTAAAACGATAAAACTAACAGAAGAAATGCAAAAAAGAAAAAAAATATGCTGTTAAAAATTCAAAAAGTGTAGCCAACCAAGCATAATTGCAGCCAATAATATGAAAAAAAAAAACTACTTCTTATTCAACTTGTGAATTCGCTAGAAAAATAACTTAGCTGCTTTGGCTGCAACGGTATTCATTCCATTGGAATGGGAATGGCAATGGGAATTGGAATGGGAATATTTGGCTTCGTGATGCGCTTTAATCTTTTGATGCAAGAGCTCTTCAGCTGATGCTGTCACCGTCGCCGTCGCCGTCGCCGTCGCCTGCCCACGCATCCGCTGCATCCATCCTTCATTTCTCATGCTCCAACCATTGGTTGGACACTTTTTCGGTTGTAGCAAATGAATATGGCTTTTGCGGGGGTGCACACAACTGTTTTATTGCCTTGCCGTTAGCAGCGGGCCGTATGCGTGATGTTTTTATTACCGTTAAATTAGAAAGAGGCAAGTTGGATGCCAAGAGCAAAATCTATAGTTATCACCTAATGTGCAGGGTGTGTGGCTGGGCCCTGGGCAGACATCGATACATAACCTAAAGGCGCCAGCTGACTCAATTTATGTGTGCGCAGCGTCCAATTCCAATAAGAATCAATGATGAGGCATCAACAAAACAACAACAACAACAGCAAAAGCAACAACATCAATTTGTGGTCCCCAAATGTATATCATATATACATGCTTATATTTATATATGTTTATATGCTTATATTTGCAATCTGGCAACCACTGGCACACGTCGATTCTCTATCTCGCTCTCGCTCTCTCTAATTGGCTGCAAATGCTCGTGTGTGTTGCTGTCACTTGGCTCACATTGACCCACTTGGCAGGCAGCTCTTGAGCAGCATAACTGCAGTTTGAGCCTGTGCCAAACTCAATTATCAATTTGTACATTTTACATTTTCTCGCACATATTTCATTCGCCTGGCCTCTGCCTATGCCTCTGCCTCTGCCGCTGCCTCAGCCTCTGTTTCTATTGTATTTGTTTTTTCTTTTCAATTCCGTTCGTTTTCAATTGAAAGACAACGCGACGTGCGCTGCAATCGTTCAATTGACAGCAGAAGCAGCGTCAGAGGGAGAGAGAGAGAGAGAGATAAAGAGAGGCGGGAGGCGGCAAATTGAGAGAGCCAAAATGGGTTGACAGGCTGTTGAGGGGTTCGCTGCTGTCGCTGCCTACTGCTGACAACGCTTGCGGTTTCTATTGCATTTCAAATGCGCTGCTGTTATCAAAAGCGTGCCAGTTGAACGCGTCCCTGACTGACATAGCCCCACACACACACATACACAAGCATACATACATCATCACATCTATGTTGTTGTGCATGTGACATCCGTCTTAATGAGGCTTCAATATCACTTGCCGAATGTGCCTTGTTATTGCTGTCATTTCGTATCGAAAATGATCAACTGCATGACAGATACACAGCAGCTTTTGTACACAAGTACAGTGCGCACCAGCAATGCACGAACTTTCAGAAACTATTATTGCTTAGTGGAATCGAAAATTATATAGATTTTCATATTTAAAACTATTGCGTATAAGAAAAATTCTTTAATTCATTCTCATTTTTAATATAGAATTTGAATAATTAAGACATAGTTCAAGCATGCCCTTCACAGAGTATTTTCATTAAAAAATTAAACTAATCAAACTCGTCACAATTTTTTTTTAATAATAATTAAAAAATAAATAAAATAGTGCGTACTATCGACTCATTGTACATATTTAGTTAGCTACACACACACAGAAACAAACATTTAAATCTACATTTATGGCAATATATAATTGGGTCGTTCTCTCAGTGAGCACACACACAAACCACGAAAACTGGCTGAACTTGAACGCCTTGACAAAAGATTTTCCAGCCCCAACTGTCACTCCCCTGTGCCCCCATCACCTCCCCTTGAGCATTACATGAGCTCAACAATTCACAAAAAAAATGACATCAGAGGCGCCCAAAGCAGCGACTCTAACAACGACCAGTTTCCAGTTCAACTTGAATTGGCAGCTCATAAATATTTACAGCGATAAGCACAACACGCAAAGGTTCAAAGATACATTTTCAAGTTAAGTAGTTATAAGATGCGCTGCAACAAATAACAGCAACAACAACAACAAGAAAAAACTATTCGCTAAATGCGGGAAAAACCAACATTAATATTCAAAGCAATGCTAATTTAAGTATATTTATATAATTGTATGCACAGACATTGTTGTTGCTGGTGTTGCTGCTGCTGTTGTTGTTGCAACTGTATGCGAGTCGGCGTCTGCGAAAAGTCACACAACAGCTGCAAGCTGAAAAAAAAATAAATGAAAAAAATGTGTAGAAAAAAAAGCAGAGTTATTCGACAGATGCGCCGCATTGTTTTGGCCCAGAACCGCATTGAAGCAGCGCACAGTTGTGGAGGGCCTCAAGCCGCAACCACAGCAAGTGGCCCTAAGGCAGCTCTCTAACCCAAACCCAACCCACTGCCCATGCCCCTGCCACAGCCAGCCTGCACCCAACCAGCACAGCACACTTGCCCGTAACAGTTGTAACAGTCTACTTAACTTGCAACTACAAACGAACAAATGTATCTCCAAGTTACTTACAATAGCCGTGTAGCTGTATCTTGTTGTCGTTTTTCATAGTTGTTGTTATTGTTGCTGTTGACTGACTGACTTTCGAAACGTGTTGTCATGTAAATTAACCAAAAATGCTACGTACTTTACATAGCTGTCGCAGCAATGGGGATACAAGATACCAGAGTATCTATCTCTCAAAGATAGAACAAACAGCGAACGCCGCCAGCCTGAGAAATGCAAACAGAACGACAAAAGACAACTTCCCAAACACGATGGAGCAATGCGCAATGGGACAATGAAAATGCTCCACATAGTTCAGATGTCAGCTGTGGTCGTGGGGAAGACAAGCAACAATCAGTGTAGATTATACCACAGCAAATTGTAAGCATTTCACTCATGTTAAACATTCGTACAAGAAATGTAACAACTCTTGAAAACATTTAATTATCCATACAAAAGCTAACTAAAATTGAATGTTTGTGAATGAAGAATTCGAGTAACAATTGTAGCTGAAGCATTATAAAGTTAAAATGCTGAGCAACGTAACAAAAATAATAACGAATAAGTTTATACATAAATATTTTCAAAAGATATACGTAAATAAAGTGTGGTCTTTAGAAAGGATAACTTCAGTGACTGTTCCTAAATGAAACTCCTTACAATTTCCGAAAAACATATATTCACTGTATTTCAATGAACTCATAAACCTAGTAAATATTATTAGAAATTATAGATTAAGTTCGCTTATGGCTCCGAAAACACCAAATTCAATTCACAAAGTTAACAAATAAATTGAGTAAAACTGTAATATTTTCAAGCCTTACACATTTGTTCAAATGAACATCATATTTTACTGCATGCATAAATCATTCATTTGCCTTTTGATGATTTCTGTAAAATTGGAAAAACTACAATACTAGAACTGCCAAATTGTATATTTATGTTAATCGATAAAACAGACCAGACACATCCCAAAGCCATTACCTGGAAAGGCGGCGTTCTTAATTTCCTGCTTCGCCAAAAATGTAACGCATACGCAGCGTACAACAACAAATGCAAATATTTAATGATAATTGCGCACAGAGCAACAGCTACAATAATAAACAAAACAAAACCTGAAGCAAAATCAATAAATAAATCGGTAAAAAAAAATCCCGAAGTTCAAAGTTGGCCACAAGAAATTGCGATGCCATGCCGCTGCCTCATTAGATGAGACCCCCTAATCGCTTTGTGGTCGCTTGTTAACGGTCAGCAGTGGAAGCATGGAAACGTGGAAAAGGGGAGAAGGGAGGCAGGGGGCTGCCAAGATGCTTACATAATGATGGGAAAATGTTTTTAGTTAAAGCGCACTGATAAGAAGCGGCGCAACTAATGGCCATCATTTTAACTGTTTTGTATACAATTTTTAGCATCATTTATAGCTCGTAAAAAACGGCGACCAAAAAAAACGTGGCGTAAATTTAATTTACTAAAAAAAACCAAAACAAATGAATTTCAATTTACGAGAGAGAGAGAGAGGGAAAAGGTTGAGTTTTCTAGTTTTCATGGCTCACGCGTGTTCAAGTGTTATTTTTCTCCGAAAGAGACAGGGCGAATGAATAAACAGAGATGACAGTCAATTTGTTGTTGGCTGAGACCACACACACTCACTCACACACTGGCACACCTTAAATCGAAGAGACCTGAAAGCAATTTGCATATTTAATCAACTCTTTACGCCCTTTCAAATTTGACCTGACCTTTCGACTGAAAACGCCAAACGTGAATGCTCATCGATTTTCGATTAACTCTAATTGGCATGCGCCTACCAAAGCATCCAAAGACTTAGTTCCAGCTGTCTGTCAAATATTCGCATTGAGTTCCATCAACATTTCACAAATTTCTGTGTAGTTTCAATAATTTTGTAAACATTCCGAAGTCCGCACTCCGACATATGTCTGTCTACTTAAACAGCCCGCATCAATAAGAAGAGTCTTTCAGTGCTGGCCAGTCATTAATTACAAGCTAATAGTAAATATTTGGCAAATCTTTTGCAAAATGAAGAATAACGTACAAGAAAATTAAATGATGAAATAATTATGATTTATTGATGTTCATCATTATCATCATCATTATTCAGCGTAATTACTGTTCTTTGCAAATTGAGCCAGCAGTGATGCAAGCGAATTGATTTTCAAATCACAGCATTACAGCCTTATTTGCATATTAATGCTTGTATTCAAAAATATTGTCTGCTGCCAATTACATACAAATATCGAATCCAATCAACGAATTTGTTCGTTGCCCACATCATGATTTTTATTTTAAGAAATACAGCTATTCTTTGGTGAGTGTGTGAGTTTTATTGCTTTCCCATATATTTGATAATAAAAATTGAGAGGAACCAGTTCTGGGGAAATGGAAATGCAGTGTTATCAGAAAAATAGGCGCACGCCCACAAAACAAGAATGAAAATAGTGATTTAATCTACTTAATGTCTCTCTTTGGGTTTCACTTGTTATCCTCATATTTTTTTTGTTGTATTTATTTGGGCCACAAATATTGATTTCCCGAGCCTCTTGGCTGTAAATGTAACCAAAAACGATAACACAACGATAAGCATGAGTCTTCGTACTCCAATTTCGAGAGGAGTAGTTTTTGTTGAACCAAGTGCATTTAACGATATGATAAAAGTGCGGAGCACATGAAAGATTAGACTGGGGATGGGGAAAGGGGTGTGTGTACGTGTATGTGTGTGCGAGTGTGTGTGTGGGGCAATGTGGCCTGCCGTCGGAGTTGACCCAAATAAAATGCGAGCACAGCTGGAGTGGCATATATATATATACATATATAACGGATATATCTACCATATAGAGTTGTGACGAACAACTTTTTCATATCTAATTAGAAAAGTAGAGCGTTCTGACATTCACATATTGTGTGTAACTGCGAATGCTCAGTTCTTAATTAATATTAATTATGTAACTAAGTGCTGGCGCATATAACAAATTAATAACAAAATGAACTGTTCTCAGCCATTTAACTGAATTGCAGCCAACAGAGAGAGAGAGGACTCCGATGTTCATTGGCCTATATAGCAAACAATGTCACCAACATAAAGAGCAAAGTAATTAATATAAAAGTACAATGGAAATAATAATGCCTCTGAGCCGGATAGCAATGTGAGGGGACATGTTGATGGGCACATAAATAACGATACGAGAGCAAATTAACATTCCGTGAAGGGCTCTCATGGAAAACTTTTGTGAAATGCCTGCTTATATTTTTCTTTTCTTAGTATGTCTCTAAAGAGTACATTACCAAGCGAAAGGTACAATAAAAAAAAGAGCAGCTGGCGCTGATTAATCGCCCATCCTTAAGTACTTTTAATGCACTCAGCAAAAATAGATAGTTAAGTTCTTTCGATTGTAGCAAATGTTATAAGCATAAAAAAAAGACGATAATCATTTAACATTATTTCAGCAATTTTTTTTTTTTTTTAATCATTTTTTATTATATCGAATAGATGTGTAAAGTCATATAATTTATATTTTTATCCAAGTGTATATTTATGTACTTGAATATGAGCTTGTGCGCATAAGAAAGTATTCCTAAAAGCAGTTGGCATTTAACTTATAACATTTTCCGTCGTTAGTTGATCTTATAAAGAAATTCAGAGATGCTTAACATATAATTACTTCCAGGCAACATTTTTACAGCTCTGAGGGCAACAGTTACCACATTTTTGCATTACCTCTCAAGTGTGCATTACCTTATTACACCACAGTTTAGCAGGCAAGAAATGTAATACTTTTTTTAACGATTTTTACGAAAAATGTTGTAATTTTCCCTTAATATTTATGATTGAAATGTGAACTCGAGAGGGGAATAAAAACAAATGAAAAACGAGTCCAGATTTACGGTTGACTGCAACGCAAAGAATAACGTTTGCGTGATTACGTAAAATGCGTAACACCAACGCTCAAATACACACACACACACACAAAGATAATAGCCACTTGGTGTTACGTTTTCAAGGACACAGACCGCTCAAGGACACAAACGAAAAGCTGACGCCTTCTAACGCCACGCTTAGATGGCATTACACAACACTACACGCTATGAAGACTTACCGTTAAGATTAAGTTGGCAGTGCCTTGTTAGACGCAACACTGCAATTTGTTATCGATGCAAATCTAGTTGGCCTTTGACGGATGTCGCCTGATTTTAATTCGAGAGTGTGTTGATTACAATTCAAAATTGAACGCAGCTGGCTTTCGACGTTGATGCTGCTAACAAATTTTCCGTTCTATTAAGCAAAATCGTCGAAACTTTTCAATTGTTCTTCCTTATTCGCACGACGCGTAAAACTCGCAAACAAATCGAACTTCGACAAGTTGTAGTTGAAGACAACGAGAACCTTGCGCCGCGAACTCTGTTGACTGAATGAACACGCACGAAACAAGCTCGGAACAGCGGCAGCAGCAGCAGCAGCAGCCTTAACGTAAAAAGCAAAAGCAGCGAAAAGAGAGAGAGAGAGAGTGTGAGAGCAACAGCACAAAAACATCAACAGCAGCAGCAGCGCAGATTGTAGCGCTCTCCAATCGAGAATAGTGAGTGGGAGGCAAAAGCAACAAGCGCAGTCTGCGTGTGTGTGTGTGTTTTGAGAGAGAGAGTGGGAGACGTCCAGCAGCAGGTGAGCGTAAAATGTTGTTGTTGCGTTGACCGCCCACGCACTGCACTCCACATGCAGAAGCGCCATATTCATTAACATATACATATATATACATATATACAAACAACATATAAGAGTGAAAAAGTTATAAATTGATGCATATCACTTGATATATTAACAATTTTTCATTCACATTTCCCACGCTGCTACAGTTGCAGCTGCAATGGCACACTCTCTCTCAATTTCTCCTGCTGCCTCTCTCTCTCTCTCTCTAAGTGTGCACTGCATGTAAATGTGAATTGGGGAAATTTTAGCATGAGCAACATAAAAAAAAGAGCCAAAGCTGCTGCTGCTTTTGCTGCTTATGTAACTTGACGTCGTCTCAAACTCAGGCACCGTTGAAGGGCAGTCAGCGACCTCGTTCTAGAAAAGAGGCAGCCCCGCAGCAGCAGCAACAAGAACAACACACAGAATAAACATTTGGAAAACGTAGGCTTTTCCTTTTCTTTCTATGGCCACAAAGCACCACAGCGGGTGGCTTTGTGGGCGAGGTTGGGCGACATCAAAGCCAAAAAAAATAAATAAATTGCGCAACAGCAACAGCAACAACTAGCCACGTGAGCATTGCAAATGCCACGCTTTTTACACATCTTTTTTTTTTGTGTGCCCTCAATCCATGTTACATGCTTTTTATAGACTGACGCAGCAATGCATCTCGGCAAACAATAATTCCCTTCCAGCGCCTGTCTCTACTTTTCGCCCTTTTCTCACTCTGCCGTTTTTGACTGAAGCGTAATTCAATTCCAAGCGCCATTTATTTATGGTGGTCATCGGTCAGGAGACGACAGCAGGCCACAGGACCACTCGACTGGGAAAGATTAATGCGTAAAACGAATTGGGTTAGGTCAGCAGCGGCAGCAGCAGGATAAATATACAGCGAGAGAGAGAGAGAGAGAGAGGGAATAAAACACCTGATGCAATACTACATATAACCTATAAGAGCAAAGCAAAATATAAAATCAACAACGCACTTCAGTTTTAGCTCTCTCTCTCTCACTCTTTCTTTCTCTCTCTCTCTCTCTGTAACTCTGCTTGCCTTCTCTCTACTTCCTGTTTTGATTGTGTTTTGCGTTTGGCGGCATCTGTTTTTGCCAAAGCCAAAGCTGTAAGAAACATGCCTAAAATGCGTTTTAATTGAAAAGGAAATGTTCAAAGCACATGTCGAGGTCTGCGTTGCCCAACGGGCTACGGCTAATTGAATTATATATATGTATGTGTATACACACACACACACACACACACACACACACACACACACACACACACACATATATATAATATATCTATGCATTTCTTAACAGCCGCCTCTTACTTTTGCCATTAGATGCTTTGCTTTTTATTCACTTTTCATTCGGCTGACCCAATTCCTATGTGCTCAGTACTATTGCTGTCTCTGTCCTTTGCAGCTGCAGTTGAGAGTGACGAAAACTAAAGACAACAACAACAACAACAGAACTTGGAGAGCGGGCACTTGTCATCGTGTCTGTCATCATCGATACATACATATTTAATTTAACTTAAGTTTACGCACACTCACGCAAAAAGTTATTTATTGAGCGGCAATTAAACCGTTGGTGAGAGTTGCGTGCTGTGAATAGCATCAAATAGCAAATTATGACGAAGTGCATAAATGTGTCAGTGTTGCCAATTTGGTGTTCTGTTTTTATGAAATCTGGCTATTTTTAGATTTTATTATTGAACACACAATAACTTAAATGATTCTAAATTGCTAAATTAAATCCAATTGTAACTTGAATAATTACTAATGATAAATCAAAAACATTTTTTTTTTGTGTGTTTTTTAAAACACGAACAGCAATTCCTAAAATTAATAAGAAATTAAAAAAAATGGACAACTCTATTCTTGTGTTCTTAGACTGCTTGTTATGACTGCGACTTCTATTTTTGCATATGAGTAGTACTCACTGAGCAGCGGGCAGCCACATTGCAATTGGCCACGTTTTCCGCATTTGCCTGGCACGCACGTAACGACCCACATTCACCACCCACCACCCACTCTGCGCTTGGCAATTAACTTGGCAGACTGCGTGGCTCATGCTGAATGCTCTCGTGACACAAGCCTGTCAAGGGAAAACAGAAAATACAAAAAAAAAATCACCTAACCAGCCACCCACCCATTAGTGTCAGCAATGTCCTTGAGGCGTGAGCCTGAAGGCCACGCATGGCTTTGTTTTCACAAGGAAAACCATTAAGCACATACTAAATAAAAATACTCTATTGTTTTTATTTTTTGCAGATAAGCTATTTCCAAGATGGGTGCCGATGCGGAGAATGGCAAAAAGATTTTCGTTCAGAAATGCGCTCAGTGCCACACATATGAAGGTGGTAAGCACAAGCAGGGTCCCAGTTTGGCTGGAGTTGTTGGCCGCAAGTGTGGCACAACCGCTGGCTACAAATATACCGATGCTAATATGAAAAGGGCCGTCGTCTGGACTGAAGGCAACCTCGATGAGTATCTAAAGGATCCAAAGAAATATATACCTGGTACTAAGATGGTTTTTCCCGGGCTCAAGAAAGCTGAAGATCGCGCTGATTTGATTGCATTCCTCAAACAAAATAAATAACTAAATTAACACAACATACTTTGGAAAACAATATAATATAATATAATATATATTGTTGTACTGTTGTATTTATCAAGCAAAAACAACTTAATTTCTTATCTATAACTTATAACATTACAAATTCAAATTAAGCGAGTTCTCGCGCCAGATTTCGCAACAAGAAGCTTTTGGCGACAGTCCACGTCGTTAACAGTTGGCGTTATATGAGAGTGACATATCATCGAGCTTTGTGGCGTCAATATGATGAGCTGTTAATTTTAGGAACATTTTGTTCAAACTAGATTTATTATTGGTTTACTAAAATAATATACTATTTCAGCACGTAAAAACGCAGTTCAGTTAAAGATAAGACAACTGCGACAGCTAGGTTATCTGAAATTATAGCGAGTACATCTGTGGTATAAGTTTGAATTAACAGAGGTCATCGTTCACTGCACAGAGTTGCTAAGCATTTAGATTTGTTTATAAATAACGAAATATCGATATTTTTGGCCACGATAAGATTCGCTCCTAAACGCTCAATTTCACCAATTGGGATTTTCTGTCTCATTCGTAATCTAACTGTTCGCAGCAAACGACGGTTTGTGTTCAATGTAAGTAGCCGGAGTTTTGTAATGACGTAAATATTGGGATGGATAGAGACCAGAAAATATTGATTGTGCCCAAAGTGTACTTGAAATTAGTTGAGATATGAACTTGAGAATTTCTTACATAATTTCTGATCGTATACCGTGTGTATCAAAGTGTAGCTGCAAAATTATCACATGCTAATCATTTTTATTTTTGGGGGTTGTTTGCGTTACATAAACGTATGACTTGTGTGTGTGTGTATGTGACTGTGTGAGTTCAATGATAATGTAATTGCTAATATTTTGCGCTTAAGTGCAAAATATAAGTTATTTGACAAAAATAAAATTAATGTTCTTTAATGTGTATCAAAAGTCACATTGACAGAACATTGGAAAAGAGCGCGAGGCGATTACATGAGCGAAATCCTGTGCTAAAATGAGTACACGATCATTTTCCTTCTCACTCGTCTTAGGTAAAGACAAAAAAATTTTGCTTCGAATTCGCTGAAATTGCGCGCCACGTGGTTGTTAAGCAAGTTGCGAACTGAGTTGTCCATTCCCCTCCACTTAATGTGTTCTCTTTTCCATTGCGCTGAAAAATCATAGGTCGCTTATGTAAGCGAGAACACTGTCCCAGTTTTACTGCTACTCACTCTCACGCATCTCTCACACATATATATATTATGTATATGTATGTGTGCACACACAGACAGAATAAGAATTTGGCCTGCTTCCAATGCATTTCCTATAGAAAAAGTGTTTTTCTGTTCAATCTCACCAAGGCCACATCTAAACGGGCATTGTCGCTTTTCATGTAATCACTCGAGAGAGAGGAAGAGCGGGAAAAAGTGTGTGCGTGTGAGTGTGTAGGTGACTTATTCACGGCGCTCACTACTACAACTAATGTTTCAAGTTCGCATAACTGCATGCAATGCAATTAGTCACCATAACATAAGCTGCTGGGGCGTTTTAATGCTGACCATGACACAGACCCTGAAAACGGTGTTAATCGTTGCAGTGTTGTGAAGGAGAGAAGAGGGGGTTTCTCGAGTTTGTGCCTGTTGCTGTGCGGTAGCAAAAATCTGACGCAATTATCAATACACTTGTGGAAAACAGCAAATTGTTGCGAATTCATCTTTTTTCGCCGTTAGATCTGCGATTTTTAAGGTTCAGCTTTTGTTTATTTCACAACTGTGCATACATTAATTTATATGAATTACATAATATTTTTTTTGTGCATTAATATATGAAATAGTTATTAGATTGAGCATATGATTAATTAAATTTGAAAAATTAAAATATAGCTTCTTTTTTTTTTTGCTTTACCTCGCAACATAAGTTGGCATCACTGTTGACGACTGCTGGCAACATGTGACCAGCTCGTGTAGGTGTAGTAGGTGTGCATGTGTATGTGTGTGCGTGTGTCTGGTGACGTTGTTCGTCTGCTGCTGCTGCGGCTGGCAAGTTAGAAGCGTTTAACGAACTTCGGACGAGAGTATTTAGATTGTTGCAGAATGTTAGATAATCGGAACTTTCAAAATGGATGGGGTGCATTACTAATGGTGAGCTTGTGTCGTTATCAGTAGTCTGCAAATGAGATTAAAAAAACGTTTTAGCGGAAACACTTTGTTGATAACATTCTCACACGTTAGCAGTAAATTTATTGTTTACATAACGATTTGATCTAACTGTTGGCTTTTCCTGCTTCTGCTCCATTCACAGTCGAGTCGGTGTTAACACATCAAATATTTATTAGCTACTATGGGCGTGCCAGCTGGTGATGTTGAGAAGGGCAAGAAGCTGTTCGTGCAGCGTTGCGCACAGTGCCACACCGTTGAGGCCGGTGGCAAGCACAAGGTTGGCCCCAATCTGCACGGTCTGATCGGTCGCAAGACTGGCCAGGCGGCCGGCTTTGCCTACACAGATGCCAACAAGGCCAAGGGCATCACCTGGACTGAGGACACACTGTTCGAGTACCTGGAGAACCCCAAGAAATATATCCCCGGCACCAAGATGATCTTCGCCGGCCTCAAAAAGCCCAACGAGCGTGGTGATCTGATTGCCTACCTCAAGTCGGCTACCAAGTAAACGGAACGGAAACACCGACCGACATCCCATACACCCCCCCAACAAAAACAACAACAACAAAAACAAAAAAAGAACAACTAGCACCACCTTAGCAACAGACAGGAAACTCTGCATTACGGGCGATATCATGCGGGCGGGCGTGGCAGTAGCCCCTTCGAACTAATCTTGACGATGGCACGTATTCAGGTCACAATCACAACAACCAACTATAATATATAAAACCAATAAACATAAAACTACAAATTATGTTAATTTTAAAGTTTAAATAGGACAATTAAATTATTTAATTTAAAATGAGTGGATATAATTAATTTAAAGTCGAATAAATTGTGACGGCCACGATATAAACAACAAAATTAAATAATACAAACAAAACAACCAAAACTATCTTGGTTTTATTTAAGAAATTTTCTATTTCAGAGTTTAGTTTTTTGCATAAAAAAAATTTGCAATGTTGATTTTATTTACTGAATAATTTCAATTTTGAAAAGTTCGAATTTTCCAGCAATCAATTTGTTATCAAAGCTACCCACCTTTTAGGGTGGCCCACAAAAGCTCCAAGGTGCTATGATAAAATGGGAAGCTTTTAAAGTTCCACAAATAATTAAATATTACAATTCCACTAATCAAAGACATAAAATACAAACATTTGTTTTCATTTACATTTAAATGATGTATATGTTTTTATATTCAAAAATGTTATCATACACTTTAATAACAATTTAATGTAGTATCTTGTCATAAACGATTTGCAATTGCAGTTTTAAGCATTTATTTCACACGCTTAGTAACATTTAATATTATTGCATTTATTTATTTTTAATTTTTATTTATTTGTTGTATAATTTGAAATACTTGATAGGTTTTACATATGCGCCAATGCAAATATAATACAAACTTTCTAGAGACATGTGGAAATCGTTAGGCAAACTCTGTACAGCAGTGCAAAGCATACGATAAATATATATATATGTAAATATATATAGAGATGTAGAAACAATAATAACAACATAACGTAGACAATAATAATTAAAGAACTTTTTATGTATTTTACTCTTATTTTTTTGTTTTTTGTAATTAACTTTTACTCTCGTTCTTGTCTCTACTGGTTCGGAATGCCAAGAAAGAGCAACAATCAAATAGGTTTTGACAACAGCTACGCTCTGTGGACGCGCTTATGGAACTTAGCTTAGGGATTAGGAAAAGAATGCGCTTAAGCATTAGCAAGAATAAAACAATATTGGGTAATGGGAGCGGGGCGCAGATGGAGGAATAGATACGTGGCAACGACACGTCCCCAACTCTTATTGTTAGTTAAGTTTATAAAGCAGAGCAGTTGTTGGCGATCCTTGGCTAACGATTGTACATGGTAGCTGTGCGATATTGCTGCCTTAGGCCTTGCCAGCAATCGGTGCAGCGCCTTGTTTTTGGTTCTCGTTCTCCTTCTCCAGCTGCTTGCCCAGGTATTCCCTAGAAGACACGCAAAATTTGAATCGATTGTTTTGCTTTTCTTTGTAAATTTTGATTTGATTGAATGATTTGATGAAATTATGAATGCGAATTCGTTTTGGGGTCTAAAATGCGAGTGCGCGTATCGATCGGCACCTGAATGCGATAGGCCATATTAGAATGGGGTATTTCATTTGTATACTAACCAATTGTGTACCATCAATTTTTGCACAGCAAGCAGGGCCTCGTAGCGCACATTGGGATCCTCATGGCCCAAATGCTGCATGACAATCTGTTTGCCGCCCAGCTGTTCCAGGACACTACAAGCAAATGCAAGATGAAAAGAAACCAGAAGAGGACTGTGCCAAATTCGTTGACTTACTGCTTGCCGCGAGGATAATGACGCACATACTCTCCAATATCGAAACAGGCAACGGACAAAATGATGGCATCCTTCGATGTTTCCAGCAAGTGAACCAGAATGCGCAGCAACTCGTAGTTCTTCTCGTTCAGACGCTGTGCGTTCTCACGCCAGAATTTGGCCGATTTGTGAACGGGCGACCATTCGAGGCGACCGCTGCGCACCTCGGTGGCGTACTCATCGAACGAGCTGAGGTCCTGCACAGAGTTCTGCAGCTTCTCGCTGAGGTACTCGACATCGGCCGTGATGTCCTCGTCGTCGAAGCGACGCTGCTCCAAAATCGACAACTGTTTGAGCACCTTGCACTGCACCATGGCAATGCAGTGGTCCTTAGCGACCGAAGAGTCCTCGGGCTTCTCGATCAAATTGCGGAAGACGGCCAAAATGATGCGTGTGACCTTCTCCTTGGCACAATCGCTCAAAATATCAGCCAACATGGGTATAACGTTGAACTTGTTCATCTTAGCGGCCAGCAGGGGATTAAAGGTGAGCACCCACAGGCAGAAGATCAGCTGGTATTGCACCTATGAATAAGAAATCGAATTTAAATTGGACCAAACAATTTACACATTTCAATTTCAAACTCACTTGGAAATTGACGCGCGTGGACAGGACCCTTGTCAGCGTGCTAATCCCATCGACGCTCACGAACGCAAAACGATAGTCATCCACACGCAGCATCATCTGCAGGCAGCGTGCCACAGATTGAATATACTCGTTGTTCTGTGAAGCAACAACAGCACATATTAATATTAGCCACCAACTTTGCGAGGCTTTTGCTTGGCTTGCGTTAGTAGAGAGTTAGTTATGACAGATCTACAAATTATATAAATAATTTTTATATTCTTTTTTTTTGGGAATTCTATTTGGTAATTGACAACCGAAGAGTTGTTCAGGCTATGCGCTACAACAATCAGAGTTACTACAACAACTACAACTACAGATAGATACATTAAGAGAATGGGTAGATAGATAGATAAGGATGTGTGCTCTAAATAATACAAAACAGATAAATAAATAAAAAGACAGAATCGCAGTTCTGCATCAAAAAAAAAAATTACTTCGTTTTGATGGGCATGGCACGAGTTTGTTTGATTTTGTTTGTGTTTGCGTGAACACTGTCACCGATATTGCAGTTTTACCTTTACCTTTACCGTTACCTTTACCGTAACCTTTAACCTTTAACCTTATCATAGCTTACAACTAAATCGTTTTGATCATTTGTTTCTCTGCTGCTCGTTTTCAATTCAGATCAATCAGATCGATGGTATTTAGTGGAGTTAGTAAACAGTTATCTATTTATATATATTTGTATATATATATATACACACACACACACACACGCACGCACAACAATTGTATGCCTTTGCAAATATAAACTTAAATATTGAGTTATTAAAGATTATCAGCCATATTTTAGCATGAAAGATTTATAATTTATAATTTAATCATTTTATCCTTAAAAGAGCGTGTGTGTGTGAGTGTGTGTGTGTGGTTGTGCGTGTGTGTGTTTTGAGTATTTGTTTAATTGTTTGTTTGTGTTTGTTTGTGTTCTTTTGTTTGGTTTTTGGGTGGTTGGGTGGGTGGTTGGGTGAGTGAGTTGTAGCGAGCTTTTGGGGCTGCATTTGGAATACCGGTATAACACATTTGCCATCCAGCTGCTGATCGGCTTCGGATACGGTTGCCGAGGGGGCCATGGTGGAGCCCACTTCGCGATAACTCTCATGGCTTCCTTCGTGGCTACGCTGCTGCTGCTGACCGGCAGCATTGGGGCTGTACTGATCTTTGCCGTGCAGTCCATGCGAGTGCACAATGATCGTTTGTGTCCGCTTCACCAGCTGGGCCTTCTCGTGCAGATACGCATCGGTCTGCATTGAGAATGGTTGAGTGGTTGGTGCAATGTGGCGGGTGGCGAGGACCCAGCAGGGGGCAACAACAAACAGCAGCATCCGAAGACATTTCATATCGTGTTTGTTGTTTGTTGGTTGTTGTATTTTCAGGTATTGCGTTTTTTTTTATTTTATTTTTTAATATTTTTGTTAAATTTTGTACAGTTTGATTCGTTGTTGTTGGATAGTAAATTGCATTAAAATTCAGATAGATACAAAAAGAGATGTTTGTTCAGCAAAAGAATGTGCAACAGGCAACATTTGGTTTTGTTGACTTGTTGGACGCAATTAACACATAGAAAATCGCATAAAAACATTAATGATTTTGTTTATTTGGTGCAGTTGATGGTGCAGTTGGTGGTGCAATTTGTGGTGCACTTGGTGGCCAGATGCGATGCAATGATGCAGTCAAGTAAATTGTTTTGTAATTTTCGCAACGGTTATGAGAACTTCATTATTGAAAGGTGACTGGACGAAACACGCTTAGAATGTATATTTAAAAAGAGATACGTAGATAGATAGATACTTTGAACCGCAGACAGGCCAAGTCTCGTTTAATCACACATACAATATTTTTTGATAATTAGTTGTTCTTTGGACGTCTCATTTTTAGAGATTTTACTTGGGACGGATATTAATTTGGTGGTAAGTACAAGCAACAAAAACCAAGTAAAACCAACAAAGCGTGCAGTCTTTTCCTGGTCAAGTGTAATTTAAAAAAAATGCCAATATTTTTTTTTTTATTAAATGATGACAAAACAAAAACAAACCAGTAAAGTAAACCCGAAAAATTGAGTTGCGAACGGTGCCAAACTTTCTAATGCCAGAACTTTGTGAGATTTTCAAAACATTATCCTCTTTTTTTGGAATTAAGTATGTACTTATGAACTATTTACATATGCTTCCTAGTTTAAGATTGTTTTAATCACAAACTATATCGTGTTCGTTCAATACAAAGTAATACATAGATGATATGCAAACTTTTTTAAAATCGATAGCATTTTGTAATGTGAGCCATGTTTGCCTCCAATCTTTAAATGGATTTTGTGATAGAGTGCGAGTTAAGATATCGATTCATGCCAATAGCATTGCTTTTATCATGCTGCATCATGCCATATATAAGTTTATATATATAGATAAATAATGTGTACCTAATGCTGCATGCTATATATACATAATGTGCAGATATATATATGTGTACCTAATGTACCTGACTGATAGGAGTAGAGATGTATGTATATATTTACAGGAGCATGCAATCGGGTGGAGGGAATGGAAATAATGTGGGCAGCGGAGATTGCCCAAGTGATTGGTATTGTGGCCTACTTACATTGGTGGCCAGCTGATCCTTGAGGAACTGCAAGTAGAAGTTGAGGTCTGACTTGGGCATGACCTCGTGACCCCAGCACGCGAACTTGGCCAGAATGCGCGACGCCATGTTGACAATGAAGCCATCCTGGCGATTCAACAAATTGAGGAACGGACCCCACACACACTGCTTCATCTTGCCGGACGTCTCGTGGAAGAGATCGACACGCGATCGATCCTCCTGCAGCAGATCGTCGAGCAGCACGAGTATATACTGAATGGTCGCATCCTTGGACAGATGCGAGACAAGATTTAGCAGCGTCTTCACCACCTGCTGCGGATTCTGGGCCAAAAAGGCGGCGCGTGATTTATCCAATGTGCTGATCGCCTGAAAATCCTCCTGGCTGATCATCTGCGACTGCATATAAGATGCCCAGTTGATGGTCTTGGTGCGTATATCGGCTGCCTGATGCTGCAGCACCGAAGTGGCAGCAATCATATCTGTAAAATGCATAACTCAGTTGCAATTACACTTTGTCAGTGGGTGGGATGGGTGCTGCACTCTGGCACTGTGGCAGCTGCTTCGATTTTTCGCCAAGAGGTCAGCTGCTTTTTTCACTCACCAATGCTCTCCTCGGGCATATACAGGGCGGTCGTCATTTTGATTGGCTGTTTTATTTGACGTGTGTGTGTTATACGCAATAACTGCTATTGTGCGCGTTTCGCACACAAATTCTATCGAAATGTATTTGGGGAAAGAAAAAGAACTGATGTTTAATTACGAGTGTCTTTTCACACAAATGCGACAGCACCGAAATTCAGCTGACTGGTCTTGTGACTTATTCGCCGTGTTCGCCGCTTTCCAGCGTTGCCACTATGTGTCAATTTTGCTTTAATATTGGCAATTCCCTGTGAATGGCATAATTGAGGTTATCAGTTCTGCGGCGAGCAACGAAATCATAACAATAACTTTGCTTACATTTAACATTTACGAGTGCTAAATAATACTAATGGCCGACAATAGTTGACATAAATTAATAAGTATCTAAAATTTAAAATTATACGTCAAGTTATCCATCAAATCGAAAAAAGTATTCTCTTTAAAGTGTATCTATTAAATAAATAGTTTTAAAATGTAAATTTATAAACATTTTATGTACCACAAAATTGTAAATAAAAACTTAAAACATAAACGTGTCATTCGATTATAAACATTCAACTCACCGCCAGACATACACATCTAACTTATTTTAATGGAATTTGTGCCGCATTTTAAACGCAAACGGAGCAATTCCAAAGACAAAATAAAAATTGCGCCATTTCCACTTTGCGCTGAAGGACAACGAGGATACCAAGGTGTCTTCACTGGACTCTGTGTGGAGGTGGTGGACACCGAGCAGGCAAGGATTCGAACACTTCACGACAATGGCTGCTATGGCAAGGGAAGTTGCTCGCGAGGAGGACCTGTTTCTGGGGAGGCAGATGAGACTCTGCTCCTTGGACTGGAAGAGGCTTGCTTATTGACCTTCTTCCTGGAAGTATTGGAAATTAGAGACGTGTTGGGCAATGTGATGGACTGGAATTCGTACATGCAAGCAGCGCTGGAATATGACAAGGATTTTCCTTATAAACTAGCTGCTTATTTATATCTCAAGTCCAAAAATTGGATCATCAAAAGCGGTATTAAATTCGGTGGGGATTTTCGTAAGTTGACTGTGAATGAATAAGTATTTTTGTATTTAATCATTTGTTTTTCTGCAGTTATCTACAAGCACGGCCCCCGAGAATTTCATGCCAGTTTCTTGGTGTTGGTTCAAACGCCAGCTGAAAATATTCACTCCCATTATGCGGCCAAGAATTTGAAGGGAGTTCAACGCGTCGCGGAGACCTCTGATAAGGATGTGCTCGTGCTTAGTGTGAACCAATTCCCAGACTTTGAGCCAAAGCTGGCCACACCGACAACCCTGCAATCCCTGACAATTCAAGAAACTGTTATACGTCGATTTAACTACTCGGCTTTTGTGCAAACAAAACAAACAAAATAATATGCTTAAACTAAATTTTCTCCACACGGTTCTTCTTGGGGATGCCGGTGCTGCGATAGTCCGCTCGCTCCTGCAGGTAAATCGCTTTGCATTCGGCCTTAAACGTTTCGTCCTGATACCAGTGGGCGAGGCAATCTCTCAGGGCAGAGTTCTGTTTGCGACAGGTGGCAACCATGAATATGCTGCTCGACTTGCAACACTCCTCAAAATCGGCCACTTCCTTCGCACAGTGCTCGACTTTGGCGCGATCTCTCATTATTTTCGGTATTAACACTTCTCGCTCCACATTGCGCAATTTGGTGTCATTTGGATCGCCTGCAAACGAACAACTCTGTGATTCTCATATTAAGAGTGTGTTGTTTTGTACCTTACCAAGTCCGTGTGGATTTTGGGGATTGTGTTCGAAGCTCATTCTGTGTGTTTGTGTGGGAGTATTAATGTTCCGGTCCGGAGTATTCACAAGTGCCACTTTGACCTGAGATAAAAAACAATGTGAACATATGTCGCAAGCGTAAACAATTATTTATATAATACCAAAAATACAGTTTATATTCGATTTGTGCGATACTGACGATTATCGACTAATCGACAAGTTGGCAGCTCTATTTATTGTTTGTTACACAGCACTAGACATTTCCGCCTCTTTTTCTGCCAGCCTGCAGCGCCTTTGGACGTGTGTCAAAAGCGCTCCCGTTGCATTTTCATCCGAAAACATATTAAAATGTCTGAGACATTGCAATTGCGTGGCACGCTGATCGGCCACAATGGCTGGGTTACCCAGATTGCGACCAATCCCAAGGATCCCGACACCATCATCTCGGCGTCGCGTGGCAAGTATTCACTTTGAGGTTAAATTGAAACCGATTAAAATCGGTTCATATCCTTAACATCCCAGCGTTTTATTTACATTTGAATTGGTGTGCTTATTAATTGGTTTCTTCACGTGCAGACAAGACCTTGATTGTGTGGAAATTGACCCGCGATGAGGACACCAACTACGGCTATCCCCAGAAGCGTCTCTACGGCCACTCGCACTTCATTAGCGACGTTGTCCTCTCCTCCGATGGCAACTACGCTCTGTCCGGCTCCTGGGATCAGACTCTGCGTCTCTGGGATTTGGCTGCCGGCAAGACGACGCGCCGTTTCGAGGGACACACCAAGGTGGGATAAGTTTTCAAGCGTTTGACAATCTTTTTGATTAGGAAATTGATTTGTGGCAGTCTTAAATCACCTCCCCTCACCCACTCTAAATGGTATTTGGTGGTTGTAGTTGACCCCTTGCTCAGATTAAGGTTAGCTTTAGTTAGTACACCAATACCAACCACAACAAGAAACAAAAAATATTGCGCCTATGCGAGGCAGAATTTCTGGTTGACATCTGTACACTGTTCTCTCTGCACCTGAGTCCAGAAGCTCATCCGTAAGTAGGCAAGAAAATGAACCATTAGCTGCCAATTTGATTACCTAACCGCAACAGCTAGAATTGCATTGGCTAATCTTTGCTCTCGATCCTTGCAGGATGTGCTTTCGGTTGCCTTCTCCGCTGACAATCGTCAGATCGTTTCGGGCTCTCGGGACAAGACCATCAAGCTGTGGAACACACTGGCCGAGTGCAAGTTCACCATCCAGGAGGATGGCCACACTGACTGGGTGTCGTGTGTGCGTTTCTCGCCCAATCACTCCAATCCTATCATTGTCTCCTGCGGCTGGGATCGCACCGTCAAGGTCTGGAACTTGGCCAACTGCAAGTTGAAGAACAATCATCATGGCCACAATGGCTATCTGAACACCGTCACTGTCTCGCCCGATGGCTCGCTGTGCACCTCCGGTGGCAAGGACTCCAAGGCTCTGCTCTGGGATCTGAATGACGGCAAGAATCTGTACACTTTGGAGCACAATGACATCATCAATGCGCTGTGCTTCTCGCCCAACCGCTACTGGCTGTGCGTCGCCTACGGCCCATCGATCAAGATCTGGGATCTGGCATGCAAGAAGACCGTCGAGGAACTGCGTCCCGAGGTCGTCTCGCCCTCGTCGAAGGCCGAACAGCCACAGTGCCTGTCGCTGGCCTGGTCCACCGATGGCCAGACTCTGTTCGCCGGCTACTCCGACAACACCATCCGCGTCTGGCAAGTGTCTGTATCAGCTCACTAAATGGATTCTTTTTCTTACAACTGATTTTGTAAATCGATCGCAAATTGATTTGTTTATGCGCAAACAAAAATAAATATGCAGCGACGCTTATAACAATAAAACACTTTATGCACTGATAACTCAGCTAGAAAACGTCGAGGGGGGGAATTGTTATAGCCACGATCTTGAAGCCAATTTGGAGAGTTGATTGCTGAAGGCATCCGTTAAATGTGGACTAATGGAAATAATTTAAAAAAAGCTAGACTTTTCGGGCATTTTATTTGTAAACACGTTTATAATATAGTTAGTTTTCATTTTTGTTTTTCGTTTTACAAATAGTATTAGTGCATAACAAAATAATTTAAATAAATATGTATGAAGTTGATGAGATTTGGGGTTTCGAGGAGACGAGGGGGGGATAACAAAGAGTGCGCTGATGTGTGCTTGAATGAATGCTAAACAATTTGTACAAAACAACAATTCAAAAAATATCCTATATCGCAACCAAGGACGACGACTCCAACTGCTTGCGTCTGCTTACAAAAAAACCAAAAAATAATAAAATAACCAATCCGTCGGCTGGCGATGGGACAAAAGCATCGCGAATGCTTAGCAGCTATAAATTTGTTTTGGGCACTTGAATATTGGTTGGTTTGCTATTCAGCTTGAATGGGGCAAGTAGGCCTAAGAGCATTTGACAGACGTACTCGATGAGCATCGCCACAATTGTCACTTGGTTTTGATCGCATTCGGGCGCTGGACAACAACGGCCACCGATGGTGATTTGGCTAAAGGTGTGTCGACTTGCACTTTGCCAGCCGAGCTGACAATTCTGTAAATATCATTCCTAAAGACAATGACCAGGACTGTTATGTTGTCGACGGAGCCGCGCTTATATGACTCCATGGCCAAGGACTTGGCCCCGAAATCAGACTCCTTCAGATGCTCCTGCACAAAACTGCAGGCCTCCTCATTGCTGAACGTATCCCACAGGCCATCCGATGCGAGTATCAAGAAACGGGGCCTACGAAACAACAAAAAACACAGATAAGGAAATCACATTTAGTTCATGTGGCACGGTTCATTGGCCGGGCAACATTGCCAGGGCAACTACACTCACTCACTTGTGATCATTAAGCTCAAAAGTCAAAATGTCCGGTGTGGCAATGACTAGATTCTGCATGGTTGGGGGAAAGGGGGTAAAATGTGTAGGCTGATTAGTATTTATTTACGGAAATGATTCGAAATTTTAACGTCACGCCATCATCTATATTCTATATTAGCATAGCATACCTTATCTTTGAGGGGATAATCACCCATCGCTCGTGACGTGGCCAAGACGCCAGCCACGCGCCAAACGCCGCGAAAGGCAATGAAACCGCCAGCGTCGTGTATTCGTTTGCGTTCCCGCACCTGCTGCGGCTTGTGATCAAAGGATAACGGTATTGCAATGCCACGTGCATCGAACATGACGCCACGCGAATCTCCCACATTGGCCACAATCAGCTTGCTGTCCTTCACAATCGCAATCAACGCAGTCGTTCCTGCTATGTTCGTCTGCAAAAAAATACAATAAAAATCAGTAAAGTGGTTCTCAGGTCTCCTGCGAAATGATGTATCTATATATCCATTAAACAGATCTGTCTGATTCTGATTAAACTTGGCATATATCCTTCTATTTACTGCTGTCCTAGTCAGTCCAAGAGCTTGGACCAGTCTAACGCTTTCACACTCACCGCGAGCTTAGCTTGCTCGACCAGCTTGTGATCAGCGGCCAGAATCTCATCCGTGATTAGTTTGCCAAACTGGATGCGTCCATTTTCGATGTAGCATTTAGCCTCGTAGCTGGGAGGCGGCACATTTGCCGAATTCTGCGCATTGTTGTTGTTGTTTAGAAATGAATCCTTGGCGGCATTGTTGCCACTGGCGCGCATGGCGCTATTTAGCTGCGCTGTATAGAAATCGGCGATGGATGCCTCCGTTGTCTTCTGCTTGATGGCGCTGCAATCGGCCGTGGTGCTGAGCGCCTTGCGCAAGCTATCCTTGCGTGCAAGTGGTTCGGCATTCTCCTTATTGGCCGCATCCTTGCGGCTCTGCTTGCGCGCCAAATATGGGCTCTTGTCATAGTTGCTGTATTCGGCCTGACCCTCGGTCTTCAGCAGCTGGTTAATCTCAATGATTTTGTTGTAAATATTCTTGACAAGCACATCCCGTGCAAAATTGGCGGCAAACTCGCCACCATGTCCGTCAAAGACGGCGAAAAACGAGATGTCCGTGTTATTGTTGATGTTTTCCTCAATGATAAATCTGCAAGGATGGATGGTTGGTTAGTGTCCGAGTTGATTTATCATCTTGACTCACCTGTCTTCCATGTGAGGTCTGCGTCCGAGCACTGCGAAGGCGGCACTCTGTTGACGCACCTCCTCCCAGGCCTGATGATCGCCGGCGCCGCCCGTCGCTTCCATGGAACGCGATGCGGCCTTTTGCCTACCCAACGTGGCCTGGATGCGTCCCAGAATGCTGCGACTCCACACATCTGCCGCTTGCAAATAGATCAACAAGATAAACAATATGACGCCACAGAATATGACCTCGGGTCGGAGCACGTAGATGCGGCATAGTTTCCACAGATAGGCCAAGGGTGAATTGATGGACGAGAAGCCCACCGCAAACTTGGACAGGATTTTCATATGCGATACGTATGTCTGATAGAAGATCTTGTCTTCCAATTCGTCATCCATTTGACTAGGACTCGCCGATTTTCTTTTGCACTCTCTCTCTCTCGCACTCTCTTTATGTGGTTCGGCTATTTATGCTACGTGTGTATTTATGTATGTAACGTATGTGCTTGAGTGATTTGAGTGAATGTATTTCGTCTGGTTTTCAATTAAAAATCACTACAGCGTCGAAAAAAAGAACAACACACACTCGAATCGAAATGGGAATTTCGATTTATTTATTTGCGCACTGTGTTTATTTGTCTGCAGCGTTCGTTTTTCTTTCGAGTTTCTTTTTCCCTTATTTGCGACTTTTACTCTGTGTCGTTCTCATTTTTTGACGTATTAATGCACAGCAGATTCGCCCGACTTTTCGTGGCATTATATTATTTCAGAATATATTCTTATTAATAGCCTCTGTTGCTTGCATAAAACAAAAACAAGAACAACATCCGCTTATGTTGTGTGTGTGTGCGTATTTGTGTTTGTGTGCGTATCTGTGCGTAAATATATATGTACACACTTGTACGTGTAGAGCCACAGTAAAAACCAAATATGACTTTCAGGATTTCGCATTCACAAATTTGACCAAACTTAATTTTTTGTACATAAATTTCAAGATCACTCCTTCCCGTTCCGACAAATTTCGTATGGCTTGTATGAAATGAATTTTTGATGAAATATGCCTAATCGCCTACTATTCAGTCGTATTTGGCTGAATAGATTAGTATCCCGTTTAGGGACCTGCAACTGTAAGCACTGCTGTATGAAATACGTGTCGCAATAAACACCAGAGTGGCATTCGTGCTGGTATCGATAGTATCGATTGACTATATTATTGGTAATCAAATATATCGCATTCATTGATTTAATTTGAGTTGTTTTGAAATTGTGTTTTTTGCGTTAAACATTTAAATGACATGCTTTTTGTATGTCAATTGTCTTTATTTGCTATTTGAAGACAATCACTTTTTAACACAGTTAAAAAAATATTTAATTGCCAACGATGTTATTTGTTTTTAAATAAATTGAATATTATAAATTTTACTGAATCATTACTTAAGACAGTTGCGAAAGTTATTATTTACATGAACGCTTTTTATTATCCTATCGATACTTTTAAAATGTAATGTCGGAGTGACCATATTGAGGTGAACTCAGAATTTTTGCACAGTTTTGCAAATACCCTCTCGTTTTATTTGATATTGTGATGGATGAATGTCATTAAACTATCACAAAATTGATTATTGGAATCAGTAACATCTGTGTTTGTCCACATATATAGTTTATTTATAAACAATCTTAGCGGGGTCCTGTTTTAAGTGCAATTAAATATACTATTGACAAAAATACCTGCAGAGCTTCTGCCTGAATGCATATGGCGCCTGTCCATTTCAATCAGTTACAATTTTAGTAAATTTGTTGACATTTTCGATATTTGGCACAATGAAGCAATCCAAAATAAAATTTAATACTTATGCATAAATTATTAAATGAAAAATGAAAACAAGAACTGCACGCGACTATGAGAAGAACTGTAACAAAACGAAAGTCCAAACAGCCAACTAGCAGCATTTGAATATATAGTATTATTTATTTATTTATCTCTGCCATTGAGTGGCGGGCACAAATTTCTACACAACTACGTACATGTGTACAAACATACATAGATTTAATTAAACAAAATACAAAGGGATGTTTGCTCACTTGATAATTTCCCACCAAAAAAAAGAAGAAAAAAACTTGTTGCTCACAGCGCGACCAGAAGAATAAAACCAAACAATTTGATTTATTTTTAAGTAGTATGTATTTTAATTATATTTATTATATTTGTATTTAGTTTGTTGCATTACAAAATGTGGTTTTTGCCTTCTTTTTTTTTTGTTTTTGTGTTTGTTTTTCGATAGGATTTATAAAATAAACGTAGCTCAAAGGCGTAAAAATGGCATAAATTTGAATTGATTATTGCAGTTAACATTGATTGCTTATAGTACAAAACGTAACGGTTACACTTAACAGCGTTAAATAGAAATAACTTTGCCTTTGCTTCTCGCTTGCTGCTTATTAAACGCATTTTGTTCATGAAATATGGCAATGGGGGGCGAGCTGGCCGCAACTGGCTTGCAACTGTGTAAATCAGAGAGAGAAGTTTTGCAATTAAATAATATTAAATGATAATAATAGAATAGATATATTAACTGACCTCATTTTAAACTGTGCACTGTCGATAGTTGACGGCTCTTTCTTGAATGTTTTGCAGATACTTGGTGAGCTCAACTTTGAGCGGCTCAATAGAGTCCTGCAGTTGGGCCAACTTCTCATTCTTCTCCAGATAGGTGTCCTGCAACTGATTGAGCTCGTTGAGCTTCTCGGTGGTATCCACCGTTAGCATCGAGGCGCGCTGCAGCAATTGCTTGGCCCGCTCACGAGCATTTTCCGAGTGAATAGCGCGATCGGTGAGCGTTTGATTTGTGGCACTGGTCAAGAACTGCAGATTGCTGGCCTCGCCACGGGAGCGTATTGCCTCCAATTTGACACGGTTCGCCTCCTTGGTGATCTCTTTGGCGTCCAGTTCGTTTTTCAGTATATTCTTTTGCAGGCGCTGCACCTTCTTGGCCAGATCCTCGACCTGCTTGGCGGTGACATTTGCCGGCGATTCGGCTTCCTTTGTTTCCCGATCGATCTCCTCAAGATCCTTGGCGGCTAGCTCAATGTTGCTATTTGCCTGTTGTATGGCATCCTGCGCTTTGCCCTGAGACTCAGCCGCTAAGGCCAGATTTTCGACCACGGTATTGGCCGTTTCAAGAATATTATTCGCAGTGGCTTTGGTACTGTTGGCAGTGCTCTGCAGTTCGTTGACACGCTCCAGATCGGGTCGTGTCTGGGCGATAATCGATTCGACGTTCTTTAGCGAGGAAACGGCATCGTTGATCTGCACGCCCAGCGACTCGATCTCCTTGGGATCGAGCGTGAGGTCCAGGAGCAGCGTATCCTGCGCCAGCTTCTTGCTCTCCTCCGGCTGCGCTGTCTTATTCTGCTGGAAGTCATTGACGGCATTGATCAAATTGGATGCCAGCTTGATGCTCTCATTCGTTTGATTCAAATAACGTTCCGACTCTTCAAATCCTTTTTTGGCCTTCTGATACGCCTCCGAGGCGTTCAGTTTGGCTTGGGTCAGCGAACGTATGATCTGATCGGCTTCGTCCTTTTTGCTGGTTATGGCCAGCTCGGTATCCTTGGCCACTTTGAGTGCCTCCTCGGAGTGAGCGCGTGCGCCATGCTCGCAGGAGAGGAAACCACCGCACTTGCCACAGCCAGCGCCGCCGCAAAGATTATCGCAAGGATCGCCCGGCTTGCCACACACCTGATTATTCAGATCCGGTATTTGGGAGGTCAGTGCGCTCAATTCCGAACGGTATTCGTCAATGATCTTGTCATTATTCACAATCGCATCCGTCTCATCCTTAATCTTGTTCGACAACGTTTCCACACGCTTGCAATTGCGATCCGTGTTCGAGGCCAGCTCTTTGGCCTCATCCTTGAGCGCTGTGAGGCTGCTGACGCGCTCGTAGGCATGTCTGGTCAGATTGAGCGCACCCTCAATGTTGGACTCCTGCAGCTGTATGCCGTTCTCCTTTAGCTCCTTGGAGAGCTGTTGCACCAGACGCGAATGATTCTGCAATCCCTCCAGCTCCACGGCAGATAAACTCAGTGCATTATAGATTTCATCCAGATCGTTTTCCGTCTTGCTCAAACGCTGATGGGAGTCAAAGAGTTGCTGCTTGATCACTTTGGCAGCCGCATCCAACTTATCCATATCGAGCAGACTGACCGAGGTATTCTGGAGCAGATCCCTAATGTGCTGCAGCTTCTTGTCCAGCTCACTGAACTCGGCTGTATATGCGCCCGTGGCGCCCACTTGCTTAATCTCCTTGGCGCGCTGTATCGTTGCCCGCGTCGACTCATCCAAGGCAGTCAGTATCAAATCCCAATTGTTGAAGCACTCACCGCATGGAGCACAGTGCGGGAATTGTCCGAGATAGCCACGTGCGCACTCATTGCACTTGTCGCCACCGATGCCCTCGTGGCACACACACTGACCCGTCTCCCGATCACACTGGAAATCAGCGGCACCAAACTGATCACACATACACGCCTGGCACTTCTCATTCGGATTGCCCCAGTAGTGGGCCTGGCACTGATTGCACGCCCTGCCACCAAAGCCTTGCCTGCATTCGCACTGACCGGTAAATGTGTGGCACTGTTCCTGCATTGCGCCAATTGCATCACAATTGCACGGCTCACAGCCCTCGCCGGTGGCGATCTTCCAGTGGTTCAACGCACACTGATTGCACAGCAGTCCCTCAACATTGGGCAGGCATGGACACTGTCCGGTGTGGCGATCGCAATAAGCGAGCGTTCGATTCGTGCCAAGGAAATCACATTCACATTGCCGGCAATTCTGCTGCAGTGCATCGCCGTGGTAGCCATCGCGACACAGCTCACAGTGATCCCCAGTTGTGTCGTACAGGCACTTCAAGCAAGCGCCCGTCTGTCCATCACAGTTGCCCGTGTCGTACGTATCAATATTGTTGCTGCACTCGCATTTGCTGCACGTGCCGCCATTTTCTGGTGAACCATAATGATTATCGGCACAGATCTCACAGCGGGCACCTCCATATCCATCCTGGCAGTGGCACAGCATGTTATTATTTGTCGGATCCAGGGAGCAACCATTCGCATGCGACATGCCGCTGGCTGTGGTATCTGGGCAGCGACAGGCGCGACAACCGATCTCGCTGCCAAGCAACGGATCGCCATAGTAGCCATCCAGACAGTAGTCGCAGCGGAAGCCCGTCGTCGAGTCCAGGCAGTTGAGACACTGTCCGGTTAGTGGGTCACACAGTGCCGCATGTCCATTGCACTCGCAGACGCGACACTCCGGGAAATTCCAATAGCCCGGCTGGCATTGATTACACTCTCGACCGTAGGTGTTGGGATGGCAGGCACACTGACCCGTCAGCAGATCACAATTGTTATCCTTGCTGCCAATGCTGTTGCAGTCGCAGGCCCGACAACCCTCCGGCCCGAAGCCATAGGTGCCCGGCGCACACTGATCACACTGGCGTCCCACAACATTGGGTTTGCACTGACAGAAGCCGCCATTCGAATCGCACTCCTTGCTGAACGAACCTGTCGGATTGCAATTGCACATGCTTGCTCCGTTATTGATGTACACGCTCGCATCGTGCACCATATTGCGGCAGACAGCTGGCAAGCGATTCTTATAGCGCATATCGTATAGCAAATGGGTGCAGTTCATGTTGATGTAGTCGCTCATTCGACCCGAGGATGCCTTGTAAATGGGCGTGACTTCGATGCGTGGTATTAGCGTAAGGGAGTCGACCAATATGGTTGCCGAGGGATTGTCCTCGTCGTGACGACGTCTCTCAAATAGAATACGGAAACGATACTCTTTACCAGCCTCGAGGCAAACATCTTGCAGCGGCACCACCTGCCGTTCCCTATCGGGCAGCGAAAATGGCACTCGAATTTCGGTAATCGGTGATTGGATGGCCTCGGCGCATTCCCCATTCGGATCAATCTCATCGGGCCGTATCAGCGTTATGTACGCATCCTCCCAATCGCCGGGCGATGTTGTCTGATAGCGTATGATTACATCGTAGGGCATCGAGTGTTTAATATTGTCGGCATTGAAGATCATTTCGGATTTCTCCTTCACCCGGGCGTAACCACTGCCCGTAAACGGTGGCTCCTGATTGGGGGGCAACGGTTGCAGCACAACGCTGCAGTTGCCATTGCTGGCATACGTGACACACATATCGGTTGTTTCGGCCTCGTACACGGAGTGTATATCGGGTATAAAGTAATTCTGTTTCGGTTGCGAGCACGTACGTCCGGTCATGTGTGAACGGCAACGACACTGTCCGGTCAGCACATCGCAATAGTTGTCAAAGGAGCCGCCGATATCACAGCTGCAGTGGGTGCAACCATCCTCGGATTCGGAGAGACCGAAAGTCTCCGGCTGGCATTGGTTGCAATCCTTGCCGGTGACAAGACGCTTGCAGTGGCACTCACCGTTGTGCATATTGCAGCCGGAATTGTTGACCGTACCGAGGGTGTTGCAGGTGCACGACTCACAGCCGTCCGGATTGGCTTGATTCAGTTGCCAGTAGCCCTCCTTGCATCTGTCGCAACGTCGACCCGTCACATTCGGCTTGCAGTGACAGGCGCCGGCAACGGCACCATTCTCCGGATCATTAACCGAATCACAAATGCCATCATCCAACGAACCATCCGGATCACAATCGCACGCCTTGCACACATTGGGACTGCTCAGCTGCTCGAGGGGATCGCGATAGAAGAATGCCATGCACTCCTCACAATGCTGTCCCTGTGTATTGTGCAGACAATTATCGCAAACGCCACCGGACACAAATCCGGAGGCGGCAAAGACGGCCTCATCGAAATGACAACTGACAGCATGATTATTGCATTCACATTTCTTACACGCATTCGTATGCTTGCCAAACGCCGGCTTCCACGGCAGATCATTGTAGAAATCCTGACAGTCCTCACAATTCAGACCCCTTGTATTGTGCGTACAATCGCAACGACCGTGCACCATATCGTAATCCTGCGTTGAAAACTTATCGAGCGGCAGACACTGTGAGGCATGACCGTAGCAGGAGCAGGAGCCACGAACAACCATATTGGAGATGGCATAATAGTATTTCTCCTCGTTCTCCAGTCGATTGTCGAGCAGATTATCGCCCAGCTTGTGCAACTTGGTCATATGTATCCGCAAATTGGTCATCTTCAGTTGATTCTGTACGTGCTCAGCATACGGATCCTTGACAGTGAAACTCGGTGGCAGCACACGGAAGATGACTTCACCATTGCGAGATGGTTCCACACCAGAGTAACGCGAATCGCACACAACTTCTGTAATGTTTTTCAAAACTGTCGGTATGCCCGGAAACGATTCCTCGCAGTTATAAGCAAAATAACGATAAATATGCCACGTCTTGCCAAAATCGAAACTCCTCTCAATGTACATTGTGGCCGGGCGGAAAGTAGCGAACGTAATTATCAAATGGGTGAAGTGAAATTCGGCCTCCAAGTTGAGCTGAATGGTGACATTCTGTTTGCCGTTCTCCGATTGCCACCAGGTGGCAACGCCCGGTTTGGTCTTATAGACAATCTGTCCGATGCGATGATTTAGCTTGGGATCATTGCGCGTTTCCTCCCGTGAATCGCAAAGGAAACACTTTTTATCCTCCAAATGTGACAAGATGCAGAATCTCTCTCGAGATTTCAGGCCACACGTTGAACTCGCCGTCAGGCGATTCTCACGTCCGATAAGTAGATTACCCGTTGCCGGATAGCATGAGGAGCGATCACAGGGATGCGCCTGCACATATTGACGTGGTGTGTTCCTCGGACGATCGCGATGCCCATGCTGTGGTGTACGCTGTGCTTCCAGCAGCTCCAGGCGGCTACTCAGCACGACGAGCACAAAGAACAACGCGATAAGGCCGCTATGAAGCGACATCGCTTAATCTCTCTTTCTCCCCTCTTGCTCTTTGAGCTCTCTCCGGAGCTCTCTGTTTCTCTCTCTCTCTCTCTCGCTCGCTTGATACTTTAGGTCGTGTTCCAGTAGAGCGCTTCCGGCTCCGTTTCTATAATCAGCGTTCGTTCGATTTCCTTTAACACAATTGTGGATTTTACACCACGTGGATAAGCTGTATATATATCAAAAAATTGGTTATTCAAGACGATAAAGTCAATGTTGTTAGACTAACTTACTTTTCCTTTGATTACACCTCTATGCGGCTCGTACTCTCATGTTGCACCACTCCAAGCTACGGCTTATCGACAACAAAACTGCAATTGGAATAATGAAAAATGCAATTAGAAATTACTCATTAAACAAGGCAATTCAGCATTCAGTTTTCATCTTATCAAGCTCTAATTTAAAATTATATATATGTAGTTATATTTGAAATTCCTAAATACAAACTCCCAGAAGCACCATCCGCACCGAATGAATCTTACGCACGAACTAAAGCCTCCAGCTTGAAATGTGAATGAATCTCAGGCGGTATATAAAGTTCGACTATAGGGCGATAAAGAAGTAAGTATGAATACAAACATACATACATACATACATACATACATACATACATACATACATACATACATACATACATACATACATACATACATACATACATACATACATATATTAATATACATACATAAGTTTAATCCGTTGTTGGCGGGTGCGATGCGTTTATCAGCGCTTTAAGTCTTGCACTAAATGCTCAAGCAATTATTTTTAGACACAGCAGCCTCGACTACATTAAAATTGATGTGTGGTTTACTCGACTACAATGTTCGTGATCTCATCAGCTTTTTGGATTTCTCAAATATTTCAAAGTCCAAAACGAATAGCAAACAGATCTATTAAAAAAAAAACATTTAGGATTTTAAGCTCATATTTAAAACATATATATTTTAATTCATCTGCTCATAAACTAGGATATCAAATCAAATATATCATTAGCTGCTCTGCGCCACTATATGAAATCTGGGTCTATGCTCTTATCAGTCCCAGTTCCATTCGGACACGCAACAAACAAAGTCGACTCAAAACTGTGCTAAAGACCCAGCAACTCCCAGCGATAAGCAGCCGGGAGGCGGCATAAGTCAAAAATTTGTGCTCACGATGTGAACACTGATAGGAATTGGGATTGCTTCGCTTCTCGACGCGCCTCAGCAACACTCTTTGATTTGTAGAAGGAGGAGTCGTAGCAGCAGCAGGAGGAGGAAGAGGTGGCTGGCAATACAACTATTTTGTAATTACGAGCACGTCCCGATAAGAGTTCATTCACAGATGCGATCATATATATATATATATATATATATATATATATCTGTCAATATTTATACACATAAGTCTGCGGTTGCAAGTGTGCCTCTGCTGTGGTATTGTGAGTGCCTTAGACCATTGAAGATTCCTGCTACACTTTGATGGGGTATTCTTGTTATAGTTTTTAAGATGTGGGTTTGCAAACTCTTTAATCTTGCTAATTTAACTCGAGCACTTTTTGAGAGTCTGAAAAACGGCTGACATACAATTATTTTACTTATCGACTTATTTGCGATTTGAAAAAGTGGATGAATATAGAAATTTTGAATGAAATAACTTTGTCATATCATGTGAACCATTGGGAAATTAGAATTTCAATGTTTATTTAGTATATTCTGTGATTTATGGCAAATTATAACTTCCAAATATTAAATTATCCAAATCAATTAACTTCTGTTACGAAGAATATAATTTTTATGGGAAAAGTAGACTTGCAGAATAATTATGGAATTTTTTACTCGGGCCACAACGTAATAAGATAGTTGTTCAACAAATATATCATTTATCTCATTCAGTGACATATCTGCGAGGGTATTTGATCAAAGGTCCCAAGCAGATAACTATTCTTGCTTGATCTAATTGCTGTTCAGCCTTTCATTCTGGTCGGCCACTGTTAATTTCATTTTCATTTGGGGCGCACACAAAAAAAGCACAAAAAATAAACAGCAGACGGGCAAATGAACAAATAAGCAAAGAACTAAACAAAACGTTAATTTACCAAGCATACAAGCAGAGGAGATATACTGGGATGTGTTTGTTTATGACTTTGAATGGGTAAACAAGCAAAAACTCAACACAAAAGGAATGCCACACTTCGAAATACCCTGTGCCCATTAAGCTTTAAAACTTGTTCTTGATTTGATTGGAATTGGAAAACATTGTGAATCGAAACATGTGAATCTATGTGACACTATTACTGAATAAAACTGTGTTTTATATTGATCAGTGTGAATCGATTTGACTCGATTAATTAACAAAACTGTCTGTCAGGGCTTATCTGCTGATATACCCGCTCTGCAGATAGATTAAAAGGTATCCGAATGAAGCAGCACTGGAGCAAAAGGCAACGTTTCAAAATTGACTTCATTCCTGCATGCATGTATGGATGTGTGTGTATGTGATGAGTATATGCTACACACGAATACACATATATACATAAATATTATATATTCATATATGTATATATATATAGTTCGACAAGTTCATAAAATTGCTCATGTCCATATTTTCTTAGCTTTGCCATGTTTATATTTTCAATTCCGACAACTGCTCATTGACCACACATCCTCAGCTGGAACTGTTTTCACTTATGGGGCACATGTGTGTGCAACTCTTGTGAACACCTCCCAAAAGAACCAAAATCAAAAATGAGATCAGCATGCGGCATGCAACTATAATTAGACTTGAGCTAAGTCCTGCCCACTGCAATATATATACACTATTTATATATACACCATTCACTTGTGTGTGGTGCTGGTTAGAGATCTGTTAGATTGAAGCTTGGCTCATATTTTAATTAGTAACCTCGTTAAATGACAATTTGCTTAGCAATGCATTTTTGTAATGCACTCTATTCCTTGCCTAGTGCGATATGCACACATGCACAAAAAGATATGAATGCGCGAGGGTAGTTTAATGAGTACGCAAATCCTTGTAATTTTTTTATATTTTCAATCAAAACCAAAATCGATCTTTCTTTTCATTTATAGTTCACGCACACATTGAAGTGTTGAACTATCAAAAAGTTGTCTAAGATGGAAGAAACCAATTAAATTTGTTGTAGATTTTAGGGCTTATCTATAAGTAATTTTGTACAAAAATTGTGCAAACATGAAAGATATTAAAACAAAAACAAATGAAGCAGCTACTACAAAGGACTATTATTACAAACATCCCGCTAGCCAGGCAAATGAACAATAGAAGTATTGCTCAAGCCACCCTCGCAGCTTCATGTGTGTGTGTGTGTGTGAAGAGTGTAAAGACATAAGTATGCATATGGCATATGCAAGGCAAGGCATTCTCAAATGGATTTGGGTATGAGGCATCATGTTACAAGTCGTATGTAATCCAAAAGAATTCATGTGCTTTACAATGTAAACTTTTTTCTGTGACAGAATGAAATAATTTTTGTAAGTAAAAACAAAAAATCATAGCTAGCGATAAAAACATTGCAGTAGCCACAACAACAACAGCAACAACGGATGCAGAGAGGTTTGTATGTTTGTGTGTATATAGAAGAAGTAGCAAGTAACAACAAACGGGACAAAACAGATAAAACCAAGGCAGGCAGCAACAAAAACAGAATCGAACAGCTGCGTTCTAAGAATTGCCGCACAACTTTAATTTTGAAGTAAGTATTTTTAACACAAATCACAAATAAAAAAGAGTAAATCATTATTTAAGTTTAGTTTTCTTACCACGGCGTATTACTTCAACTCCAACTCCAACTCCTACTTCTCCCTCGTCGTTTCAATACAACAACATTTTCTGTTATACACAAAAACAACAAACTCTCAACACTGCACACTGTTGTTGTTGTTTTTGTTGCTGTTTCGACTTCTTTTTTTAAACTTAAAGGGAGCATGCACAAATACACATACACATTCACATTTACACATAAACAGCGCAACACACAAGATATTTTCCCAAGACAATCAGAGGACGGCGAAAAATGAAAACCGGGAACTGCCGAAAACCCGTCCGCTCGACAAAGATCCACACTCGCTACTAAACGGTTGCGAGCGGCTTTGTTGATCACTCCGCAAAGTGTACGGAGACCAAGAGCGAGAGAGCGATATGCATAGATTGATCTCAAGTATAAGAGAAGACAGATGAAGTCATAGAGCAGCACATGCACTCTACACTCTTCTTGTGTACTTACTGAGTTGTGTGCTGGCACTTTAGCGTGTGCTGAGTTTACCAAATATTAACATTGAATTGTACCTACTAAAAGAATATGTAAATGTTTGTTTTTTTTATTAAAAAGTATAAAAGCATAATATAAAATATATTTATACAAAATTGAATTAATTGTTAAAATTCAGAACCTGTTACGCAGCGCAAAAGTAAGCAACAAGTGGATGCAGGCGAGTCAGTATTTGTGTGGGAGTGCGAGTGAGAGCGCATCATCTGCCAGATACACAATGTAATTGTTATGTTTTGAAATTTTGCTTCAAACATCAAATTTAGCTAAGATTGTTACACATAAGGCACACATTGAGTTTTTTCTTACATACTTATTTAGCAAAGTTATTCCAAATTCAAATTTTAACTGATACTGCGACAGCAAAATAAAGGCTCAATAGTCAAATGAATGGCAACGCCTTAAAAAGTGTGCTGGCAAAACGATTTTAAGTATTTTTGCGACTCTGTTGGAAACAGAGAGAGAGAGAGAGAGAGAGAGAGAGAGAGTGAAAGAAAGAGAGAGAGATAGGCAGAGAGAGCGAGAGAGAGTTAGGGCGCAGAGCATAGAAAACGGTTATCTTAGTATTGGTAACTTTGATAGCGCCAAGTTGGCGCTTGTGGGCGCAGGGGCATACGCAGCGCTCACACAACACACAAAACGAAGGAGAGCACAAAATGCAATGGAAAAAGCGCCAACGCCGCAACGAGTTGACAGTTCACCATTGGAGCTCTTGCCGAGCAGTCGATCGCACGCAAAATCGAGTGTTTGTCAACATTAATGAGATCGTTACGATTTTTGAAAACAGAAAAAAGAAACTCTCACCGAAAATGTTGTTAGCTGGGCGGCAGTGAACACCTATACAAATTACATGTGCCACAATAGTCAACAAAATTATTTGTAAACACACTCAAAAAAGATACGAAAAAAACAAATAAATACAAAAAAAAAAATACAACAAACAAAATCCAATTAAGTGATACTGTGCTATGCAGAATCAATTTTGTGTCACATCTAAATTTCTAGTTCCATGGTGTGTGTACGGCTGCTGTTGACCTATCCTGTTGTTGTGCATTTCCAACTACAAACACCCAAAACTATTTAGGTGAGTCCCAAGCAAAGTGTACGTACTTGCCTCAATCTCTCCTCCCTCCGACCACCCAGCTAATAATATACCACAGATATATAGTCCAGCAAACGAGTATGCCCCAAAAATTGATTACGCAGTACACCAAAAAAAAAGCTACGTCTTCTTCGACATTTGGCGTTTCAGTTTCATTTGGTTGTGTGGATATGAAGAAAAATGCGTTGGTTGCTTTTATTAATAAAACACCAACACACAGTCACACTCATACACGAACAAGTGTAAATGAAGGAGAGAGCTAGTGTTGCCTATTCAGCTTTTTTCACGTCAAATGTTACTTTTTTGAGTTGAGTTTTATTATGCATCAAGTTTGAAAATAGCCAAGTGTACGAATTTAAGTCTTTTTTTTTATTAAAACGACTTCTTTTGTCCAATTTTTATTGTTTAATAAGCAATAAATTTAACGATAAAGGTAGCTTTTCTTGAACTTCATGTTTAGCGTTTTTTCAGCTTTGCCCAATTTGGCAACACTTGAGAGACAACAACAGGCATCAGCTTTTAAGCGCGCCACAGAAAGAGCACGGAGAGAGAGATAGAGAGCAGCATACGGCATGCGCAGTACGGTGTTTGTGGAGGTGGAGAGGGTAAGAGTGGAGCAGTTGGTGGAGCTGTTGCTGTTATATGGCTGTAGTTGTGAATTGCTTTCTGTTTTGAGCGCGGCAAAATCTCTGCTGCGGCCGTTTCAAAAAAATAAAACAAGCAAGCTTTTCAATAGCAGCCCAACGAACATCAACATTCATTTTACGTTTAGACAAAAGAGACAAGAGGGGGGCTCTTAACTTTGTTGTTGTTCTTAGCTATTGTTGTGAGTTGGTGACGTCATTTGGCAGTGCTATATTTAAAAAAAAAAACTAGTTTTAATTTCTGTATTGTTCTCAGCTCAGTTGTAACTAAAAATCCAAAACCAATGCAATTGGACACTCGCTTTGTTTTTTTTTTTTTGCCTCCCCCTTTTTAATGTTTACTCGCTGCACCGATAAGCGGTACATGTGTGTGTGTGTGTATGTGTGTGAGCGATTGTTTTTGCTGATATGTTTTGTTGTCGTCACGTGGAATGCTCAAACATTTTTATAGGTGTTGTGTGTGTGTGTATATGTGTGTAGTATATGTGTTTGTTTTGGCGCGTTGGCAGTTCATGGCAAAGTGCGCTATTGTGAACTACTTGAAACAGTTGTGAAAGGTTGTAATTTCCGTTAGAGCATTTTCATTAACTGATGAGCACATTGCGATGAGATGGGAAATTATTGCTGACCAAAGCAGGTTACAGTTGTAAATACACACACACGCACATACATACATACACACATACACATGTATATAGGTGGCATTATAGTGCTCGCTTGACAAGTTGAATTTCTACGGCATTTGAATTGTTAACATATTAAAATCCCATTTATTATTGCCGTAAAATCATTTCGCCAATATTTGCAGAGTCCATTAGGCACTGACTAGCCCCTGTGTTATTTATGAGCTTACGTTTTTGCAGTTGCCAAATAGCAGTTGCTACCAATATTGCTGACCAGTCTGAATACTCTTTTTTTTAACTTGCATCAAATCTTTATTGCCTAAATAATTAAGATTTAAGCTAACTAACTATCAAATAGATTTTTCTTTGGTTGAATTGAATGATGTGAATAAAAAAATAACATGTTGCTGGAATTTGCCATCATGATCCCATGACTATTTGTAGAGTCTAATTTTAGTAAGTTCTCAAATTGCGTCCATCAGATAAACCATGCATTGTACTCCTTATAAGTTGCATGCCACTCTAGTTGATTTTCTCTTGTATTTTTTATGGTACGTACGTGTCGGATGCACGACTGTGTATGAATGTATGTATTTCCACACCTGTGTCTGTGTCTGAACTCACTTTGATTGCAATCTATCTTTAGCGTTTTTCTGTAGTCTCTTTGTTCCTTGGGCCTGCTTTATACGTAATACGAGTAACTTACTTCTTGACTTTTAAACTTTAAGATCCGGAAAAGGAAATGTTGGTCCCTTAACGAAAATTCTCTAACGGCACGCCAATTGCTGCTCTTTGGGCTGGCCAAAGCGAAAGGTTAAAAATTTACATAAAATCGAATATTATAAAAGTGTTGTGTTGTACAACACATTCATATGCATATATTAAACAACACATATGTGCGTGATTGTGTGTGTGTGTGTGTGCAAACGACACACATTCCCTGACATGGCAGGCCAACATTATAAACTTTGGGCGCTCACAAAATCCGATACCCAAGAGCCTTGTTTGAGGGCTCGAAAAGTGCTTAACTTGTTACCCGAGTTCTGTGTGTCAAGAACTTTCGCTCAACCCATCTCGCAATTTCCTTCTTTTTTTTTTTACTTATTTGCTAGTATCTGAATGCAAATAACTTGCCGACCTGTGGATAGCAATTAATTTTCTGGGTTTATATATATAATACATATTTATAGTACATATGCAAGTAGATTAAAAATATTAAGTGGATCAGCTAGATTTATATGTCCACATGGCTTAAATTGTAGGGCATGTCTTCTTAAAACCTAATTAATCAACGAGAAATTAAACTGCTTTTTTGTTTTTTGTTTTCTTTTACAAATTTCGCTTTAATTTAAGAACTCTTAAATGATTTTCTTAAATTTGATTTTTTGGTACATACAAAATGTAATCTTATTTTATATCAAACCTCCAAATTAAGTATTTAAAGTTTCCACTTGTAATGGGATCTTAAATTAGACAAAAATTGTTTGTAATCTGTCTGTCTTGATCAACTTGATCGGGCTTAGATTTTAAATGGAATCTCATTTAAAATAGTCTTTGGTTCCGATAAAAGTGTATTCCATAGTCGATGCTACATAAAATGTGTGGCTTTTATGGACCCTCGGCTTGTTTATTAGGCTGCGGATGTCAGCAAATAACTGCCTGACTTGTGTATACTGTCTGACTTATATGCATACGTGTATCAATAAATATATCCATATGCTACACACACACACACACATATGCACACATATATGGAAAAGTGGGGCAAATAAGGAAAATGCGGCATTGTCCTCTTGGCTGCTAAGGAGGCCAAATCGCATAGATTGAACAAAACAAAGCATATTTTCTTTTCTTTTCTTTTTTGTACCTATAGTTTATGACTATCTATATATTTATATATGCATAAATTATACTGAGAAACCTTTCGCGGAAAACAGCATTTACTTTGACCAATTAAGGCAAAGTCAGTTGGGTGGGCGATTTCATTAGCCACAGATGAAAAAAAGCAACAAGCAAAAAAAAAATAAAAAATAAATAAATAATAAAATTGTTATTTATTATGGAAGCAAGCGGAAGCAATGTCGAGAACTATGAGTGGGCAGACCTAAGCTGTGATCATTGGCCACAAATGGAGCTCTTACTGTACTCATATCTTGTTTGTTCAAGATAACTGAAGATCTGGAAAGTTTACATTATATATACGTAGTTCAACATCATTTCGTTTGTGTTCTGTGTTCGTTGCAGTTGCGCAAACTGTGAAACATGATGCTGGACGATGACAACTCGGAACTGCTGGTCTGTGCCACTGAGGTGCAAGAAGGTAATATTTGAATTGAGACGCTGACAATGAACTGCAATTGAACCCATTTCATTCGATTTCAGATCGCTTATACTTTGTGGTCTTCAAGAAGAACATCAAGCCAAAGAATACGGTCAACACCCACTATTTCAACATCGATGATGAGTTTGTCTATGAGAACTTTTACAACGATTTTGGGCCACTCAATTTATGTATACTGTATCGCTACTGCATGAAGCTCAACACCAAACTGAGTGCCAAGAGTCACGCAAACAAGAAAATCGTGCACTACACCTCCATGAATCCGGCCAAGCGTCTCAATGCGGCCTACCTGATTGGTTCGTATGCAGTAAGTGTAACTTTTCCTTCGCTGATATCTGTAGCGCCTCCCAAGACGGAAATTGGATTTCAAATATTGTGTGTAGTTCCGGAAAAAAACAAATTGTTGCAATTGTAACGCGAATTTAAACTGCCTTTTAACAGAAAGAAAAAAACGAGGCATTGCAGCGAGCTAAAGAACATAAAATTACACTTGTATTGCCTTACACTTTTAAAGTGAAATGATTAATACACATTTATTGATTTATTCCCTTGTGTTTGACAAAGTTCATTTAAGGCAACCCAACGAATAATATATTGGCTGTAAAACTATTTGTTTTGTTGTAGGGCTGAGTTACTTGAAGATGTGTCACAGAAAATGTGAGCAGACCAACCAGCAGATTAGATTCAATTGGAAATTAAACGATTATTAAGAAAATGTATATTATATAATATATTTGCCAGGAATAAGTCTATTAGCAATATCGTATATCGATAAAAATAGAGAAAGTTGAGTTGAAATTTGAAAGATAAGAGACTTTCCAGAGGTTATTATAAACCACCTAATAATCTAGAGAACATACTTATTTACAGATCAATAACTCTTTAACAGACATTTTTAACGGACCCACTTGATTTTTGTAGATAATTTATTTAAATAAAACACCGGAGGAGGCCTACAGACCACTTGTCGCTGGCGATATTCCGGCGTATACGCGTTTCTGTGATGCCAGCTATGGGCCCAGCAATTTCAAGATTTCGCTGCTCGACTGCCTCCAAGCCGTACACAAGGGCCTGCAGGCGGGCTACCTCAACTTCAATGACTTTGATGCCGAGGAGTATGAGCACTTTGAGCGTGTGGAGAACGGTGATTTCAATTGGATAGTGCCGCAAAAGTTTATAGCATTCTGTGGACCACATCAGAAGTCGAAAACATTGCCAAACGGCTATCCGTGCCATGCGCCAGAACGTTACTTTAGCTATTTTCGGGACAACAATGTGACGACGGTGATTCGCCTGAATGCCAAAGTCTATCATGCCTCGTCTTTTGAGAATGCCGGCTTCGATCACAAGGACCTCTTCTTCATCGATGGCAGCACGCCCAGCGATGCCATACTTAAAAAGTTTCTCTCCATCTGTGAGACGACAAAGGGCGCGATTGCGGTGCATTGCAAGGCGGGATTGGGACGCACGGGCAGCCTCATCGGTGCCTACATGATGAAACATTACGGCTTTAGTGCCCTGGAGGCAATTGCCTGGCTGCGATTGTGTCGGCCCGGCTCGGTGATTGGACATCAACAGCAGTGGATGGAGGAGTAAGTAGTGGCAACTTTGTTTGTAATTTTGATTAATCTGTGATTTTTATCGCCTTGCAGCAAGCAGAGTTGGCTGTGGTCCGAGGGTGAACGGATGCGTCGTCGCAGCGGATTGCCGATACTGAAGCACAAGTACGGCATCTACAGCATCGAGCTGAAGAGCAAACTGGCCGAGAGCGATCTGCTCCAGCAGCAGCTGCAGCAGACGACAACGACCGTGGATCCCTTCGATCATGTCGATCTGCTGCTGACGCGTGTCAAGGGCATTTCACAGCGTGTGGACACAATGCATTTAAATGATCAGGATACATTGGATGCGGCAACCGATGAGGATCTGTCCGAACCGCAGATGGACCTGCTGAAGCTCGAACTGCACTATCAGTCCACAGACGATACCAATTGCAATGTTAGCGACAATGATACCGACACGGCCAGTGCTGCGGCAGAACAGCCGTTGTCCTCCTCCGCCTCCACCTACACCATCTCGACGCGTCGCCGCAAATCGCCATCGAACGCCAACAAGCCAACGGTAATTGCCAATTCATTGCGTCGTCTGGTGAACCCAAGCGGTGCACGCAATGCCGGACACAGCAGCGCTCTGGCCGGTGGCAGCAGCAGTCTCGATCCGAGCGGCAGCTGCACGGAGAAGAAACTGCGCAAGCCCAGCGCCAATGTGTTTGAGGCAGCGCGACACACGATCGCCTCCTCGGTGCGCATGACCCAAACGGCGCTGGAGAAGAAGCAGATGCAGACGCAGGGCGATAAACTCAATCAGATCAAGGCGTTGCGGCGACATCACTCACGTTCGGTGAACAGCAACAGGTGGGTGGCGAGGGCGTAAAAGATACAAAAGACAACATTTCTATACTGTAATACCCTGTAATATTTTTTGTGTCAGCAGCGATGCCGATGAAAATCTGCGACATACGCGCGCCCGTTCTCAGCCATTTCGCAATAATAATGAGGTGGCGTCATTGCGGCTTAAGAGTGGCAGCTGTCTGGGCGCCAGTACAACTGCAACAGTGGCAACGACGGCGACGACAGCAACAACAACAGCAACGTCAACGGCAACATCACATAACCTTAACAACAACAACTATCTAAACAACTCTTTGCATAACAGTAACAATAATAGCACTAACAACAACAACAACAATATGCAGACCAATGTGGCCAGTCGCACTCGCAGTCTGGCTATCTACAGCAAAAGGTAAGTGCCGTCCAAGACCCCCCACCACACCCCATCCCTACATTCCAGCAGCGCAGCACACACACACACACACACCTCTACACACACCAATTAGTATTGAAAATGAGTTGAGTTTGAGTTCGAATTTTGCGGCAGCTGTTTTTTTATTGTTCTCGTTTAGTGTTTTCGCATTTTGTACTCCCCCTCATCACTTTTTTTTTTTTTGGTGTCTTCCCCCGCTTTGCACCTTCGGCCAGTTGTGTATGTATTATAAGTATACAGGTTTTATATATAATAATTGTTAAATCGTACTTTTAATTTTCTTCCTCCTAACCGTATTTGCACAACTTTAACAAATGCATTGGAGCCACGATTGCCACTAGAAAAAAATTATTAATTTGACTTGTAAAACATACAAAATTTAAAGTATTTAATACAAAAAATTGAAAAGTACTTTAATTCCGTTTTAAAGGCATTTAATTAATCTTGAGAAACTATTTTATTTATCGTAATAATAACGTTAAAAAATATGTGTATCTTCTAGAACCTGAAAATTGATTGGTAAATAGATTTACAACGATTACGATTACTCCAATAAAATAAACCAATAATCTTATCTTTTGAAAAGATACGCAGTGTATCCAAGAATGTACCAAGAATAATGTACCAATTTTGGTACACTTGTACCAAAGGTGGCAACCGTGGCACGAAAAGCTTAACGTAAAAGTTATCGACAACGATGACGATAACGATAAAAAAACTAATTTTAGGAGTTATTTTTTTTCTCTTCGATTTTTATTGTATCTTGAGTATGTACTTACATTTTCCATTAATTAGTCTTACAATTTATTTGTGCATGCAAAATTACAAATTAATAAAAAAAAACAACAAAAAACACAAACCAAATCAAAATTTTGAGTTTGCCATTTTCTTTTTTTGTTTTGTTTTGTTCTAAAACTGTTTGGCCAATTTTGAGTTGTTGTTGATCTTATATGTTGCGCTTTTGTATGCATTTGTATTTTCCTTTGGTTTGTCGGCTTGTGTGTTGGTCTCCTCCTCAGCCACTGTTCCACATCTTAAAAATCTATCTCTCTTCCGTCTCTTGGTTGGCTGCTTGGCTGTGGGCACACATATTTCGCTCCTCCAACCCCCCAAAATGACAGAATGGAATTGAAGCATCTGCGCAAAGCGGAGCAACAGCAACAGCAACAACAACAACAACATGAACAGACACACACTTCCGGTCTAGCCGCTGTGCTCGATAAGCAATTGAAACCGTATGCAACGATCAATGAAAGTAAAATACCCGTTAATGTTGGTGGCATCGGCGGTGCCGGCAGCTCGGCAACTATACCGCCTGTGCGGAGCAGCGTCTCGCGCAGCTCACATCATCACATGACGCTAAGGGGTCGCTCACGTATACGTTATCCGAGGCCAGGCGCTGGAGAACAGATGGCTTCGGCGTCGGTGTCGGCAACAGCTGCAGCAGTAGCAGCAGCTCAATCCTGCACGTTGGCGACGGCTCGTTATTATCGTGATGTATCCGCCATACCGGCGAATGGGTCGTCATCTTCGCTGGTCAATGCTTTGGGCGGTGCAAGTGCTCTTTGCTACGGCATTGCAACGCGTTCTTCATCTGCCACGCTTGATCTCAACTCTAATCCGCTGCCAGCTGTCAGCTCCAGCTCTAGCTTAAGCACAACAACAGCAACAGCAACCGCAACCAAGTCAAAGATACCCAACTTGAACCACAACAACATCAACAACAACAACAACAATCACAACTGCAATTTGAGTAATACGCATTCTTCTACACCTCCCCTAGACACAAGCCGACTTAGCCTGGGCAATGGACGTGCCAGCGATGAACAGCAGCCGGAGTTCAGCAGTGAGCATAATAACTTTAGCCTGGGAATCAGCAAGCGGAACAAGCGTTCGCTAAGCTCCACACGCATTGAGAAGGACAAATGCGATGAGTACAACACAAAGTTGCTGCGCAAGACGAGCGTTGTTGCGGCCGCAGCGGCAGCTGCAGCAGCAGCAGCCGCAGTCTCCGCAGCAAACTACTCTTCCTCGACCATAAACAAAACGAACATCAACCACAACAGCAATAACAGCGGCAATAGCAGTAAATATAATAGCAACAGTGGCACCCCAACAACCAGCATCGGTGGCGGCAGCTTTAGGTTATCGCGTCGAATCTTTGCCGACCAATCTGGTTCATCAGCGTCCACGTCCGCCTCCAATTCTGGTATACCAACACCGACGGCACCGCCCACACTGCCCTGGCAACAGTCATCGGGGCATCCTTCACGTGGCGTCAGTCGCTTGACCACAGATCGCGACCAACAGCAGCAGCAGCAGCATCTTAAGCTGCGCAAGAAGATCAGCTATTAACATTAAGGCTTCCATTTCTATTCAAGCTGCATGCAATTGCTATTGTTGCCATTCATTTTTTGTAAAGCGAAATTCTTCTAGTGTTAATAGTAAAATTTATTTAAGGCCCCCACAAACAGAGAAAGCTGGGCTTATTTATTATTTGGGAGTAATTGGGAACGAAATCGCAATCCATAAAACGAAACAATTAATTGCCTTCTGATAACTGTGAATTCGATATTATCTCGGCAATAGTCAAATATTTTTTAAACAGATTATTGTCATACTTCAAATAAGCATATACTTAGCCAAATTTATACAAAAATTAAAAATGTATCTGCTTTTTGCCTTGCATCCGTTAAGGGGCATCATAGTGATATAACCGTTTCCGCAAAAAATAAAAAATAAAAAATATATTCGTCTGTCTGTTCCAACTAGCCGATCTTAAAGATCAAGAGTAGTCAAGCGAATGAAGCTTACAATATTTATTGTAAGACATATTTTAAGCACACTGTTTTAGCATTATATTCATCTACCCTAAATAATCGTATAACATCCATGTTAAATTAAGTTTCAAGTTGTGTTATCCTCCGTTTTTATTATTGGTATACATACAAATTGATTTAAATAAAACCGAAAAAAAACTGTATAGCAATCAATTAGTTTTTGGTAGTAAAACCTTTACAAACTCCAAAAAAATAAACAAGTTGATCTAAATTCTAGAAATTACTTTGTTAGACTTAAGCGAAGGATACCTTCTACATTGTAAGGTGACGAATTTTGCGGTTTCGTTCCTTGGCCCAGTTGTTGTACAATGTTAACAAAAGTACATTACGACCTTAACAGAAATCTTGCTTTTATATTTGACATACATATAAAAATATGTATTTTTAATACACGAAGATTACTAGGACTAAGCGTTGAACATAGTATGCATAAGAGCACATGTACATAATATACAAGTACATATATACATAGTTATATATATAATCATGTGCATTATCATGTGTTTGATGTAAATAACACGTTTATTTAGTTTTAAGTATTAGTTCAAATATATGAATGTATGCTATATACTATATACAGATACAGATACAGTCTAAACTAACATTACCCGGAAGTAGTCAATAATTTGCTTATAGATCTCACTCTCCAATCCCATGAAACAGGCATCATATTCACAATCCAGTTCAATCATTAAAATCGGTTCAATGGATTTAGACTCCAACGTTCTAGTTCGTAACGTCAGTTGAAGTGCATCCAGAACGGCCATGGATTGTGCCTTGGACGAACTATACTCCTTGGAATTCATTGCCTCAAAAGCAGCCTCTTTCAGGTGTGGATAATTTTTTTTAAAGTAATTGTGCCGATCACACATCTGAGTTATAAACTTTTTCTCGTCAATATCGGTCAGTTCGCGCAATGTTTTGAACATGCGTTGGACCTCGCTCATCGAATCCTCCAAGCTGCTATCTAGTTTGATGTGTTCGGTGTTAAGTGGCTTGGCGCTCGTTAACTGAATGGAAGTCAGCGTGTTACGATTTATATCTGTTAGCTCGTTGACCATGCTGCTGAAATTTAAAGTGTTGCAGCCATCGCCATCGCTATTGCCCAGATCGTCCTCCGTTTTACTTTTTTTGGAGTTTAGATGGCGGATTGTGTTGTCAGCAGTCATCTGCTTGGCATCCCGCTTGTATCGGGATTTGGGATTGTCAGTCATAGCTTTATCCCAAAGCTTCGGAAGTGCTGAAATCGGCGATTTATTTTCCATTCTTATCGAGATTAGCAGCCCTATATTCCTCTATTTTTGAGAATATATTTCACAAAATACAAAAACAATTTCTTCTGTTCCAACTTCACTGCGACGGATATCAGAATCAATTGAATTTTATTGCATTGGATTTCTGATTGACATATCATTATCATTGTCATTATTTGCAAATGTCATTATTGACAGATGTCATTCATGTCAATAATGACATCTGTCAAAATGTATAATATATGTAGAAAGGAAACATTGACAAAAAAGGTGTTGCAATTGTGAGAGAAGTGCACGGATAATGTTTGTATTTACAAATACATGTATTTATTACTTGTAGCCTATAACATACATGTATGAAGAAATGCAGACACTTCTTCCTGTTTTCGTTTTCTCTTTTTTGCAATTTAAATATTAGTTAATATACTTGTTAAACAGAACACTCTAAAATAACATTATTCGAAAGTAGTCGATAATTTGCTGGTAGATCTCGCTCTCCAATCCTACAAAACAGGCATCATAGTCGCAAATCAGTTCGATCATCAGAACTGGCTCCAAAGATTCTGACTCCAGTCTTGTAGTTCGTGACGTCAACTTAAGTGCATCCAGGATGGCCATGGATTGTGCCTTGGACGAAACATACTCATTGGAATTGATTGCCTCAAAAGCAGCCTCCTTCAGATGGGAATAATATGTTTTAAAGTATTTGTGCCGATCACATATTTTAATCGCCAAGTTATCGTCGTCGCCGGCATCGGTCAGTTCACGAAATGTTTTGAACTTGCGACGACGCTCGGATTCCGCATCCTCCAAGGTGTCTTCCAGATCGCTGGCGTTTTTCATTTTGGGGTCTACCAGCTGATTACCGGCATTAGCTCTATTCGCATCTTCTGAAATGACGTAAAGCATTTCAATTGCAGCGCGCTGACGTGCATCCTTCTTCTTATCTGATTTGCCGTAGCGCTTGATGGAAGCCACCGAGCAGCAGGCGACAAACTCGGGAGCACTTGGCGTCCCGCTTTGCTGCACAATCTCAATGGTCGGCAGCGGCATATCTTGACGCACGCAATAGTCGCGCAGCTCCTTCAGCATGTCACGATTCATGTTCGTCAACTCCTCTGCTTTTTTGTTGACATTAAAGTTGTCGCTGCCATCTGCATCGCTGCCAGCAGCTAGGCCAGAGCCGGCAAGATTCGGCAGCTTTCTCATTATATTAGTGGCGGCCAAGTGCTTTGCATCGCGCTTCGATCGCCCTGCAAACACAAATGTAAAGCTAATTTTGATAAAATGCATGCACATATACATACATATATAGTTATTTTACAAATTAGAATCGGTCTTTGTCTCGTATCGAAAACGCAAATGAGGGAAACACCGATAACAGTCCAGGCAAGTAAAAGCTAATTTAGAATCTATATGCATCCAAGTGTAAATATTTATATACACTTAGTTCGCATATATCAAATAATGTTAATGCAATTTGAAGCTGAATCTAGAGCATATTCCAGATTGAGCTCCCTATACGAATACTCGAGAAGGTCGTCAGTAGATGTATGTGGATTCGTATGCCGGCTTATGCTCACCATTTCCATAGGCTTCGACATCCATTAGAACGACTTTGCATATGTAGCCACCTTCTTCACCATCAATATAATCATAAAAGGGGTTCCCAGTTTTTGCTTGAGAACAAAATTCCTGGAGTGCCGAAACAGACGATTTGTTCTCCATGTCGATGTCGTCAGCTACAGTCACGAATCAATAGTACTCGTTTAATAACCTTCAGCTATGTGCACTTCTTTTTGTTACACAAAATTGACAAAGCAAAGTACTATTACAATTTGTTTGACTAAATTTGACTTTATTTACGTCTTTTGCTAGACTTTAAAATTGCTCGACATCTGACAGTGTTGCCAATTACTTAACTTCAAGAATGTACTAAATTTCCCCGTGATATGCTTTACTTTTAAAGAAAACAAAGCCTTCTTCGTTTGTTGTTAAAATATTTGTTTAATGTTTATAAAATTAATGTTATATTAATGTACATTATATCTAAATAGATTCTGCGTCGTAATTTTACATACACGTCATGTCGACAAAAGTGGCAACGCTATCATGAGAAAAAGCAACCCTGGATTACTTGTATTGAAACAAGTGTTGCTGTAGACGAAGGGACTTTGATTATTTATTTTGCTCAGCTCGGCTCTGCTCGGAAATTTCGTTTCATAATCAACAGTTCTCAATTTACTATAAAGCGCACCGACAAAAACACAGCAACAGCTACGTTTTTTTTTGGAACACCCTCAACAATATTCGAGCAAACGTTAAATTTATGTTGAAAAAGAAAATCGGAACAGACGGGGGGAGGAAGTGACCGTGGAATTCACTCTACTACAACTACACACAACTGTGTGTTTGTGTGGTGTACATTGAGGAAAATACGCTTCCAAACACTGACGAACACTTGTCGCTTGTCCGTGTGCCAGTGTTGCTCGCATTGTTCAAATTCGAGTTTCGCTTGCAGCTGTGTGCAGCAATTAGCAACGTCGCAGAAAGTTGCCTCTTGAAAGTGGTGCAGGAGGAGAGTGTGGAGGGTGTGCGGTTTAACTATGGATGATACCACCACAGCTACAACGCCGTCGCCGTCATCAGCGGCCACAGCTGCTGGCTACGACGCTGCCAGTGACAAAACAAACGCTGCTAGCAGCAACAGCAGCATTAGCCTCTTAATTAAATCGTCGAATCAGCAATATGACGATATAAAAATTGAGAGCGATCTTTGCTGGACGGTGCATAGACTCAAGAAGCTACTATCCTTGGTTTATCCCGGCAAGCCGGTAGGTATTCACACACACACACACACACACACAACTACAACAAACACACTCAGTGCACTATCTTATCAGCTGAGAGCGTCCAATTTAATATATATTGTTTTTGTTTATCTGCGGTGTCAAGTGTTCCGCCAGTTTTGTCATTTGCGTCTTAATTTACCGTTAAATTAGCTGTGGAAGGTCCACGTATGCAATACTTGGTGCCACTTCTCAAGTTGTTCATACCAAGACTTTTGATAAGAGAACAGTTCACTGATATTCATATGCATATTTAAAAATAAGTTCAGGCAGTAATTGTATAATTTGTCGTTGTTCGATTTGCGAGGGGCGTCGCATTTCGCTTAAAATAACTGCTTAAATTGAATTTATGACACATACGCTGTAAAAGTTAGAAACGTAATCAGCAAGTGTGCAAATGTAAATTAACCAAAGCAACATTTTTACTTATTGGTTTACAATGGTTAATTAAAATTGCATACGGCTTGCAGGAAATTGCGGACCAAAAGCTCATCTATTCCGGCAAACTGCTGGACGATGCCCAGAAGCTATCAGAGGTAATACGCAGCTACAAAGATGTTTATCAGCAGCATCACATTTTTCACCTGGTGTGCGCCAACAAGAATGTGAGCAAGGCGCCCCTTAAGATGACAACACCAGCAATGGATATGGCGACTACTGCACGCCTGGATACCAATGCCAGTTATAATAATAACGAGCTTAGACAGCGTCATGGTGCCGCAGTTGGCGCCTCCTCAGCCCAGATTCCTTATCAGCAGCAAAATGTGCCGCTGTCACAACTACAACCAAATACCATGTATCCCTGGATACAGTTGCGGCCGGCACCGCCACCCACAGCGTCCAGAGCAACACACATGGCTTTCCAGCGGGAGCAGCAGCAGGCGCTTATGTATAATGCCTGGATGCAGCAGTGGTATGCAGGGTACTTGCAGGAGATGATGCAACGGTGAGTGCTCGCATAAAATTAACACTGGCATACATTTATATTTAAAAAGTTGTAATAAAGTTCGCCACAGTCAATTTAAATGCATTAATAATTTGAGAATTGATTTCTTCATTTACAGTACGAGCGGCACTGATAACACCACACCACCACCCATGCTGCATCCCTTGTTGCAAAGTTTGCCTATGATTCCAAACAATTTAAGTGTGCCACTTGTGGGACAACCACCTGTGGCAACAGCAGCAGCCGCGGCAGCTGCTGGCGCTGGCGCTGTTGCTGGACAGGCGAATGAGGCTGCCGTTGTACAGCAACCGGAAGGCCGTCAAGTAGATGCTCCGAACTTTCCCAACATTCAACATGAGGAGCCGGAGTTGCGTGATTGGCTGGAGAGTTTGTTTAGCTTCACTCGGTTGGCGTTCTTTGTAATGGTTTTGTATTTCAATTCGTCGCCGATGCGCTGCGTGCTGGTGGTGCTCATCGTCAGCGTTATTTATCTGTGAGTAGAGCAGTAGAGTGTGCGCTAAATACGATAATGATTAAATATTAACACCAAAATCTTCTACGTTATTAGGTATCACATTGGAGTACTTCGACGTCGTCGCGAGCGCAACAATAACAACATTAATCGTAACAACAATGCTGGCAATGATATTGTTGCCTTTGCGGCTGTACAGCAAATTCAACGCATGATGGACGCTGCAATCGAGCACGACAATAATCCGCAGGCTGCTGCCGAACCAGTGCCAGCCGCTGCACCAGCTGATGCCGATCAAGCTGCTGTTGCCCCACCAGCTGCTGCTGTACCACCGGCGGCTGCTGCTGCACCGGCCAGCGCTGGCGCGAATGAGACCGATGCCGCTGTGGCTGCCGCCGAGACGGTTGCCGTGGAGCCAGCGAATGCCAATAACTCTGTGATTTCTATTGTGCGCACTTTTGTCGTTACGTTCTTCACGTCGCTGTTGCCCGAGGCGCCGGCGCTGTAAAATGGTTAAACCGCATTGCGTCTTGCCATCTCTTGTGGCCTCTGGAATATATTTTTGTTCCCCGTACACTTTCCTGCTTTACACCGCCCCATTACTAAATGTTATCATTTTAGCATACCTGAACGAGTTTTTCAATATCGGTTTTTTTCTAGCTATGTAATGAATTGTATGTGTATATTTATACATATATTTCTATATATATATATATATATATATATATTTATATACATATTATATACATACATAGATACATATATTTATATATATAAATATGTATCTCGACTGTGACAACATCGCAGCCTGTATCCATCTACCCCGTAAAACCTGTAGCCTTAGTGATTATTAGCGTTAAGGAAATTTGTTTTTGATGTGAATGCTACACGTGCTTGTGGCAAACGAAACTATGAAATCAATGAATTGCAATTATTAATAAAAGAAATATGCTTTAACACCAATTCAACGCTACTCGTTGTTATCTCGCATCACGTGTGGAAAACTCTTGCGACCTATCATCAATGGAATTTTTTCCTTTTATGAATGGAAAATTTTCAACTTGTGGCACTTTCACTGCGTAAGTAGCAATCATTTTTCTTTTTTTTGTTTTTTTTGTTAAACACACGCCTCTCATTCTTTATTGTGTTTACAGCACTCGCTCGCCGGAGACGATCTGCGCTGTATGTTTGCTTATCGCCTACATACGCATGTCCGTCCGTTCGGTCCGGGTGTCCGTCCGTCCGTACCGTACCGTCCGTCCCTGACGCTGATAGGGGCTCGTCGTCGTCTTGCTCGGAGGTTAGAACGCTGCCAGTGATCAGAGCAGACGGATGGTGAATCGGCTTGAGTATTGGGATTATAAGTATTATTTGTGTTTGTTACGTTCGCGACTTCATCTCAACAGCTCAACAAGTGAATTGGCAAATCAGCGAAAATGCTGCGTTTATTTCAACGACAACGCGAATTAATCGCGCCTGCGCTCACCAGGCAGCGTCATGTTAGTGGTCGTCAATTATTATAAATCATTTCATGCAAATCAAAATTTCGCTTTCATTTCAATGTCTTTATTTTTTATTTTAGGCTCGCGTGATTGCCATACGTCGGGAGGATCAATCGGTCTGGGAGAGACGTGCCCCATTTGGACCCACACATGTCCAGAAGCTGGTCAAACAGGGTGTCAAGGTCATTGTCCAACCTTCCAATCGACGCGCCTATCCCATGCAGGTGAGTAATGTTATCTATCGGATATATATCCAAAAGATCATATATTATGTGTGCATTAGCTACAGCAAACAGCAATTTAGTGAACATTATAAATATACTATATGGAGTGCATCGTAAAATATATAAGTAGATAAGGCTTTCTGTAGTGCTATAATTTTGGCAATTTTTTTTTTTTTTGGCCTTGAAAGCAGTTAGAAACAAAATATAAAAAAAATAATCGTAAATTCTTGTTATCTTGCTCGATGTTGTTGTTATTGTTGTTATTGTACATGCACATGTTCGTCAGAATCAACTGATTTTTCTAGCAGATACAATATAATCGTGCATTATTAAAAATAACACAGCATTGTTAGTGAGAATAAACAAAAACAATAATATAATGATAATTTATAGGAAAATCGATTATGATCTGTGGGTACCAAGGGCAATGCTGTTTGTAGTTATTAGCTTAAGCGATTAGAAAATATATATTTCTTAAATAAAAAATATCTAGCTTTGTACGAGATATTTATAAGGATAGTATTGTTAGTAGCTATTATCTTAATCGATCAGAGCAACATTTATTTCTTAAATAATAATACTTAACATTAATATATAATTTAATGTATTTTTTTTAATTAACCATTCATTTGATTTAATTGCAGTTTTTTATGCACTTGCCATAACAATTTATTTATCAATTATTTGTACTTATTGCGCTTATTATTTTTAAAATATATTAGTTAAAAATGTGTCTTTTTGGCATGATATGCTGACCATGTAATCATAAATGCTTAGGTTAGTTTAGATTACGAATAAGGTAAAAAATGATTCTCAATAAGATTGTGAGCATAAAATACTAACTAATACTTATTTTTGGGAAATTTTATTTGATTAGATTAGGTGATTTATTAATATGTTTCATTATCAAATATTCGTGGTAGTTAAAAACGTAATTTTCAAATCGTTATCTTTATATCTCTTCAGGCGTATATGCAAGCTGGCGCTCTGATCACGGAAGACATAAGCGATGCTTCGGTCATATTCGGAGTCAAGCAGGTGCCCATTGATGCACTCATTCCGGGCAAAACATACTGTTTTTTCTCGCACACGATCAAGGCACAGGAGTCCAATATGCCCCTGCTGGATGCCATACTCGAGAAGGTTAGTCCACATCAACAAATATATATTTCAATCTCGCTAATCTGAAGTCCTGTAGAAAATACGGCTCATTGACTACGAGCGTATCATTGATGAGCGTGGCGCCCGCCTGGTGGCGTTTGGCAAATACGCCGGAGTCGCTGGCATGGTTAACATTTTACATGGCATCGGTTTGCGTCTGCTGGCCCTCGGTCATCATACGCCCTTCATGCACATTGGACCGGCGCACAATTATCGCAATTCTTCGATGGCTCGCCAGGCGATACGTGACTGTGGCTATGAGATTTCGCTGGGCATGATGCCAAAATCAATTGGACCCTTGACGTTTGTATTCACTGGCTCCGGCAATGTGTCGCAGGGCGCACAGGAAATGTTCTCCGAGCTGCCCGTGGAGTATGTGCCGCCAGAGATGTTGCGCAAGGTTGCTGAACATGGCAGTAAGTATAAAAAATGTATTGATTTCAATTTTTGTAGTTGCTAATTTAATTGCTTCGGGTTCATCTTTAATTAATAATTATGATTGATTCTTCCTCTTGATAATTTCCACAATCTAGATCAAAATAAACTCTATGGCTGCGAGGTAAGCCGCTCGGATCATTTGGAGCGACGCGAGGGCGGCGGCTTCGATGCAAAGGAATATGATGAGTTTCCCGAGCGTTATATTTCAACATTTAACCAGAAGGTAGCACCATTCGCTTCGGTCATTGTCAATGGCATCTACTGGGCTGTTGGCAGTCCCAAATTGATAAGCATTCCCGATGCCAAGAACCTGTTGCGTCCAGCCAATACACCCTGGCTGCCGACTAGCAAAGGCAGTCCGTCGCTGCCACATCGCATGCTCGCCATTTGTGATATATCCGCCGATCCCGGCGGCTCCATAGAGTTCATGAACGAGTGCACTACAATCGATACTCCATTCTGTCTGTACGATGCGGATCGCAACAAGGATACCAAGAGTTTCAAGGGTCCTGGCGTGCTGGTCTGCTCCATTGATAATATGCCCACGCAGCTGCCACGTGAGTCAACGGATCTTTTTGGTGAACTGCTGTCGCCACACGTGCACGATATCATCAAGAGCGATGCCAAGAAACCGCTGCACGAGGAGCACTTTTCCTATCCCATACATTCGGTGAGTAGTTCGAAGAAGCAGAATGAAGTATCTCGACTATTAGAAATTTTAGTAGAATGAAGTATCTCGACTATTAGAAATTTTAGTAGGAAATGATTTTGTTATTGTTCCATGGAACAAACTACGAGCAGCAGCTGCATGCATTTTCTGTATACATTCCCCATTAAATTTAAATGTGCGTCACTAATTAAAATCGAAAACTCAGCGCATACATATATATATGTATATTCAATTTCAGCTTATCAGTTTAAAGTACTCAAGTGTGCATCTTGAGTTCATAGCTCACTGCAAATTTCACTCTTTACCCCACCGTTTCACAGGCAATTATCGCTAGCAATGGTGAGCTGACTGAGAACTTCCAATATATTCAAGAGCTGCGCGATTCGCAGAACAATCGCTCGCGCCACAAAATGGAAGGCCGCTCCGAGTCGAACAAGAAGGTGCTGGTGCTGGGCGCTGGCATGGTCTCCGCTCCGCTCGTTGAGTGGCTGCACCGCGAGAAGGATGTCAGCATAACGGTCTGCTCGCAGGTCAAAGAGGAGGCTGATCTTCTGGCCCAGCAGTATGCTGGTGTCGATAGCCAATATCTGGATGTGCAGGAGAGCACTGGTCATCTGCAGGAGTTATGTGGCAGGGCTGATGTGGTTGTCTCCCTTCTGCCCTACAGTCTGCATGGTATGATTGCACGCTACTGTGTGGCGGAACGCACCCACTTGGTCACCGCTAGCTATCTGAACGATGAGATTGCAGCGCTGCATGAGGAGGCGCGCTCGAATGGTGTGACCATTATGAATGAGGTGGGCTTGGATCCGGGCATTGATCATTTGCTGGCCCTGGAGTGCATTCACGAGGTGCAGGAGAAGGGCGCCGTTGTCGAATCCTTTGTCAGCTATTGCGGTGGATTGCCAGCACCGGAGCATTCGAACAATGCACTGCGCTATAAGTTCTCGTGGTCCCCACGTGGCGTACTACTCAATACTCTGTCGGCAGCCAAGTATCTGAGTCAGGGTCAGATTGTCGAGATCTCTGGCGGTGGCGATCTGATGTCCTCGAATCGCAGCTTGGACTTTTTGCCCGGATTTGCACTGGAGGGTTTCCCAAATCGCGATTCTACCAAATATGGCTCGCTCTATGGTCTGGGCAGGGATGTGCACACATTGCTACGTGGCACAATACGCTACAAGGGATTCTCGGATTCGATTAAACCGATGCAGCTGTTGGGCCTGATCGATCCGGAGCCACATGCAATGCTGCATCCGAGCGGTCCGGATGTCACATGGCGTCAACTGGTCACCAATCTGCTGGGCATGTCCGATTCGAGCATCTTCTATGAGAATTTAAAGCAGAAGCTTGTCGAACGTCTGGGCGATGTGGATTGTATTGAGAGCCTGGGTCTGCTGGATGAGACGCCGGTCGTGAAGCTAAACACCCCGCTGGACACACTGAGTCATTATTTATCCAAGCGTTTGGCCTTTGGTGAGATAAACTTTTTTCCATATACGATATATATATTTAATTATCTTCAATATAATGTGTCTTGCAGAGCGTGAGGAGCGCGATCTGGTTGTGTTGCGGCACGAGGTGGGCATTCGTTGGCCCGATGGTCGTCGCGAGGAGCGTGGCATCAACTTTGTCGTTTATGGCCAGCCGCAGGGTCACTCTGCCATGGCCATGACCGTGGGCAAGCCGGCTGCGATTGCAGCCAAAATGATTCTGGATGGTGCGTTTTGAATATTGTCAACATATTTTTATTTATGTGTTGTCTCTTAAAGTTGTAATTTGATTAAGCTTTATCGGGATAATGATTGAGTCAATCTAGCCATGTCTGTACCTGTTATCCATTATTTAATTCTCGTTTTATATTTTTTAGGTGAGATCCAAGAACGGGGTGTACTTCTTCCCTTTACACCGGACATCTATCGACCCATGTTGCAGCGTCTGCGCGCCGAGGGTTTGACTGCCACGGAGACTTCCAGATGGCTCAACTAGATTGTTCTTTATTTGTCATTAGCCTGCCGTATTAGTATCTAGCTGATTGTTATTTTCTGTAATTTGTATATGTAATTTTTTTTGTAGATCCTATGTGCATACCCTGTTATTTATATACCTGATTTTCGTTCAGTCTTCAGCAAAATGTAGATAAAATTTCTCTTGTATCTGTATTCTGTATTTTCATGGTGCTTCGGCATTGCACATTTCTACAATGACTTCTGATGAAATTGTAACAAAGCCAGTACACAAATATGGTAATGTAATTTTATATGTTACTTTCAATGAGCATTTACTGTTTACTACATTCCAGCATTCTTGATTGACAGTTTGTCATTAATGTATTTGTAATGCTCTACTTAATCAGACGACAACTCGTTGGTTTTTTGGGTTATCAGCTGAACTTGAACTATGTGTTTTGAAATAAATAAAATATGTTGTTAATGCTATACTATATATTTAATGTGATCTATATTAAGTCAAGTTTATGCCAATGAATCCCAAAGTTCCCACAATCACAATCTCTCAAGTGCAGATTAACCAGTAGTAATTTGAATGTGCAATAAAAAACACCTCAGATTTATGAATTTAAGCACTTTGTCAATGAGATTGTCAGTTATCAGCCAGAGCGTCGACCTAATCCATGCCGATATACTGTGATAACCAAATAACCTCGCTGGCCTCTTTTTTAGTACTTGTGTTTAACTTTTACAAATTTTAATTCATTCGATGCAAATTCACAAGCACAAATACAACTGTAAATACAGAGAGAGTGAGAGAGAGAGAGAGAGAGTAGGGCAAGAATGGGGCGATAACAATGTGTGCAATGGGATTTGTGAAACCAGAGCGAGTTCAATGCGAGCAGAGCTCAGTCACTGTCGGCGTTGTAAATTAAGCGCTTGGCTTTTCTGTTTATTATTTTGGGGGCTGCTCTCGAACCGGCCAGCAAATCGTCTTTAGTCTTGATAATAAGTAGTGCCGAGACGGTCGCAGTCGCTGTCATTGTTGTCTTCGACTCAAGTGCTTTACTGTTATAAATTGTAGGAGTGTACATACATATATATATTTATATATATATGTGTATATACATATATACATACGAATATAGTATAGAATAGTATATATGTATACTTGTGTGCATATGAAGTAACGGCTGTTTGCGTGCCAGTGCGGAGGAAGCAGCGCAGGTGCAGACGAGAATGTTTCGCATTCCGTGTCTGTAAACGATTATTTAATTTACCGACATTTAGTTTAGAAATGAACATAAGAGTGAGAAGTGCGTGCCGGTGACAAGATCGAAATCCATTATATTATACATAGATATATATACATATATACAATGTGCTATAATTTGTGTACAAACCAAGGTATAGCATTAATCTGATCAGCATTATATATGTTATTTTGATACTTTAACTGTGCAAACTTAACGTGCGCTCAGCTGTTATCAGCTGCAACAATAAAATCTAATAATAACAAAAAAACCCAAAGAATAAAAACACACTAACAAAATGTGTTGCATGCGCTATCTGACGGAGACTCATTTACGGGGCTTCGAGCGTTACAAGGTAAGCATTAATGGGGAGGAATATACAAATGAACAACAACCAACCAACAACCAACAAATTGCAGCCACAGCCGGAGACCATAAAAAATCAATGGCTCATGCATATTTCAATGCGACACATCAATCAATGATTATTAATTTTGAAAGCCAATCAGTTATTAGTTCTTATCAACAGTATTACGAGGAGTTCCGGTTAGTAGTCTATAAATAGGAATATATATATACATGTATAATATACATGATCGCTCACATGTTAATTGTGCTCCTTAAGCAGCTAATCTGTGAATTGGGCAAAGCGAAGATTTGAATGTTGTTGTTGTTGTTTTTGTTTTTGTTGATCTTGTCACTGGCTTGTGTTCAGCATTGTCAGTGCTTATCAAAGGGGCTTTGGGAGCCTCTAAAGCAGGCATGACTAGGCCTAGGTCATCAGTGGTCATTAATGGACCGGATGATGCTTAAACAAAAAAGCGTGTATATGCTTCGCAGATCCCAGAAAAGGCATTGAACTGCCAATAAAGCATGTGCTGCTCGTAGATAGTTGGCAAAAGACACATTTACAGTGTGGAATTTGTACTGCAAGAGATTAAAATATAAATCAAAGATGCGTGGCGAGAGAGAGAGAGAGAGAGGCTTAAAGTATATATAAATAACTGCAGATTGGAAAATCTGTAAAATATATATATTGTCTTTAAAACTAAACTGAGCTGAAAATCAATAAGTTTATGTAGAATTATCAGTTATTCATTTAAAGTTATAATTTGAAAAGTTGTCATTAGATTATTCGGATTATGTATCACAAGATATAACCGATTATAAATCCCATATTTATGCATTATTTTAACTAAAAGCGTGAAATCATTTGCCATAGATTTCTAATGAATCGAATCTTAGGTAATCCCTGATAGAATACCTGATTAATCTATCTTTCGTAATACTTACAAAGCAATAACTACTTTTGTCCGACTTTCAATATAATAAACTATTAATTAATTCCGTGATAGGAACTGACTATATAATATTTTTGTGCTTGATAAGTATTGAAATGGCGTGATCCACTATAGCTAGTTGCGGTCAAAATAATAGTTGTGCTGCTTTAGAAAATGCAATTTCTCAAAATTTTCCTAGTCTCTTTCATATTCTCTTTGATAATTTTACTCTGCGGCATTTCTCCTCACATGAAATAAGTAAATTTTTCAGCATTTTTTAAATAGTCTTAACTACTGTGTTAACTATTTTTATTTTACGACAGCTGTGTATATATTATTTAATCCCACAGATATTCAATCTCAAAATGTATTTTATTTCGTTGACAGTACAACAGTATAGACACCAGCTTTCTGAGTGTCTATGTAATGCACCCCTTCTGGAATACCTGCGTAAAAGTATGTAATTATTCATGTCTAACTCGGAATAGGGTCTAACGAATTTACTCACGCAGTGTTTACCCATGTGGCTGGCGCCCAATGTGCTGACATTTGTCGGTTTTCTCATGACCGTGGTGAACTTTATTCTGATATCTTACTACGACTGGGATTTCACTGCAGCCAATGACAAGGAGGTGGGCAACACAGTGCCTGGCTGGGTGTGGACGGTAGCAGCGATAAACATACTTATCTACTACAATTTGGGTGAGTGGTTAAAACCGATAATGGATAACTCTTAACTAATTTGAAACCCCGTAGATGGCATGGATGGCAAACAGGCGCGTCGAACGGGAACAAGTGGTCCTTTGGGTGAGCTCTTTGATCATGGACTGGACTCCTATTCGGCGGCGCTTATACCCATCTATATCTTCTCATTGTTTGGCACAAATGATCTGCCGCCAATACGCATGTTTTTTGTCATTTGGAACGTGTTTCTCAATTTCTATTTTACGCACGTCGAAAAGTATAACACGGGCGTTATGTTCTTGCCCTGGGGTTATGACTTTACCATGTGGGTAGGTATAGTCTCTGTTAACTAATAATGAATAATATACATTTTCTGTGTTTCTGGTTAAAGGGCGTCAGTCTAATGCTGTTTGTGGCCACTTTGGTGGGTCCCGAAATTTATCGGTCCAGCTTTTATGGTATTACTGTGGCGAATGTGTTCGAAGTGGGTCTAATTGGTTCCGGCATTGTGTCCAGTCATCCTATCATCATTAGGAACATTTATCTGTTTGTATTCCAACTGACATCTAATTGCGAATTATGTATTAACAATGCTGCTCTTGCAGCTCGTACAAGAATAAGACGGGCAAGATGCGTCCCATGATGGAGATGTTGCGTCCATTTTTCGCATTCGTTTGGCTCCTGATTATCACAGTGATTTGGTCTTTCTTTTCACGGAACAATGTCATCAACTTGGAACCGCGTATCCTCTGGATTCTCTATGGCACTATATTCTCAAATATTGCTGTATGTTTTTAGGTTTCTTCATTTAAAATTAAATTAATTTTATATTCATATATCTGCTTGTCAGTGCCGTCTGATAGTGGCCCAAATGTCGGACACCCGCTGCGATGGCTTTAATATACTTATGTGGCCATTGGCTGCCACGGTTGGAGTCTGCTGTTTCCCCTGGTATGAGCATGTTTTCGGTATGGATCTTACACCTCAGGGAGAACGCTGGATCGTCCATGGTCTAACAATATTCGCCACATTGGCTCACTGGCATTATGGCTACGGACTGGTAAGAAATTCTCTTTCTCCTCAATTACTCCCCAGCATTATTAATAATCGTTATCGTCTCTCCAATAGGTCTCGGAAATGTGTAATCATTTTAATATCAGTTGCTTCAAAGTAAGAAAATCTCGCAGCAATACCACATTCCAGAAAAATAACAAATCGTTGAAAAGCCATTGAAACTAATTACATACTAACTACAACCAAGAAACCAACCAGAACCAAAATCAACGAAATAATCAAAAAACCAAAAAGGGGTGTCCATTTGCTATGTGATATATATATTGTGGGTGTTACAAAATTCCCTTTCGCCTCGCCTCGCCTCGTTCTGGTCTAAGTTTAAGTGATCCATACTCAATTTATAAGCTTCCATGCGCCGCATAACGTAATGGTAAATTTCACCTAAGTATATACTCTAACCTAACCTAGATCTAAGTAAATAATTACTAATTAATTATTACTTATTGAAATATGGTATATACTTAATGCATGATACGGCAGCCGTAATTCGCATGTGCAATGAACCCTAACTGCATGTACCGATAAGTATAGCATTATAAGAACTATCAAGCGAGATGTTGACGGACAAAAAATCTCCGAACTATAATTTCTATAGATAACAAAGAAGCCTGTCAACTCGGTGCAGGAGCTGAATGAAACCGATGCCACAAAACGCACGGAAACCACCGAAGATGTCTAATTTGTAAGGCCATTGAACTGTTTTCTTGTAAAATCGTCATTTTTAAGTAATGTTGTGAAAACTGTTCAAATTGTTGTAGACTAAGTTGAATTCAAACTAAAAATGTAACTGCTAAGAACCGAAAAAAGCTTCGTGCCTTATTCTAGAAATATGTTTGAGGGTACGTAAGCTTTCCAACGAAAGCTTTGCTGAGTTGCGATATTAATCCGCCAGAGGGCTTCTGGATGTCTTTGATTTTTTGATTTTCTGAATAAATGAATACATTTGGTAAATATTTTTTGATGTTTGAATTTTGAGTTTTTTTTTTTTTTAATTGTTGTAGTTTGGGTTAATAAATATTTGATGCTAAAGTTTAATTCTTTTATACTTTGATACTGAAGCTATCATAGTTTTAGTAAGCAACATTTTTAATATCACTTTTGGTTTTGGTGTCTTTTTTGAGTAAATTACTCTTTTTGCATTCGATTATGCTGTTTGAACAGCTCTGAGATACATTAGCACTTCCACACCTGAAACTCGTTAAAATAAATGGGAAAGGGACGCAATTAAAGGTTATCGGTTCCACAACTAAGAAGGTTATACTAAAAAAATCTTGTTGTAAATTCCATTAGGTTTAGCTTAAAGATTTCTTATATTTGCTCACCATGTCATATTGGCTTTGTGGACTTTTTAGCCATTCGGTTTGCCATTGTCACGTAGTGGGTCCATTTCTCATTTGTAACTTGCCTCAGGCTGCGACTCGCTTTTCTGTCAGCGGCAACAAATTATATCTGCGTATCCGTATGTATATATGTATGTATCTACCCCATATCTATTTATATATTTCAACACTTTGCTCTGGTTTTTTATGGCCATTGCATTTAGAAAGTGATTTGGCGTATATGTTTGTAAAATATTTTATACACACACACACACACAAACAAACAAACACTTTTAGCTAATGCACACTATGAGGCTCTTTCAATAAATTTTGCATGCAAGTCACGCATTGTTGTGGTCGTTATTATATTTGATGCCATTTTACCTACATACGCATAACAACATGTATAGATGCGGACGAAAAAATAGCACCAAAATAACAATCTGTCTTTAGTAAAACACTTTTTTTTTTAAATAATTCAATTCGTCCAGCTTTTGTGTATGCAAATTGAAAAAGTGTACGACAAATATTACATAACGTTTTACTCGATGTTTTGGTTTATCAAAATACAAATTGCAAAAAATTTGGTTAAAAAAAACATCAGGTAATGTTCAAAAATGAGTTTCAGTCAAAAAAAAATGTTTATTTGAGTCCTAGTACTATTTGTTTAGCCGGCACTGTATGAGAGCATAACAGAACATTTAAAGGGATATTTTAACTTTGTTCAAACCTCTCCGTGAGGTGTTATGGATCACGTAAAGCGTGGGATAGACCAATACAATATTGTAAAGCTTTGGCAATCGTTTGAAAAATTACACGAAAAGGTAAGACCTTAAATTCGCTTAAATGCAGATAGAGCAGAAATTTAAGTATGCCTGAATAATCGAATTGAGAGTTATCGACTAGAACGTACCCAACAAATCATATAATATATATTAAAGATATTTTATGAGTGGAAGCCGTTGAAACTTGGTAAGAATCAAAAGCATATTTTAACTGTGGAAGTACTAATAGTACATTAACAATTTGGCTCGGTATGTAATTATTTAATTTCTTATCAAATTAAGAAAGTGTAGATATACAAGCCATTTAAACAAGTGAGTTGAGTGTTGTTGAATTGGTTCAATCACTTTTAGAAGTCATATAAAATGTTTATGAGCATATTTTGTGCTGTTCATTAAATATAAGTTTTAGAAATTTGATGAGCAAAGTTAAATGTGGAAATGTTTAATTAATAGCACAATAACTTAATTTATTGGATATGGTTATTAATTACTTCATTTCGAATAAGATAAGCTAACTGATTGGCGTTGCTTTCTAATGTTCACATGAATATAGTTAATGATTAAGAAGCTTGAGGCGTGAACGCAGTGCAATCATAAATTCAAAACAATAAGTTGACTGAACATAATAAATTATTTAAAGAAGAAGTTACATTTTACGTGACTATAAGTATTAAGTGGCCATTATGATTGTGAACAAAGTATAAAAATAGTTTTGCTGCTAGTATTTTCAAGTTTTCTTTTTTTTTTTTTTATAAAAAAAAAAAATTGCTTTTAGCTTAATTGCTTTTATTATACAAAATTTACACTTTTAAGTTTTTGCTCGAGCGATTATACTAACAATAAAAACTTTTTTCTGCAAAGAAATGTTGTGCTTGATTCTAGTTTTTAGAACTGGTTTAGTTTTTAGTGGGTACAAATAATAATTTAGATAACATATTGTTGTAGTGTCTGTTTTATATCCTTGTAGAGAATTTTCTAATCTTTTGAGAAATAGTTCGATAGTTTTAAATTAAGAAAAGGGGTCACAAAACAATAAACACCCATAAAGCATATATATTCCTGAACACTAACTTTAGCCGAGATGATATAGCCATGTCTGTCCGTCTAAATCGCACTACTCGGATGAGTTCCAAGTTCTGGGACAGAGATGGTACATGCGACACTAGCTGATACAACAAATGAATATAATAAATTTGAAGCAAGGAGTGAAACTAAGTTCACAAAACACAAGAAATTTAAATTAATCTTCAAATGTTGACTAAAATTTAAATTTACAAGTTGAGTCGCTAGTGAGCTTAATTGTATTATTAATTAATATTATTATTTGCCTATAAATGTGTTATAGTTAAAATGAGCAAATTAATTAATAAACTTCGATCTGTAAGGGTATCTGGGTTGTAAGCTGGGTGCCCTAAGGTCAATGCTTGTTAATTATTTACAAATAGCTAACAAACATAATTTTATATGTGTACAACAAAAACAATGCCTGCGGAGTTACTACTGTGTATATATATATTTATATGTATGTAGCTTTTACTGTCCTATAACTTTTTAAAACTGCAAAAATATATCGATATAAATTGCCTCATAAATTTGGCTTATAAGCACAAAAAAAGTAGAAAGAAAACTGGCCATTTGGTGTATATAATGAGTACCTTAGCTAACAGTCTTTGTATATGCATGTGTATGTTTGTGCGTACATGTATGTGTGTGTGTGTGGTGTGTGTGTTGTATACATAAGCACATGTCCCGATCCAGCCACTAAAGTGATGGTTCATTTGTCTTTATTTAGTCGCGGCGCACAAAATGGTCGCTTGGAGGCTGCATTTATTGACAATAAATAGGTCATAAATTACACATTGGGGGAGGGTTGGGGTTGTGTGAAGTGTGGCTGGCCAGCCTCGTTTTAAAGGACTTGTCATGAATTGGGAAGTTGAGTGTAATATTTATTTTTTTTTTTTTGAAATTGAATGGCAAAGTAACCGAGCATTAAAAGAAGCGCATAGGAAACAACTTCAAAGCGGAAGTTGCACAGCATTTCCGTACTTATGATTGTCGTGCGCAGCGTTTGAGGGATGGGTGGCCAGGGGGCGTTGACGAATGGGCGTGGCACTCGCTTGGCAAGTGCACTTGAAAACAAAAAGCGTAAAGTTATTAAAGGTTTTTGCGCTTTGTGTGCGCGCCTTTCATGTCACTTACACTTTTTCACATGTCAGGTAAGGGACGATAAATCCACTCCGCCTTCTGTTCCCACGGCACAGCTTTTATGTGCTGTGCAAACGCTTTGCATGCACAGCTGGGAGAGGTCGAAGGGGGGTGGGCAGGGGGGTGTTAGGCAAACTTCAAGCGTGCGGCAAATTCAATTTGAAATTTCCAAATGTTTTGAAAATTACATTTTTTATGAGGAGGGAGCGAAAAGTTCACGGTGTGCGGCATCAAAAAGCGTATCAACCGGTGAATCGGAGGGATCGGGAACGGTGGGTGGTGTGGAGGTGTGTCATCGGAAGCCTTAACCCATAGGTGAATGATGCATCTTGGGTAGTAAGCAGAAACAACAAATGTCAAGTAAATGAATATTTTATTGACGTACCATGAGCCAAGATGGCTCCCGAAATTGGCTTCCCACTGTGTGCATTGGTTGGATTCTATGGCAGCTCGGAGAGCGCCCAAGAATGCGTACCAGCGTCTTTTCCCACATGAGAAAATAAAAAAGAACTAAGAATAATGACGACGATGATTTCAAAGCGTTTTCAGACCGTCTCTCTCTGGGTAAATTGCCGCATGGACTATTGCATTTTGTAGAGTGTTGCGAATTTGTTATGAAGGCAGCTATACCGGGAGCAGTTATCGATAAATTGGTATCAAGCTTATATGCGTGAAGTATATGAGAACTTGTCTTTCTAACATGAAGCTTCTAGATTTATTCTGGTCAAAAATATAAATAGTTTATGTGGCCGGAGATGCTCTTTGCTGCCTCTTACATACTTTACATAAAACACTTTATTCTTTTTAACTATTTTTAGTGGGTTCCAAAGAAAGATAGAAATTTATTTCGTATCAAAACTGAAATACATACAGACATATAACTTCCAAGTAAATCTATGCTAAGTCTCGCTATTCATTTTCAGATCGAGCTCATCGCACTTATCCATATAAGACACACACACATACACACATTTCAGCTTGAACTCACATTAGGAGCAGTACACATACACACACATGCACAATAGCCATATGCGCGCAACATTCAGATTTCGTAGCATACTTTTCCGCGCGGCCTCTATGAATGTGGCAAGTGACATTGAGCCGCTGCTGTCTATGTGTGAGAAGGTGTACTGTCCCTTTGCATATGTGTGCGTGCGTGTGTGTGTGTGTGGAAGGGCATGTTAAAATTCATTTGTCAAAAGGATTACCATGGTAATAGGGTTTTAAGCATATATATATCTTGGCAAACATTCGCAGCGTTATTTGTTTTTTTCTCTCTTTTTGTTTTCCAACCGTTTATCATGTCCTTTTGTTTGTTGCTTTTTGCTTGATACGTTTACGGCCATGTGTGGCGGCTAATTAAAAACATGGCGTTAAACAATTATGTCAGACATTTGTAAAGCTCGAAGCGCACAGCAAAACACCTGGTCAGAGTCACAGAGCCTTAATAAATTGACTGCAATCAAAGTTGTCATAAGTTGAGGTAGGCAACCACAACGCCCATGCATACTGAAGTCACGTCCACCCCACCCACACCCACACACACACTAAGTCTAAGTTATAAATAAGCATATATATATATATATATTTCTATATATATATTTATATATGTATATGTATATGTACACGTAGTCAAATGACAAC